ATATTGTTATTGCAACCCATGAAAATGCATCAGTTTTAAAAATCGTTGAACCTCCTGAGTGTTTAAATGTCATTTCTATTCATATCAGAAGGTATAAGTGTAATGATTGCCAAATTCCTTTTTGGCAAGATGACAATCAAATTTTTCACACAGACAATACCCATAGTTCATCTAAATGCAATCTGAAGGGTTTTCAATTATCTGTCTGTAAAGATCATGATAAAGGAGGAGAAGATAATTTTGGATTTTATCAGTGTTATAACACAGAACATCGTTGCTCATCATCAGATAATGCCACAACACAATTATGGTTTGGTCAACGAATGAAATTTAATTGATAAGTACAAATGAGGACTTTTTCGTTAAAGAAATTACAAAAAACCGACCGTTGTTGACGTATAAACTTTAAGCAAATGCAGCTACTTAGTAGGAAGTCTTCATCATAAATAATTACTTAATCATATTTTATAGGAAGAAAGACGTTTAATTATTGCTTGTGTAAGTTTAATTTAGACATATATATTTATTCGTAAATGATAGGGATGGAAAAATTCTAAACCTGCTAAATAGAATATAAGTTGAATGTTTCGCCTGTGAACAAATACTATAATTTTATCAGAGCATTTTGAAGCGAATTCTCTTTAATTTGAAAGTTTTTTCGTATACACGTGCATATAAGCTGTTACAACCCAAAGTTTGATATCTTAACATTATTATGGGGTAATTAAATTACAAATCTTATTTAATCGGCTCTATAGATCATTGGAAGCACGTAAATCACAATTGAGATTTTGAATTATCTATGATATTAAAATTTTGGACAACATATTATGGCCTTTAGTAAAATTAAATAGCTAATTTAATTGAATTGTGAAAAGAAATTAGAATTAGAATTAAAAAAACTTGTCGTTTTTCTTAAATGCGCAATTAGAATACTCTTGAAAAGATGCTCTTAATCAAAGAATGACTTTTGATGATATTCGTGTTTGGAGAGGTAACTGAAACAGCAGACAGAAACATACTGGGAAGTATAGGACTTAAGAATGGAGATATTTAGAAAAAATTTTTATCCAAAGTACATTGTTTAGTTAAATAATGTAGTTTATTTAATGCAATGAAGTTATAAAAATCAGTGGCGAAGCCAATCCGATCTTTTATACGACCCCAAAACAAACTTTCAGCAAACTAATTCCATTTTTTGTTCTTACATTGATTTAACACTAAAGGTTTTGCAATATACGAGTGAAAGACAGTCTTGTTTTTGCTACTGATAACGATGCAGATGGCGTCATTGCCTGACCAGAATAAAATAATCTTTTTTAATTTCTTTCTAAAAAATTGCAGCTCATTGAGTATTGCGAAAGTTGATCTTTGTGCCTTTGTGATACAACTAAAATCAAAATATCGATGATATTTCTTGCTTTCGTATAGGAATTTAAAAATATATATTGCATCATGCAATATGTTGTGGCGTACGTCGCTTTGTCTTCTGTGCGAAGGACAGAGTTAACAGATTAATTATAATCTTCAAAATAAAAAAGGACCATTATTAACTCGGTTTAAGAAGTAACTGGAGCTTGAGCCTTGAGGCCGTGTTTTAAATTATTATAATATTGGATACGTTATTTTGAATGCCTTTTTTTAACATGAACGTAAACGATATAATTTGATCCAGTTGAGTAGTAATGATGTATTTATATATATATCATTTATCATGCTTAAAACACGGTGCAGTCCTGTAACTAGTCGATAAATAACCAGTAAATAGTCGAAACAAAGTGCTATCCAGTAACTACTATAGTGGCGAGAATCACTCGTCCATACGTAGTCTTAAAGAGAATTGACTCGTCTTCAATCCCTGTGAGCTTGGTAGAACAGGTAGAGCGGCAGACTAGTACCCGATGGTGCGAGTTCAAATCTCGTCCTAGACACATGTTTTTCATATGCATATAAAAGCCGTGTTAGGATTTATATTATGTATAATGCTCAATAAAACGACAGAAAAACTTTATCCTGTATGCACCGAATGATGTAGAGACATAAATAACGTTATCGAAAATCCTTAGCAACCTAATTATATTAACCTGGGTGAATTGAAATGCAACGTTTCCGGTGGAGCGTAAAGGTTCCACTGGCTCCACCGGCTCCAGGACCCCCCTTCTCTATACTACTGACGGGCGGACTTAACAAAAACTATACGTCTATATCAATTGATCGAGAGTGTTAACAACTTTAATTCGTCTGTCAAGACAATTAGACGCCATAGTAGTATGGGCGATTAATTCGTCTTGTGTCTGTCTTTGTACTTCCTACGATCTAAGAGACATAAAAACGGCCAATAATATATTCATAACTAGCGTCACTCAGGACTGCATACCTTCACCGCACGCTCAATGTCAAGAACTACGGCAAGAAAACTTTTGTTTCTGATAAAAACAAGCAACAGCGATACGAAATCTGTCCAGCTTGGTTAATGTTTGTTTTCTATAAGTTCTTTTGAAGAAAATTTTCTCTTTATAAGTAAAAATCGGCTTCAGTGAAATTTCGTATGAAAACAACTTTCTTTTTCTATTGAGCTTGTTGTTTTAAGTCGCAAGCCCATATTTAATCGTTGTTATGCGTTTCTAGTATTTCGTTTTAGGCAAGAGAAGCTGTTCAAAAAGAACATGGTGGTGCTGCATTTACAGGATTATTTCTTACATAAGCCAAGATAAAGCTGGTATAAACCACTAGGTCAAGGTATATATATTTCAAAATAAAAATAAAAACGTTTGTAATAATACATAATATATTATTGTTGTTTAGAGCAATGATTTACAATAACTAAATGAAAATACTTATTAAGGTAAATTATGTTGGAGATGATAAAAACATTACTGTACGAGTGTTTGAGTCCCTGTCGCACGAGAGAAATAGTACAGGAAGGCTCATGTAGGATTGTAGCTAGTTGGTTAAGTTGAAATCTACAAAATATAATGGTTTAGAAAAACAGTATTTTGCAATACAATTCAAGGCAAATTACTATTTAGTTATGCTGTTCTTGTCGTACGGGATGCCTTTTTAATGGATATTTCACGTTCGAAGCAAATCTTGTAATTATTCAAACAACGCAACTTAGAAGGCGCTAGAACCTCGCCACAATACACTGCTTCTGGTAACTAGCCCCGATATACTATGTCTGATATATGTCGTTACCTCCTCCTCATAATGAACAAAACAAGTTTATAATTTGAACAACTTAATAATAGTTTTCATAAAAAAATGGTTATCACATGCAAAATGTTACTTAGTAATAATAGCCGGGTGCCTTTAATGAGCTACCATGAATCAGGCAATCTATCCAAGCAAATGATAGATACAGCGTATGATTGACAGAAAATTTCAGACGACGCGACAATCGATTATGTTTTTTCATAATAGATTATTGCAATAAAAATGAAAAGTTGAAATTAATGATACAATAAAAAGTATCAAAATCAATAAAAATATGCATTCAAAATCCAAACACAAATTTCAAGCGCACTTTTTAGGAATTGCATTCGTACAAAGCTACTAAGATGTGAAATGCCGAGAATTGCCGCTTCTTTTTATTGCCAGGGCCTTTCTCAGATCATCCTGACTTACATGTTGTTGACGAATCCAACATGTTGGCTAAAATGGCCAAAGCTTTGATCTGTCCAATTATAATCGACGATTGATCAGTTGAGGCGATTTCAATGATCGGTTGTACAATCTCAACCAATTCCCACCATTATACAGTGCTGCCAGGAAATTTTATATGAAATACTTGCTGGGACTATTGTCACTGCTATTGTTTTTTTAAGGCTACGCTTTTTTTTCTTCAAAAACAAGAGTAGATTACGTGTTTATTAAAACGAAAATCAGATTACATTGTAATCTGTATTCTGTAAAAACACCATCTATTTAGGATTAGATTACGTGTTTGTTAAAACGAAAATCAGATTACATTGTAATCTGTATTCTGTAAAAACACCATCTATTTAGGAATTTGCCAGCAAGCATGGGTGTACGGGACCAAAAAAAAATGGGTGTGCTGACATTTTTTTGCCCGACGAAAACAAAAACTGCCCTCAATGAAATTCATTGATATAAAAAACACTACTTAAAATAACCATTGAACATGTTGTCGCTTAGCATCATTGGAAACCACAATTTGTCATCGGGCCATATTTCATTAAAAGGAATTTCATCCATGTTAAACCACTTAGGTCTCATTTCTGTTGGAGGAAAATGCATAAAATTAATTTATGAAAAAGCTTTATATTTATTCTGAATTAATTTTAAACAGTGGAGTAGCCAGACTGTTTATTAATCCATTTGTTCACTCACAGTAGAAACAATAGTAAATTGAATAATGAAAAACAATAATATGCTGAAATTTACAAAGTTGGACAAAAATTTGCAGGCTGCCAATGCCATTGATTTTAACTTGTTCACCTTCTGATTCTTGCACTTCCCCTTCGTAAAGCCTTGTTGTGAAAACATGGAATTCCAGGATTTGTGGCTCATGTTTTAGGTCCTTGTGGTTAGATTGCATTCTTCTTTTAATTTTCTAAAAATTACAAAATTGCCATTGTGTAAATTATTTTCAACAGTCCAAGAAGTATAAACATTTGCAAACCTATCTTTTTGCTCCTGCCTCAATTGTTTCTGTGCTATCTACTTTGCCACCAAATCCATTCCATCTTCTATCACCAAATCCTCGTTTCTTCATTCCCAACAACACCAATGTTTTAGTAATTTGTTGTTTGTCATTTTGTTACAAATTTGTTACAATTCATTTAACCACGTGGTAACACGGTTGATGGCATGTAATAGACCACACGTGACACTGAGGTCTGGGATTGATGAAATGAAGCCGTGTGTTTGAGGGAAGAGGAGGGGGGAGGGGTTACTATTGAGAGGACGCACAGGAAGTCAAAAACAGGAAGTCATTATGCATGATGCCCTTATGTAACGGATTACTGAAAAGCTCTGACTGTGCGTTTCCGAGTTCCGAGACAAATCGAAATTGAAAGTTCGATTTTGTCGAGTTATGAACAGCAAAGGGGTTATTTGGTTTGCCGATGCAAACGGTATATCGTACACCGTATCCCTGGAGGACAATAAATTGCAAGCTCGATCAGATGATACGGTTATCATAAAAAGAATATCGGCTGTAAAGCCATGTGCATTTGCTGTCGGACGTGATCAGAATGTGTACTTGTACGTAAACAAAAGTGATATTCCTATACGCGTTCAGATTTCGACTTACGAAAATCAACGATGGAATCCCATACACAAATGGTCACAAAAAGCGGTATGCTATATTCTGTTTATTGAAGTGTAAATTCGTAACGGATCTTAAGAAACAACAAGGAGAATATATTTTAACTCAAGTTTCATTTCCAATTTCCTAATTCGCCATTTCAGCACTATTTTTTGTTTATAAATAGATTAATCATCACACTAATGACACCATGTTTTAAATCCAATACAGTTTCCATTGTGTATATATTATGATATTGTTTCACAAAGCTCAATGAAGTAGCATTTTTAATGAGATTTTAACCGAAAACATAGCATTCGCTTATAATATGTTTGTTGTTACTGAGAAGTTTGGTAACTGTGTCAGGTACTTTACAAGAAAAGGCAATATTTCACATAAAGTTCGCAGTAAAATCTGAAGCTTAGGAAGAGCTTTGCAATAATTATGTTTTGCCATTTAGTGTCAAGTCCTTTTAAATCCCAAATATAATTGCCTTTGTTTTGTTTTTTATCAGTAGCAAACATTTGTGACCTTTTTTGCTGATTTTTTTACAGATGTTTCCCACTGACAGATGGGCTTGGTCATCAAAAGATGGCCGTCACAATCAACCTAAACAATCGTTTGTCCTCCCTGAAAATTGGGAGTGGGAAGATGACTGGCATCTGAATGAAACTGTGCCTGGTGACGAGAAGGTGCACAGCATAAATTATCTTTTAGAGAAGCATAAATTATAATGTATTATGATTGCCATGTGAATGTGACTATTCTAGTGAGCTATGTCCGGCGAGAAGGAGCATCACATAAATTTTATTAAAAAAGCATAAATTGTAACTTAAAATAGCATAAATTATAGCACATTATGAACATGAAGTGAATAAATTGATGAAATTATGCCTGCTGATAAGATGCATAGCATAAATTATTATATAAGAGGGGTATTATTTATGCTTTCTTTATTATGACTGTCATTTGAATGAAAATTTGCCTAGTAATGAGAATTTAGATTTATAAAATGAATTATTATAGTTTAAATTATGTTATGTTTGATTGTTATGTGAAACTGTGCCTTCATTGACAAGAAATAACATAAATTATGTTTTATTTATAGTTATATTATATAGCAACTTTGATTAATATGAATTATGCTTTTTTTTGTTTTAAAGGGTTGGCAGTACGCTCTTGACTTTCCCAGGGAATATAAACCTATCAAGGAATGGACGTCTTGCGTTCGACGAAGAATTTGGATAAGAAATAGGCGCTTTGCAAAACATGACAAATGGGTTAAGGTACAGTTTCTTGAAATTCATTTTGTGAAAGAGTGTTGAGCTGTGATAGTTTCAGTTGTTGATAAATTGCAGAGCAATTGGGAATTTCTTTTATAGAGGAGAAATTCCTTTTAATCTTAAACGGACAAGAATATGTCATGGGTTATTTTGTATGTGTTCTTGGGATAAGAAAAACCAACTAGTTATGTAATCCATATTTGGGATACTAAATGATGCAGAGGGATGCAATATTCTAAAACTCTGGTATCCATGTGCATACTCGAAAACAATTAAAAGTTCAGACCTCGGGGTTGATTAGTTGTTAGAAATTTCTCAATACCCCAACAGGTTTAAGTACCATTATTTATTGTTGGTTTTTGTTTTGATGATTGAAAATCACCATGATCTGTCTTTCTGTAAGATCGAACCTCCAGAAACTGATGAACTGGTGGAGCAAGCAATTCAGGATATTTCAGCTGGTGGCATGGACATCCCCGGGTGTCCTCAAGGATACATTGCACTCTGGGCTATAAACTTTGCTGGAAAGGTACAAATAAACTGGACAACCCCCAGTGTTAGAAGAAATAATGTTTTGTCAAAATGAAACATAGGTTAGCAAGTGTTAGAAATCAGCATTGATGTCATTTAATACAAAGTGTGATTTAAGATAAGGATTTCTTATTTTGGAAAGGCCATGTCTCACAAATCACTCACATTATTAGGAAATTTGATTTTCATACCTATATGTGGACACCTTCTCGATTGCTATAGACTACCCTGTGTATTCATTAGCCTATAGGCTGGTTGCATCGGACTAATATGTGCTTTCCCCTTGCGATTGCTTTAAGAGTCTTTAAAGACAACACATATAGCCCATTACTTTAAGTCTTTGATGGTCTTCAAAAAATTAGCTTTTCATCAGAAACATTATAGAGAATTTGTGCTGCTGGCCCCAGGCTTTGCACAATTTGTTCCAGACCTCGTGAGATGGGTGTGTGACTTAATGTAGGTTTTGAACCGGGAAATGATTTTTTCTATGTGTCTAATGTAATGACTGTTGTAGGTTTTGTACCGGGAAGGGATCTCTTCTGTGTGTCCTGAAGGCAAGTCTTGGGTTAATGTGAAACTTCCCGAAGATGTCAAAGGTGGTCAGATATCCGTGGGTCCTACAGGCATGGTGTGGTTAGTAACCTGGCAAGGAACACTTTACCTAAGAACTGGAATTTCAAAATTTCAACTCTCGGGTAATGAACAAAGACCAATGTCAGCACTGGAGATTGTTTTTGTTGATAAAATGGAATGTCAGGGGGGGTTAACTCCCTAAACTTCTTTTGCACATGTGCATATGCATGTCTTGGTGTCCAGCAGGGGGGTGAGGTGATTAACCTTAGCTTGTGTTCTGTTGCACATGTGCATATGCATGTCTCGGTGTCCAGCAGGGGGGAGGTGCTTAACCTTAGGTTGTGTTGTGTTCTGTTGCACATGTGCATATGCATGTCTCAATGTCCAGCAGGGGGGAGGTGCTTAACCTTAGCTTGTGTTGTGTTGCACATGTGCATATGCATGTCTCGGTGTCCAGCAGGAGGGTGCTTAACATTAGCTTGTGTTGTGCACGTGTGTATCCATGTCTATGGGGTGCATGAGTGTGTCTATGTGTTTTTTGAGCATAAATTGAGTGTTCTGAAGACTGAATTTTACAATGCAGGATTATCGTGGATTCCTGTTGAATTTCCAAACAATAGAGTTTATCAATTATCTGTCGGTATAAATGCTTTGTGGTTGCTAACAATGGATGGAAAAGTAAGTTGAATATCTTTGAAAGTATTTCAATTGAATATATCGTTTTCTTTCGTTGCATTTCCTGACTGATACCCTGAATGATCCAATAAACGCCCCCTATCAAATAAACGCCGCGTATATTTCCGCCCCTTTTGAAGCGTGAGTTTGTTTAAGTTGCCTTTCTTTATTAAACATCCTGTTTTTAGTTGGCGCTCCACACTCCTTTACCATTGTGATAAAAGAGACATTATCAAACACAATGCAAATTGCATAAAAATGAGTGTATTAATCACGTGGTCTTAGCAAAAGATATTGGGGTTTTTTGCTACATTTCTCTTCCATATTAATAGGTGCATATAATGCCTTGTATATATATGAGAACCACACTAGACTGCTTGAATTTATTAAACGTCCGGGTGTTCATTACATCATTTACGGCTAACATGTTATTATTAGAAATATTATTATGTATTCGCCGACTGACTAATATATTAACATAAGTAACATAATTAACATTAATTATAGGTGTATTTCAGACGGGGTATTTCGTCTTCAATTGGTTACACAGACGAAGCCAATGCTAAAGGAACAAAGTGGATTGAAATGGTTGGAAGTTTTTTGATGCTGTCAATGGGCTTAAACGACCAGGTGTTGTTTTCTAGCTTTGTATGGTTCTTACCGTAAAACATGGACCTTGCTTTTGGAAAAGTTTCGATTATTTATTGAAACAATCAAATATTTTTTCAAGTATTCAAATTTTTGCTTGGTAGTTTGCGTTTTCAAACTTACAGAAAACGATCTGATTGGTTGATATAAAAGTAAATAAAAATATTGACCAATCAGTGTTGCCTTCTGTATATACGAAACGCGGACATTTGAATGTTTTTTTGAAATATTTAAGTATTGAAATGAATGTCCCGAACATTTTTAAAAGCAAGGCGAGATCGACATTGAAACCATTTCCGGAAAAAAGCTAAAGCAAAAAGCAAAGTCCTAAACTGATTGCAAGATATCCTGAGAGCACATAAAACATTCAAAACAAGACACAGACAGAAACTGTAACTTCATTCTGTCTGAAAATGGCTTTGTAATGAAGTGGAAAATTTACAGTTCCTTGTGCGCATGTTTTCTGAATATTTGTTCTGTATGTTTTTAGAAATTGCTTATTACTTAACTGTGTGGCACTCCATGTTTTACTACGTGTGGAGTGCCACACAGTTCATACTTGTTTCAAGTGCAGACGAAAATGCTATTTCAACACGAGCTTTTTTCACATTTTAAACGTATTCAAACCATGTAGATACATTAATTTACACTAAATTCATTCATATATATCTGCATTTTGACGAATCTCATATCTTCCTTTAAATCTTATACATGCGTAGCTACGTGTCTTCTTGAATAGCCCCTGCCTTACTGCTGTCTGTATGCCAATGCTCGAACTCAATATATTCATACTTTAACTTTGTTCTTAGGTATTTGCTATAAGTACTGGACCTTACGGCGCAGACCGTGTCTATTTTCGTTCTGGTGTCACTTCATCCGACCTTCCTGGTAAAGAGTGGAAAATCATTGAAGTTGGTCTTTCTAGCACGGATAGTGCCAGTAGTCTGTCTAGCTCTTCTTCGAATCCAGATGTTGAAGCAATGCGAGGTAAGAATGAGGATGGATTAAAGAGTTTGTATAGATGCACAGTACCACTCAGAAGTAACTTAACACTGCATTCGCGTTCCATTTGCGTTTCGAGCGCGGATGAAACAGCGCGTTTTTATACGCGTTCCATCTTAAGCCGAGTGCAACTGGAACGCATTTTGGAACGAACTCGGATCCCTCCCCCCTCCCCGATATTTTCTCCATTTATAGAAACGAAAAGTATGATTAAGTGTAATATGTTGGGTTTGTACCACTTTTCAAACCAAAACATTTGCCAGTGATACAGTTTTCCCAATTTTATTTTTATATTTTGTAGATGAACATGGCACTGTATTCTCAGAGGAACTCGTCCAAATGTCGGATGAAGCGCGTGGCAAACGTCAATGGATTTCGATGAGTTGCGGCGCATGTAACGTTATGTCTGACTTCTTCACTTCCTACTCTCATTCGCAGCGGCTCTCTTCTGCCGCTTCTACTCACAGTTCGTACAGGATGAGTCTTGCTGGTGGCCCGTGGAGGCAGGCTGTACTCAAGCTTCTTGAATCACGTTATGTTAAGGAAATTATGTATTTCTGCGACTACGAACAAGCCGTTGATAAAGTAAGATTTGATGTGTTTTGAAACATTAGTCCTTCTATACTTTAGTTTAGTATCTTCATCAGGAGTGATCTAATGTTGAAACTTTAGCTCTTATTTACTCCAGCTAGTGTCTTCATCAGGAGTGATCTGATGTTAAAACTTTAGTTCTTATATACTCCAGTCTAGTGTCTTCATCAGGAGTCATCTGATGTTAAAACTTTAGTTCTTATATATTCCAGTCTAGTGTCTTCATCAGGAGTGATCTGATGTTAAAACTTTGGTTCTTATATACTCCAGTCTAGTGTATTCATCAAGAAAGATCTGATGTTGAAACCTGAGTTCTTATATATTCCAGTCTAGTGTCTACATCAGGAGTGATCTGATGTTGAAACTTGAGTTCTTATATATTCCAGTCTAGTGTCTTCATCAGGAGTGATCTGATGTTGAAACCTGAGTTCTTATATACTCCAGTCTTGAGTCTTCATCAGGAGTGATCTGATGTTGAAACTTGAATGTCTACTGTACACTTCATCAAGAGTGATGTGATGTTGAAACGTAGCATCTCAGCATTAGTTTTTATTTCAAAGATTCATTATAATTGGAAAACCTCGACGTCTTCTTTTGCAGAGCAGTTGGTCAAAGACAACAAAATTCAACATGCTTGTGAGCAAATCTTCAAACACTTGGTGTAAGTGCGAAATAACCCTCACAAACGACAAGGAATCGGAATGTTTAATAATAAAATACGTGAAATTCAACAAGGAAAAGGAAATGAAGCTTCCTGTGCTTGACATAACTTGTATGGCGCGAGTGTTTAACCAAACTTATTCCAATTGTTTTACGATACACACGGCTGTGCGGACAATGGAGCGAAATTACATTTTATTATCAGCGCCCAATGAGAAAGAAATGAATGAATGGATGACGTCATTGAGTAGCTCTTCACAAAGAGCCCGGATGTGCGAAGGGGCACCTAAACCCTCCGCTCTTTGGTGCACGTCGGCTGCCGGCGATGTCTTCTTCTCTGACTCTAAAGATGACAGTGGTGGGTAGAAGTGGATAAAAATGGATAAATGTTAAGTTAAGAACTTATGGGTTGATTTGGGATAGTAATGGATGTAAATGAACATTAATTAGAAGTTGAAGAATTGATAAATATTAACTTTGGAATTGAGGGTAAATATAGGATCTTCCTCGTTACAAAGATTTCATCAACATTTTCTTCATTGCCAAATTTTCATCAACATTCCCTTCGTAATAAAGTAAATGGTGTAAACTCAAGAGTATCGTTACATGTTTGTAAATGTAGATCGTCCATGTTTGTAGAGTCCTGAGAAAGACTGTTGTTGTTGATGTTGACTGACGTTTCGACAACCTTAGCGGTAGTCATCTTCAGAGTCAAATTAGGAGTAAACGACAGGTTAGCCGTATGTGTTATCTGGTTCATACGTCATCGTATTGTATGGAGAGGAAATGTGTTGGTGTGAATTGTGTTTTGTGGATTAGTCTTAAGTAATGAGCTTAATTGTTTGTTTGTTTGAGGTTGTGAATAAGTCGTTTTATAAGGTGCCGGTAATTGCTGTGATCTGTTCACGGCGTTTTGTTCTAAGTTGGTATACCAACTTTCTAACGTAAGTCGTTGTCTGTTGTCAATGGTGTAAGTAATGCATATTTCCAAGTGATGTCGGTATTTTCATTGGTTTTGTCTTGTTTGTTTGTAGCTCATTTGTGTTCAGTAAGTTTTATGTTTAAGACGTCAGAATTCTACCGACTTGAACGATCTACATATATCTACAAACATGTCAGATTCCTTCATTGCGAAGTTTTCATCGCTACGTCATTATCAACATTCCCTTCATTGCGAAGTTTTCATCGCTACGTCATCAACATTCCCTTCGTTGCGAAATTTTCATCGCTACGTCATTATCAAGATTCCTTCATTGCCTAGATTTCACCAACCATCCTGTTTATCACTTGTATTGGCGCCAAGTTGGTGGTCATTTGTTAAAATTGAAGCGGGTGTCGATCAAGTTGTTTGGGGGCTTGGGTACGACGGACGACCGTGGTGCTTTACACGTGGCTTTGGTGGTGGGATATTTCCCGCGTCCATGAGCAGCGCCGAAGGTATTTATGATCAGAGTGACGAAAAAGTCTTTTACACTTACGAGAATCAAAGATGGTATCCTGTAGATGGATATGGAGTAAGGTGATAAAGTTTTATTTGGCGGCGGGTGGGGTATGTTGATTGAGGAAATTGTTCACATGACCTAATCTTTTGTTTAGACGACTTCCAACTGACCGCTATGAATGGAGCGATGAAACTGGAATACTAGAACGTCGTCAAGAGGGCTATCCGCTACCTAACTCAGACTGGCAATGGAGTGGTGAGTGGAAGGTTGATTTCAACACAAAGGAAGGGACAGATAAGTGGGGCTGGATGTACGCCCTAGATTTTCCAAGGTCAGAACGAAGGAAAGACATTGGTGGAAAGTACTGTGCTGTTTTTTTTGACATGTTTGCTTTGTTTACAGGGAATACAGCTGCGAAAAACATTGGAATGATTGCGTGAAGACGTCGATGTCGATGGAAAGACGGATTTATGGGTTGAATTCGACTGAAATGGAAATGGTGGAAAGAGAATGGAAGAGGATGAAAAGAAATCCGGAGATCAAATGGTCGATGGAATAAATCCGGGCGCATCGGAATCCTGAAAGGTGAAAGGAAGGAAAAATCATCAAAAGATGGGTGGAAGAAGAATAAGGAAGGAAAGGAAAGGAAAAGGCAAAGAGGCGGAAGAAGGAAAAGGAAGGAAATGAAAAAATGCGAAGGAAAAAATAAAGAATGGAAGGAAAGGAAGGAAGGATGAAGGGGCTTGGAGGAGGAGGAAAGGAAGGAAAAGGAAGGAAGGAAGGAAGGAGAAAAGAAAGGAAAGGAAGGAGAAGGAAGAAAAGAGGGAAAAAAGAAATGGGGAATGGAAAGGAAGAAGAAAGAGATTAAGCAAAAAGAAAAGAAATATTATTTAAAACATTTGTAATTTCTTCAATACATAGATCAGCGTGTAAATACGACTGGTCCGTGGCTGGAAGTTCAACCTTCAGTGCAATTGAAAGATATCAGTATACAAATCGACCACATGTATCAAGATGATGGTTCAATTTCTGTTTGGGCTGTCAGCCATGATGGGGATCTTTTGTGTAGAAAAGGAGTGACTAGTGATCGACCTCAGGTAAGATACAAAATTATTATATGGCAAGCGTTACTTCCGGCAAAATGGAGCGCTTTGATTGGCTCAGAAACATTTTTACCGTTCCATTATTTTTCCATTATGGACCCACGGTCCGAAACTTCTAATTTTACGGTCAAGTGTAAACGAACTTCGTAACGCAAACTGCAAAACGAAAAAAAAAACAACGAAACAAAAAACCATTTACGAATTTGAGTAAAAGGAAAACACTTGGAAAACAGTTCAACTTTCCAGACGATACAATTTGAAACGATTTCTTTTTTATTGACAAAAACTAGAAAAGTGAAAGTCAACCCGTACAAAACAGCAAGGGCGAGGAAGAAAGCAAACTTCGTTTCAGGTCAAATAATGTCATATAATAAACCTTTATTAACCTTGCTTGCTCGGTCTTGACTGAAATAAAACTTTGGAACAGGCATTAAAGTAGAAATTTATACAGGAACACATTTTTACCCTTAATTTTCTTTCCAATGAGTTTCAGCTGGCTTCTTCATTGTTCTACAATTGTTCAACATTAATTTGCAGCCCGTTCGCAGTCATTCTTCCTAACTCTTCTGCTTTCAAGCATTCCATTTAAACGATTGAGTTCAGATGATTTTTTAGTGCAAATCGTACGAATTTTTCCCAAATCAATTAATAAAAGTATTACTGAAACTATGTGATTACTGATTAGGATAGAATATATCTTAGTTCTTTGTAAAAGACACATGTTTTCATCTGATGTACAAGCACGCAAATTGTGTAAAAAACACGCTTATTTTCATATTCTTAAAGCATATTTAGCAATGCTTATGGACGTGTTGATTATTTAGTAATACTTGTTGAATTTCTTTAAAAATGTTATTGGATTTCACCTTTAATCTGTGGTGATCAATTAATCTAATTGAGCTTTCACAAATGTTGATGATTTTCCGTTCGTTCAAATGAATATTCTAAAGTTTCACCGTGTGGGCGGCCCAAGAAATCACTTGAATAGTTTAAGCTAACGATAACTCTCCCCATTCCATCGTAACAGACCGTGCACCGCAAACTTTGTATTGATTGATTATATCTATAGTATATATTCACCTAAATACAGTAAATTTATTATTTATTTATTTATTTACTTATTTATATTTGCGGCGCACTCTCTGTTACGATGGAATGGGGAGAGTTATCGTTTGTTTAAAGTATTCCAGGGATTTTGAGGCGACTATGGTTTTATTGTTGTACCGCACCGTGTTATGGATCTTTTACTTTTTTATAATGCTGGGCCAAAGGAGGGTTAACCACTTATCTGTCATCATATTGTTAAAATTTTGATTTATGTAAGTTTTTTTTTCTTCGCAGGGTGAATCTTGGTGTCATATCACAACACCGATTCAATTTTCAAGTATTTCCGTCGGCTGCAACAACATCGTTTGGGGGATTGGTAACGATGGAGCGGCTTACTTGAGGATTGGGTACGAGGGCTCTGATGACAGAGGTAATAATATTGCCATTTGTATTAGTGATTTTTTCAAACTTGTGAAAAAGGCGGTTTTATTTACTTTACGATAATGAAACTCTGTAATTCTACAGTCAATGTTGTATTTCATTGATTGCCAAGTTCAAAGCGAATATTTTTCCCTTTTAAGAGATTTTTGAAGCATTCGAAACTTGCTATCCAGTGGAAAGCGCTATTCGGTCTTCGGGTCTTCGTGCAACCGCGCGACTGACACGAAGTCCATAAACCAATAAAAAATCGTTCTTTGATCGTTTCACGCGTGAGTGTCACTAATGACTCGTACAATGAAACATGATTTACTTACCAGTTAACTCTACAACAACTGGAAGGCTAACTTGGTCGCCATCTTTGAAGCCTGCATGATCGCCGCCATTGAGGGTACGGAGGCGAAATACATCACTTCGAAATTGCAGGGTTTTTTGCAAAAAACAGTGCTCTTCGAGCCAGCTTAATGTCTAAAAACCTTAAACAATGTTTGGACTTTAATATAAAACAAGTTTGAACGACATTTGTACATGTTTAAGCTTCTTTTTAGAAGGATGAAAAGCGAACTTTGCTTTGGCGCGTGAAAACATGCCTTATAACTTGAATACAAAACTGACACCCCTCGTTTTTTTTCATTAAAAGAATGTAAAATACACTTGTCTATCCTTATAATATTGTTTGAATCTTTGAAAATGAAGCTATCAGGGAAAAACGCTGTTTTTCGGTAATTTTCGTGTTTAAGAACAAAATTAGCTCGCTCCAGCCCAGCAATAAAATTGTTATGAAACATGTTATGTTAAGTGGATTGTGTGTATTTTGCACAGCATTCAAAGATACAGACTACCCGTTATCAGTTTTATCTTAAATTTTTGGTCTTTGACGACAAATAAGAAATTCATATTTCGAAGCAAGTTCTTACTTTCATGTTTTATATAATACAGCGTTACGTATACAAAACATGTCTTGGTACGTCCACAATGCATCTTAACACATTAAAACTAAATTCTGCTAACGGTTTTGAAAAAAATAAAACATTTAGGCTAGCATTCTATTTCCAAGTTAGCAGTTTTTTGCAAAACAATCCGTCACGCAAATAAAACAGTCCACGCGAGATACACGCGAAGTCTAGGCATGTGTATATTGAGTTAGCCTTCCAGTTGTACTAGAGTTCATTGTTTACTTACATAATATAATGCCATATGTGAGATTGCAGTGCCGTGAATTTCGTTGTATTATTTGGTAACTATTATAATACGCAAATATAACCAAATACTGTTTTCGAGCAGCCCAAGTGAGCGCCTGATTAGCGTCTAGTATTGAACCTATATTGAAAACTTGAAATTCAAGTAATACAGTTTTTGCTTAGCAAACTTTGCACAAACATTGTTGTGTACGTGCGGACTGATCAGTTTGAGACGGATATACAGTAAGATAACATTAACTTTATCGTGGTCGGGTGTCCGACATATTCGATATTTTTGAAAATTTGTGTTTTCCGTGCTTACTTGTGCTTTTGGATTTTAAAGTGTCTGCATCATGTTTTTGCATTTGTGTTTTCCGTGCTTACGTGTGCTTTTGGATTTTAAAGTGTCTGCATCATGTTTTTGCATTTGTGTTTTCCGTGCTTACGTGTGCTTTTGGATTTTAAAGTATCTGCATCATGTTTTGCATTCGTGTCATTTAGATAGTTCAGGCTACTTTAAAAACTTTTGAATTGTATTTTATTGTTCGAAATTATTTTTCTGGGTTTGTTTGACGCTCAAAATTAAAAAAGTTTGCCATTTTCGTAGTTTGACCGCCAGTATGAAAAAGCTAGCAACTAATATTATTTTTGACGTCACAACCGAATGCCGTTTGTTATATTTTGTTTAAAATTGAATGTTTGTGAACATCCACGACACAAGACCTTACGCATGCGTGTAATGCAACAAATAGGTATGTTGTTGAGGAGATTCTGTGTAAAATACAGTGTTTTCTTAAAGCGTGTTCTCGAGTTATGACGTCAGATCTAGGCTCTCGCCCTAGTTTTTTTCAAGTCACGCGCGAGCAAATAATCACCGACTTTGAGCATCAAAAAATACAAGAAGGTCAGATTTTATATTTATAAAATATACATGCAGCCAAAATGTTCAAAATCTTTTAAACTATCTACATAGCCCAATTGCAAAAACATGATATAGGCTCTTCAATCCTCTGCCTATTGCAAATGTGAACCAACAAAAAATGTATAAAACATGTTTATGGTTGTCTTAAATTTTACATAAATAAACAGGCTCGTTACATCGATGACCGTCATTGACCTGCTTTTTTTATCACCACATTAAATCAAATCAGAAAAAAGGCAGATTTTTAAATAATTTACTTGTTGCCATAGTTAGCCAATGTCAAAGAATAAAAGTTTGAGCGCCTGTGCCGCTAACCTTAGATCTCTAGTCCCGCTAACCTTAGATCTCTAGTCCCGCTAACCTTAGATCTCTAGTCCCGCTAACCTTAGATCTCTAGTTCTTATTTTGTTTCGTTCCATACACCTCACTTTTGAACTCCAAACCGCAAACGAAGAATTAATATGAGTTTCGCCAACCTGTTCTTATACGAACAGCTGCTGTTTATCTCAGCCAACATGACGTACTCACAAGTCTCCATTCTGCACAGGAAAAATGTGGGACCGTTTTCCCGCCCCAGGCCTTAACCCGCTCGTTTTAATATCGGTCGGCAGAAACACTGTTTGGGCTATGGATAAATACGGCGAACATTATTACAGAGAAGGCGTGACCGAAACGTTTCCTGAAGGTACAAAATGGTTGAAGATATTTGGTCGTGTGCAGTCTGTGTCGGTCAGCGCCAATGACGAGGTATTCATGTAATATTACGGATCTGTAACTAAGCAACTCGTAACTCTTTCATATGACTACATAAGCGTTACGTCATACGTAATTTTCTATTAATCTGTTTCATTCACGTGACTACAAGAACATACGTCATCCGTAAATTTCTATCAGCCTTTATCATTCCCGTGACTACAGCAACATTACGTCATACGTAATTTTCTATCAGCCTTTATCATTCACGTGACTACAAGAACATTACGTCATACGTAAGTCTCTATCAGTCACTGGTTGTTTTTTTAACAATTAGATTTTTCTATGAATTGATGGTTTATTTCAATGACTGCCATTTTTTGACATTTTGCCGTATAAAGTGTTTGTGAAAAGACTGTAGACAGTAGACCCTCCTATGACAGTATATGCAAAGCTATGTTTGAAATTTTCAGATATTTCGTGCACAATTTGTAGCTTCATGTAGCATAATCAGTCGCACAATATTTTTAATGTCTTTCGTATTTTTTCATGAATTTTGCTTGAAATTTTCGGGCAGAATTTCGTACGATGAACACTTTGCTACGAATAGAACTCCGGCCGGCTGTACTAACATATCAACGATTATTCCAAGTTCTCAGTAATCAAAGCAAAATGACGTTAAAGTGACTAGTTGTGAAAATCGAACATTACTAAAACTTTGAGAACTCGAAAACGAAAATAAATATTCACGAACTGTTTGAAAAATTTCTCTGTAATTTTCAAAGTTCTTATAAATGAAAATATATTTGAATATCGAAATTTTCGTTTCATAAACCACTTTAAGAGATTTTCGAAACAATTCAAAACTTCATCTATCCATTAGCAAACCTTCTCGTACAACCGACCCTGGGTCTTGGCATCAGAGTTGACATCTATCTCAAAATAACCGTTTATATTTATCTTGACGTCATAGGTATGGGTGAAAAGTCAGGGGGGGTTGGAGAAATGTTTCAATACGTCAAAAGAGACGCCAACTGGAAGAGGCTGGGTTCTAGCATTACCGGTAGGTAAAAGTATAAGCACTTGGTTCCAGGCCCTTAACCATGAGTTGCAACTGGAAGAGGCTGGGTTCTAGCATTACCGGTAGATTAAAGTATAGACACTTGGTTACATGCCCCTAACCATGGGGTACATGCTCACTCAACCTCCCCAATATGAAGTCTTTTTCAAAAATTCGACGGGAAAAAAAGTAATAAATAATGAACTGAAATTTTCATGTTGAATTCAAGAAAAGTGGAAACAGTCGCCATGTTATTGAACTCGATCAATGTTTGCTTTTCTGTAGTTTCATTAAAGCGCCTGTACCAAGTTAAGCCAGGCTTAACCAAGGGTATTTGTAGCATAAAAAGCGTTAATATCGGTTATAATGCCAATAAAATGACCTGTTTGAGTCTTTTCTCCTCCAATCAGTGACGAAGCCAGCCCGATCTTTTATTCTTACAATGCAAATTTCTCAGCAAAATTATTACTCATTTCATTCGAAAATTAATACCATTCATTGTGTTTTCAGTGATTGAACACAAAAATATTTGCATAGCCAGCAAAATATTTTGCTGGTTTCGCTACTGTCTCCAATATGCACCTCACCCCCCTTTAATCATTCTGGTTATGATCCTGACTTCGTTGAGCTGCAATATCAACTAGATTGATAACTTTGGAGAGGAGGGGGTCCTATTTTAACATTTTGGTGACGATGCAGGTTTCTCCAGTCCTTTTTGAATATAAGCCATGTACGGATTAACCCCTGCTTAGCAAACCCAAGTAATAAGATTAGATACATCAGAAGTGATTTATTTTACCTACGTCATTATGAACTTACGTCATTAGGAACTTACGTCATTATGAATAACTCTGTAAGTTATAAATTGAAAATTACATTTCAGTCTTTCTGGGGAGGCATTTCAGCGAGCAAATAGAGGGAATTTATTCAACAAAAGAAAGGTTTGCTGGACAAGGCTGAATCCGTGATTGATGAACCTGACTCGAAACTTTCAAGTGGACCGTCAGAAGATTTAAAACGAAAACGTACAAGGATTTAATGGAAAGCGGAGACATTTACAATGTGTTTGGTGCAGATGACGATTTTATTCCGAGTTCAGACGAGGAAAGCTGATAAATCTTTACTAAACAAGTACGTTTTAGCAGGAAATTATTGATTATCGTTCGCTTCAGATAATGCAACCGTGGGTGGTTGCTCGAAGCAGTTGGATTGCAGTTGGATTCCAGTCTACGAAGCCGGGATAGCTAGATATTTTTGAAATGTTATAAATAATTTTTCAAATGTTAGAAGGATGTTGAATTTAAAAATAGTTAAATTGAGCAATCAACGGAATGAAATTTTTATTTAAAGATTATTAAATTTTATTAGCGCGAAGCAAATGCAGTAACTCGTTCAATTAAGCTGAAGGTCAATATTCGATATCCCGGCTTCGTGCAAAATAACGCCCGCAATACGATGAAGAGCTTTAGTGCAGACACAAAATTATCCGTGTCAGTTTTTCTTCTTTTATTTATTTTACTTGAAAATTGCAAACAAGTACGAATTTACGAACTTACTTACCCTCGCTTTTTTGTTTAGGTTAAATAATTTAGATAGTAAATTTTGTATAGCAGGAAAGTTTTTACAGTGAAAAGAATTAATGGTCATATTTTGAACACAATAGGGCATCTAAAATGTTATTTGCAAATCACATTGCGAGCGCCATTTTTTGTTTAACAAAATGGCGGATTTTGTAATTGTTTCACACCGTGAAAATTATAGTAGTATTTATTCATTATGTAGTCAAGGCAGGCCTTTATTATTACTGTATAACATTATTTTAAGTAATTGTAAAAACTTATGATTTAAAAAGGCTTCTTTCCCTAAACGTGGAAGACCAATGCTTCTGAATTGACTTGTGCAGAGAATTTTTAGAAAAACGACACGACGTTCATTGAAGTGTGTGTGCGGCAGGCTCAGATATAAACATAAACAAAAGCGCGTAGTGCATCTTGGTTGACATGCATTCTTTAAAGAATTTATTTTACATTCATTTGGTTGGAGAACGATATGGCATTGTTTTAGGTCATCATCCGAGTGAAAGTCGACTCCTCCTTTTTATCATCCTCGTCTTCCTGTTCACTCTCTTTCATTGCCAACAGAGGTCTGTAGAGAAGAACTCTTTAAAGAAAATTCTAACATTTCGGCAAACTTGCATGTGGAAATTTCTGTAGTTTAGCAACTTGCAGATAAACTGCACTGAAATCAAATAATCACTGTCGCGAATAGTCTCAAAGTACATTAATAAATTAAAAATGGGTTAGATGCTTTAAAATTAAATTACTTACTTCTCATCCTTGTGTGTACGACTGCTACCTTTACTTAAGGTTTCTTCGTCATTAGGGTGTGATCGCATTCCATTTTTCGGTCGTACATCCATAGAAATGGGATGAGTAAGCGTCTTACCTATAACAAATAAACAAACGAGTGCTTGGTACATTGGTACAAGAAAATATTCATGGGTCCCAGAAAATAATGAAACTTGAAGTCAAAGGAAGGAGAAGGTCTAGCTTTTTGACTTTTTTCGAGTCTCCAGGAAATTTGTTTATAGTATATTATATCCTTATATTATATCCTTGACCAGACGACAATTTCATAAGATATAAAATAAAAAATTATCCGAAAAAGGACATCTTGTAGCTAAAGTTAAATTCAATAAAAGTGTAAAAATTCGGTTTTATTTCAAAACCATCAGCAGACAAAATGATTTTCTTAAGATGATTTTAAATCTAACATGTTGCCATTTGGTGATAAAAACGTTGAATAAAACGTGATCAAGATGACTCACTTTGTGATCGCTGTCTTTTACAACAACAGCAGCAGCAGATGATAACAAGGCACAAAAGCAAAATGAGAAATCCAATGACCGCCATTACAGATATGAACCAAACTTCTTCGTACACTGGAGCCGACTGCCTTGCGCTCTTCGCTATTCCTAAAATACAATCGTTTTTAATCGTTTTGCCAGCGAAGCAGAGAAAATATAAGGAACTCTGTAAACTGTAAACAAAAATAATTTTACGATGAACAAGAAACGCGCATCATTCAGTTACCAAATTTAAAACATTTTAGCTAAAATCAAATTGTCAACAAGTGACGAATTGATTTGTTGATACCACGAAGCCTCGTTTACAAAAACTTGAGAAAAATCAGATGGGTACTTTTTGAATTCCGAATAAAATAGAAATGTTTAAGACGGTGTATATACCTGCCAAGTTTAATATAAATGAGGTTTTTAGTTTGATGACTTTCCAAGAAAATTGAAATGTCAACATGTTAATCGCATAAAACAAGCCTATGTTTATTGACACTATAACATTCGTCATTGGTGACGAATAGGATAAGTAACCACATTTATGTACCAGTTGAAGTCAAAGTATGTTAGTATTCAATCCAACTGCATATTTTCGCACACTATTGTTCCTTCTATCGGACTCTCTCACTAACCTGTCGAGACAGACGAAGAACTATTCCCAGGAATAGACAAACCAGCTTCGTTGCGTGTGATCATTCGAAACCAGTAAACGGTTAAAGCTTGTAAATTTTCCAATACCGCTGACCGTGTACCGTCGGTTCTGTTACGTACGGTTTGAGAAGGCTTGAGATTCCAGCCGTTTGTCCAAGGATTTTTCTCTTTAAGTGAAAATAATCAAAAAATATCATTGTTGTCAGCAGTGCATAGAGCGAAACAGAGAATAAAACGAGTGGATGGGGGTAATAGTGTGATCAATAACGTATAGATAGGTACTATAGAAAACAATGGAACAGTAAAGTAGGGCACTCAAAAGTTGATTAATGAGGAGTAATAATGATAAAATGCAAATATGCAAGACGCCAAAAAAATACAATAAAGAACATGTAGGTGCAACAATAAGTTTTTGGGAACAACAACATTCCAAAATACAAATATGTGCAAAAAGAGTGCAAAATCATTCCTTTTATAAATAACACAATAAATCCTCCATCATACCAGACGAAGTTCGATACTCCACAATATATTGAGTGATAGGTGTGTTTCCATCAAACTGATCGCGCCAAATTAGTATTACGTCATTATTTCGTGCTGTTGCACCGACGATAGTAGGGGGGTCTGGTTTCGCTGAAAAATGGAAAATCAATAATTTGGTGCGAGTTAAGTCTAGAGCAAGAATAATTTTCAGTGAATTAAGCATGTTCTACATTGCAAAAGCTTTTGTTTACCACGAAAAGAAGGGAAAGTGTACACGTTTTTCTTGAGAAGTGAAGTTGGAGCCGACTGCCTTGCGCTCTTCGCTATTCCTAAAATACAATCATTTTTAATCGTTTTGCCAGCGAAGCAGAGAAAATATAAGGAACTCTGTAAACTGCAAACAGATGAACAAGAAAAGCGCATCATTCAGTTACCAAATTTAAAACATTTTAGCTAAAATCAAATTGTCAATAAGTGACGAATTGATTTGTTGATACCACGAAGCCTCGTTTATAAAAACTTGAGAAAAATCAGATGGGTACTTTTTGAATTCCGAATAAAATAGAAATGTTTAAGACGGTGTATATACGTGCCAAGTTTAATATAAATGAGGTTTTTAGTTTGATGACTTTCCAAGAAAATTGAAATGTCAACATGTTAATCGCATAAAACAAGCCTATGTTTATTGACACTATAACATTCGTCATTGGTGACGAATAGGATAAGTAACCACATTTATGTACCAGTTGAAGTCAAAGTATGTTAGTATTCAATCCAACTGCATATTTTCGCACACTATTGTTCCTTCTATCGGACTCTCTCACTAACCTGTCGAGACAGACGAAGAACTATTCCCAGGAATAGACAAACCAGCTTCGTTGCGTGTGATCATTCGAAACCAGTAAACGGTTAAAGCTTGTAAATTTTCCAATACCGCTGACCGTGTACCGTCGGTTCTGTTACGTACGGTTTGAGAAGGCTTGAGATTCCAGCCGTTTGTCCAAGGATTTTCTCTTTAAGTGAAAATAATCAAAAATATCATTGTTGTCAGCAGTGCATAGAGCGAAACAGAGAATAAAACGAGTGGATGGGGTAATAGTGTGATCAATAACGTATAGATAGGTACTATAGAAAACAATGGAACAGTAAAGTAGGGCACTCAAAAGTTGATTAATGAGAAGTAATAATGATAAAATGCAAATATGCAAGACGCCAAAAATACAATAAAGAACATGTAAGTGCAACAATAAGTTTTTGGGAACAACAACATTCCAAAATACAAATATGTGCAAAAAGAGTGCAAAATCATTCCTGTTATAACACAATAAATCCTCCATCATACCAGACGAAATTCGATACTCCACAATATATTGAGTGATAGGTGTGTTTCCATCAAACTGATCGCGCCAAATTAGTATTACGTCATTATTTCGTGCTGTTGCACCGACGATAGTAGGGGGGTCTGGTTTCGCTGAAAAATGGAAAATCAATAATTTGGTGCGAGTTAAGTCTAGAGCAAGAATACTTTTCAGTGAATTAAGCATGTTCTACATTGCAATAGCTTTTGTTTACCACGAAAAGAAGGGAAAGTGTACACGTTTTTCTTGAGAAGTGAAGTTGAAAGGCTAGTGACAACAAATATTTCTCCAACAAATTTCCAAGAAGGAATTTGCAGGTAAAAGCAGTCGCAAAAACATTTTGGTGTTCAGTAACGAAATCGTCATCGTTTACTTACTTTTAACGGATTTAGTTTTAACTTCAAGAACTTTGGGAATGCCTTCGCCACGCGATGTCCTTGCGACAAGCCTAAATCTATAATTCGTGTTTGGCGTCAATGCCATGACTTGATGAGTATGTTCGTTACTTTTCTTTGTTATCGTCTGTCTCCGAATCGATCCAGTAAAACAGTGAGAATGTAATCTGTAATTATCCCATTTGGCTCACACGGAGCTTCCCAGTAAAGATGAACTTGAGTGACGTATACACCATCAAAACAAAGTTGCAGGCGCACCTGGCACTAGTAAAATAGAAAAAAGGTTCAGAACAGGCGTGTGTCCATTCATTCCGTGAGTATTAGTGAAAAGGACGGGGAAAGGTTAATGATGGCGAAAGAAGGGGAAGAAAGAAGGAAGTAAATGGGAAATGAAGGAAATGGTAGTGAAAGCAGGAATGTGAGTGGTGGAAGAATAATGGAATGGGAGTAGTCGTGGAATGGAATTATGAGTGAGTGGAAGGAGTGATAAATGGAGGAAGGAGAGCGTAGGTGAAGGAGAGAAGGATTATGAGTGAATGAACAAAGGAGGAATTATGTGGAGTGAGTGGAAAGAAATTGAGTGAAAGTGGAAGGAGGAGTGGGCAGTGGGATTATGAGTGGAAGGAAGGAGTGTAGTGGTGAAAGAAAAAATTAAAAAGGTGGCGTAATTGTAGAGGGCCAGGGGCCAGGACATGACAAAGATATCTCAAACAGACGTCCGACTTGTTTCAGTCGTTTAAGTCAGTCGTCCATAGAGTGCAATAAACTAGAACAGACACAGATTGGTGAAATGGTAGAACAAAATTATCATTTTGTTGATAAATGATCTAATATTTTGGTTATCATTGCAAAGAAATAGTTATCTTTGCATCAGGCAAAGTAGATGAAGGTAATGTCGATAAAATGTCGAAAAAAGGTAAAGTGGTAAAATGGAAGTAACTTCAGGGAAAGTCAAATAGTGGAGTAGGGAGGTGAATGATGGAGTGGAGGAACTGGAAGTAGGAAGGAATGAAGTAAAGGAGGAATGTGGAGTGGATCGAAAGAATCATAAAGTGAAACAAATGAAGAATGGGGCAGGAAGAATCAGTCGATAAAGAATAAATGCTGATGACAAAGAATGAATGTCAAGGAAAAGAATAAATGGAAAAAGAATGAGGAAAGAAGAATATGAGTGGTGGGAAAGAATGTATGGTGTGGAAATGATGAATGGAAGAAATGTGATGGTGGGTGGAGGAATGTGATGGGGAGGGATGATGATGGTGGGTGAGGGAGGAAGAATGGTGGTGGGTAAGGAGGAATGTGAGTGGTGGGTAAGGAGGAATGTGAGTGATGGGGAAGGAGGAGTGTGAATGGAAAATGAAGAATATTTTGAAGAATCAAGAAGCACCAAAAATTACAATTTCTTCCCAAAAATTATTTCCAGTCACCCGGGAAGGACGGTTTTTTTGTTTAAAGCATTTACACAATCACGTCAAATAAATCTTACATCCTTCAGCAGTTGTGACACGTATACTATTGCTACGTTCACTATCCCCAGCGCTGTTAAAAGATTTCAGCACAACGACGTAAGACGTGTACATGCGCAGACCGCCGATCCTGCCGTTAGTCGACGTATTACTAAAATATGCGACACCAGGTTGTGGACTTTCGCATTGCACGCTCACGGCCCTGCGACGTCGAGAGGGAAGGTTGAAGTCCGCCTAGGTGAAAAAATTTTTAAGATATTGTAAGCTAGACAACTAACATAGAAAGGGAAAATAGAAATGAAGAATAAGCTTCTGTAAATTCTGGGCAAACTGAAGTAGAAATTCAGAGATAGTGAGAAAATGTTATCTTTGCAGTTCTTGCAAGTCATTTCTTCGTCTTTTACACTTAACTGAAGTGACTGATGCAAACAATTTAATTCATATTTGTTGAGTGAAAATTTCCATGAAAATATCACGGTGTTTTTCAGAAAATATTTTCGCTGATCTTGTGGTTCCAGAAAATAAGATATTTTATGCTGCCTGGAGAAGGAACTGAGTCAGGACTTTTATTCAGAATGATTAGTCCTACCTTGTATCCGAGTAAGGGAGTACTGGTTGATGTAGGAGGATCCCAGGATATGGTAATGGATGTTGGACCAGCATTAGGACTGCTATGAAGGACAGGTCGTGGAGGTACTACATAAAATCATAAGCAATATTATTTTAGCAATAGAAAAACGCAAGTCTGATCAGAAATCATAAAACAGTTGGTGAGCAATATTGAAATAAGTAATTCAATTTGTTCAAATTAACTAATTGTTTTACAAACTCTAACTATAGGCAATGATCCACACGTCCTAATTAAGGATTAATACCTTAGCCCTCACTTTCAAGTGTATTGTAAACACATACATCTAAAAAGAGATTGTCAAGAAGTACAAGAAGTACAATACGGTCTTGACAATTTTCTAAAGGCTAATTGTTAAAGTTAAAGTTAAAATCCGATTTACACGATACCGGTAGAGTTAGAAAACGGTGCTAAACTCCTACAGTGTGGGATCTTATTTAAACCGTCACAAAACTTAACTGGTGGGAACGGCTATTAAAATAAACGCAGGGAGTCTTCGGAGACGTTAAATGAACGGATATTACGTTTGTATTATAACGACGTTGACTATATTATAGTCTTCGCCATATCATGAAATTTTTCAAGTCCCATCATAAAAAAGTTTTCTCCAACATTATTTGCAAAAAGCCAACAAGGTTGGTGATATAAAATGGCGCGAATATTTCTTTCAAAATTCTCTATCGTTATCAAATGGAACTATAGTTCATTTAAAGAAAGTGAGAAAAAAGAAACAAAAGCGCGTTTACTGTATATACATGAAAACAAAATAAAGAATACAAGGAATAGACACTCGCGTCGGTGCCTTTACATTATGTTAGTCTGTTGGTTGAAAATGGGACAAATCCCGATGAACTGGCTAGAATAATGGCAGACGCGAGGCCCTTCTTTACAATCATGATTCAGTGAACACGTACACCAGAGTAGGGGAATGCTAGTGCATCCACTTACACCGAGCAGAAGTTCTTCTTGTTTCGATATAACTTGGTAGAGGATTATTATTTGAGTCGACGGCATGTAACTGTAGATCGTACAACGTGTACACTCTAAGTGACGCAAGCCGATACTCTCTGGATGCCGATGGGATGTTGAAGTTAATATAGTTTACGTATCTGAAGATATTTTCCTGGTGTAAACGATAGCGCAGGACGTACTTTACCACAGTCGCTTCAACGTCAACTGACAATGGAGGCTGAAAAAAACCCATGGAATATAAACACCAAAACGTTAATGTTGATTTTTGTGCAAGGTTGGTTCAATCTCCATTGCGATTGGTTACATTAACACAAATAATTCTCAATGTCTTGCAAACCATGTACAACGACATTGAAAATTTCTGTGACGTATTTCTTAATGTGACAACTAAAAACCCAAAATAGATTAAGGCGAAAGAATCTTTCTCGAGATTTGCAAGGGTTTCACAGACTGATTTGACGTGAGTTATTGAGAATAAGATCATGAAAACACCACACTTTCAACTAGGAGACTTTACAACGTGTGTTTACGAGGAAAAGACAAAGCACGGAAAACTTGATGCATTTCGTACACAATAGCTCGAAAGCGTCTGCATTTATAGTTGTATGATTAAACAATTATTGAATGCGACTTTTGCATGATATCAAGAATCATTCAGACCACCGTCAGTGCGAACAATTAAAGATATCATGCTCATCCTCAAAACTATTACTCATTGATTTATTCTCATTTTTAATTGAGAAGATGTCGACTTTAAACATAAATACCAAGTAAATGTCATCAGTTACCTTCCAGGAAACCAAAAACGAGTTCGGCGTTGGCGACGTAATGCGAACGTCACGAGGACTTCCGGGAAGAGCTGGAAAAGTTTTAAGGAAAGTTATGAAAGTTTGACAATATGCATGGAACAGAGTAGAATGAATCGATAAATTGATCAATGAATCCATCAATCGATCAATAGATTTTGAATCGATCAGTTAATAAATAGATAATTGAACCAATCAATAATTAGATCAATGAACCACCCAAGGAACCTTTACAATTTGATATGAGCGAGTATCTTATTTGTAAAGTTAAGGCAGCTGTAAGTATTTTAGTTTATGTGATGTAAACGTTTCTTTTTTTCAGTATTTTGGTTCAAATGAAGTGTAAAGACAAATGTTAGTAAGGGAAAAAATAGAGCGGTGAACCAGCCCAACATTTTAATCCTGCGATGCAATTTTGTCGCAAAATTATTAATTATATATTTAATTCCATTTATTGTTTTTCCAATGTTTAAACACAGAAATATCGTAGTATGCATTGTAGGAGTACAAAACGAGCTGGCTTTGCCACTGATAAATAATGCTTTCCATTATCATTAAAAAGCAACATCATCTATCAACGAACAATGGCATGTGAATTAATTTGGCATCACTTACATTTACTCAATGTCCTCACAAAAGGCGATGGAAGACTAGGGAGACTGTCCCCAGCGTCGTTGGTCGCCGTGATTTCAAAGCTGAAAAGTTGACTAGATTCTAGTCCCCAGACAACCGTTTGCTTTGAGTCACCAGAGAGGGGTTTCGGATATCTTTCCCATGCTCCTTCTCCTTTGCGGTATTGCAGGGTGAAATATCTTATTGGCTGGTCGCGACGTTTACCAACAGCCCATCTAACCAGAATCGAGCGCCATGTGATATGGGAATCTTTGATTGGTAAAATGAGGGGTCTAGACGGCTTTTCTGAAATTAAACAATGTCAAAATTTTAAATTCAAAGGATGGATATTTTCAATTCATCAATGTGAAATCCAGGAAACAGAAAATATTTATCCTACCGTCAATGTTTCCACCTTGAGTTGTGAATATTTGTCCCACAGCTTTTTCTCCCCAACCTCCACCGACAGTGAATGCAGCAACTTCGAAGATATAGTATCTTTCACGGGAGAGATCAATCACCGTGTCAGTGTATTTTGTTCCAACGAGCGAAGGCCTAACGATAGGTGGGGATGCATCGTCACACAATCGATATGAGACTCGATACTTTGTTATATTGCCTCCTGTCATTTCCGGTGGTCCCCAATTCACAACAACAACAGAGGGAGTTATGGTCGGGAAGCGCAACTGGCTGGGAGGTCCAGGTTCTAGGATGAAAATCATTTTATGATCGATCAACATGTAGTCTCTTAAGGAAATGTTTTCCTTTGACGTTTTCTCAATAATTCATTTGTCAATGTTAAGAAAGAACACATGAAGAAAACTTTGTTTAGAAAATATTCGCTATTTCCGTTGTTCCCACAAATTTTCCTCTCCCCAACGTGGAAACTGAAATTGTTTTTTTCGATTGCTTCCATAATTTCTATCAAATTCAAGACAATTTGATATTATGCTGAAAGGTGAATTTCTCAATGTTTTCCAGTTTTTGTAAAACAACCAAAAACTACACGGAAACAACCGAAAACGTGACGGAAACGACCGACATCGTCAAGAAAAATAAACTATCCATGGATAGAAAACCAAAACATGTACGGAAAACAACCAAAAACTGAACGGAAAGCAACCTAAAAAAGAACGACAAAGCCAGGAAGGTAAAGTAGTCACTAGAGTAGAATAACTTTTTTAATGAACCAAAAAACACTTACACCGCTTCCTACAAATGCCTAAACTAAGGTGTGCACTTACTGCTTTCCAACGTCATAGGATAAGGTTTAAGCCTGTCACTCATCTTGCCATCTCCAATTCGGGTATAAGCAAGAATTCTTATATCATACTTGGAGTAGCCCAGCAGTTTCTCCAGTGTGTACTGTTTCACATTGTTCACGTTGATTTCCTTGAATTCTTGAGGCGCGTACTTCACTAGACGGTAAAATATCTGCAAGAAAACCATAAAAGAAAATACTTGCATGAAAACAGCACAATGTGAAAAATTCTCTTAATTATTCTTAAAGGTACCTTATATCCAAGTATAACACCATTTCTTCTCTTTTCATCTACGTCATCCCAGGTTAATGAGATACTCGATCCGGATTGGGCAATGGCCCGAATCTTTGAGGGCGGGAGGTCAGGTACTTATATAATAAAACAAAAAAGAAGATATCTCATAAGATTATTCAGAAAATTTGAAATCTATAAGCTAACATTCATCTGCAATTGGCAAACAACCGACACCATTTGTTAAAATGTTAGTATCGCTAATAATGGCGTTTAAGATGATATCCAGAGACGAAATAAATCATCAAGGAAATAGGAAAAAAGCTAAAGAAAACAAACCAAAATGATTTTGTTATGTACAATAGAAGAATATATAAGTGTATAAATGAAAAGATGCTGAATTTAAAGATGCCAAATAAGAAGCTTTAAGAAAAACCAAAAAGAATACATACGACCGTATCGCATCGTATACAGCTTTATTTGTTTGCTCAGGATCCAATGGCAATTTACGGAAACTGACCTCAACATTTTTCAATGAGCCCTGCTCAATCATATCTGGGGTGGGACTCCGCGATAAAATTGGGAGCCCGCGATAAATTTCTCGTGCCCCCTACTCCGCTCTTATCCAAACTCCACCCCAATATCGACAAAGAAGCATTATTTACCATGTTCCTGTGTTTGACCGATGACAACAGGAGTTCTAGGACTTTCACCGCGCTCGTTGACGGTCTTCATCGTTATTTCGTACATGGTAAATTTACTTAAGGAAAACAGTCTTCTTTGTCGTGCATTTCCACGAATTCCGCTCTGTACAAACTTTGTAAAATTATTTCGTTCACCCTGCTCTTGAAGTTCGATCGTATACTTGATAAAGGGGCTGTTCCAAGTCTCTCGTGGGGGAGGCTAAAAAAAACATGGAGTTTTTGCTTACACAATAAATCCTATAAGGTGAGATATTACATCAATGATTCAGGTGATTGAAACAGGGGTCAGTTAGTAAAATTGACAGCACACACTGTGTATTGTCGGGTTTAAAGAGTTTTCAACTGTTCTACTGAATGTGTTTAGCTTTTCAAGTTGTAAATGTTTACAATCTCACAGGCAATGCAGACATGTTCGGTATACGTTTAAAAAATTTTCTTAAAGGGTGCCAAAAGCTCGCGGTGTACTTTGCAAAGAAAGAAATTTGAAGTACTCCACAACAGCCAGCTAGTTTCAGTCCTGCTATATAAATTTCAGATCAACATCAATATCCATTCCAAAGGAAATCTTATGTTTTCACAGTGAGCAAACACATTAAATTCACATAGCAGAACTGGTTAAAAAAAATCGTTTCAATGTCAATATGTAAAGCATCGTAAAGAAAAACTGGAGTCCAGTTAAAAGTCGCAAACTCACCGTCCACGTTAATGTCAACTCCCCAGGATAGCGTGGGGGGTTAACTCTTAGGTTCAATGGTGGTGACTCGGGTGCTGCTTGCTGTGTCGTGATTTCCCCCGATATTGCACTGAAGTCACTAGCAGCAACCTTATTCCAGGCGTTTACTCGGAAACGATATGTCGTGAATGGCCGTAAGCTCTCGATGATCACCGGTGGGAGATTGTGATATTTGTATGGATTAATGACAACGAGCGCGTCAAACCACAAGGAGTCGCGATTGTTTTTAAAGCCGGTTTCATTGTTCCCTTGAACGAGGTACTTCGTGATAGGCGAATTTCCTTTGAATCCCTCGCGCCATGTTAGCTTAAGTGTCGTAGCGTTGGTTTCAAGGGAACGAAGATTGCTTGGAGGCCCAGGTTGAACTGCAAAAAAAACAAAATGAAAATTAATGAAACACAACATTCAGTTCCTTTATTTAAATGAATGTCACCCTGTTTATGGAGAGCACGCCAAGCATATGTCCGTATAACAAAGCTCACTCACACTCACGCACATTGAGTGCGCAAAAAAAATCACACTCTATTTAATGATTGGCAAAGTCATTTCTCCATCTAAGGCAGGATTTTCTCCGAGATATTTCAAATCAAGCAATTAGTTGAGTGAAATTGCGGTCTTCGAATAATTATGAAGTGATTTCAAAGCTCTACTCATTTTTGTTTCTATCTAATTCACTTATAAAAACACGGCGCGCAGTGAGCCTGTGAATTGTTATTTTAAGATGGAACTCAAATTTCACTGCTATTGTGCAAGCCACAGCTAAAGTATAGCACGTAAAAAAGCGGTGGCAAATTCTTTAATGAACACAATTATTTAAATATTAATAATAACAAACTAAAATAAATGAAAATAAATGATCAAAAATATTAATTAATTTAAAAAAATTTCAGCATACTTAAACATTTTTAAAGGCAACAAATAATCGATTGTGTATGTTAATTAACAAACCTGCCACATCTTGAGTACGTCCTTGAATTTTTGCCGACTTGCTGACGCCAGCATTTGTCTTTGCTGCAACCTCAATTATATAACTCGATCTAGAGTCTAAATTTGTGATGCCAGCCTGAAGGGCATTACCCGCAACCTCATCAGTCATTGGGTTACCGATCCGACTACCGTTTTGATCAACTTTCCAATACTTAACCGTGTAGCCAATAAGAACGCCGTTCACTTCACGTGGTCGTAACCAGTTTACGCTAATTGTATCGGAGAATTGATCGACGATCTGCAACCGTTGCGGAGCACTGGGAACTAAAATGAAACGAGCCGCATTTTGTAGATGTATGTTGACAAGGCTAATTATTAAATCTGGACCACAGCGTATAAGACGTAACATAACGAATGCATTGAAAAGTTGAAGAATCCAAGGATAGTCATTGGGCTGAATATGAAACTGATTGTTCTTTGAATAAACATGTTATACATGCATAAAGCTCAAATTTACACTTGTTATGACGTAACACAATTTTACACTTGAATGGAGGTATAATCTCTAATATTAACTTAATGGTGTTATGACCTTTAGCCAAGTGTAGAAAGATAACCCCGGTTGATATAGCAGCTTCAAATTTTGGCTATAGGTGGCTTGTTAACTGTAGTCAATGAGGATAGCGTGTTTTTACACCTGACGTCACAGTGACGTCGATAGAAACGCACTAGAGAGCTGAAGTGTAGCAAAATCGCGGCAAATTGTTTCGGCCACAGTTAAACTATACTTGATAAATGAATGTGGGACACTCTATAAAGTACCTTACTATCCCATGTACTCCAAATGCAACAAGTAAGAAGAAAAACACGTGAGACAATCAATAAAGTACCTTACTATTCCATGCATTTTTAATGCAGCAAGCAAAAAGAACTAAGAGAATCACCTACCATCTTCTGTTGTCCTAACTTGTACTTCATTCGAGTATGAGCTGCCCCCAACACTATTCTTCGCACTTACGGAGAAGATGTATTGAGTGTAAGTCTTTAGATTTGTCACATTATGTACTTGGGTGAACGTTGAGGGATCGCGAGATGCAAATAGCCGTTGTTCAATTTCAGTATTAAACTCACGCACGAGAACAGTATACCCAGAGAGTTGTCCGTTCCAGTCTTGTTGAGGTGGGTCGTCCCATTGCAGTAGTACAGAACGAGACGAGACGTTTACTACGAAAAGATTTCGGGGAGGGCTGCTGGGAACTGAAAAAGAATGAATTTTAGTTTCAAGAAACAATGACAATTTCCATAAGTTTGTATCGTGTGTGGATAATTTTCCAAGCTTATCGGGAATTTTTCCAGACTTATTGATGTGTCATGACAACCTTGACTAACTTTAGTCAAAATACTCCGCCATTGAGTTAGTCCACTGAACTAACTCTTAGTTAGAACACAACAGATCTGCTCATATCAAAATACTAATCTTCGTTTTCATTAACTGGATATACATAAAAAATAAATTTGGAGAAATGCTACGCGATAATAATGTCCAAATAAAGAATCTCATCCGATAGTAATATAAATCAAATGTGAAAAAAAGCACTAACTCTTGGTGAAAGATTTGACAATTTTTCGGAATCCTTAATAAAAGTTTATTAAAGTCGTACGCAGGGTGAAACTACAACGGAAAGTGGGGCCGGGGGGTGGTTGTTAAATATTCATAGATTCATCTCTGCCCGGCTGGTTTCCTTTTTATAAAGGTTTGTATTGTATCGTTTCATCGTTTAACATATTTCTTTCTTTGTGTTGTCTCCCTTGTTTATTTTAAGAATAGTTCTCAGGCCCCTTTGTCTATCCAGATAACTTACAAAGATCAATGACCAACTTACCTTCTTCTTTAGTTCGAAGCACAACTGGATCACTGAATGGGCCACCACCAGCGTCGTTAAACATCTGAACTTTAACTTCATACCGTGAGTTAGAAAACAGATTTTGAATCAAGTATTTCCTCTTGCTTGCAGGCGTTACTCTATGTGTGGTGAATGTACCAGACTTGACGCCAGCGTGCTTCCATGATACGTAATACCCACGTAGCACACCATTGTGGGTATAGGCAGGTGGCGCCTACATAATGCATTAAGTAATGAAGTAAGCAACTGATACATTGAAAAGAAAAAAAATGTTGAGTTCTTATGTACCATCCTCACTATGACATAAGTATAACGAGATCAAATACATTGATTTCTTATGTGCCATCCTCACTATGACGTAAGTATAAGGAGATCAAGTACATTGATTTCTTATGTACCATCCTCACTAATATATAAGTATAAAGAGATCAAGTACATCGATTTCTTATGTACCATCCTCACTATGACATACGTATATAGAGATCAAGTACATCGATTTCTTATGTACCATCCTCACTATGATATAAGTATAAAGAGATCAAGTACATCGATTTCTTATGTATCATCGTCACTATGATATAAGTATAAAGAGATCAAGTACATTGATTTCTTATGTACCATCCTCACTATGACATAAGTATAAAGAGATCAAGTACATTGATTTCTTATGTACCATCCTCACTATGACATAAGTATAAAGAGATCAAGTACATCGATTTCTTATGTACCATCCTCACTATGACATAAGTATAAAGAGATCAAGTACATCGATTTCTTATGTACCATCCTCACTATGACATAAGTATAAAGAGATCAAGTACATCGATTTCTTATGTACCATCCTCACTATTACATAAGTATAAAGAGATCAAGTACATCGATTTCTTATGTACCATCCTCACAATAACATAAGTATAAAGAGATCAAGTACATCGATTTCTTATGTACCATCCTCACAATGACATAAGTATAAAGAGATCAAGTACATCGATTTCTTATGTACCATCCTCACAATGACATAAGTATAAAGAGATCAAGTACATCGATTTCTTAGGTACCATCCTCAAAATGACATAAGTATAAAGAGATCAAGTACATTGATTTCTTATGTATCATCCTCACTATGACATAAGTATAAAGAGATCAAGTACATTGATTTCTTATGTACCATCCTCACAATGACATAAGTATAAAGAGATCAAGTACATTGATTTCTTATGTACCATCCTCACTATGACATAAGTATAAAGAGATCAAGTACATTGATTTCTTATGTACTATCTCACTTTGGCATAAGCATGAAAAAATGCAATTACATCGTATATGTAACCTCAGCTATCGCTCACCTCCCAGGTAACCTCAATGCTAGTTTTCGTTCTTGAAAGTCCTCTAACTTGTTGAAGCTTATAAGACGGAGCTAGAAAAGTGGAGACAGGTGATATTATACAAATTGCATTACACTTTTTCGTAAAATCGTGATTGCCGTCATGGTATAAATTATACAATACACAAGGCAATTTTTGACAGTCTTCTCTATAGGCAAGAAATGTCTTACTAAGGAAGAGTTCCAATGGAAATTAGACTCTTCCCCTGAAAGTGACCTTCGGCCAATATGGGCTTATTTTGTGAACGATCTAATTGTAGTTAAGATCTCACTCAGAGACAAATCTTATGATAATTGGAGTGAGTGAAATAACAACAATCTGTCTTCCTGATGTGATCGAATACAATTCCTGTATACTTAAGCATAATTCCTACATATGGCTAATGAGATGAATAAATCTAGGGATGCGATCTCATGTTCAGTGGCCTACCTGCTTCATGAGTTTTAATTTGTTTTGAGTAAAAGCTCCAAGGACTATTTCCGACTGAGTTGACAGCTCTAATACGAAACTGATAGTACGTGTTGGGAGCAAGGCCTGGAACTTGGTATCTCTTGATTATTCCAGACACTATCACATCATTCCTCAAGGTTCTCTCTGTCCCATTTACCGGCACTTTAATGCCAATTTTAAAATGACGTATTGCACTGTTGCCATCGTCACCGGCACTCCATTGTAGGACGACTGAATCAGGGCGTATGTCGGACACTTTCGGAGCAGTTGTTGCAAAAGGAGGAGCTGAAAGGAAAAACTCGCGTGATATGGAAGCACAAAACGTCACCACTTAATTACTCATTTGTCTAGGCATTGAGAAAATGGGCACTTATCTAAAGATGGATCATAAGATTTTCCACTGAAGGTAGGCTACAAAATAGAAGGATGCATCCATGCAATTTTAACATTAAAATATTTGACAAAACTTTAAAGCATTTAGAATCTTTGATGTTGCATCACATGGTGTAGATATTGAGAATTATCAAGCATTGTATACAATAACTTTATTTGGTAACAACGTTCAGATCTACTGGACAAACATATCATAGCAGGAAACCAAAACGTACCTTGAACTTTCAGTTCGATAGTGGTCGAGTAATCGCCGACAGACGATGATGAATCGCAACGATAGACACCATTATCCCTTTGGAACACACCACGTATAGTGAGCCGACCTTCGCTATCAATGCTGCGTCTTGAGTCATCTCTAAGTATCTGTTGACCTCTAAAATACCAATGATACGTGACGTTGACTTTCTTATCATAACGAACACCACAGTAGAGATATGGATGGTTGCCTAAGGACGCAAACACCGTGACGGACTTATTTACGACAACGGTCGGAGCTGGAGAGAGAAAGAAATGTGGTCACATATCTGTTTCCTTTTTCATGAGATGCATGTGTGCGTGCATGTGATATCTTACCCTACGTTTCCTGTAGGTTTGCAAACGGCGCAAAATGTAATGGAACTGGATTGCGTTTATACTGCACCGGAGAGGAATTGTTTGAAAACTTCACTTTTTATGGAGCGATACGACCACACTTTCTAAACGTGGTCGAACAAAAACGGAGCGCTACGCAGTGTTGTGTAAACAACCAGCAGTTAATATTTTGCTGTTTTTTAGATACCAGTTCTCTTCAATTCGTCACGCGTTGTGGTGCATAATTGAAAATGGTGAACATTGTATGTTTTGGAAAGCTTTCAATGACAAATTCCGTTGTAATTTTACAAATCAACGTCTTTTATGACTTATGACTACAGTTATAAAAATCTAGCAATGTGAAGACGAAAAATGACGTCATTTTATCACAAAAAACTAACGAATTTTGACACTTGATGGCAAGAGACATTATGTGAAAACATGGCAAAACTGTAGAGGAATTCAACGGGTAAACGCATGCAGTCAAATTTTACGGTCACTTCTTCGCTTCGAAGTAGGGTAAACGTAGTCGTAGCTCATGTGCTGGCGTGAATACATTTGAACCAGAACACACACAACTTTTTCCTTGGATAGTTTAAAAAATCTTTAAAGTGACACAGGTTTCACATGCTTCTTAATGCTTGTAATCTTCCTAAAGTTTCGTAATCTTGACTATTCTTATGAATTAGTTCTGGTTGTTTTCATCTGCAAGATATTAAACTGAAAAATTCTTGTTTTTCCTAATACTTTCCTGTTGTTAAAGAAAATCTCAGATTTCCAATGAAACAAGATAAAAGTAATTAAAGAGCATGACTTAATTGGATTGAAATCTCTCATTAGCTTCGTGTTTAGCTTTAGCTTTACGGTGATAGAAGTTTTAAGTTTACTTTTGGTGAGCATTTTATCTACTTTTGTACTTCTTTCTGGTAATTTTGCTAGTTAAATATGTTTGCAACGATCAGAACTTTTGAAATGACAATGCACTTTCTAAAACAGTAAATGCACATCTGTTTTTATTCTCGTGATATTGCGTTTTTGTTATTTCAATTAATCTAACTTGTGACGTCATATTTCATAATGAGCTCCCACAATGTTTCAAATACTCTTCAGTTTCGTGACAACTTTAGGTTGATACCTGTAGGCAACATTTTTTACCATTAACAACATCACAATGAAGGGAACTCTGTCTTTGTGAAGTAAAGTATAGGTAAATATACCGAATAATTTTAGTTCTCATTATGCAATGTGACGTCATAAGTTAAATAAATTGGACAAAGCAAGAACCTCAACATCTAAAGAATGAAAAGTGATATGCATGAACTTGTTTAGAATGTCCACTGTCATTTTAAAATATTTCTTCAATAAAAGTATTACTCAGATAGCAAAAATTTTGTTTCATAGGCCCTTTAAGACAATCCATGAATATAATTAAGTTAACATTTTATCAATGGTAGGGTAATTCTATAATTCGAATCCGAAAATTCAATACACTCACCAACTAGTTCCAATCTTCCAAAAGATTTGTGAGCGTCCACTGGGTTCGGGCCATTCGAAGCCACGCAGGCGTAATGCCCAGCGTCACTTGCTCGCACTGTTTGGATTATGTACGTTCCATTCTTACCATTATTACGAGGGTTGACAGACGGAAGTTCGTTACCGTTTTTCTCCCATTTATACGTTATTGGTGGAGAGCCCCTGGCTCTGCATTCTATCTTGGCAGTACGGCCAAGTACGGCATACACGACCCCCGGTCCATAGTAAATATAAGGCGCCGAGCCTACGAAATTAAAAGTATGGGAAAAGCATGAGAAATTCCACTTAATTATAATGTAATAATAAATGAAATGAGGTGAAAAGGAACTTAAACATACACATTACTGATAGAAAAACTACGGAGGCAAATGACCGTTGTATTTTTTCCGCCAAACAGCAATGGGTGCAAAACATTGAAAAGAATATAATAACTGTTACTTCATGTCAAAATTTGAAACCAAACATTCAACTAGTCCCAATCTTTCCAGACGCGGCCCAAAGAAAGTTCAATTACGACGTTTAGCTAAAAAGCACTTTACCCTAAACACGCCTGTGTGGGGATAAAATCTGGTTTCATCTATGTAAAGGTTTGATGGTTTTGAGGCTCATCTTTGGTGCAGATGTTACTAGCTCATAAAGGATCTTCGTTTGACAACAAATAATATTGATGATGTTCAATTTTTTAAGAAAGCAAGATTTATAAGCTTTCATCTCCATCAGAGCACTGACGGTATCATCAGCTTGTACATCTCCTTTGCTCGAGTCGTCGAAGAAATATGTAGCCAAACGGCCCAGATTGTTGAATTTATTACGTTTACAATTTAAACCGTTTACAATTAATCATGGCTTTTCATCACACAACTCGAGAGTACAGTGAAATCGATTAAGCGGAAAAGTATAAATAAAAACAACTATCGAAGAGAATTTTTCTAAATACTTTTTAAGTTTGTAAAGTCATCCGTCAACGCAAAGTGTACAACTTCTCTTATAGTCCAGGCGGTGAGTGAGGTAGGTATCACCTGAGTGGGTAATTTACGGGAGTACGACTATCTAGACCAGTTTTCGGCGTAGAACACGAATCCGCATGTTATTCAGTCCGACAAAGCTGCTTTTAAGAGTTATTTCCAGATATTGCGCAATTCAGCCTCATTTTCATGCAAAATCAAACGTTTTTACGATTTTATTATTATTATTAAAAAAAAACACGTCTACTGGAACAATTTTGAAACTGGAAAGACGTTTTTATTCAAAAAAATTATCCAAAACCCCTTGTCAATCAAGCAGGGGTAAACAAGGTCCAAAATAACCCGCGAAAGTGTTTACGTCGTTCTCAAATTACGAAATCGGAGAATAACGTCAAGGCCATTATAAATGTGTTAAAGAATGACTTTATCGATCCTTTCAGCACTGACTTGGACCACGATAAGTTGTACTACCTTGCCTCCGGTAGCTATTTACCTGATGAAGTAGCAGAGTGCCTCTTGTCTGTTAAAGAGCGTGGAACATTGTCGAGAGACACATTCTTTGAGCGACTAAACTCAGAAAGTGCCAACTAAACCCTTTATTTCAGTCCCATAAAACGAGTGGAATGGAAGAGTTTTACAGACGTAAGTAAGAAGCTAAAAGTTTCGACGAAAGGTAAATCTAAGGAAATAACTGTTCAACGGGACATTCTTGGTATTCTTGCTGCCAAGTCACAACAACAGAATGCTGCGATCAACATCGACAAAGCTCTGTGTTACCCCCTTGCACCAGTCCCACTATCCATGGCAACATGCGATGGCATAAGGAGAAAGACCGCTAAAAGCATGTTGTTCGATGCAGCGTTACGATCATTGATTGAAAACGACGCGCAATTTCCCGACGATCAATACGCTCATAGAATCTATATTCTAGATATCGCAGCTATTATTTGAAGTATGGTGAAGGCACCGAACACGTTTAAAGATGTTGCTTTACGACTGTTGTCAGATCTTCCAATGCGGTATAACATCGTATACGTTGCATGTGATACGTACAGGGATCGTTCGATAAAGAACAGTGAACGAAACCTTCGAGTTGATGGCGACAAGTTTGTTATTAGAAGTGCGAATGTGCGCGTACCAGCTGATTTCAAGAAGCTCCTTGGTAACGGAGACAACAAGGAGCGACTTTTTGAGCTGGTCGAAGGAGCGACTTTTTTGAGCTGTTGTAAATTGTCATGTTATGTTATGTAGTGTGTGACTGTGTCATATTTTTGATACTAAGATATAACGGATATTATGTTGATGTAAAATAATATAGTCATGGTGAGAGAACACTTCCTCACCGCAATGCGTCATTGCGGTAGGATGTAGGTATAAACGGAATGGCGTAATTGCAAGTCATGCAAACGCCCAAAAACCACTTCCGAATAATTACACATAAATATAGCTTGCAAGCGTTGGTTCGGGGTCCGGAGAAGTTGTAGTTATTGGTGTATGAACTGGTCATACAAATTTGATGAATTAGAGTTGTATTGCAGAAGGCAATAAATTTCGAAAACGCAGTTGTAGGATTGACGGTTGTCCGTAATCTTAAAGAGATCAAATTTAATCATTCCGTATCGCGAAGAACCAACACTTGGAACGTAAAATCGTGCACAACACTGTAAATATTTTATTGAAGTGTCAAAATTATATAATCAAAATACAGTCCCATCGTTAGTGTGAAGTTTAGAACAGTGAACCAGCACTTCGCGCAGACTGTGCGAAAACATTCTTGGTATTCTTGCTGCCAAGTCACAACAACAGAATGCTGCGATCAACATCGACACAGCTCTGTGTTACCCCCTTGCACCAGTCCCAGTATCCATCGCAAAATGCGATGGCATTGTTAGGACAAAAGACCGTTTTTAGCATAAATAGTTCGATGCAGCGTTACGATCATTGATTGAAAACGACGCGCAATTTCCCGACGATCAATATGCTCATAGAATCTATATTCTAGATATCGCAGCTATTATTTGAAGTATGGTGAAGGCACCGAACACGTTTAAAGATGTTGCTTTACGACTGCTGTCAGATCTTCTAATGCGGTATAACATCGTTTACGTTGCATGTGATACGTGTTTTATCGTTCGATTTTGAAGGCAGTGAACGAAACCTTCGAGTTGATGGCGACAAGTTTGTTATTAGAAGTGTGAGTACCAGTGGTGGGTGTCTTTTCAAATGTCAGTTCCGTAACTGAAATTTTTATATCTAGAAAGTGAATTATGATCTGGTCGAAGAAGTGTGGGTTCAAAATAGGAACCAACTAGGACAACGGTTGTATCTTCGCTAAGACAGCGTGTCATCAAGTAACACAAATAGTTTTATTGTGTAAGAGAATAGAACAGAAACTAAGAATTTTTACAAATTCGGCTAAAATTGATTCAGCAAGGACATCCTAATAGGAACCCATAGGAATAGCCTGTGTTGGTGTAAATGGTGTTATTAAAAGAAAAGGAGTTTTTTGCATAATTCTAGTTTTTTAATGTAGACTTTTTAAAGTGGTTGAAATTATGTGTTCATCGAAATGCGGTCTAAAATGATTTTGACTGCGCGAGACAATGGGACGTTGGTAAAACTAATCAACAAATGAAAGCAAATTGATGGCCTTCCAAACATGTTAGGAATGATTAATATTAGTCAAGGCGTCAATGAGTAGAAAGGCAAGGAATTTAGTTGAAAATATAGTGGAGCAAAAATTGCAAGTTCTAGTGACAGTTTTGTAGGTTGGGAATTTTGGTAATATCATATTTCTTGTGTGTCTTTGGTGCCATGTGCTCTAAAATTGTGCTTCAGGTTTAGGAGAGTCAAATTGTTCGTCGTAATTTCACCACGTTTGTTGAGTTTAGGAAGGTAGTCTTGAAGAAATGAAGTCTGGTTAGTGTCTGGTCGTGATTTTTCTTAAACGTAGAGCAGTTGCAACAGAAAGCATTGATCAGAGCTAATATAAGGCGGATTTATAGTCAAGCACAGAATCAATTATCGGCTTGTGAGAATATTTCAGTTCCATGTTGGTTAAATCAGAAGCATATCCTGACGAAGTAACTTAGCCTCTTCAACGTGATTGTATGTAAAGAGCGAGTAAGTTTTAACCAAGAACATATCTCCAATTCAAAGAACCAGAAATGATACAGTTATAGGTACTGTAATTTGATTTTACATTATTTAAAAATATACCGTCGAGGCCGGGAGCGAAATTCAACAAATAATTTAAAATTTCTATCAAATTACAATTTGTATTGCATATCCGCCAAAATTACACTATATTCAATTATTCAGCACATTTTTATCATTATTCAGCCTTATTTCAATTATTCAGCATATATTTTAATTCAGCCTTATTTCAATTATTCAGCATATATTTTATCATATTATTTCAATTATTTATATTATCATTATTCAGCCTTATTTATTATTTATGCATATCTTTATATTTTATTCAGACTGGTTTGTTATTTGCAGCATATGTTTTACTATCCAGTGGTCTGGCGCTAGTACTTACGTTTGTTTAGGCTATAAAACTTACTTGCAATACCAATCGGTAAAGACTATTTAAATTTGTTCAACTTGCAGACAGAACAGTTATTGTTATTGTGGCTATAGCAAGATTTTGAGGTACCATTTGAAAAGATAAAAAAACGAGGGAAAAATTGGTTGAAATGATGGAAGTAGAAGGTGAAACACAAATACTGAGGGAAATGATTCGTTGGAGAATTTTAGAAGTAAAAGATCGTTTAAATCGGTGTGATGTCAATTTAGAAATGCAAGACGTATTGGAAGTTGTTGATGAATTGATACAATACGTTGTTCTACTAGATTCATTTGAAAGGGTTTCTGAACAGGTTTTAAACTATTTAATCCATGCTCGTAACACGCTATCCAGGGAAAGTATCAGAGCCACTTTTGAATATGAATCGTGCGATATTGCTAATGCCGGCAGGCCTTCACTGATTATCCGAAAAGAGCAAATTGAATATCTTCTGGATTTCAGTTTTACAGTCAATCAAATGTATCGAAGCGCACTGTAGAACGTCGTATGAGCGCATATAACTTGACAGGAGTGGACAGATTTACAGAAATTAGCGATCAACAGCTTGAAAACAATGTTAACTACGTTAAACAAATCGCGCCCGATTGCGGTTCAAAGCTGCTTTCCAGTTACCTGCGGTCAATGAATATTCGTGTGCAAAGACTTCGTGTCCAAGAATCCCTTACTCGTGTAGATTCCTTAGGTGTTCTTGCCAGGCGATGCAGGGCTGTCCATCGTAGGGTGTTTAATGTTGCTGGACCTCTTGCTTTGTGGTACCTAGATGGAAATCATAAACTTATCCGTTGGAGCTTTGTGGTTCATGGGTGTGTCGATGGATACACTCGTATCCCGGTTTTCTTACAATGTGGTAATAATAACAGAGCAGCTACTGTTCTTAGCCTGTTTAGGAAAGCTATTGACGATTGGGATCTTCCATCACGTGTATGATGCGATAAAGGAGGAGAAAGTTTTGATGTTGTGCAGTACATGCTAAATCATCCTCAACATGGCCCTGGACGAGGATAAGCGATTACTCGGAAAAGTGTGCATAACCAGAGAATAGAGCGTCTTTGCCGTGATGTGCTTGAAAGTGTTTTAAAGTCCTTTTACAATTTGTTCTATTCAATGGACGATCATGGGATTTTTAATCCTGGTGATGAAGCAGAAATCTGGTCTCTTCACTTCGTCTTTATGAAGGAAATCAACTATTGTCTGTTTCGATGGCTTGAAGCATGGATTAGGCATCCACTTCGAACAGAGCATAACAGTACTCCTTTGCAGCTTTGGATCAATGGCAAGCGTTGGAATCAAAACGCAGCTCTTCCTCATGAGAACATAGACTGGGGGACTTATGGCATAGACTGGACAGGCTTTGTTCCAGCAGAACTTGAAGTTGAAGCATCAACAGTAGAGGTGCCAGAAAATATATTCTCTACCAACGCAGAAGTGATAAATGAATTGAATACAATTTTAAGTGAAGTTAATGACACTAATGGTGATGTTATATAGCAGTATTATGTGGTAAGAGATTATGTCAAACAACTGGATTCACGGTAACCTTCAATGAATTTCTCCGATCCATGATATGTCAAAAAATTAGAAATTGAACAAAGAATTTCTACATCTTTATTTCTCATGTTGATAATGTGTTGACAATACATCTTAATTAAAAAGGAAAATAGACATGGACTGTGTGTTTATTCCAATTATAAGGTAAATGAAAGAATCTATTATTCATAAACGCATGTTTCTGAATTACCAAACAAAACAAAATTTATCATGAAAATATGTGAGCAACTAGTAATATCTAATCTACAATCCACTTTAAATGTCAATGACAACCACCATAAAATGATAATCTATTTTCTTTTTCAATAAACAATGTAAACAAAAGGCGTTTCAATGAAAAAACTACAATTGTCGAAACACCGAGCGCAACACAAAAAATATAATGGGGAAAACAATTACTCTTTGAAGAAAACTCATAATTAACTCAATATAAATCCCAATAAAACTTTAGTGCATAATATGGGTTCATTGTTGTAAAGAACTCTCGTTGTAAGTTATTTCTTGCAAAATCAAGAAAAAGAAACTGTCAAAATTGTAAAATCTGCAACTGGTACAAGATTTTGAGTTTGTTTCAATGAAGTCAAATTGCAAACAATTCTTGCCATATATTTGTTCCTAACATCTTCTTTGTTTGAGGTTGGTCGGGCTACCTTTTATTTTGTAAGATAATTACAACAAAAGGTTGTGCCACTTTGCAATCAATGTTCTCATATCCTTTATCATTGTGCAGTGTTTAGTGGCTAAGTTAAGAAGTTAAGCATATCTAAAACCTTTGGCGTTTTTATTAACCCATATGTAAAAGCTTCCTTAAAAGCAGAATAAACAGAATGAGTGGTTGGCAAATATAGAGCACAAGAACAAGTATTTGCTTTGGAAAAATTGGAGAGCAATCCGTTGGCTTCGTGATGCTGCAAAAACGCTATTTCCATTTTAATTGTACGGAAAGGAGCAGTTTTTAATCCTGAAGTGAAAAACAGAATATCAGAAAACGATAGTTCAACCTCATCCTCCTCTATGTTCAATAAAAGATCTTCCCAAAAAGCAAGAATTCTGCTTTCTACTCTCCATCTTTTCGATTCCACCTCGCTTCCAAGAACTGAAAATAGATTTCCAAGTACAACTGATGAAAGCTGTTGTTCGTGAAAACACATAACCTTGTGAAATGTGGAAGGGTTGCAAAGAATAGAGTCAAGAACACCTAAGCAATTGAGACCGTTACGGAAACTTTCAAACGCAGGCCGAGTCCTACCCAGAATATACCAATAAGCTGTCTCACGTGCAACATCTTTAACATCATCAACACTTCTCATCAATCTCAACGAACCAGATCGCTCTAAAACACTATATAATTTCTTACTTGCAATTATTTCATTTGCCTCTTGAACTGATTCAGCAGATATTAACTGCTGTAGGCCTACTTGCAATTCTAGGTCATACACAGATTCGACAGGTACAACAATTTCACTTGGCCCATTTACAAGTGAATCAAACAAGACTGGATTAAGACAACGAGGGCCAATTCCACAATGAACTATTGCCATAGCAAAAAGTTTCCTTGCATAGAAATATTCTTGTTCTTTCAGAGCCTTAGCGTCAAGAGATAAATACCTTTCTCGCTCCTTTCCACAGAAAAGTTTACCGGATGATACTTTCTCAATAGCTAAAGTAAAGAATTCTCTCATGGGTCCACCTACATCAACAGCGCCCTCTAAATGACCCACGTCGTCGGTGAACTTTACAGAAACCTTTCTATCAGGGGAGAAAGATTTTCTTGACATTCCTCGCAATATCCCAGCCCAAATATCACTTTGGCATATGTTGAATTTGGAAATATGCAGTGGATCAAGATTGCCAGCAAGCTGTTGTAAAATGTCATTTAAATCCAAAACCTTTTCTGGTTCAAGCGTATCCTTTGCAGTACTTGTGTCCGAGTCGAGTGGACTTTCTTCATTTTCGGTGACCATAATTTCATCGTCACGTTTATCATGTAAAGTAGCATCATTGACTTCTTCAAATAGCAATGTTCCATACATCATATCTATAATATTATCACGTTCTTCAATAACATGAGTTGTTTCATTACTCTTTTCTATGAAAGTTTCCGTGCTTTCGGGTGGGCATGTTTCATACAATGGTTGGGTTGTTAAATTGCTTGTTTTCGTGTACGTTGAACAGCATGTTTCTTGGTCTGTGACACGAGTCCCTGATGGTGTTTGACTGCTTCTGCCTGTAATACTAAGCGTTGCGTGGCTTGTTGGAAGTGGTGTTGTAGAATTTTTTGGATCTTTCCTAACGTGCGATATGATAGGAAGTGAAGTTAGAAAAATTTTGTAAGCTAAACTCTTTTTAATATGAAGAAGGAAAACACTTTTGAAATAAGATTTCATCCAACTAGTATAGTTTAGCAATGGAATTTTGTCATTTTTTACCGATATAACATGTGTACTTCTGAAAGCCATGATGAACAAAGAGAGTTAGGGGTTAGGGGACTGAGAGCTAGCAGTCAATTACAAACAGCAAACCCGAAATACCAAGATAAGAGAAAAGAAAAAGAATGTATAGATTATGGTGTTCACGCCATGGCAAATTACAACGAGTGATTGCCATTTGTAACGTTAATTAAATATAGAAACAGTTATTGAACAATTTCTTAAGTCATCGTAAATTTCGTAAAAATTGATTTATTATTTCTTCAATGAGAAATGCAAACAGACCGGACAAGTTGCCCCTAGCAACTATTAACTTGACAGCCAATATGGTTGACAACGAAAACGCAGACTTTATTATTTTAGATGAAACGCATGGCACGAATAAAAAGAAAGAGATTGAACAGTTTCATGATACTTATAAAAGTGTTGCTATAAATGACCAGTGTGCGTCAAGACGGTCTCCGCTTTTGCATGTTTCGTTTCCACAGCAAATAAATGAGATGCTACCATTGGATAATGGTGTTGTAGACATATGTGCTGCATCACAAGCACAGCTAAATTGTGCGAAAGATATGGCAGAAAAGATAGATGAAGAAGAAGAAATACATCTAGATTCATCTTCATTACATCCTTCATTTGAATCCATTTTATTAGACAAGAAATCTGTACTTAAGCAAGATGATGTACAAGTACGACCTCTACCCGATCCACTTGTATGCACCGCTCGAGAATATTGCGAGCACCATGTATTTCCCACTCTTCTTCCGGCTATGCAAGAAATGTTGATAGAAGCGAAGGAAAATAAAGTATTTGAGGTCTGCAAGACTCTTCTTAGTACAAATAGTTGTTATAATTACAAAGGTGTTGTTACAACTAACAGTTATCACATGATTTCTGCTGCAACAACTACTTATTACAAATTAGCTGTTGTTAGTCGTAGCTGTTTTTGCCTTAAGATTGTTGTCACAATTATTTGTTGTTACAAACAAATCAGAGTTGCCCATAACCACCCCCCACCCCACCCACCCCCAAAAGGACCAATTATTGTGATATCTTCATTTGAGAAAAAAGCTCAAAATTTTAGTTTGACTTGTTTTTTTTCATCCTTCGTAAGTCTCTAAACCACCCTAATAAACATGTTTTACAAAACTGGGCTTGACACTGACAGGGAATATCACACTTGCACACACCTCTATTTTGTGCAATATTTATGTAAGTGCATAAGTTCAAAACTTGTAGGTTGCCATTACACCACACAAACTTTTATTCATATTTTGGTGCCTTCCCTAGTTTGGTAAGATTTTATCAATGATAATATACTTGGTGCATGTTGTAGAATTTGCACAAAATTTACCTAAAAGCCTTGTTTCAGTGCATTGGATTATCTACTATGTGCAAGTCTTTTAAGTCAAAACAAACTCTCATAATTAGAAGAAATTTACAATTATGCTCATCAGACAACAATAAGTGAAGTGCTTAATCAATTTTAATTCAATTTCAGAAAAGACGAACAAAGTTTAATGCTTGTGATTATTTGACCAACTACTTATACAGGTTTGTTTTATTAATAAAACATTATGCTAATGAGGGCCTTCATATTTTTGAGGTGAATTGATTTTTTTAGTCATAATCCAAAATTCAGCAATCGAGATGGAGTGAAATTGGAAGATATACCTTTTGTCCAGAAAATCTTGGCTGAAAAGTAAATATGTATTTTGACTACTTTCAATTAATCCTATTTGTTGATGATTTTAATAATGAAAGAGGAAGTGCTTTTTTTCAGTCCACGACCTCCTATTCCGTCCTCCCTTTTACTTTCTGATGATGAAGCAGCTACAATAATTCAAGCTCATTATAAAGGATACAAAGTAAATATCAACATTTTTGTCAGTAATAGACTAATATGTACAGTGTACAGTCTCAGATTTGGCGTGTCTCTAGAACAGTGGTCAGCAGCATTGCTATTGATGTGTTGAGTAGTAGAGAGGGGCGATTTTTTAAGCAACATTCTTCAAATGAGTTTTATTTTATGACAAAAATTTAATTCCTTGTTGAGAAAAGCAGTCAAAATATTCAAAACTAAGAGTCGCAAGCTGGCAAGTTGGTTTTTGGTTCCACAAGCATTAGCATAATCAAAACCAAATGGCGAATAGTTTTGACATATATGTTTTGACATTTAATGATATTTACGATTTGCTGATAAAAGAAGAAATGTTGCTACTGCTGCTTTTATTGCTACGCACCAAGCCTGTAGCTTGCTTAATGCATTTAGACTTCTGTGGTTGGTTGCACGCAGCCTGGATAGCGTTATCCATTTGATAACGAATTCTTTTAATTAGTTAAAAACTTCTTAAAAAGAAAAAAAATATATAAGGTTTGAACTGAGCAATCACTGAAATAAAATATTTGCCTCCAAGATTACAAAATTTCTTTGTCGTAACGAAAATATAAGCACCTTTTTTACAAGTTTGAAAATTTTACCATCCAAGCCAAGCTTCGTGCAATCCGCCCCTGGGGGAGCACTCTATGACGTACGTCGTACGTAATGGACTATATCTAAATATGACAAAGTTGCTATTTACAATATATGACGTAATTAATTTAACTAAAAAATAGTATAGAATAACGTAATTACTAGAGTCATTATGACAAACCTAAATTATTAATCTGACGTAATACGTCACAATTTATTAGGTTGCCTAAAAAGTAACACGAAGAGATTTTTATAAAAGTAAATTAAGGCGTTTGGTATGCTTGGGGGGCATAGTGTCAACTTTATTTCATGATGGGGGTACTGCCCCCCAGCTGCGGGCCTGCTACTAAGACGTCGCAGACGATTAAAGGGCAGCTAATCGGGAAAGATGGACTACACAATGGCTACTGAGAAGAAAAACTTAAGTTCTGTCGTCTGTGTGTAAAAGCAGACCCCCAAACATTACGTCAGTCGATGTTACTGAACAGTGAGTCAAGTAATAAGTGTTAGTCTCAAACGTCTTGCAGTGATTCTGCGTTTTCTTAGAACAGCTATAATACTGAATAAAGTCAGATATAGCCATAAAGGGCATTGGCTAGCTCTTAGCCCACGATGAATTTTTGTCCCTGGAAACGTAAAGTACGAAACACGTATAAAATTAGCTAATGTTTACGAAAGAGAAACATTGTCCAAAAGTTGTTCGAACTATTTAAAGTAATTGAAAGAAAAGTAGAAGTGGTATTTACTTTTTCATAGAACCTTAACGAGGACAGGCTCATATTGTCGTTTTGGCGGGAAAACTCAAATTAAGAAAAACTTTAATAACATTTCCCGCACGCGCCCAGTGTTATACTTTGGACCACTTAAAAAAGATGTTCACAAAAGTTCAGTACACTAACTCCACCGAATTTTTAGTTTAATGGTATAGTGACAGTCTAGTGACAATCCACCTGCTTACAACTCCTTGATACGTATCTTTAACCGCTGAGTAAAATTAATTTAGTGCACTTAATTCTTTCGTTTATACAATTTAGGCTCGAAAGCATCCGGAGGTGCAAGAATTACGACAATATCAAAAAGAAATGAGAGAGGTAAGTGACAGTCAATTCATGGAGGCAGGGGTATATTACAAAGTTTACAATTATTAAAGTTTTATGGGGCATTTTATTATCATGAAAAAATTATCATGTTTTTTTGCATGTCTGCATAAAATATTCCATTTTCTGGGACCACCAGGGAATGTATGTGGGAATTTTTACCCTATCCAATACAAATAAAATCGTTTGTATCAATCACAATGACATAGTTAGAGAAGGGAACAAAGAACCAGCCCCCTCCCTGGCAAAATCCTTTGGGCCTACTAAAATGTTATGTCTTACTTATTACAATGTTTAAACGACAGTCATGGCTCCCCTTCCCCCCGCTTGACAGAAAATCCAGGCTACGCCACTGATAAATCACTGCTATTAAATGCAATAGATGAAGGAATGTCTTAAAAGAACAGCAAAGATGACATTGTCTTACTAAGTTCTGACTTTCTGAGTGCTGAAAATGTTGTCTGACATTGCGAGTGTATAGTTTTATACATGCTTGTCTATTCAGTTTCTTTTCCTTTGGAATTCTATAACTTTTTCAGTACTTTAAACAATATTTTTATTTCAACCTCAAATATTTACAGGAACCAATGGTCCTACGGTCCGCTATATTATGCAGCCCTGTTTATTTGACATCATACAACTATGCAGTGTTCAGATTGGGGGAGAGGGGGGTAGTTTATGTTGACTTTGATACGTAAACATGATTTAGGCAGCGTGGCCATAAACTCTTGAGGTTAACATATAGTCAACCAGAGGTTTCAACAAATAATACCCTTCACTCTAGACATTTTGGACAAATAAACACAACTGTGAGTTTATCTAACAACATCATTTACATTTGAGTAATTAAAGAAATTTTTCTGAACGTCCTTGGCCTCTCCGCTACGTTGGTTAATTACAAATATACATCTTTAAAATCAGTCCAACAAGAAGCTTTATTTTTTGTAGGAGGATTGTGAAATTAACTTTAAAGTGGCAGATTTGTGGAAAAAGTATTCAATGGAAGATGTTCAATAATATGTCAGCACCAAAAAACTTGTTATGTAACATTTTGTAATATACAAGTTGATAATGCGTTTTTGACGTTTTAAATACTTTGAATGTTTATGTTTGTTGGGCTGTATTAAATAATGATCTATTAAAACTAGAAATTTTCATAAAGCTGCTCTTATTCATAGTCATAGTGTAAAATTGATGGTATCAATGACTTGAATGACTTTGATTCCTTAGAACAGGAAAATATATCTACATGTACCATTTTGTACCTTATCAAAAATACATCAAATGTACATCATTTCAACATCCTTTGCAGATGATGTGAATAAGTCGTTTTATAATGTGCCGGTAATTTTTGTCATCTGTTCACGGTTTTTTTTTCCAAGTTAGTACACCAACTTTCAAACGTAAGCCGTTGTCTGTTGTCTGTGCTGTAAGTAGTGATTATTTCCAAGTTCCAGTCAATGTTTTGTTTTGTGAGTCGATGATGTTTGGCATTTTGCTTGGTTTTGTCTTGTTTCTTTGTAGCTCATTTGTGTTCAGTAAGTCTTATGTTTAAGACGTCAGAATTCTACCGTCTTGAACGATCTACATATATCTACAAACATGTGGCATTCCCTTCATTGCGAAGTTTTCATCGCTACGTCATTATCAACATTCCCTTCGTTGCCTAGATTTCACCAACCATCCATGAGCAGCGCCGAAGGTATTTATGATCAGAGTGACGAAAAGGTCTTTTACACTTACGAGAATCAAAGATGGTATCCTGTAGATGGATTTGGAGCAAGGTGGTAAAGTTTTATTTGGCGGCGGGTGGGGTATGTTGATTGAGGAAATTGTTCACATGACCTAATCTTTTGTTTAGACGACTTCCAACTGACCGCTATGAATGAAGCGATGAAACTGGAATACTAGAACGTCGTCAAGAGGGCTATCCGCTACCTAACTCAGACTGGCAATGGAGTGGTGAGTGGAAGGTTGATTTCAACACAAAGGAAGGGACAGATAAGTGGGGCTGGATGTACGCCCTAGATTTTCCAAGGTCAGAACGAAGGAAAGACATTGGTGGAAAGTACTGTGCTGTATTTTTTGACATGTTTGTTTTATTTACAGGGAATACAGCTGCGAAAAACATTGGAATGATTGCGTGAGAAGACGTCGATGGCAAAGGTAGCGAATTGAATACTTATTTACTTGAATGGTTGGTAGGGAAGGGGAGGGAGGAGAAGGGAGAAAGGAAATCAAAAATGGAATGGTGAAGAAAGGTCAAATCAGGGAGGGAAATAAAAGGAAAGGAAGAAAGGGAAGAAAAAGGAAAAAAAAGGATAAGAAGAAGGAAAAAAAGGAAAGGAAAGAAAGGAAAAGAAAAGAAAGAAAAGGAAAGGAAAGGGTTAGGAAGGAAGGAAGGAAAGGAAAGGAAAAGGAAGTGGAAGGAAAAGAAGGAGACAAAAAAAGCGATATAGAAAAGAGGGAAAAAGAAATGGGGTGGACACCGAAGAAGAAATAGATTAGACAAACGAAAGAAATATTATTTAAAACATTTGTAATTTCTTCCAATACATAGATCAGCGCGTGTAAATACGACTGGTCCGTGGCTGGAAGTTCAACCTTCAGTGCAATTGAAAGATATCAGTATACAAATCGACCACGTGTATCAAGATGATGGTTCAATTTCTGTTTGGGCTGTCAGCCATGATGGGGATCTTTTGTGTAGAAAAGGAGTGACTAGTGATCGACCTCAGGTAAAATACAAAATTATTATATGGCAAGCGTTACTTCCGGCAAAATGGAGCGCTTTGATTGGCTCAGAAACATTTTTACCGTTCCATTATTTTTCCATTATGGACCCACGGTCCGAAACGTCTAATTTTACGGTGAAGTGTAAACAAACTTCCTAATGTAAACTGCAAAACGAAAAAAAAAACAACGAAACAAAAAACCATTTACGAATTTGAGTAAAAGGAAAACACTTGGAAAACAGTTCAACTTTCCAGACGATACAATTTGAAACGATTTCTTTTTTATTGACAAAAACTAGAAAAGTGAAAGTCAACCCGTACAAAACAGCAAGGATGAGAAAGAAAGCAAACTTCGTTTCAGGTCAAATAATGTCTTATAATAAACCTTTATTAACCTCGCTTGCTCGGTCTTTACTGAAATAAAACTTTGGAACAGGCATTAAAGTAGAAATTTGTACAGGAACACATTTTTACCCTTAATTTTCTTTCCAATGAGTTTCAGCTGGCTTCCTCATTGTTGTACAATTGTTCAACATTAATTTGCAGCCCGTTCGCAGTCATTCTTCCTAACTCTTCTGCTTTCAAGCATTCCATTTAAACGATTGAGTTAAGATGATTTTTTAGTGCAAATCGTACGAATTTTTCCCAAATCAATTAATGAAAGTATTACTGAAACTATGTGATAACTGATTAGGATAGAATATATCTTAGTTCTTTGTAAAAGACACATGTTTTCATCTGATGTACAAGTACGCAAACTGTGTAAAAAACACGCTTATTTTCATATTCTTAAAGCATATTTAGCAATGCTTATGGACGTATTGATTATTTAGTAATACTTGTTGAATTTCTTTAAAAAAGTTATTGGATTTCACCTTTAATCTGTGGTGATCAATTAATCTAATTTAGCTTTCACAAATGTTGATGATTTTCTGTTCGTTCAAATGAATATTCTAAAGTTTCACCGTGGGCGGCCCAAGAAATCACTTGAATAGTTTAAGCTAACGATTACTCTCCCCATTCCATCGTAACAGACCATGCACCGCAAACTTTGTATTGGTTGATTATATCTATAGTATATATTCACCTAAATACAGTAAATTTATTATTTATTTATTTATTTACTTATTTATCTTTGCGGCGCACTCTCTGTTACGATGGAATGGGGAGAGTTATCGTTTGTTTAAACTATTCCAGGGATTTTTTGAGGCGACTATGGTTTTATTGTTGTACCGCATCGTGTTATGGATCTTTTACTTTTGTATAATGCTGGGCCAAAGGAGGGTTAACCATTTATCTGTCATCATATTGTTAAAAGTTTGATTTATGTAAGTTTTTTTTCTTCGCAGGGTGAATCTTGGTGTCATATCACAACACCGATTCAATTTTCAAGTATTTCCGTTGGCTGCAACAACATCGTTTGGGGGATTGGTAACGATGGAGCGGCTTACTTGAGGATTGGGTACGAGGGCTCGGATGACAGAGGTAATAATATTGCCATTTGTATTAGTGATTTTTTCAAACTTGTGAAAAAGGCAGTTATATTTACTTTACGATAATGAAACTCTGTAATTCTAGAGCCAATGTTGTATTTCATTGATTGTCAAGTTCAAAGCGAATATTTTTCCCTTTTAAGAGATTTTTGAAGCATTCGAAACTATTGCTATCCAGTGGAAATATTGCTATTCGGTCTTCGTGCAACCGCGCGACTGACACGAAGTCCATAAACCAATAAAAATCGTTCTTTGATCGTTTCACGCGTGTGTGTCACTAATGACTCGTACAATGAAACATGATTTACTTACCAGTTAACTCTACAACAACTGGAAGGCTAACTTGGTCGCCATCTTTGAAGCCTGCATGATCGCCGCCATTCAGGGTACGGAGGCGAAATACATCACTTCGAAATTGCAGGATTTCATGCAAAAAACAGTGCTCTTCGAGCCAGCTTAATGTCTAAAAACCTTAAACAATGTTTGGACTTTAATATAAAACAAGTTTGAACGACATTTGTACATGTTTAAGCTTCTTTTTAGAAGGATGAAAAGCGAACTTTGTTTTGGCGCGTGAAAACATGCCTTATAACTTGAATTCAAAACTGACACCCCTCGTTTTTTTTCATTAAAAGAATGTAAAATACACTTGTCTATCCTTATAATATTGTTTGAATCTTTGAAAATGAAGCTATCGGGGAAAAACGCTGTTTTTCGGTAATTTTCGTGTTTCCGAAGAAAATTAGCTCGCTCCAGCCCAGCAATAAAATTGTTATGAAACATGTTATGTTAAGTGGATTGTGTGTATTTTGCAGAGCATTCAAGGATACAGACTACCCGTTATCAGTTTTATCTTAAATTTTTGGTCTTTGACGACGAGTAAGAAATTCATATTTCGAAGCAAGTTCTCACTTTTATGTTTTATATAATACAGCGTTACGTATACAAAACATGTCTTAGTATGTCCACAATGCATCTTAACACATTAAAAACTAAATTTTGCTAACGGTTTTGAAAAAAATGAAACATTTAGGCTAGCATTCTATTTCCAAGTTAGCAGTTTTTTTGCAAAACAATCCGTCACGCAAATAAAACAGTCCACGCGAGATACACGCGAAGTCTAGGCATGTGTATATTGAGTTAGCCTTCCAGTTGTACTAGAGTTCATTGTTTACTTACATAATATACTGCCATATGTGAGATTGCAGTGCCGTGAATTTCGTTGTATTATTTGGTAACTATTATAATACGTAAATATAACCAAATACTGTTTTCGAGCAGCCCAAGTGAGCGCCTGATTAGCGTCTAGTATTGAACCTATATTGAAAACTTGAAATTCAAGTAATACAGTTTTTGCTTAGCAAACTTTGCACAAACATTGTTGTGTACGTGCGGACTGATCAGTTTGAGAAGGATATACAGTAAGATAACATTAACTTTATCGTGGTCGGGTGTCCGACATATTCGATATTTTTGAAAATTTGTGTTTTTCGTGCTTACGTGTGCTTTTGGATTTTAAAGTGTCTGCATCATGTTTTTGCATTTGTGTTTTCCGTGCTTACGTGTGTTTTTGGATTTTAAAGTGTCTGCATCATGTTTTTGCATTTGTGTTTTCCGTGCTTACGTGTGCTTTTGGATTTTAAAGTATCTGCATCATGTTTTTGCATTAGTGTTTTCCATGCTTACGTGTGCTTTTGGATTTTAAAGTGTCTGCATCATGTTTTTGCATTTGTGTTTTCCGTGCTTACGTGTGCTTTTGGATTTTAAAGTATCTGCATCATGTTTTTGCATTAGTGTTTTCCGTGCTTACGTGTGCTTTTGGATTTTAAAGTATCTGCATCATGTTTTTGCATTTCTGTTTTCCGTGCGTGTGCTTTTGATTTTAAAGTATCTGCATCATGTTTTGCATTAGTGTTTTCCGTGCTTACGTGTGCTTTTGGATTTTAAAGTATCTGCATCATGTTTTTGCATTAGTGTTTTCCGTGCTTACGTGTGCTTTTGGATTTTAAAGTATCTGCATCATGTTTTTGCATTAGTGTTTTCGTGCTTATGTGTGCTATTGGATTTTAAAATGTCTGCATCATGTTTTTGCATTTGTGTCATTCAGGCTACTTTAAGAACTTTTGAATTATATTTTATTGTTCGAAATTATTTTTCTGGGTTTGTTTGACGCTCAAAATTAAAAAAATTTTGCCATTTTCGTAGTTTGACCGCCAGTATGAAAAAGCTAGTAACTAATATTATTTTTACGTCACAACCGAATGTCGTTTGTTATATTTTGTTTAAAATTGAATGTTTGTGAACATCCACGACACATTGTGTAATGCAAAAAATAGGTATGTTTTTGAGGAGATTCTGTGTAAAATACAGTGTTTTCTTAAAGCGTGTTCTCGAGTTATGACGTCAGATCTAGGCTCTCGCCCTAGTTTTTTTCAAGTCACGCGCGAGCAAATAATCACCGACTTTGAGCATCAAAAAATACAAGAAGGTCAGATTTTATATTTATAAATTATACATGAAGCCAAAATGTTCAAAATCTTCTAAACTATCTACATAGCCCAATTGCAAAAACATGACATAGGCACTTCAATCCTCTGCCTATGGCAAATGTGAGCCAACAAAAAATGTATAAAACATGTTTATGGTTGTCTTAAATTTTTTATCGCCACATCAAATCAAATCAGAAAAAAGGCAGATTTTTAGATGATTTACTTGTTGCGATAGTTAGCCAATGTCAAACAATAAAAGTTTGAGCGCCTGTCCCGCTAACCTTAGATCTCTAGTCCCGCTAACCTTAGATCTCTAGTCCCGCTAACCTTAGATCTCTAGTCCTAACCTTAGATCTCTAGTCCCGCTAACCTTAGATCTCTAGTCCCGCTAACCTTAGATCTCTACTCCCGCTAACCTTAGATCTCTAGTCCCGCTAACCTTAGATCTCTACTCCCGCTAACCTTAGATCTCTAGTTCTTATTTTGTTTCGTTCCACACACCTCACTTTTTGAACTCCAAACCGCAAACGAAGAATTAATATGAGTTTTGCCAACCTGTTCTTATACGAACAGCTGCTGTTATCTCAGCCAACATGACGTACTCACAAGTCTCCATTCTGCACAGGAAAAATGTGGGACCGTTTTCCCGCCCCAGGCCTTAACCCGCTCGTTTTAATATCGGTCGGCAGAAACACTGTTTGGGCTATGGATAAATACGGCGAACATTATTACAGAGAAGGCGTAACCGAAACGTTTCCCGAAGGTACAAAATGGTTGAAGATATTTGGTCGTGTGCAGTCTGTGTCTGTCAGCGCCAATGACGAGGTATTGATGTTATATTACGGATCTGTAACTAAGCAACTCGTAACTCTTTCATATGACTACATAAGCGTTACGTCATACGTAATTTTCTATTAGTCTGTTTCATTCACGTGACTACAAGAACATACGTCATCCGTAAATTTCTATCAGCCTTTATCATTCACGTGACTACAACAACATTACGTCATACGTAATTTTCTATCAGCCTTTATCATTCACGTGACTACAAGAACTTTACGTCATACGTAAGTCTCTATCAGTTACTGGTTGTTTTTTTAACAATTAGATTTTTCTATGAATTGATAGTTTATTTCAATGACTGCCATTTTTCGACATTTTGCCGTATAAAGTGTTTGTGAAAAGACTGTAGACAGTAGACCCTCCTAAGACAGTATATGCAAAGCTATGTTTGAAATTTTCAGATATTTCGTGCACAATTTGTAGCTTCATGTTGCATAATCAGTCGCACAATATTTTTAATTGCTTTCGTATTTTTTCATGAGTTTTGCTTGAAATTTTCGGGTAGAATTTCGTACGATGAACACTTTGCTACGAATAGAACTCCGGCCGGCTGTAGTAACCTATCAACGATTATTCCAAGTTTTCAGTAATCAAAGCAAAATAACGTTAAAGTGACTAGTTGTGAAAATCGAACATTACTAAAACTTTGAGAACTCGAAAACGAAAATAAATATTCACGAACTGTTTGAAAAATTTCTCTGTAATTTTCAAAGTTCTTATAAATGAAAATATATTTGAATATCGAAATTTTCGTTTCATAAACCACTTTAAGAGATTTTCGAAACAATTCAAAACTTCATCTATCCATTAGCAAACCTTCTCGTACAACCGACCCTGGGTCTTGGCATCAGAGTTGACATCTATCTCAAAATAACCGTTTATATTTATCTTGACGTCATAGGTATGGGTGAAAAGTCAGGGGGGGTTGGAGAAATGTTTCAATACGTCAAAAGAGACGCCAACTGGAAGAGGCTGGGTTCTAGCATTACCGGTAGGTAAAAGTATAAGCACTTGGTTCCAGGCCCTTAACCATGAGTTGCAACTGGAAGAGGCTGGGTTCTAGCATTACCGGTAGATTAAAGTATAGACACTTGGTTACATGCCCCTAACCATGGGGTACATGCTCACTCAACCTCCCCAATATGAAGTCTTTTTCAAAAATTCGACGGGAAAAAAAGTAATAAATAATGAACTGAAATTTTCATGTTGAATTCAAGAAAAGTGGAAACAGTCGCCATGTTATTGAACTCGATCAATGTTTGCTTTTCTGTAGTTTCATTAAAGCGCCTGTACCAAGTTAAGCCAGGCTTAACCAAGGGTATTTGTAGCATAAAAAGCGTTAATATCGGTTATAATGCCAATAAAATGACCTGTTTGAGTCTTTTCTCCTCCAATCAGTGACGAAGCCAGCCCGATCTTTTATTCTTACAATGCAAATTTCTCAGCAAAATTATTACTCATTTCATTCGAAAATTAATACCATTCATTGTGTTTTCAGTGATTGAACACAAAAATATTTGCATAGCCAGCAAAATATTTTGCTGGTTTCGCTACTGTCAATATGCACCTCACCCCTTTAATCATTCTGGTTATGATCCTGACTTCGTTGAGCTGCAATATCAACTAGATTGATAACTTTGGAGAGGAGGGGGTCCTATTTTAACATTTTGGTGACGATGCAGGTTTCTCCAGTCCTTTTTGAATATAAGCCATGTACGGATTAACCCCCCCCCTGCTTAGCAAACCCAAGTAATAAGATTAGATACATCAGAAGTGATTTATTTTACCTACGTCATTATGAACTTACGTCATTAGGAACTTACGTCATTATGAATAACTCTGTAAGTTATAAATTGAAAATTACATTTCAGTCTTTCTGGGGAGGCATTTCAGCGAGAGCAAATAGAGGGAATTTATTCAACAAAAAGAAGGGTTTGCTGGACAAGGCTGAATCCGTGATTGATGAACCTGACTCGAAACTTTCAAGTGGACCGTCAGAAGATTTAAAACGAAAAACGTACAAGGATTTAATGGAAAGCGGAGACATTTACAATGTGTTTGGTGCAGATGACGATTTTATTCCGAGTTCAGACGAGGAAAGCTGATAAATCTTTACTAAACAAGTACGTTTTAGCAGGAAATTATTGATTATCGTTCGCTTCAGATAATGCAACCGTGGGGTGGTTGCTCGAAGCAGTTGGATTGCAGTTGGATTCCAGTCTACGAAGCCGGGATAGCTAGATATTTTTGAAATGTTATAAATAATTTTTCAAATGTTAGAAGGATGTTGAATTTAAAAATAGTTAAATTGAGCAATCAACGGAATGAAATTTTTATTTAAAGATTATTAAATTTTATTAGCGCGAAGCAAATGCAGTAACTCGTTCAATTAAGCTGAAGGTCAATATTCGATATCCCGGCTTCGTGCAAAATAACGCCCCCAATACGATGAAGAGCTTTAGTGCAGACACAAAATTATCCGTGTCAGTTTTTTTCTTCTTTTATTTATTTTACTTGAAAATTGCAAACAAGTACGAATTTACGAACTTACTTACCCTCGCTTTTTTGTTTAGGTTAAATAATTTAGATAGTAAATTTTGTATAGCAGGAAAGTTTTTACAGTGAAAAGAATTAATGGTCATATTTTGAACACAATAGGGCATCTAAAATGTTATTTGCAAATCACATTGCGAGCGCCATTTTTTGTTTAACAAAATGGCGGATTTTGTAATTGTTTCACACCGTGAAAATTATAGTAGTATTTATTCATTATGTAGTCAAGGCAGGCCTTTATTATTACTGTATAACATTATTTTAAGTAATTGTAAAAACTTATGATTTAAAAAGGCTTCTTTCCCTAAACGTGGAAGACCAATGCTTCTGAATTGACTTGTGCAGAGAATTTTAGAAAAACGACACGACGTTCATTGAAGTGTGTGTGCGGCAGGCTCAGATATAAACATAAACAAAAGCGCGTAGTGCATCTTGGTTGACATGCATTCTTTAAAGAATTTATTTTACATTCATTTGGTTGGAGAACGATATGGCATTGTTTTAGGTCATCATCCGAGTGAAAGTCGACTCCTCCTTTTTATCATCCTCGTCTTCCTGTTCACTCTCTTTCATTGCCAACAGAGGTCTGTAGAGAAGAACTCTTTAAAGAAAATTCTAACATTTCGGCAAACTTGCATGTGGAAATTTCTGTAGTTTAGCAACTTGCAGATAAACTGCACTGAAATCAAATAATCACTGTCGCGAATAGTCTCAAAGTACATTAATAAATTAAAAATGGGTTAGATGCTTTAAAATTAAATTACTTACTTCTCATCCTTGTGTGTACGACTGCTACCTTTACTTAAGGTTTCTTCGTCATTAGGGTGTGATCGCATTCCATTTTTCGGTCGTACATCCATAGAAATGGGATGAGTAAGCGTCTTACCTATAACAAATAAACAAACGAGTGCTTGGTACATTGGTACAAGAAAATATTCATGGGTCCCAGAAAATAATGAAACTTGAAGTCAAAGGAAGGAGAAGGTCTAGCTTTTTGACTTTTTTCGAGTCTCCAGGAAATTTGTTTATAGTATATTATATCCTTATATTATATCCTTGACCAGACGACAATTTCATAAGATATAAAATAAAAAATTATCCGAAAAAGGACATCTTGTAGCTAAAGTTAAATTCAATAAAAGTGTAAAATTCGGTTTTATTTCAAAACCATCAGCAGACAAAATGATTTTCTTAAGATGATTTTAAATCTAACATGTTGCCATTTGGTGATAAAAACGTTGAATAAAACGTGATCAAGATGACTCACTTTGTGATCGCTGTCTTTTACAACAACAGCAGCAGCAGATGATAACAAGGCACAAAAGCAAAATGAGAAATCCAATGACCGCCATTACAGATATGAACCAAACTTCTTCGTACACTGGAGCCGACTGCCTTGCGCTCTTCGCTATTCCTAAAATACAATCGTTTTAATCGTTTTGCCAGCGAAGCAGAGAAAATATAAGGAACTCTGTAAACTGTAAACAAAAATAATTTTACGATGAACAAGAAACGCGCATCATTCAGTTACCAAATTTAAAACATTTTAGCTAAAATCAAATTGTCAACAAGTGACGAATTGATTTGTTGATACCACGAAGCCTCGTTTACAAAAACTTGAGAAAAATCAGATGGGTACTTTTTGAATTCCGAATAAAATAGAAATGTTTAAGACGGTGTATATACCTGCCAAGTTTAATATAAATGAGGTTTTTAGTTTGATGACTTTCCAAGAAAATTGAAATGTCAACATGTTAATCGCATAAAACAAGCCTATGTTTATTGACACTATAACATTCGTCATTGGTGACGAATAGGATAAGTAACCACATTTATGTACCAGTTGAAGTCAAAGTATGTTAGTATTCAATCCAACTGCATATTTTCGCACACTATTGTTCCTTCTATCGGACTCTCTCACTAACCTGTCGAGACAGACGAAGAACTATTCCCAGGAATAGACAAACCAGCTTCGTTGCGTGTGATCATTCGAAACCAGTAAACGGTTAAAGCTTGTAAATTTTCCAATACCGCTGACCGTGTACCGTCGGTTCTGTTACGTACGGTTTGAGAAGGCTTGAGATTCCAGCCGTTTGTCCAAGGATTTTTCTCTTTAAGTGAAAATAATCAAAAAAATATCATTGTTGTCAGCAGTGCATAGAGCGAAACAGAGAATAAAACGAGTGGATGGGGGTAATAGTGTGATCAATAACGTATAGATAGGTACTATAGAAAACAATGGAACAGTAAAGTAGGGCACTCAAAAGTTGATTAATGAGGAGTAATAATGATAAAATGCAAATATGCAAGACGCCAAAAAAATACAATAAAGAACATGTAGGTGCAACAATAAGTTTTTGGGAACAACAACATTCCAAAATACAAATATGTGCAAAAAAGAGTGCAAAATCATTCCTTTTATAAATAACACAATAAATCCTCCATCATACCAGACGAAGTTCGATACTCCACAATATATTGAGTGATAGGTGTGTTTCCATCAAACTGATCGCGCCAAATTAGTATTACGTCATTATTTCGTGCTGTTGCACCGACGATAGTAGGGGTCTGGTTTCGCTGAAAATGGAAAATCAATAATTTGGTGCGAGTTAAGTCTAGAGCAAGAATAATTTTCAGTGAATTAAGCATGTTCTACATTGCAAAAGCTTTTGTTTACCACGAAAAGAAGGGAAAGTGTACACGTTTTTCTTGAGAAGTGAAGTTGGAGCCGACTGCCTTGCGCTCTTCGCTATTCCTAAAATACAATCATTTTAATCGTTTTGCCAGCGAAGCAGAGAAAATATAAGGAACTCTGTAAACTGCAAACAGATGAACAAGAAAAGCGCATCATTCAGTTACCAAATTTAAAACATTTTAGCTAAAATCAAATTGTCAATAAGTGACGAATTGATTTGTTGATACCACGAAGCCTCGTTTATAAAAACTTGAGAAAAATCAGATGGGTACTTTTTTGAATTCCGAATAAAATAGAAATGTTTAAGACGGTGTATATACGTGCCAAGTTTAATATAAATGAGGTTTTTTAGTTTGATGACTTTCCAAGAAAATTGAAATGTCAACATGTTAATCGCATAAAACAAGCCTATGTTTATTGACACTATAACATTCGTCATTGGTGACGAATAGGATAAGTAACCACATTTATGTACCAGTTGAAGTCAAAGTATGTTAGTATTCAATCCAACTGCATATTTTCGCACACTATTGTTCCTTCTATCGGACTCTCTCACTAACCTGTCGAGACAGACGAAGAACTATTCCCAGGAATAGACAAACCAGCTTCGTTGCGTGTGATCATTCGAAACCAGTAAACGGTTAAAGCTTGTAAATTTTCCAATACCGCTGACCGTGTACCGTCGGTTCTGTTACGTACGGTTTGAGAAGGCTTGAGATTCCAGCCGTTTGTCCAAGGATTTTTCTCTTTAAGTGAAAATAATCAAAAAATATCATTGTTGTCAGCAGTGCATAGAGCGAAACAGAGAATAAAACGAGTGGATGGGGGTAATAGTGTGATCAATAACGTATAGATAGGTACTATAGAAAACAATGGAACAGTAAAGTAGGGCACTCAAAAGTTGATTAATGAGGAGTAATAATGATAAAATGCAAATATGCAAGACGCCAAAAAAATACAATAAAGAACATGTAAGTGCAACAATAAGTTTTTGGGAACAACAACATTCCAAAATACAAATATGTGCAAAAAAGAGTGCAAAATCATTCCTGTTATAACACAATAAATCCTCCATCATACCAGACGAAATTCGATACTCCACAATATATTGAGTGATAGGTGTGTTTCCATCAAACTGATCGCGCCAAATTAGTATTACGTCATTATTTCGTGCTGTTGCACCGACGATAGTAGGGGGGTCTGGTTTCGCTGAAAAATGGAAAATCAATAATTTGGTGCGAGTTAAGTCTAGAGCAAGAATACTTTTCAGTGAATTAAGCATGTTCTACATTGCAATAGCTTTTGTTTACCACGAAAAGAAGGGAAAGTGTACACGTTTTTCTTGAGAAGTGAAGTTGAAAGGCTAGTGACAACAAATATTTCTCCAACAAATTTCCAAGAAGGAATTTGCAGGTAAAAGCAGTCGCAAAAACATTTTGGTGTTCAGTAACGAAATCGTCATCGTTTACTTACTTTTAACGGATTTAGTTTTAACTTCAAGAACTTTGGGAATGCCTTCGCCACGCGATGTCCTTGCGACAAGCCTAAATCTATAATTCGTGTTTGGCGTCAATGCCATGACTTGATGAGTATGTTCGTTACTTTTCTTTGTTATCGTCTGTCTCCGAATCGATCCAGTAAAACAGTGAGAATGTAATCTGTAATTATCCCATTTGGCTCACACGGAGCTTCCCAGTAAAGATGAACTTGAGTGACGTATACACCATCAAAACAAAGTTGCAGGCGCACCTGGCACTAGTAAAATAAAAAAGGTTCAGAACAGGCGTGTGTCCATTCATTCCGTGAGTATTAGTGCGAAAGACGGGGAGGTTAATGATGGCGAAAGAAGGAAGGAAAAGACAGGAAAAGTGATGGAGAAAAATGGAAAGTGGAATGGTGGAAAATGAGTGGAAAAATGGGAATGAATGGAAATGGAATGGAATGATGGAATGGATGGAGGGGAAGGAAGGAAAATGTGATGGTAAAGGAGGTGGTGGGAGGGGAGGAGGGAAGGAAAGTGGGGTCAAAAAGTCTTGTCAAGTCAGTATAGAGTGCGAGCTAATAAACTAATGAGACAGACTTTTAGTTGGTGGTAATTGAAGACAAAATTATCATTTTTGTTGATAAATGATCTATAATATTTTGGTTATCATTACAAAAAATGACCATCAGACTTCTCTTGTGCTTTCTCATGTAGTTAATTAAATATTAGTCATTTAGGCTATTCGCGTACCTATTTTTAACTTTCTAGTGGTAGCGCAGTCATCGGTAGAGTGTAATCAAAATGCAAAGGCTAACATAAAGTATCGAGAATCAATAATACTGCGGTATGTACTGCAAATTTCATTAGTTCAAAGGTGAAGGGGGCGCAGAATTTGCTTTGGCCCCCGCAGTCAAAATTGCACCACCACGCTACTGATTATGAGTGGCAGGGAAAGAGGAGTGTTAGTGGTGAGGAAGGAGGATTATGAGTGGTGGGAAAGAAGTGTGAGTGGTGGGAAAGGAGGATTATGAGTGGTGGGGAAGGAGGAGTGTGAGTGGTGGATGGAAGGAGGGAATGGTGGAATGGATGGAATGGTGGAGGGGGAGAGGATGGAGGGAATGGAGTGGTGGGTGGAGTGGTGAGAATGATGGGGAATGGAGGAATGGAATGTGGAGGAATGAATGGAGGAATGGAAGGAATGGAGGAATGGAATGGATGGAAGGAAATGGAGGAATCCAAATCACCCAAGAAGGACGGTTTTGTTTAAAGCATTTACACAATCACGTCAAATAAATCTTACATCCTTCAGCAGTTGTGACACGTATACTATTGCTACGTTCACTATCCCCAGCGCTGTTAAAGATTTCAGCACAACGACGTAAGACGTGTACATGCGCAGACCGCCGATCCTGCCGTTAGTCGACGTATTACTAAAATATGCGACACCAGGTTGTGGACTTTCGCATTGCACGCTCACGGCCCTGCGACGTCGAGAGGGAAGGTTGAAGTCCGCCTAGGTGAAAAATTTTAAGATATTGTAAGCTAGACAACTAACATAGAAAGGGAAAATAGAAATGAAGAATAAGCTTCTGTAAATTCTGGGCAAACTGAAGTAGAAATTCAGAAGATAGTGAGAAAATGTTATCTTTGCAGTTCTTGCAAGTCATTTCTTCGTCTTTTACACTTAACTGAAGTGACTGATGCAAACAATTTAATTCATATTTGTTGAGTGAAAATTTCCATGAAAATATCACGGTGTTTTTTTTTTCAGAAAATATTTTCGCTGATCTTGTGGTTCCAGAAAATAAGATATTTTATGCTGCCTGGAGAAGGAACTGAGTCAGGACTTTTTGTTCAGAATGATTAGTCCTACCTTGTATCCGAGTAAGGGAGTACTGGTTGATGGAGGAGGATCCCAGGATATAGTAATGAATGTTGGACCAGCATTAGGACTGCTATGAAGGACAGGTCGTAGAGGTACTACATAAAATCATAAGCAATATTATCTTAGCAATAGAAAAACCCAAGTCTGATCAGAAATCATAAAACAGTTGCTTGAGCAATATTGAAATGAGTAATTCAATTTGTTCAAATTAACTAATTGTTTTACAAACTCTAACTATAGGCAATGATCCACACGTCCTAATTAAGGATTAATACCTTAGCCCTCACTTTCAAGTGTATTGTAAACACATACATCTAAAAAGAGATTGTCAAGAAGTACAAGAAGTACAATACGGTCTTGACAATTTTCTAAAGGCTAATTGTTAAAGTTAAAGTTAAAATCCGATTTACACGATACCGGTAGAGTTAGAAAACGGTGCTAAACTCCTACGGTGTGGGATCTTATTTAAACCGTCACAAAACTTAACTGGTGGGAACAGCGTGGGAACGGCTATTAAAATAAACGCAGGGAGTCTTCGGAGACGTTAAATGAACGGATATTACGTTTGTAGTATAACGACGTTGACTATATTATAGTCTTTGCCATAACATGAAATTTTTCAAGTCCCATCATAAAAAAGTTTTCTCCAACATTATTTGCAAAAAGCCAACAAGGTTGGTGATATAAAATGGCGCGAATATTTCTTTCAAAATTCTCTATTGTAATCAAATGGAACTATAGTTCATTTAAAGAAAGTGAGAAAAAAGAAACAAAAGCGCGTTTACTGTATATACATGAAAACAAAATAAAGAATACAAGGAATAGACACTCGCGTCGGTGCCTTTACATTATGTTAGTCTGTTGGTTCAAAATGGGACAAATCCCGATGAACTGGCTAGAATAATGGCAGACGCGAGGCCCTTCTTTACAATCATTATTCAGTGAACACGTACACCAGAGTAGGGGAATGCTAGTGCATCCACTTACACCGAGCAGAAGTTCTTCTTGTTTCGATATAACTTGGTAGAGGATTATTATTTGAGTCGACGGCATGTAACTGTAGATCGTACAACGTGTACACTCTAAGTGACGCAAGCCGATACTCTCTGGATGCCAATGGGATGTTGAAGTTAATATAGTTTACGTTACTCAAGATATCTTCCTGGTGTAAACGATAGCCCAGGACGTACTTTACCACAGTCGCTTCAACGTCAACTGACAATGGAGGCTGAAAAAACCATGGAATATAAACACCAAAACGTTAATGTTGATTTTGTGCAAGGTTGGTTCAATCTCCATTGTGATTGGTTACATTAACACAAATAATTCTCAATGTCTTGCAAACCATGTACAACGACATTGAAAATTTCTGTGACGTATTTCTTAATGTGACAACTAAAAACTCAAAATGAATTATGGCGAAAGAATCTTTCTCGAGATTTGCAAGGGTTTCACAGACTGATTTGACGTGAGTTATTGAGAATAAGGTCATGAAAACACCACACTTTCAACTAGGAGACTTTACAACGTGTGTTTATGGGGAAAGACAAAGCACGGAAAACTTGATGCATTTCGTACACAATAGCTCGAAAGCGTCTACATTTATAGTTGTATGATTAAACAATTATTGAATGCGACTTTTGCATGATATCAAGAATCATTCAGACCACCGTCAGTGCGAACAATTAAAGATATCATGCTCATCCTTAAAACTATTACTCATTGATTTATTCTCATTTTTAATTGAGAAGATGTCGACTTTAAACATAAATACCAAGTAAATGTCATCAGTTACCTTCCAGGAAACCAAAAACGAGTTCGGCGTTGGCGACGTAATGCGAACGTCACGAGGACTTCCGGGAAGAGCTGGAAAAGTTTTAAGGAAAGTTATGAAAGTTTGACAATATGCATGGAACAGAGTAGAATGAATCGATAAATTGATCAATGAATCCATCAATCGATCAATAGATTTTGAATCGATCAATCAGTTAATAAATAGATAATTGAACCAATCAATAATTAGATCAATGAACCACCCAAGGAACCTTTACAATTTGATATGAGCGAGTATCTTATTTGTAAAGTTAAGGCAGCTGTAAGTATTTTAGTTTATGTGATGTAAACGTTTCTTTTTTTCAGTATTTTGGTTCAAATGAAGTGTAAAGACAAATGTTAGTAAGGGAAAAAATAGAGCGGTGAACCAGCCCAACATTTTAATCCTGCGATGCAATTTTGTCGCAAAATTATTAATTATATATTTAATTCCATTTATTGTTTTTCCAATGTTTAAACACAGAAATATCGTAGTATGCATTGTAGGAGTACAAAACGAGCTGGCTTTGCCACTGATAAATAATGCTTTCCATTATCATTAAAAAGCAACATCATCTATCAACGAACAATGGCATGTGAATTAATTTGGCATCACTTACATTTACTCAATGTCCTCACAAAAGGCGATGGAAGACTAGGGAGACTGTCCCCAGCATCGTTGGTCGCCGTGATTTCAAAGCTGAAAAGTTGACTAGATTCTAGTCCCCAGACAACCGTTTGCTTTGAGTCACCAGAGAGGGGTTTCGGATATCTTTCCCATGCTCCTTCTCCTTTGCGGTATTGCAGGGTGAAATATCTTATTGGCTGGTCGCGACGTTTACCAACAGCCCATCTAACCAGAATCGAGCGCCATGTGATATGGGAATCTTTGATTGGTAAAATGAGGGGTCTAGACGGCTTTTCTGAAATTAAACAATGTCAAAATTTTAAATTCAAAGGATGGATATTTTCAATTCGTCAATGTGAAATCCAGGGAAACAGAAAATATTTATCCTACCGTCAATGTTTCCACCTTGAGTTGTGAATATTTGTCCCACAGCTTTTTCTCCCCAACCTCCACCGACAGTGAATGCAGCAACTTCGAAGATATAGTATCTTTCACGGGAGAGATCAATCACCGTGTCAGTGTATTTTGTTCCAACGAGCGAAGGCCTAACGATAGGTGGGGATGCATCGTCACACAATCGATATGAGACTCGATACTTTGTTATATTGCCTCCTGTCATTTCCGGTGGTCCCCAATTCACAACAACAACAGAGGGAGTTATGGTCGGGAAGCGCAACTGGCTGGGAGGTCCAGGTTCTAGGATGAAAATCATTTTATGATCGATCAACATGTAGTCTCTTAAGGAAATGTTTTCCTTTGACGTTTTGTCAATAATTCATTTGTCAATGTTAAGAAAGAACACATGAAGAAAACTTTGTTTAGAAAATATTCGCTATTTCCGTTGTTCCCACAAATTTTCCTCTCCCCAACGTGGAAACTGAAATTGTTTTTTCGATTGCTTCCATAATTTCTATCAAATTCAAGACAATTTGATATTATGCTGAAAGGTGAATTTCTCAATGTTTTCCAGTTTTTGTAAAACAACCAAAAACTACACGGAAACAACCGAAAACGTGACGGAAACGACCGACATCGTCAAGAAAAATAAACTATCCATGGATAGAAAACCAAAACATGTACGGAAAACAACCAAAAACTGAACGGAAAGCAACCTAAAAAAGAACGACAAAGCCAGGAAGGTAAAGTAGTCACTAGAGTAGAATAACTTTTTTAATGAACCAAAAAACACTTACACCGCTTCCTACAAATGCCTAAACTAAGGTGTGCACTTACTGCTTTCCAACGTCATAGGATAAGGTTTAAGCCTGTCACTCATCTTGCCATCTCCAATTCGGGTATAAGCAAGAATTCTTATATCATACTTGGTAGCCCAGCAGTTTCTCCAGTGTGTACTGTTTCACATTGTTCACGTTGATTTCCTTGAATTCTTGAGGCGCGTACTTCACTAGACGGTAAAATATCTGCAAGAAAACCATAAAAGAAAATACTTGCATGAAAACAGCACAATGTGAAAAATTCTCTTAATTATTCTTAAAGGTACCTTATATCCAAGTATAACACCATTTCTTCTCTTTTCATCTACGTCATCCCAGGTTAATGAGATACTCGATCCGGATTGGGCAATGGCCCGAATCTTTGAGGGCGGGAGGTCAGGTACTTGTATAATAAAACAAAAAAGAAGATATCTCATAAGATTATTCAGAAAATTTGAAATCTATAAGCTAACATTCATCTGCAATTGGCAAACAACCGACACCATTTGTTAAAATGTTAGTATCGCTAATAATGGCGTTTAAGATGATATCCAGAGACGAAATAAATATTCAAGGAAATAGGAAAAAAGCTAAAGAAAACAAACCAAAATGATTTTGTTATGTACAATAGAAGAATATATAAGTGTATAAATGAAAAGATGCTGAATTTAAAGATGCCAAATAAGAAGCTTTAAGAAAAACCAAAAAGAATACATACGACCGTATCGCATCGTATACAGCTTTATTTGTTTGCTCAGGATCCAGTGGCAATTTACGGAAACTGACCTCAACATTTTTCAATGAGCCCTGCTCAATCATATCTGGGGTGGGACTCCGCGATAAAATGGGAGCCCGCGATAAATTTCTCGTGCCCCTACTCCGCTCTTATCCAAATTCCACCCCCCCATATCGACAAAAGAAGCATAATTTACCATGTTCCTGTGTTTGACCGATGACAACAGGAGTTCTAGGACTTTCACCGCGCTCGTTGACGGTCTTCATCGTTATTTCGTACTTGGTAAATTTACTTAAGGAAAACAGTCTTCTTTGTCGTGCATTTCCACGAATTCCGCTCTGTACAAACTTTGTAAAATTATTTCGTTCACCCTGCTCTTGAAGTTCGATCGTATACTTGATAAAGGGGCTGTTCCAAGTCTCTCGTGGGGGAGGCTAAAAAAAACATGGAGTTTTTGCTTACACAATAAATCCTATAAGGTGAGATATTACATCAATGATTCAGGTGATTGAAACAGGGGTCAGTTAGTAAAATTGACAGCACACACTGTGTATTGTCGGGTTTAAAGAGTTTTCAACTGCTCTACTGAATGTGTTTAGCTTTTCAAGTTGTAAATGTTTAAAATCTCACAGGCAATGCAGACATGTTCGGTATACGTTTAAAAAATTTTCTTAAAGGGTGCCAAAAGCTCGCGGTGTACTTTGCAAAGAAAGAAATTTGAAGTACTCCACAACAGCCAGCTAGTTTCAGTCCTGCTATATAAATTTCAGATCAACATCAATATCCATTCCAAAGGAAATCTTATGTTTTCACAGTGAGCAAACACATTAAATTCACATAGCAGAACTGGTTAAAAAAAATCGTTTCAATGTCAATATGTAAAGCATCGTAAAGAAAAACTGGAGTCCAGTTAAAAGTCGCAAACTCACCGTCCACGTTAATGTCAACTCCCCAGGATAGCGTGGGGGGTTAACTCGTAGGTTCAATGGTGGTGACTCGGGTGCTGCTTGCTGTGTCGTGATTTCCCCCGATATTGCACTGAAGTCACTAGCAGCAACCTTATTCCAGGCTTTTACTCGGAAACGATATGTCGTGAATGGCCGTAAGCTCTCGATGATCACCGGTGGGAGATTGTGATATTTGTATGGATTAATGACAACGAGCGCGTCAAACCACAAGGAGTCGCGATTGTTTTTAAAGCCGGTTTCATTGTTCCCTTGAACGAGGTACTTCGTGATAGGCGAATTTCCTTTGAATCCCTCGCGCCATGTTAGCTTAAGTGTCGTAGCGTTGGTTTCAAGGGAACGAAGATTGCTTGGAGGCCCAGGTTGAACTGCAAAAAAAACAAAATGAAAATTAATGAAACACAACATTCAGTTCCTTTACTTAAATGAATGTCACCCTGTTTATGGAGAGCACGCCAAGCATATGTCCGTATAACAAAGCTCACTCATACTCACGCACATTGAGTGCGCAAAAAAAATCACACTCTATTTAATGATTGGCAAAGTCATTTCTCCATCTAAGGCAGGATTTTCTCCGAGATATTTCAAATCAAGCAATTAGTTGAGTGAAATTGCGGTCTTCGAATAATTATGAAGTGATTTCAAAGCTCTACTCATTTTTGTTTTTATCTAATTCACTTATAAAAACACGGCGCGCAGTGAGCCTGTGAATTGTTATTTTAAGATGGAACTCTAATTTCACTGCCATTGTGCAAGCCACAGCTAAAGTATAGCACGTAAAAAAGCGGTGGCAAATTCTTTAATGAAAACAATTATTTAAATATTAATAATAACAAACTCATAAATAAAAATAAATGATCAAAAATATTAATTAATTTAAAAAAATTTCAGCATACTTAAACATTTTTAAAGGCAACAAATAATCGATTGTGTATGTTAATTAACAAACCTGCCACATCTTGAGTACGTCCTTGAATTTTTGCCGACTTGCTGACGCCAGCATTTGTCTTTGCTGCAACCTCAATTATATAACTCGATCTAGAGTCTAAATTTGTGATGCCAGCCTGAAGGGCATTACCCGCAACCTCATCAGTCATTGGATTACCGATCCGCGTACCGTATTGATCAACTTTCCAATACTTAACCGTGTAGCCAATAAGAACGCCGTTCACTTCACGTGGTCGTAACCAGTTTACGCTAATTGTATCAGAGAATTGATCGACGATCTGCAACCGTTGCGGAGCACTGGGAACTAAAATGAAACGAGCCGAATTTTGTTGATGTATGTTGACAAGGCTAATTATTAAATCTGGACCAAAGCGTATAAGACGTAACATAACGAATGCATTGAAAAGTTGAAGAATCCAAGGATAGTCATTGGGCTGAATATGAAACTGATTGTTCTTCGAATAAACATGCTATACATGCATCAAGCTCAAATTTACACTTGTTATGACGTAACACAATTTTACACTTGAATGGAGGTATAATCTCTAATATTAACTTAATGGTGTTATGACCTTTAGCCAAGTGTAGAAAGATAACCCCGGTTGATATAGCAGCTTCAAATTTTGGCTGTAGGTGGCTTATCAACTGTAGTCAATGAGGATAGCGTGTTTTCACACCTGACGTCACAGTGACGTCGATAGAAACGCACTAGAGAGCTGAAGTGTAGCAAAATCGCGGCAAATTGTTTCGGCCACAGTTAAACTATACTTGATAAATGAATGTGAGACACTCTATAAAGTACCTTACTATCCCATGTACTCCAAATACAACAAGTAAGAAAAACACGCGAGACACTCAATAAAGTACCTTACTATTCCATGCATTTTTAATGCAGCATGCAAAAAGAGCTGAGAGAACCACCTACCATCTTCTGTTGTCCTAACTTGTACTTCATTCGAGTATGAGCTGCCCCCAACACTATTCTTCGCACTTACGGAGATGATGTATTGAGTGGAAGTCTTTAGATTTGTCACATTATGTACTTGGGTGAACGTTGAGGGATCGCGAGATGCAAATAGCCGTTGTTCACTTTCAGTATTAAACTCACGCACGAGAACAGTATACCCAGAGAGTTGTCCGTTCCAGTCCTGTTGAGGTGGGTCGTCCCATTGCAGTAGTACAGAACGAGACGAGACGTTTAGTACGAGGAGATTTCGGGGAGGGCTGCTGGGAACTGAAAAAGAATAAGTTTTAGTTACAAGAAACAATGACATTTTCCATAAGTTTGTATCGTGTGTGGATAATTTCCCAAGCTTATCGGGAATTTTTCCAGACTTTTGATGTGTCTGACAACCTTGACTAACTTTAGTCAAAATACTCCGCCATTGAGTTAGTCCACTGAACTAACTCTTAGTTAGAACACAACAGATCTGCTCATATATCAAAATACTAATCTTCGTTTTCATTAACTGGATATACATAAAAAATAAATTTGGAGAAATGCTACGCGATAATAATGTACAAACAAAGAATCTCATCCGATAGTAATATAAATCAAATGTGAAAAAAAGCACTACCTCTTGGTGAAAGTTAATGATTTGACAATTTTTCGGAATCCTTAATAAAAGTTTATTAAAATCGTACGCAGGGTGAAACTACAACGGAGAGTGGGGCCGGGGGGGTGTTAAATATTCATAGATTCAACTCTGCCTGGCTGGTTTCCTTTGATAAAGGTTTGTATTGTATCGTTTCATCGTTTAACATATTTCTTTTTTTGTGTTGTTTCCCTTGTTTATTTTAAGAATAGTTTTCAGGCCCCTTTGTCTATCCAGATAACTTACAAAGATCAATGACCAACTTACCTTCTTCTTTAGTTCGAAGCACAACTGGATCACTGAATGGGCCACCCCCAGCGTCGTTAAACATCTGAACTTTAACTTCATACCGTGAGTTAGAAAACAGATTTTGAATCAAGTATTTCCTCTTGCTTGCAGGCGTTGCTCTATGTGTGGTGAATGTACCAGACTTGACGCCAGCGTGCTTCCATGATACGTAATACCCACGTAGCACACCATTGTGGGTATAGGCAGGTGGTGCCTACATAATGCATTAAGTAATGAAGTAAGCAACTGATACATTGAAAAGAAAAAAAATGTTGAGTTCTTATGTACCATCCTCACTATGACATAAGTATAACGAGATCAAATACATTGATTTCTTATGTACTATCCTCACTATGACGTAAGTATAAGGAGATCAAGTACATTCATTTCTTATGTACCATCCTCACTATGACGTAAGTATAAGGAGATCAAGTACATTGATTTCTTATGTACCATCCTCACTATTATATAAGTATAAAGAGATCAAGTACATCGATTTCTTATGTACCATCCTCACTATGACATAAGTATATAGAGATCAAGTACATCGATTTCTTATGTATCATCGTCACTATGATATAAGTATAAAGAGATCAAGTACATCGATTTCTTATGTACCATCGTCACTATGATATAAGTATGAAGAGATCAAGTACATTGATTTCTTATGTACCATCCTCACTATGACATAAGTATAAAGAGATCAAGTACATCGATTTCTTATGTACCATCCTCACTATGACATAAGTATATAGAGATCAAGTACATCGATTTCTTATGTACCATCCTCACTATGACATAAGTATAAAGAGATCAAGTACATCGATTTCTTATGTACCATCCTCACTATTACATAAGTATAAAGAGATCAAGTACATCGATTTCTTATGTACCATCCTCACAATAACATAAGTATAAAGAGATCAAGTACATCGATTTCTTAGGTACCATCCTCACAATGACATAAGTATAAAGAGATCAAGTACATCGATTTCTTATGTACCATCCTCACAATGACATAAGTATAAAGAGATCAAGTACATCGATTTCTTAGGTACCATCCTCAAAATGACATAAGTATAAAGAGATCAAGTACATTGATTTCTTATGTATCATCCTCACTATGACATAAGTATAAAGAGATCAAGTACATTGATTTCTTATGTACCATCCTCACAATGACATAAGTATAAAGAGATCAAGTACATTGATTTCTTATGTACCATCCTCACTATGACATAAGTATAAAGAGATCAAGTACATTGATTTCTTATGTACTATCTCACTTTGGCATAAGCATGAAAAAATGCAATTACATCGTATATGTAACCTCAGCTATCGCTCACCTCCCAGGTAACCTCAATGCTAGTTTTCGTTCTTGAAAGTCCTCTAACTTGTTGAAGCTTATAAGACGGAGCTAGAAAAGTGGAGACAGGTGATATTATACAAATTGCATTACACTTTTTCGTAAAATCGTGATTGCCGTCATGGTATAAATTATACAATACACAAGGCAATTTTTGACAGTCTTCTCTATAGGCAAGAAATGTCTTACTAAGGAAGAGTTCCAATGGAAATTAGACTCTTCCCCTGAAAGTGACCTTCGGCCAATATGGGCTTATTTTGTGAACGATCTAATTGTAGTTAAGATCTCACTCAGAGACAAATCTTATGATAATTGGAGTGAGTGAAATAACAACAATCTGTCTTCCTGATGTGATCGAATACAATTCCTGTATACTTAAGCATAATTCCTACATATGGCTAATGAGATGAATAAATCTAGGGATGCGATCTCATGTTCAGTGGCCTACCTGCTTCGCGAGTTTTAATTTGTTTTGAGTAAAAGCTCCAAGGACTATTTCCGACTGAGTTGACAGCTCTAATACGAAACTGATAGTACGTGTTGGGAGCAAGGCCTGGAACTTGGTATCTCTTGATTATTCCAGACACTATCACATCATTCCTCAAGGTTCTCTCTGTCCCATTTACCGGCACTTTAATGCCAATTTTAAAATGACGTATTGCACTGTTGCCATCGTCACCGGCACTCCATTGTAGGACGACTGAATCAGGGCGTATGTCGGACACTTTCGGAGCAGTTGTTGCAAAAGGAGGAGCTGAAAGGAAAAACTCGCGTGATATGGAAGCACAAAACGTCACCACTTAATTACTCATTTGTCTAGGCATTGAGAAAATGGGCACTTATCTAAAGATGGATCATAAGATTTTCCACTGAAGGTAGGCTACAAAATAGAAGGATGCATCCATGCAATTTTAACATTAAAATATTTGACAAAACTTTAAAGCATTTAGAATCTTTGATGTTGCATCACATGGTGTAGATATTGAGAATTATCAAGCATTGTATACAATAACTTTATTTGGTAACAACGTTCAGATCTACTGGACAAACATATCATAGCAGGAAACCAAAACGTACCTTGAACTTTCAGTTCGATAGTGGTCGAGTAATCGCCGACAGACGATGATGAATCGCAACGATAGACACCATTATCCCTTTGGAACACACCACGTATAGTGAGCCGACCTTCGCTGTCAATGCTGCGTCTTGAGTCATCTCTAAGTATCTGCTGACCTCTAAAATACCAACGATACGTGACGTTGACTTTCTTATCATAACGGACACCACAGTAGAGATATGGATGGTTGCCTAAGGACGCAAACACCGTGACGGACTTATTTACGACAACGGTCGGAGCTGGAGAGAGAAAGAAATGTGGTCACATATCTGTTTTCTTTTTCAAGAGATGCATGTGTGCGTGCATGTGATACCTTACCCTACGTTTCCTGTAGGTTTGCAAACGGCGCAAAAAGTAATAGAACTGGATTGCGTTTATACTGCACCGGAGAGGAATTGTTTGAAAACTTCACTTTTTATGGAGCGATATGACCACACTTTCTAAACGTGGTCGAACAAAAACGGAGCGCTACGCAGTGTCGTGTGAACAGCCAGCAGTTGATATTTTGCTGTTTTTGAGATACCAGTTCTCTTCAATTCGTCACGCGTTGTGGTGCATAATTGAAAATGGTGAACATTGTATGTTTTGGAAAGCTTTCAATGACAAATTCCGTTGTAATTTTACAAATCAACGTCTTTTATGACTTATGACTACAGTTATAAAAATCTAGCAATGTGAAGACGAAAAATGACGTCATTTTATCACAAAAAACTAACGAATTTTGACACTTGACGGCAAGAGACATTATGTGAAAACATGGCAAAACTGGAATTCAACGGGTAAACGCAGTCAAATTTTACGGTCACTTCTTCGCTTCGAAGTAGTGTAAACGTGGTCGTAGCTCATGTGCTGGCGTGAATACGTTTGAACCAGAACACAAACAACTTTTTCCTTTGATAGTTTAAAAAATCTTTAAAGCGACACATGTTTCACATGTTTCTTAATGCTTGTAATCTTCCTAAAGCTTCGTAATCTTGACTATTCTTATGAATTAGTTCTGGTTGTTTTCATATGCAAGATATTAAACTGAAAAATTTTTGTTTTTCTTAATACTTTCCTGTTGTTAAAGAAATTCTCAGATTTCCAATGAAACAAGATAAAAGTAATTAAAGAGCATGACTTAATTGGATTGAAATCTCTCATTAGCTTCGTGTTTAGCTTTAGCTTTACGGTGATAGAAGTTTTAAGTTCACTTTTGGTGAGCATTTTATCTACTTTTGTATTTCTTTCTGGTTACGCATTTGGTGCACACAGATTCTTAAATCAAGACGTGAATTTTAATTAATATCACGATCCTTAACTAAGACGTGATTCTTAAAGTGCCGATAAAACGAAAATTTTGCAAGTTAAATTATGTTTGCAACGATCAGAACTTTTGAAATGACAATGCACTTTCTAAAACAGTAAATGCACTTCTGTTTTTATTCTCGTGACATTGCGTTTTTGTTATTTCAATTAATCCAACTTGTGACGTCATATTGCATAATGGCTCCCACAATGTTTCAAATACTCTTCAGTTTCGTGACAACTTTAGGTTGATACCAGTAGGCAACATTTTTTACCATTAGCAACATCACAATGAAGGGAACTCTGTCTTTGTGAAGTAAAGTATAGGTAAATATACCGAATAATTTTAGTTCTCATTATGCAATGTGACGTCATAAGTTAAATAAATTGGACAAAGCAAGAACCTCAACAAGTAAAGAATGAAAAGTGATATGCATGAAATGGTTTAGAATGTCCACTGTCATTTTAAAATATCTCTTCAATAAAAGTATTACTCAGATAGCAAAAATTTTGTTTCATAGGCACTTTAAGACAATCCATGAATATAATTCTTAAGTTAACATTTTATCAATGGTAGGGTAGAATTGTGATCAGATAATGGATTCTGGGTTTTTCGAAAATCGAAATGGAATTACGTACAATCACAAACACGAGAACAACCTATAGTCAAACTCATAAATTGTTAACGTAACAATGTAAAGTTGTTCGGTTTTAGATAATGTAAAAAACATGTGCTCTCCTATTTAAAGATCCTAAAGTTGGGCCTAAACATTTCCCGACACTGCAAGATAACGTCTTGCACATTTTTGCCTTTTCTAAAAGATTCGTGTTATAGATATCAATCAAAATCATTTTATTACCTGACACACTCTCTCCAACTCTTACAAATTTTGCTCAAATTAATCAATGTCTTATCTTTCACATTCGCGCCATCCAATTTTCGTTCCCATTTATGCATTTTCACCATTGCTCTCACCATTTGCTCTCTGACAAGCTCTCACCATTCCATTGCTCTCTGACATCTCTCATTCACCATTTGCTCTCACATTTCTCTTTCCATTCCATTCACATTCCTTCCATTCCATTCCTTCCATTCACCTTCCTTCCATTTCATTCCATCCCTTCCATTCCTTCCATTCTCATTCCATTTCTTCCATTTCGATCATTCCATTCCATTCCATTCCATTCTATTCAATCCATTTTCTCATTCTCATTTATCTGACATTCTCCATTTCTCATTCTAATCACCATTTTTCTCATTTAATCTCTTTCATTTATCTCATTTGTCTACAAAACCTGTTCTGACGCTTCTGTTGCTCATGACAATCTCACTTGCAACTCTGAACAATGCTCCATTCTTCCATGCGACAATTCTGATGTTTGCTCTCAATGATGACTCACCATTTGCTCTCTGACAATCACCATTTTTACTCTCTGACGCCTCCTCACCATCTCACGACGTTCTCTCTGACACTCTGACAAGCTCTCACCATTTTTTCTGACAAGCTCACATTTTTCTGACATCTCACCATTTGCTCGCTTCTCTGATTCTGCATCTGGCACAAGGTCTCATCATTTGCTCTCTGACATTCTCACCATGCGACCCGTCGCCTACTACTCTGAGAAGCATTGCTACAATTATTTCTAATAAACTCTAACCGTGCCTGAAATACTTTGACTTTCCTGGGACATGTTTTTATGCATTATACATTCTTATTCCCTCCTAATTAGTAATACATACATCGTTACACTACGACACATCGTGTGCCTTTATTTGCTTAAAGTACTTGTGATCCAAAATAACCTTCTCGTATCCCATCTTATGATCATCCTATACATTAGTTCACAGCTTTCTACGGTAATTTTATCCAATGAAAAAATGAAACTTTTCTTACGCAGTTCCCTTTTCGGCCACCCCATGAAATCTAAAATCGTGTTCATTCTGTAATTCGAGTCCGAAAATTCAATACACTCACCAACTAGTTCCAATCTTCCAAAAGATTTGTGAGCGTCCGCTGGGTTCGGGCCATTCGAAGCCACGCAGGCGTATTGCCCAGCGTCACTTGCTCGCACTGTTTGGATTATGTAAGTTCCATTCTTACCATTATTACGAGGGTTGACAGACGGAAGTTCGTTACCGTTTTCTCCCATTTATACGTTATTGGTGGAGAGCCCCTGGCTCTGCATTCTATCTTGGCAGTACGGCCAAGTACGGCATACACGACGGTCCATAGTAAATATAAGGCGCCGAGCCTACGAAATTAAAAGTATGGGAAAAGCATAAGCAATTCCACTAAATTCTAATACAATAATAAATGAAATGAGGTGAAAAGAACTTAAACATACACATTACTAATAGAAAACTACCGAGACAAATGACCGTTATGTTTTTCTGCCATACAGCAATGGGTGCAAAACATTGAAAAGAATATAATAACTGTTACGTCATGTCAAAATTTGAAACCAAACATTCAACTAGTCCCAATCTTTCCAGACGCCGTCCAAAGAAAGTTCAATTACGACGTTTAGCTAAAAAACACTTTACCCTAAACACGCCTGTGTGGGGATAAAATCTGGCTTCATCTATGTAAAGGCGTGTTTATCTAAACGTACTGCAGCATTACAGTTACATATTCATTGACTTTAAACGAATTTCAGAAATCACAGGAAGACTTCAAAAACGTCCAAGTGAGGTTCAAATCGTTTCAACAAATTTCACGTTATAGAAATGAAGATACATACAGAGTTGATGAGAGAAATAAAGGGAGTATGGCCCAAGACTCCAAACCATTAGTCCAGCTGTTGCTTATTTGTCAAACATTTTTCAAACGTGAATCAGCAAAGAGCACTGTCCCAAACAACCACAAACGAATTAAATGCAATTTCTGATGCGCGCTGTTTTAATATTTACAGGCTAAGTGAACAGGTCACGTTGGCCTGCATAGAGGTAGAGAGTGCCGTAATTGCTCGCACACCAGCAAGTGCTCGTCCATTGAATACGAAGGCAAACCAAGTTAAGATTTTTCTGATCCATCAAAAGAATGGTCTTTGTATTTCTCATGTGCTGACTGTCAGTGACTGACTCGCCATGAAATTTGCCATGGTTGGCGAACATTTGGAAAAAATGAATTTCACAGGGCGTATGTAAATATCAGGGACAAAATTTAGCTTTCCAAACTGAACATCTTCCATTCTTAGGAAAATGACTTGGAGAAGGTTTAATAGTAAGGTGTAAACGTCAGGTTAGCCGTATTTGTTATCTGGTTCTAACTTCATTGTATTGTGTGTACAGGAAATGTGTGGGTGTCAATTGTTTATTGTCATTGTGAATTAGTGTGAAGTGTAATGTTTTTAGTTGTGATGTGTGATTTGTGTGATGTTTGTTGTGATGTGTTGTGTCGAAACGTCAGTCAACAACAACAAAAACAGTCCTTCTCAGGACTATACCAACCTAGACGATCTACATTTACAAACATGTAACGATACTCCCGGGTTCAAAGCATTTACTTTAGTAAAGTGTCTTTCAATATTTTGCAAGTCCGGACGTATGGTTGCAAAGAAAAAGCTCGAAAAAGATCCAATGCAATAGCGTGCTTATTCATAACACTTACCAACAACATTGACGGAGGTATACGCCATATTACGTCCGCCAGTGTTAACTGCGAAGCATTGATACATCCCACTATCCGTGCCTTTCTTCAATGCCGTTACATTCAGAGTGAAGTTTCGGTAATCAGTAAACACCCTTGACGTCATACGTGTCCGAGAATTTTGCGACAATTTCACACCATTTCTGTACCAGTTGAGAGAGAAACCAAAGTTACTAAACATTCCAGTTACCATACATGTCAGCGTTATGTAGCTTCCAATGTAGCCGATTTGATTGGTCGGTTCAATGGCTTTAATAACAGGTTGCTCTGCATATACAATGCAATAAACGTAGGATTAATACACACAACATTTTTTTGTGCAACATCTTCAGTGTGACATAAGTATAATGAGATTAAGTACATTAACTTCATATGTACCATCCTCACTATGACATAAGTATAAAGAGATCAAGTACATTAATATCTTATGTAATTTCCTCACTATGACATAAGTATAAGGAGATCAAGTACATTCAATTCTTATGTACCATCCTCACTATGACATAAGTATAAGGAGATCAAGTACATTAATTTCTTGTGTACCATCCTCTCTATGACATAAGCATAAGAAGATCAAGTACATAGATTTCTTATGTACCATCCTCACTATGACATAAGTATAAGAAGATCAAGTACATTAATTTCTCATGTACCATCTTCACTATGACATAAGTATAAGGAGATCAAGTACATAGATTTCTTATGTACCATCCTCACTATGACATAAGTATAAAGAGATCAAGTACAATGATTTCTTATGTACCATCCTCACTATGACATAAGTATAAGGAGATCAACGCACAACTACGAAAAGTAACTGTCATACTCTACATTCACGAGTTGTTAAGTCATTTTACTACTATACATCATCTCACATCGTGATATCATATCTTACCAATAACAGTCAGGGTTGCTGTTGGAAAATTGCTACCAGTTGCTCTACTATAGGCACATTGATATATTCCACTATCATGTTTATTTAAGTTCTTAATCGTGAGCCTTTTGTTGTGATCGGAAATTACATATTTCGGACTTTTACCAAACGGCGATCTCCTTTCTTCCACGTGATCACGGGCATTGGACTAAAAACAAAGATCTACCTCTAGGTACATTTACGAAACACGTCTTGATTTATTCGCCCTCCCCCCAGGATTGAAATAACACGTTTCATCTTCGGTGAATGAATTCTTGGGAACTTAAGCACGTGGAAGGTGGATACAAGTTTGAATCGGGGAACTTCACATGTGGAAGGTGGATACAAGTTTGAATCGGGGAACTTCAGCATGTGGAAGGTGGATACAAGTTTGAATCGGGGAACTTCAGCATGTGGAAGGTGGATACAAGTTTGAATCGGGGATCTTCAGAATGTGGAAGGTGGATACAAGTTTGAATCGGGGAACTTCAGCATGTGGAAGGTGGATACAAGTTTGAATCGGATGAACTTCAGCATGTGGAAGATGGATACAAGTTTGAACCGGGGATTAAAAAATGTACAAATGTACTTTAGTAGAATGAAACAAAATACTAACTTTCCCGTAACAAAACATTCAAATGTAGCTTCGCTTTCTCTTTGCAATCCAATTGTCTGACTTCTTGGACCCAACATCGCTGACCCATAGATGTTGCCTGCACCACTGTTGGCTAAACAAAGAAAACAAGCTTTAAGTTGAACTGTAAACAAAACAGAATCCAATTTGTTCTTGGAAATACAAACAACGAGCAATGCATTTCATGCGACGTTCTTTAAATAAGTACGTATGATTATGAACTTGCAAAACTTATTAAGCTATTATATAATAGCAACACCAATACCATGTAGTCTACTACACAAATCCACAAGCCAAACATTATTTAATATGAACAAAACCAAATACACAAGTCTTACGGTCAAAGCACGTGAAAGTTCTGAAAATTCAGAAAACTGAAACTCGAAAAAGGTTGAACAGAAAAATAGCGTACATTAACTCTACTTAAAAATTTCGATGGACTGAACTAGTCCTAAAGGCTTAAAAAGGGTCACTACATACACCACCAAATCAACTTGTATGAATCCATTATTGTACGACAATGAAAGCTATAATCTTCGCGTTATAAACTTTTAGGCCGGAGTCATTTTGGAGGGTTTTGAGCAAATTTTTGAAAAAAGTCAAACTTTTTATTGAAAATGTATTGAGTCGTTTTGATTGGATAATTGACGTTCTGCAATAAGTACAGAACACACCGGTGAGCAAAATAATCGTTTTAGACGAAAGTGCCAAAATTAAAAAAAGATTACTTAAGCAAAAAGGTTAGTAGCGTGACGTATTACATACGTACCTGACACTTGCAAAGTAATTGTTTCCCTAGATTGTGTTAAGGAGCCCAGTTGCATTTCCACCGTATACTCCCCTGCATCACTAGGGCTCAACATAGCAATATATATGTCGCCTTTTTCTGACACGCTTATCCGTTCATTCTCAGCAATTGCTTCGTTATTGAATTTCAATATAAACCGTGGTTTTGGATATATGGAATGAGTATAATCGGTGAACACGTATTTCCATCCTTCATATTGTGTACCCAGTCTTGTAACGCCTGTTTTCTTGAAACCGCTTACATCTACGAAGTATGAAATAATGGAAACGAGTTAGATCATGCAATATCAATACAATATCCGCGCATATAGCAATGTAACTCAAGCAGTTGGTATTTTGCAATGATTCGAGCGAAAGTTCTTTATCATGAGTTAAAATAACGTGTTTACGAAACGAAAACTTTGATATTTACATTATACTTTTAGTGAACAGAGCATTTTGAAATGTAGCAGACTTTCATTCTCAAGATATTGAACTTTATTGAAGTTAATTTACGCTACTTGCAGCATTAAATGACAACAGCTTGAATAATCAGTTTCATTTGCTGATATGATATTACAGGCAGGCTGAATGCCCTTCGTTGTAAAATATTGATAGTATAAATTATATTTATAATCATACCATTAAGACTGTTGGTGTTCTGTTTACTGGCGTGTCGATCTTTACTAAAAGCATATTTAAAGTCCCGGCATTTATTTATTTATTTATTTAAGGATATTTAGCTACAGAATATAAAACATATTATTAGTGATACTGTTTTTCACATGTGTCATCTTTAACAAACAAGAAATCAATAATAATTGAAATTACTACAAGCTAAATATTTAAAACTAACTAAAATGTTCTTGCAACAGTGGGTTAAAGGTTTAAAGGTCTTCGACGTCCACAAAACTGGTTATATACCTTAGAGCTTGCAAATCGAAAGGATTGTCTAATAAACTCTAGTTTTACTTTAGCCATCCGGAAGTGACTCTGGCGTTTATCACCAATGACAATCCTTGAAAGCATTTTTGGGGCCGATTACATGGAGCAATTTCAGCCCGTGATGAGTTTCAGCCCGTTGGCCGGTTGTGTGAATATGGCCAATTTCAGCCAGGTGTTTGACCCATAGATATAATAAACATAGATTGCTGGCCCAATGAACTCCATATATATATATATATATCCTACCGTACATCCTGTGTCCCAAGTGCAGGAGTCACCATTTTACTATGGTGATAGCCGGGAGGGCACATTGTATATACACTTTGTAACACATTGTATATATTAAAACGAAAATAAAAGCGACAATACATTTTATAGACACAAAATTGAAGCCTAAGCCCTAGTCTCTTGCGCGGTTTGTACGTAAGTTCCAGTCCTTCAAAGTCGAATATTCACGCGGTTTGTACGTCAGTTTCATTCCCCTGAGTGCCAAACATACACGGCCAATATAAATTTGAATACAAATTGCCAAAGCATAAACATATAAACAACATCACGACAAACGACACACGAGGTCAACTCTTCGCAAAAGGTTATTTTTTACAACTGAAACTTTACTACAGTGAGTTCGTTGTAACTTACAACTTGTAACGAGGAAAAGCCAACTGAAAATTACACTGTACGCTAAAAAGACAATGCAATAAGAAAATATGACGAGAAAATATTCAAGCAAAAATTTTTCTTACATCGGAAGGTAAATTTTCAAACGATGTCAGACAGTGTTTGTATTTTTTTGTCATTTCAGTGGATTTAAAGATCTGTTTTTCCGAAGAAAAAAGAAATCTTGAATATCCAGTTTCATAAAAAATATTGAGTTTATAACTCGCATATTTACTTTTTACAGAGCGATTGTCATTTTCATCGATTTTGATAGTGCTTGAAATACTAAATGGTTGTCATCTCAATATCAATAATTGAATATCCTTAAAGACTTTGATATGTTTTAAAGGAAAACCACAGCTTAAGAGCAGATTGACTGTGTATGACAAAAATATATAGTAGCTATATTAAAGATATTTTCATTCTATATGTAAATTTTGTCGAATAAAAATTCATACCAACAAATCCTTTTAGTTTATTTGAAAAACGTAATAATACTATTGCACTGAGGATGATGTAGAATTGAAACATAATTCAAAGGATTTTCTTCGTGAAGATAAAACTGACTAGTAAAATGAAATCAACTGAGGTCAAACTAAAGATCTTGATAACAAAATACAAATTGTTTATAAACACACGCGAGAAACACGAGTGACGACGAGTGATGACGACAAATACTTTTTTGGCTTCAATTTGTGGCTTCAGTTATCGTTCCAGTTATTTAAATCGAGTTCACTGAGCCGGCCATAGCAAATTGAACATTCCTAGATGGCAGCTCAAGCGGGCAAAAAAACTATAATTTGTATTACGAAAATGAGGTTTTCGCATTTTCCGTCTTTGTACCCCTTCTATCCTAGTTCTAGCCACTTTTTGGAAATGAGAGGACATTGTAGAGTTTTGGATGTAAACTTGGATGCATCAAAGGAATAACACGACAAATATTTCTTCGTCAAATTTTACCGAATTGTCACCTGAGTCCAATGATTGTAATTTTGTTGAGTCTTGACATATTCTAGATATTTTCATGACAACGAAATAACAAAAAGTTCAAAATATTGATGTTTCTTGGTTGAATTTCTCATTTAATTCGTAACATGCACCAAAAAGGGCAGAAACAGCCGAAGACCTTATTAGTCAAAACACTTGAGGCTGAGGAGTCTGCCTGTTGCTTTTCACTACCTAAAGAGATGGACTTGTCAAATCTATATTATTTTGAAACTACTTAGTGTATGTGCATAGTAGTGAAGCAGGTTGACTTATTATTTATTTACCTACAGCCGCGCAGTGTGCGTTAGCAATGTAGGTTCTATTATATCTATAGTTTGACCAGGCTGAATCGTCATCAGAAGCAATAGGTACGCAATTACGCATTCGTGAATATTTTAGCTGTGATTTCAGCCTGGGCTGAAACGATTACATGACATATTTTTCAGCCAGGGCTGAAATTGCTCCATGTAAGAGACCCCTTACTAAAGTTCCTGTCGTAATTAATGGATCTTTTCAGACTGAGTCACACTGAGTCAAAAATGAAAAATTTTATTTCAGTATAAAATTTCTATTGAGTATAAAAAGATTTTGTACCCAAATCCCATGACAAAGTGCTTTTCAACTTACATACAAGCTGTAACTCAGCCATATTTGATAGCAGAGAAAATGTGTTGTCAGTAATCAGGCATTGATATTGGCCATTATCACGACTGTAGTCTGATGGGTTGATGTTCAAATCTCCTTGCATGGTTGCCACTATAGGTGACCTGTCTGCTTGCAAAAGTTGGCCATCTTTATACCATTTAAAATACACTCTGTTGTTGCCACGGCTACCTCCAACGCAACTCAGTGTAACTGAACCAGAGTCAATTGCCTGGCCAAGTTGGTCATTCAATGCTGGTCTATTACTGAAAAACAATCCTGGGTGCAATTCTATAGAAATAAAGACAATTTTTTTAAAATTTCATTTAAAAACACACTGTCATACATCCTCATCCGCTTGTGATCATGAGGTCGTTAAAAACTTAGCATGGGGTGGGAGCAATAAGTGCTGAAACCAAGACTTTATACTTTTCATAACTTTTATTACATTTTAAAATGATTGCATTTTTTTGTGTCACACTATTTCATGCTTTGTAATATGTTTGAAATCCACAGTCAGTATGATAATCGGGGCCACTATATAATATCTCATATATATATTGATCTCATTTTCTTCAGACTTCTAACACTTAAAATTCAAGAGTGCAATTTACATGTAATTTGCAAACATAAAATGAATATTATGACACACGACTCTTCTCGAAGAAATATGTAGCCAAACGGCCCAGATTGTTGAATTTAATACGTTTACAATTTAAACCGTTTACAATTAATCATGGCTTTTCATCGCACAACTCGAGAGTAAAGTGAAATCGATTTAGCGGAAAAGCATAAATAAAAACAACTATCGAAGAGAGAATTTTTCTAAATACTTTTTAAGTTTGTAAAGTCATCCGTCAACGCAAAGTGTACAACTTCTCTTACACAATATTGTATAATAATTGAAGCATATCGGTCGCCTGACTGAAAGATATATGACCACGGTTATTGGGACGCGTCTCGAAAGCAGTGACATGTAAAATGTGAATAAAAACATAAAATAGAATCATGTAAAATATTTCTCGAATAAGTACGAAATGTCAATGAAAATTGCTCTAAACATTTATTGTCATCTCCTGGCTGGTTGATTAAACCACTTATTCCACTTAAACCACTTATTGTTTAAGCCACTTATTCAATATTAATTGCGATGGGCATCTTGAGCGTATTTATGGCACATACAAAGTTTTCAAAATAAAAAACACTTGAGAAAAACGACGATTTTTTTGAAAGCAAACATGTTTGACATTATCAGAATGCCATCTACAGTGCAGAATGGTTAGTGTTAAGTAATATGATAAGTAATATGATATGAATAAATTACTTACAATGAATAGGATTATGATCAAACGCTTTCGAATGTGGTATGTATCTCGATTGTCAACATTAGGCAGTGGAAAACACAAGAACTTTGGAAAAACTCCAAGTGAATTGCAATCTTTAAGGAAGGCGACATCAAGTTCAGCCTTGCGTTTCTTAGTTGTAAGCTTTTCATAATTTCGAAAATCCGACAAGGAAACCTTTCCATGATAATTTTGTTGACAATCGAGATACATACCACATTCGAAAGCGTTTAATCATAATCCTATTCATTGTAATTAATTTATTCATATCATATTACGTATCATATTACTTAACACTAACCATTCTGCACTGAAGATGGCATTCTGATAATGTCGAAACATGTTTGCTTTCAAAAAAAATCGTCGTTTTTCTCAAGTGTTTTTCAAAATAAGTTTTACAGCACTTACGTTGTATCGTTCGAGTTGTAGTTACACTGTCTGTATACGAGCTACAAAGATAACCGACGATAAATGCGACTTCCAACTTCAAAAGTATCATTGATGACGATGTTTTCATAGCAAACGAATACTGCTGCTCTTTGTAATTACAAGTTTCTTGTCAAAAACACGTCACAATAAAACGTGTAATTTATAATATAAAACAAATTCCGAAGAAACAAGACATCTTGAGATTGCAAAATATGAATCAAAACAAGACGAGAAGTAAACTGTAAATTTTCGACTTTATTTCAAAGTCATCCTCAGACAGAATGATATTTAAAACCAAACATACACATATATATTTACAACGCATGAAATAAGTAAACGGAAATAAGCAATAGAAATTAAATAGTGTCATATTTACAATGAGTTGGAAGAGGTGTAGTATTACAAAAGGATGATTTGAAACTGCCGACCCGACTGGTAGAATGAGTGTGTTATAAATTAAGAAAAGAGTTGTAATTCTTTGCTAGCCTTAACTCCCGTGTTTAGAAAAGGTTTGTTATTTTTAATGAGTAGTGCTTCAAGAAAAGCAAGAATGTGGTAGTTGTTAGATTTGGTTGAGTGAAGTATTTTATAGTTGTTGAATACAAGGTTTTCTATAGGAGAGGGAGTTCTGGGAGGTGGAGGGAGATCATTGAGTTGTAAGAACTGGTTTTGTAGAGTCGCCAGGAATTGAGCGTTTTCGCACTCAGAGAAAAGCTGGCCAACTGCACTAGAAGAGAGTCTGGTTGCATGTTCTCTGAGCCGTACAGACAGGCATCTTTGTGTCATGCCGATGTAGGTTTTACCACAGCCAGGGCAAGTTATTTCATATATAAGATTACTGCGAGAAAGTGAAGGAAGTTTGTCCTTGTTAGAGACAAAATAGGACAGTTTTTTAGTGTCATAAATAGTAATAAATTTCACCGGTTGAGAAAGATGTTTTTGTATTTTCTTAAAACAGGATTTCAAGAGGAAATCGCCACGCATGCCAAGATAAGGAATACGAACCCAGATTTTAGATAGATTATCATCTATAGAAGAGCGGTTGTCAATGGAAATAGAATCATTGTATTTGGATTTTAGTTTTTTAAACAAAAAGTTTTTAACGCTGTTAGGATAACCGTTCCAAGACATGTAAGATTTGATTATTTCAATTTGATTGTTGAAAAGTGTTTTATTGCTACAAATTTTGAAGGCACGGTGATAAAGAGATTTTACCCATGATATTTTACGATGAAAAGGTTCGAAGTTAGAGAAGTGTGAGTACTGACCAGTGTGGGTGTCTTTTCGGTAAATGTCAGTTCCGTCAACTGAAATTTTTATATCTAGAAAGTGAATTATGCCATTGTGAAATGTATCAACTGTGAATGTGAGATTGGCATCAAAACTACCTCCAGTAGTTTTGATGCCAATCTCACATTCACAGTTGATACAGGATATCCCTCCACCTCATCCTCCTCTATGTCCAGTAAAAGATCTTCCCAAAAAGCAAGAATTCTGCTTTCTACTCTCCATCTATTCGATTCCACCTCGCTTCTACGAACTGAAAATAGATTTCCAAGTACAACTGATGAAAGCTGTTGTTCGTGGAAACACATAACCTTGTGAAATGTGGAAAGGTTGCAAAGAATGGACTCAAGAACACCTAAGCAATTGAGACCGTTACGGAAACTTTCAAACGCAGGCCGAGTCCTACCCAGAATATACCAATAAGCTGTCTCACGTGCAACATCTTTAACATCATCAACACTTCTCATCAATCTCAACGAACCAGATCGCTCTAAAACACTCTATAATTTCTTACTTGCAATTATTTCATTTGCCTCTTGAACTGATTCAGCAGATATTAACTGCTGTATGCCTACTTGCAATTCTAGGTCATACACAGATTCGACAGGTACAACAATTTCACTTGGCCCATTTACAAGTGAATCAAACAAGACTGGATTAAGACAACGAGGGCCAATTCCACAATGAACTATTGCCATAGCAAAAAGTTGCCCTGCATAGAAATATTCTTGTTCTTTCAGAGCCTTAGCGTCAAGAGATAAATACCTTTCTCGCTCCTTTCCACAGAAAAGTTTACCGGATGATACTTTCTCAATAGCTAAAGTAAAGAATTCTCTCATGGGTCCCCTACATCAACAGCGCCCTCTAAATGACCCACGTCGTCGGTGAACTTTACAGAAACCTTTCTATCAGGGAGAAAGATTTCCTTGACATTCCTCGCAATATCCCAGCCCAAATATCACTTTGGCATATGTTGAATTTGGAAATATGCAGTGGATCAAGATTGCCAGCAAGCTGTTGTAAAATTTCATTTAAATCCAAAACCTTTTCTGGTTCAAGCGTATCCTTTGCAGTACTTGTGTCCGAGTCGAGTGGACTTTCTTCATTTTCGGTGACCATAATTTCATCGTCACGTTTATCATGTAAAGTAGCATCATTGACTTTTTCAAATAGCAATGTTCCATACATCATATCTAAGTCTATAATATTATCACGTTCTTCAATAACATGAGTTGTTTCATTACTCTTTTCTATGAAAGTTTCCGTGCTTTCGGGTGGGCATGTTTCATACAATGGTTGGGTTGTTAAATTGCTTGTTTTCGTGTACGTTGAACAGCATGTTTCTTGGTCTGTGACACGAGTCCCTGATGGTGTTTGACTGCTTCGGCCTGTAATACTAAGCGTTGCGTGGCTTGTTGGAAGTGGTGTTGTAGAATTTTTTGGATCTTTCCTAACGTGCGATATGATAGGAAGTGAAGTTAGAAAAATTTTGTAAGCTAAACCTTTTTTAATATGAAGAAGGAAAACACTTTTGAAATAAGATTTCATCCAACTAGTATAGTTTAGCAATGGAATTTTGTCATTTTTTACTGATATAACATGTGTACATCTGAAAGCCATGATGAACAAGGAGAGTTAGGGGTTAGGGGACTGAGAGCTAGCAGTCAATTACAAACAGCAAACCCGAAATACCAAGATAAGAGTAAAGAAAAAGAATGTATAGGTTATTGTGTTCACGCCATGGCAAATTACTACGAGCGATTGCCATTTGTAACGCTAATTAAATATAGAAACAGTTATTGAACAATTTCTTAAGTCATCGTAAATTTCGTAAAAATTGATTTATTATTTCTTCAATGAGAAATGCAAACAGACCGGACAAGTTGCCCCTAGCAACTATTAACTTGACAGCCAATATGGTTGACAACGAAAACGCAGGCTTTATTATTTTAGATGAAACGCATGGCACGAATAAAAGGAAAGAGATTGAACAGTTTCATGATACTTATAAAAGTGTTGCTATAAATGACCAGTGTGCGTCAAGACGGTCTCCGCTTTTGCATGTTTCGTTTCCACAGCAAATAAATGAGATGCTACCATTGGATAATGATGTTGTAGACACATGTGCTGTATCACAAGCACAGCTGAATTGTGCGAAAGATATGGCAGAAAAGATAGATGAAGAAGAAAAAATACATCTAGATTCATCTTCATTACATCCTTCTCCATTTGAATCCATTTTATTAGACAAGAAATCTGTACTTAAGCAAGATAATGTACAAGTACGACCTCTACCCGATCCACTTGTATGCACCGCTCGAGAATATTGCGAGCACCATGTATTTCCCACTCTTCTTCCGGCTATGCAAGAAATGTTGATAGAAGCGATAGAAAATAAAGTATTTGAGGTCTGCAAGACTCTTCTTAGTACAAATAGTTGTTACAATTATTACAACAATACTGTTAGGTGTTGTTACAACTAACAGTTATCACATGATTTCTGCTGCAACAACTACTTGTTACAAAATAGCTGTTGTTAGTCGTAGCTGTTTTGCCCTAAGATTGTTGTCTCAATTATTTGTTGTTACAAACAAATCAGGGTTGCCCATCCCACCCCCACCCCCAAAAAAGGACCAATTATTGTGATATCTTCATTTGAGAAAAAAGCTCAAAATTTTAGTTTGACTTGCTTTTTTTCATCCTCCGTCAGTCTCTAAACCACCCTAATAAACATGTTTTACAAAACTGGGCTTGACACTGACAGGGAATATCACACTTGCACACACCTCTATTTTGTGCAATATTTATTTAACTGCATAAGTTCAAAACTTGTAGGTTGCCATAACACCACGCAAACTTTTATTCATATTTTGGTGCCTTCCCTAGTTTGGTAAGATTTTATCAATGATAATATGCTTGGTGCATGTTGTAGAATTTGCACAAAATTTACCTAAAAGCCTTGTTTCAGTGCATTGGATTATCTACTATGTGCAAATCTTTTAAGTCAAAACAAACTCTCATAACTAGAAGAAATTTACAATTATGCTCATCAGACAACAATAAGTGAAGTGCTCAATCAATTTTAATTCAATTTCAGAAAAGACGAACAAAGTTTAATGCTTGTGATTATTTGACGAACAACTTATACAGGTTTGTGGTTTGTTTTATTAATAAAACATTGTGCTAATGAGGGCCTTCATATTTTTGAGGTGAATTGATTTTTTTAGTCATAATCCAAAATTCAGCAATCGAGATGGAGTAAAATTGGAAGATATACCTTTGTCCTGAAAATCTTGGCTGAAAAGTAAATATGTGTTTTGACTACTTTCAATTAATCATATTTGTTGATGATTTTAATAATGAAAGAGAAAGTGCTTTTTTTCAGTCCACGACCTCCTATTCCGTCCTCCCTTTTACTTTCTGATGATGAAGCAGCTACAATAATTCAAGCTCATTATAAAGGATACAAAGTAAATATCAACATTTTTGTCAGTAATAGACTAATATGTACAGTGTACAGTCTCAGATTTGGCGTGTCTCTAGAACAGTGGTCAGCAGCATTGCTATTGATGTGTTGAGTAGTAGAGAGGGGCGATTTTTTAAGCAACATTTTTCAAACGAGTTTTATTTTATGACAAAAATTTAATTCCTTGTTGTGAAAAGCAGTCAAAATGTTCAAAACTAAGAGTCGCAAGCTGCCAAGTTGGTTTTTGGTTCCACAAGTATTAGCATAATCAAAACCAAATGGCGAATACTTTTGACGCTACGCAGCAAGCCTGTAGCTTGCTTAATGCATTTAGACTTCTGTGGTTGGTTGCACGCAGCCTGGATAGCGTTATCCATTGGATAACGAATTCTTTTAATTAGTTAAAAACTTCGTAAAAAGAAAAAATATAAGGTTTGAACTGAGCAATCACTGAAATAAAATATTTGCCTCCAAGATTACAAAATTTCTTTGTCGTAACGAAAATATAAGCACCTTTCTTACAAGTTTGAAAATTTTACCATCCAAGCCAAGCTTCGTGCAATCCGCTCCCGGGGGGTGCACTCTATGACGTACGTCGTACGTAATGGACTATATCTAAATATGACAAAGTTGCCATTTACAATATATGACGTAATTAATTTAACTAAAAAATAGTATAGAATAACGTAATTACTAGAGTCATTATGACAAACCTAAATTATTAGTCTGACGTAATACGTCACAATTTATTAGGTTGCCTAAAAAGTAACACGAAGAGATTTTATAAAAGTAAATTAAGGCGTTTGGTATGCTTGGGGGCATAGTGTCAACTTTATTTCATGATGGGGGTACTGCCCCCCAGCTGCGGGATAGCTAGATATTTTTGAAATGTTATAAATAATTTTTCAAATGTTAGAAGGATGTTGAATTTAAAAATAGTTAAATTGAGCAATCAACGGAATGAAATTTTTATTTAAAGATTATAAAGTTTTATTAGCGCGAAGCAAATGCAGTAACTGGTGTAATTAAGCTAAAGGTCAATATTCGATATCCCAGCTTCGTGCAAAATAACGCCCGCAATACGATGAAGAGCTTTAGTGCAGACACAAAATCATCCCTGTAAGTTTTTTTTTCTTTTATTTATTTTACTTGAAAATTGCAAACAAGTACGAATTTACGAACTTACTTACTCTCGCTTTTTTGTTTAGGTTAAATAATTTAGATAGTAAATTTTGTATAGCAGGAAAATTTTTACAGTGAAAAGAATTAATGGTCATATTTTGAACACAATAGGGCATCTAAAATGTTACTTGCAAAACACATTGCGAGTGCCATTTTTTCGTTAACAAAATGGCGGATTTTGTAATTGTTTCACACCGTGAAAATTATAGTAGTATTTATTCATTATGTAGTCAAGGCAGGCCTTTATTATTACTGTATAAAATTGTTTTTAAGTAATTGTAACAACTTATGATTTAAAAAAGGCTTCTTTGCCTAAACGTGGAAGACCAATGCTTCTGAATTGACTTGTGCAGAGAATTTTTAGAAAAACGACACAACGTTCATTGAAGTCAGTGTGCAGCAGGCTCAGATATAAACATAAACAAAAGCGCGTAGTGCATCTTGGTTGACATGCATTCTTTAAAGAATTTATTTTACGTTCATTTCAACCATTTATTCGTGACCTTATTTCAGTATTCTAACAGATATTGAACTTCAAAACTAAATTATTGAGGAAGGCCGCCAAAAAACGTTCAACATTGGTGATTGCCACCCACTCAAAATAACTCGTCGGAAAATTCATTACATGAAAAAGCAAAACTCCCCCAAATTTCAAATGAATTTATATGGTCTTTTGGTTAATACGTTTTTATGTACAGTCAGTTTCAGATTTCGTGAAAAAAACAGCGAAATATAGCAAAATTTGACGTAAGGAAGATCACACAAATTGCGAGAATTTGATGGATCCCACGCCGAAATGACGAATCAATTTCGTACAAATTGTACGCTTGTATACTTCTTGTAGTACATATGTACCTACGTTTAATCTAAACTATTCGTTCAAGCGATTCTAGACCGAGTACTTGGCGAAGCAAATGAACTGGATTGTTCAACGATAGGTTTGGCAGTTCAACAATTTGTTTTTAATGGCGGGAAACGGCCACGCCCGATGTTTCCACGAAGGTTTTCTGCGCTTTTTCATAGGATTTTATACTGTACTGAAATAACACAATATTTCTGACTTTATTTTTCCACGCTTTCTTTGATGTTAGCATTTTAACCCAGATAGTCAAATTCAAACAATCAGTTTTTATCGTTAATACCTATTTAATTAAGCAGTTTGTGATGTCTTCCGTTTCAAAATCTCCAAATAGCTGTAAATTCAACTTGCGTCACCAAGGTCTTTAGCCTTGCAGGCCAAACTATCTCATTGTTTATATTGCGTGAATTTTGAATAAGAAACTTTGGATTTTATCCGCATAAAATTAGTTGACCTAAGGCCAACGAAAATCTCGACCAACCATTTTGTATAATTGCTCGTTAAAAGGTCTATAGTAACGTCTCAGTTCATTCAAAACAGCTGGCTCAATTTTCGGGTGAAGACGACCTTTGTTTTTTCCCAAACAACGCTCTTTCTTATTGGTTGATCCGCGAAAGCAGGGAAAACCCTTCTCGTTGTTATGAACAAAATTGCTTCTTGAGAAGTACGGCTTGAGCTCAAGAAATTCTTCGACTTTTTTGATTTCGTCGTATGGATTACTAACAAGCTGTTCTCCGCTGACAAAATGAAACGATTTCATGGGAAAGTACTTCAGCCATCGCTGTAAGTGTTTACTATAAACACCAGTTTTAATTACTCCCCAAGTTGTACGCACGGCAAATGTCGAATTACTGTTTTTAATAGCCATGTTTTTGAAAGGCTTCAGGACATTGTTGTATTTTCGTCGATTAGTCAAATTAAGTTGTACATAATCGGAAATTGCCCTGACCGTTGGGTCGCGAACAATTACGAGAAATCTCAACGTCTTATTTATGGTTTTCGCATATTCGAGAATCCTTATGGGTACACCTTTAACCACAAAATAACTCGGTGTTTTTTCAATAGCTTGCTGTCCTGTTTCCACATATGGCATCTGATCAAGATACCACTGCAAACCACGCGGATATCTGATGTCGAAGTAATGCATTTCAGACCCGCATGCTTTTACCTGAGGGTGCAGTCGGAGAATAGTTAGTAAAGCACGCGTGCCTGCCTTTCGCATCCCTATAATTAAAGTGGTAGGGAAGCGTTTCACTTCTGCGCCTAATTTGTTCACCATTAGCGACTGTGCAATTGACCTCGTTGGATTAATTGTAGAATGCAAGTCATTTCCTGTCTCGGCGGTTCGTATGATACTATAGCAATCCGGTGGTAAAGATGTGTTGTACTTGACCTGCACTCTCGACGATTTTATAATATTCAAAAATACACGCGTGCTTGTCGATTTTGGATCATTGTTATCCACTCGCGATCCAACGTCTCTTCCAATGTCGGTAAAGCGCGCGTTTGTGCGGTTATTTTGAATAAATTGCGTGTGGAATAAATTACGTTCACCTTGAATTGATTTGTTGCCCCTCGTCAGAAGTGTTGAGATGATTGAAGTGTAAAAACCCAGAGATAGACCAATAAGAAGAACCAGTTTCTTTGTGGTCATAGCCAAACGTCTTAACACCCTATGGGTCGCGCGCACTCGCCAACAAGCCGTTTGTACCATTAAATACCTATCAACACAACAATACACAAATTTTTATTTTATGACTCGAGGAGCATTACATTTGGATCACTTAGATGAAACGAATCGTTATCAGAAGCGATCCTTGCTTATTTATTAAAAAAATAGCACTTGTTCCCTTGGTTGCCGAAATGACTGTTTACAAACGAAAACTCCTAGATTTTTTTGACACTGAAAAGGTGATTGAAATAATCTAGTCTGCTTAAAATATTTAATTTTTAGCAGACGAGAGTCTATATGTGAAGCACTTGATGACGTTATTCACCTGTTAGCGACTGAAATGAGAGACATAAAGGCTCTCTTGTCATGTAGTGCTTGATATGTAGAGAGCACAGAATAGCTTTGCTGTACTTATTTTACTGGGAGGAGATTGATGCTTGCAACGTCGGTGGTTTGACGAGCAACATATGATAGCAAAATTATTTCTATCATTTTATATCAATAGTACGTACATAACAACAATATAGGGAATAAACAGTGGGACCACTTCGCTTTGCAACTTGCTGCTGTATATTTAGTTAGATTACTGGCTGGCGTTAGCCATTTCATCATTCCTATTGGTCAAAAAAAGCAAATGACTGGCTGCCACCATGGTAATCATATGCGAAATAAGATACGCGCGGCACGAAAAAATTCAATTGAGTGACCTTCCCTACTGTTTATTCACTCTACTGTGGCGTACATATTTGGTGTTACAATAACAATATAGCGCGTGCGCTGATTGGCCAGAAATTGAATCTGTTTTATTGTAGAAAAAAACAAGACATTCACGCCTCGCTGAATCCCGGCTACCCGGGCTCATGTGAACAGCCCCTAAGTCCTCTATACATTCTCACTCTTTTGGTTTACCCCCCTGGGAATAAACTACGATGACCTTTTTCTACGATGAAGTCATTTTTAACTCATTAATAGTATTCGTAATGAATTGATAATGCAACAACGAATACGCTCAATACGAATCCCGCGTATCAGTTATGGTCATTTTTAACTCATTAATAGTATTCTTAATGAATTGATAATGCAACAACGAATACGCTCAATACGAATCCGCGTATCAGTTATGGTCATTTTAACTCATTAATAGTATTCTTAATGAATTGATAATGCAACAACGAATACGCTCAATACGAATCCCGCGTATCAGTTATGGTCATTTTTAACTCATTAATAGTATTCTTAATGAATTGATAATGCAACAACGAATACGCTCAATACGAATCCCGCGTATCAGTTATGGTCATTTTTAACTCATTAATAGTATTCTTAATGAATTGATAATGCAACAACGAATACGCTCAATACGAATCCCGCGTATCAGTTATGGTCATTTTTAACTCATTAATAGTATTCTTAATGAATTGATAATGCAACAACGAATACGCTCAATACGAATCCCGCGTATCAGTTATGGACGTTATTTTCTCAAAAATTAATTTGGCGTTTAAAGGGCCTGTAAAACGAAAATTTTGATGTTTAAATCATATTTTCATTGAAGAGATTTTTAGAAATGACAGACGACTTTGAAACAGTTAAGTCATACATCTTTTCCTACTCAAGATATGGACATTTTGTGATAACCATATCGATTTATAGCAAAATGAGAATTTGAATTATTTGTGCTTTTCTGTTACATCAATCAGACAGATTAATTAGCATAAACTGCGGGAACAGAAGGCGGGATGCATTGCCCATATGATGTGTTTGTTTATATAATCAGCAAGCAATAAGTACTCGAAATGATTATCTTATCTGCCTGTTTTTTTCTCTTCTTTTTTTTCTTTTGATGAACATCATATATCTAGCGTGTACTTGTCTGCGATCGTTCAAGAAATATTTTTTGTTCTGCTTTCCAGGAATTTTGGTTGTAAGGACTTTATAATTCCGCGGAACTAGGGGATCATAGCGTACGCCACGGACATACGCAGAGATGTTATATCACTGATATTTGTGTAATATTAATTATATCATGTTTTTTAAGGTGGCAAGCATCGCTTCCGGTAAAATAGTACGCTTTGATTGGCTGAGAAATATTTTTGGCACTCACTTTCTTGTCAAGAAAACGGTCCAGTAATTGACGTGTTTTACAAAATTATGGTAAAAAGTAGCACAGGTTTTATTCATTACTACATCGATATAAAAGAAAACATGTAAGAATACGCATCGAAGGAAAAACACTCGAAAAGTGAGTTTTGTTTTGCAGACAACACAATTTCATAGATTTTTTTTGACTTATAACGAAAACCTGAGAAATGACGTTCCGTTTCACGTCAACTTTTCCAATGTATAATAAACCTTTTGTTAACCTCGAAATGTTGTAAATGAAATACTTAAATAACGCATTTTCTTATCCTCAAATGAACTTGCGTCATGTTTCGATGACAACGCCAAAATTGCGAAGTAAATTCAGAGTAAAATTTACTTACACATCATAAAGATTACGTATTTTTTTAATTAACACGTTTTCACGTAACACTGTAGCGTGACAGGATAGAATTATGCGAAGTAAATTCCGAGTAAAATTTACTTACACATCATAAAGATTACGTATTTTTTTAATTAACACGTTTTCACGTAACACTGTAGCGTGACAGGATAGAATTATGCGAACTAAATTCCGAGTAAAATTTACTTACACATCATAAAGATTACGTATTTTTTTAATTAACACGTTTTCACGTAACACTGTAGCGTGACAGGATAGAATTATGCAAACTAAATTCCGAGTAAAATTTACTTACACATCATAAAGATTACTTATTTTTTTAATTAACACGTTTTCACGTAACACTGTAGCGTGACAGGATAGAATTATGCGAACTAAATTCCGAGTAAAATTTACTTACACATCATAAAGATTACGTATTTTTTTAATTAACACGTTTTCACGTAACACTGTAGCGTGACAGGATAGAATTATGAATTTTCGATAATTGCGGTTGTTCTATAAATAACCGAACAATATGTCAATATCGTGTGACATAACACCTCGCCATGTTCAGTAATGGGTTAAGGACACTGATATGTATAAAACTGGATAACACAACTTAGTACTTGACTTGAAGCCGGGTGGCGGCCATATTGGACTATCCACTTTTTCAGTTTTTATATAGGTTTTATATAACAAACTGCTATTCTCGCATACATTTTTGATCATATGTTTTACTCTTTTGACAAAAAAGTAGTATGATGACAAGACAGCAAGAGAACGGTTTTAAGCAAAAACTCATGTTCTCTAAATTTCATATAGAAATCTTCTCACGTTGTTTAAGTATCATAATAAAAGATTTGGCATGATTTCTGAAGGAGAAAATAACCAGAATACAAAATATGATAAAAATTCTTTATAAAATATATACTAGAAGTGGATAGTCATTATGGCCACCGCTGCCAAAAGTTGGCTTCAAAATTTTCTAGGCAATAGAATTAGTTTGCGTCATCCAGTCTTTATATATATCAGTGGGTAAGTACTGAAGATACTTTTGCGATTAGAATTAAAAGTATATGTTATTGATGAATTAATGCTCAAAGTTTGACTCAGCTTCAACATCAGTTACAGCACATGTACATGCATCTAATGTCAGCTGCATTCTGCCGTTTTCTCTGCTTTGTTTGTGCTTCGCTCTTTGTTTAGACCGACAATAGTAAACAGCATTTTCTGATTAAATCAATACAAATAACAGTATTTATATTTTACACAGAGATATAATGAAAATAGATATAGACCTCGATGCATCTCGAAAGCAATAAAATAAATCGTCCCAAAATGCTGTTGCGTTGCATAGTAAATAAACTCTACACCAGATTCAATGTTCAAGCTTTTCATGGCAATACTTATGAGAAATTAGGAATGTCAGCGTTGAACTAACTAATACTGCTAATTATAGTCCGTGTCAAGGAAAGGCATAATTGTCCTATAATAGACAATGACAATTCGTTCAATCATTAAGATAATCTTTACTAACCTGAGTTCATATCAACACGTCGCAACAATACAATTTGTCAATTTCTAAACAATATGAAAGTCATTAAACTGCCGATCATTTCGTCCAAATATACAAGTTTTGTTATTGTCTACTTTATCAACACAACCATAAAATATGAGTTTGCAAATCCTGTTAAAAATATCGATCGCTTTATCTATCAAGAATGATTCTTTGAAAAGCCTCCGAAATGTGTTCGTGCGCATTAAACAACAACACACATAGCGCAACCCGAAACTCGAAAGTTTTCAAATTCAACTGTACATTATATACAATAAGAGAATTTCAAGTTTTCAATTACAATATGACAGTGAACTGTGACGAAGTAATCTTGATTCATGAAATATTGTAAGTTTGTTTTATACTTCGCCTCGGGTAATTTACACATTCAAAACGGGAAAAAAATTTATATCAAATGACGGAAGGATTAAACCGATAATAATTACCTGAAGTTTTTTCAAGCGCCCGTACTTCACAGTTCACAATTGAAGTGAAAAGAAGCTTATACTTAATTCATACGGAAGTACGTATATTCAATTTTTTCAAGACTATTTCTATTTGCGCATGCTCGTTGGTACATTGTTACAGATTAAAATTATAATTATAGTTACTTCGGTCTGTTTCATACGTCGCATTTTACATGAGCCGAATGCATTCAAAACAAAAGATAATGAGGAATTTTCTTTTCTTTTGTTTTAATGCCTTCGGCGCTTGTAAAATGCGATGTATGACGCAGCCTTCTTTCTAACAAACATAAGACGGCTTCGGGAGTGTTTTTGGCATTTTCTTCACGATGTCATGTAGATCGACAAGTGTGATGTAAAGACAGTAAAGCTGGAGTCGTACTGAGGGCATTCGGATTAAGGGTTGTTTTACAAACATTTTGCCCTCAGATTTACTGTCAAACTGCCTCTTTACAGTTTTTGGAAATCATAAAACTTCAGTTTTGTAAGACTGAACATGAAAGATCGACATAACCGATCACAAGTGAAGAAATGACAAGGTTTTCTTGATAGCATGAATTAAAAAATTACCAACTGATTAATAATTTTGTTCGAAAAACTAGTACCGTCTATCTTGTAAAAATTAAGACATCATTTTCCAACAATTCGGCTGTTACATCCCTACCCACACCCCACCTCCACGCTCGGTGCGCCCTTGTAAAAGATCCACAATAATTGCATTTTTGGCTGTGTTTGAGTCCATGCCATTTATCTGTTGTGACAAGGTAAAGTCTTGTAAATAAATATAAGTAAATAAATAAACAAAAAGTCCCACAAAACAGTTTGAAAGACTTGTTTTATAGGAAAGATTTGACTATATCCCCAGCGGTATTGTTACCGTTATTTTCTCGTGGTTTGGTTGTGTTCAACAACCTTCCATCTTCTTACTTCTACAGAACCCAGATCTGTAAATGCCGTCTTAGATTTAGCCAAATAAAAAACTCTTATTTGCTTCGACACTGGGGCGGGACTTTGCCGATGAGAGCCCTGGGACACAGTACCAGAATTCTTGTTTGATTTGAGCACAATTCGTCCGTTCACTTTGGGCACCGGTGATTTTGGCTTCATATGTGATGTTCGTTCGCCAATTAAGCTGCAAGGACAAGACTGTGAGGCGTATTCATAAACGCGAAACACTCTTCTCCTTAAAAGGCGAAAATACACTGGATTTCTAAATATATAAACCAAAGGATATGTTGCAGAACGAAGCCAGATAAAGAAACGAAAGAAAAAAGAGTTCAGTTTACTTTCGGCTATCGATGGACAAATGATCAACGGCAAAACAAAAGCGTTACAAATCAGATAAACAGTTATAATGAGAAGAGTCGTGAAAGCTGATCTCGCATACGCGTCAGCGGCAAAATGATGTAGATTGAAACTGACATTCACCTGTCGACGATTACTTAAAGCAGATTTCAAGATACTGTAGAAGCAAAGCAATAGGATCAATATGGGTACACCTATCACAAGTGTGTTAATTACTATTGTTAACACGACCGAAGCACGTGTTTCATCGATGTCGTTGAATATCCCCGGAGATTCCTGACAGTACACGAGCCATGCGAGAAAACGACTCTCGGAGGTCGCTTCCCTTCGAGTATCGTACCCCAGGGTAGTGATGCTATAAAAGCAAGCAGCCATATTGAGGCAATGACGATTTTTCCTTTCTAGCTGTGATTTTATGATGCACTTTTTTTACCACCGCTAGATATCTGTTTACAGCGATCGCTGTAAGGCTTAGAAAACTGGTGTTGAAAAAGAACACATTCTCGCAGCCAATGAAAATGCATTTCTCAAGTACGAACGATGCTAAGCCACCCTGTGCTAGGACGTATATTGATATCCCTAGACCTTGAAAGCTAGAGAAAAATTCTGACACGATGTGACTGATGACAAAAAAGTTTGTCGTTGTTCTCATTCTGTGATCCCTTAAAAACAAAAAAAACAAAACGCCATTTGCCAGCAGCGCAAAGATCAAAACCATCGTTATAATAATACTTTCATACGATGGCACAAATATGGCGGTCGGGATCATTCTCCTCAATCTTCGTTGTCTTTTTTTTCGATTTCGATAATTTTTGTCGTTAAATGTACATTCGCTAAACAATCATCGTCTTTTCTTTTTATGAAGAGAAACATTTTATTGTCACGATTTGTGAGTGCATATTTGTGAGATAATTTCCTTCAGTTTATATCACAGCAGTTAGAAATAAAGACTTCAGCTGGTACTCGCATTTTCCATTTAAATTTTTGAGGCCGATATTGATTCTTTATGAATAATGATATCCTTGCTTCTCATTAACTTGTCAACAGGCTCGTCGTCGAACGCTTTTTAAAAACTTTAAATGTAAACAGTATGTTCTTCGTGGGACACGTTGAGCTTCGTGAAACTGTCGCGTGTACTCTTCAACATCAAATTCACTCTCGTTCTTTGTACTCAATGATTTGCCCGCCAATACTCTGCCAAACACATAAAGTATTGAATCGCTTACAAGACATTTATTATGTCTGTGAATGTGCGGGTTTTTTTGTGTACATTTTCCGGCTGCCGGTTTCAGCTGTAATGCAAAATTGATCGAATAACATTTTCGAGCGATGCGGAAAGTACCTTCTTAAGGTTGAATTGTGTTCTTCTACGAGAGATAATTGAAAAATGAGTTATTTATACAAGCAAAATAATTTCCAATTTCGTTAAATATGAACAGTGCAATCACATTAGGCAGAAGACATACATTGTTGTCACAGGATAACATATTCCGTTACGATAGAAACAATGTTTTCACACCGGACAATCTAAATGTAATTAAGAGCATCGCTCAATTTTGCTGAACAAGATAGCTCAATATGAGGGGGCTTAATATCGCGATAGGTTTAACATTAGCACACTGGTTTGCCATTTGATGACCACTTTTTCTACTGTAACTTTTACATGATTTACTTGGATTTACCATGTTTTCTGGTTAACACGAGGAAGATTTTTGTCATATGTTTTGCGAACAAAACTCGTCCCAGTCTTTTCTCTGTGGTCAATTTCAGTATTTTATTCGAGAAACATAGATTCTTCAGCGGTTAATCTTACAGGCTTTGAGTTCATTTATCGTTATTTTACTGAACGTTGTAAAAATGATGTAGAAATTACTGGTCAAGTAAGTTTCACTTGGCCATGATGACGTATGAACCACACAACAAATACGGCTTCAAATACAAACACTTGACTCAGAAGATGACAACATCTGAGGTTGTCGAAACGTCAGTCATGTATTTTGTATTAGCCACAGTTGATTGTTGTCTGTTATTAATGTTTGTTATCTGGATTTTGGTCGCAGTTTCTCATTTATGTGACAAAAATTTTTCTATAACTTATTGAACTAAATACGTTGCGCATGCTCATGCACTAGACAGTTACTGCAGTAAACACATCTATTTCCCACCTTGCACGTACTCGATAGACTGAGCGCATGAAATTGATATTGTGTAGCGACCATTGAAGTAAATTTACCGGTAGCGACTTGTGAGAGATTATTACAGTCTGACTCCAGATCAGGAAGAGTCATAGAAATTGTATGACTATATGTATATGCGCCCGCGTTACTTATAGCTTTATTGCTCCATTTATATTTATATAATGACCAGAAGAATTTGAGCAATTTCATTGTTGGAGAGCAATGATCTATAAGAGGATAGACGCATGGAATCGACGTCACAGAAAATTTCTTGTTTTTAAATGCCAAATGAGCAGTGAATTTATTTCAAAATTTATCGCAGTACCTCACTGAATGGGAAAATAAAGATATTCACAAAGACCTAGTTGAAGCAGTGGACTTCTTTGAGCAAAAAGAAGAGAAAAAACCCGGTTTTCAAACATTGATTTGTAATTCGTCTTCGATAACAAAATTTCAACAAAATTGATCAGCCATTGCTTGTTTATTTTCTTAGCCAACACGTTTTATCACGTGAGTAACTTAGCCAATAGCATGCCTCCAATCCTATAGATCACGTAAGCGTGATATTTGCAAAATCAAAACTTTTCAATGTTCCAAGTGTTAGGGGGGGCGGGCAAAGAAAACAAACTGTTTGACCGTTTAATTTGGGAATTTTTGATTTTATTATATAAAACAAAGAGATAACATTTAACCGTTGTCTGTACAGTTATAGATACACGGGTATGACGTCAATTGTGATAAAAACTAAAAAAGTGGCCACGAGCCGCCAGGGCGAGCAAACAGATAAATGTTATCTATTTGTTCAATAAAAATCAACAAGTCTATAGCGCAAATGCTCGCTTTAGCGCCGCGGCGCTTATTCCATTTTTTCTATTTTGAATAAGGCGTTTATGCGGAAGCGGCGCTTATTAAATATTGTTATTGCATCAAGAAAATGACTAGTATACAAAATCTATTTTTATAGTATAATATTATACAACTTGATGAAAATAATGTCACAAAGGCGCGAAACAAGGTTGTTATAAACTTTAAAGTTTAATAACTCTTAATTTCTTCCGAGCGCCGCACTCTAGTTACGCAGTTGCAGCGCTTAACCGTGAGCGGCGCTAGATAACGTTTCTGGCTTCTGCGCACCGAGTGCGGAGCTTGACAGAGAGCGGCGCTTGACAGAGAGCGGCGCTAAAGCGAGCATTTACGGTAATCAACTTGAGAGAATTGATATAAAATGTAAATAATAGTATACACTTTAAGTATTTTTTGTGTAAAAAATATTAAATATTAATTGCTCAACTTCCTGTTAAATAAAACATCTTTTGATGGCGAATATAATACATGTTTCATGTTTCTGTTAAATGTCTTCAAGGCCAACCGAAATCTCTTCCCACTAAAGTGTACAATTCCTTGTTAAAAGGCCGATAATAATCGCGAAGCATAGCTAGGATTTTTTCTGAAACAACTACGTGTGATCTTCCTTTCTCACTACCCAAACAATGTAGATTAATCTTGTCAGTTTTGCTCATTTGCACTGGCTCGCTAATTTGTTTGTCAAAACAATAAAATCCTTTCGTTTTGTTAAAAATAAAATGTTCCCGTTTGATGAATGGAGTAAGGTTCAAAAAACTCTCAAGGGCTTGGATTTCTTCGTAAGGAGATTTAATCAACTCATCTCCGCTTACCAAATGCAATTGTTGCTTTGAAAAATATCGAAGCCAACGCAGAAGGTGTTTTGAATAAGCACCGATTTTTATTGCCGCCCAACGATCGTTAACTATTGTTTTGACTTGACTAATTTGTCTTGTAGCAACTTCTTCAAAAGATCGTCTAGTATTCTTGGCGCTTCGTTGTGTTTGCGTGAAATCAGAGATCGCTCTCGTTCAGGGGCGGATCTAGGATTTTGGATACCATAGGCAAAACATTATGACGTCATTCAGTGCTAAACCTATGACGTCATACTTTGCAAAACATACTACACTATTTATGCTTTCGATAAATTGTTTAAATCAAACAGTCTAATCATTCAGCTATGCAGAATCTTGTAGATCTCAATCGTATAAATACATAAAAACATTGTATATTTATACTTACATATCACAAGGTCGTTGGTTTTCACTATTCAGAATATTGAATGCACACAAGACTGTTTCGCCCCATATCAGGGCTCATCAGCATGCCTAGGAACACTTTAACGCAAAACAAAAAATCGTGATCCGGCATGGACAGCCCTGTGAGAGCCGAATTAAGCAGACTGGTTATGGCGCCAGAAGTTCGCCTACACACCTTTGAAAAAGGAGTTTATTTAGAAATGGGTGACTATATGGGATTTTTCATGGATGTGATATTGCTCAATTTTTCACACCATCCCAGTCAATTCCAACCCTTTACCCCCCACCTAAAATGTGCACTCTCATTTGCCAACAAATGAGCAGAATGTAAATGTAATGTAATAGTCAAAATAGAGCTTTGTATAAAGAGTCTTTGTGAAGACTAAAATTTGGTGTAAGGAAAAATTATTCTATTTATGCTTAACAATTTTTGTGAAAGTAAATTTATGTCGACAACGGCCGAGTACCATACACGTACTCAGCAGTTTTAAGATTGGAATGTATATAGGGAAAAAAACCTTTATCGGGCGAGCTATTATTTTGATCCAAATTCTATTGACGTTACTATTGTGTACAACGCACAATAAATGGTTAACATATGGACATTTCAACAAAATAAAAAACAAGGATATGAATAAATTCATGCAAATTTTAGCCTTGTATTTCCAACAGCAAAAGTATTAATAACCTCACCAATATCTGGTACAATTTCCTGATGAATTTGCATCAAGGCCAAACCATTTAAGCGTTCCCCAACCATGGTACTTCGCTGATAGTTTTTAAGTGTCCTAAGGGAAGAAATAGATCGTTCACATTCACAAGAGGTGATACTTGGAATCATCACAATGCCCACGAAGAGGTAAACCTAGACGTCCACAAAAAATGACAGAATCAATAATTGGAGATAGTATTTCCCTATTCTGTTCTATTTCTTTCTTGATACCAGCATCCATGATCATCTCGATAGGCTGCAGAGTACCTGATATTTGGGAACGCAAAGCATCAAAATTGGTGATGTGGATGCATGCAAACCGACTTCCCTCCCTTACTTTTTCCAGCATGTTGAGTGAAAGAGCATTTAGCATTCTTCCAATCTTGAAGAGGTTCAGTAAACAACTTTTTTACTTTACTGGCCTTGCCTGGGAATCTATTGCCAAACAACACACACGATAGACAATACGCACCATTTTGTGAAGGTGAATAGCAAAGCCATTCATGCTGGTCTAGCCAATCATGCCTAAATGATCTGCCATTAGATTTAGGAAAATGATACTTTTTATCTGGTTTATATACATTTTTTATCAAATGACATATTTCAGAATTATCCATACCCTTAACTTTCTCCCTATACAAGGAAACATCAAAATTATGGGTTAAAACAGCAGGTTGCATATCACCAGAAGTTGGAATACCAGGCAATAGTTCCTGGGATGATGTGTGAAGCAAAAGACTATTGGCTTTATTTAATGTCTGAGCAAGAGCTGCAGCAGAAGAAAAACTCTCATTGGGCATCCTTTTAAAAGTTGGTTGGGCAGCAGGCCTATTAGTTGAAGTAAAAAAATTTGAAATGTCAACTGTTTTTGGTGCAATATTTGGAAAAATTTTGACAAATTTTCGTTTCTCTGTTGTTGAGCTGCTAGAATTAGACTGTGTACAGGAATTAGACAATTTTCGCTTCAACCTGTGGGCATGGAAAATGAGAGGCACAAAATGATTAGACTGAAAAGTCTCACCTGGTTGTACAGATCCTTCATGACAAAACAAAATATTAATAGCATCCAAACCTCTTTGGCTTAATAGCCGGGGCTGAACAATACGATTAAATAACAATTTATATCTACTTTCACCAGAATCAGGATAAAAAGTATGAATTTTTCTACCTAAAACAGAAGATAGGCCCAAAATACAAAGAAAAGATGACCATTTCTGGTCATTACAATTTAAAATAGCCTCCTGTTTTACCAGTTCATCTGTTGTATATCCAGTGTCTAAACATTCTTTAGACACTGACAAAGGCAAAAGATTGTTTAAGCTTTGGGCAAAGTAATCACTGTGCTCACTTATAACAGACAAAAAGCATGGGTGTTGAGCATAAAAAGCAGCATGAATAAATAGCTCAAGCGATGTTAAAATTCGCAAAGTAGGGACCAATGCATTGTTACCTACCAGAACTAGAGAAGCTGAACTGTAGAGGCAATTGCCAGAAGCTTCAGATCTTAAAAATATTCAAGAAAAGAAATTAATATTTTGTTTGGTACATTGATTGCATTGTATGAATGAATTGATGACTGTAGACAAAGATATAGCCTAGCGAAATTGAGATTTAACCATTTTACACGTATATATAAATACTACAATACGATATATATAATTATAATATATTTACCTTATTGCAGTACAAGTCTTTCCGTCATGAGCGTGCTTTGGCACATATATTTCAGCTCCAAAATTTCGACACAGAGTATGGTCGGGGTCATAAATTCTATCTAACAGCTGCTCGTTAGTAAACATAGGTCGAACGTCGACCAATAAACGAGAATAAAGCTCATTAAGGCATTTTAAATCGTTTTGGCCAACGCAGACTGAGCAGTCTCGTATAAATTACCACAACACAATGAAGACATTATAAAATATCACAAAACCGTAAACTGAGCACAGAGGCTGTTCAGAAACAATACGAGTGTATGTTAATTTTCAATTGCCTAATTTGCCTAGCTCAGCTATGCTTATCAACAGCAATGATTGGTTGGAATTGCTCAAGTTAGGCAAAAAAAATTGACCAATGAAAGCATACGGTTGCAAAAAATTGCCCAATCAGAATACCTATACACGATGTCAAGTTAGGCAAATTCATCTTGTTTAGGCAAATTGCTAACAACCAATCAAATGGCTAGATCACCTTCTTGACTTGGGCAAAATGGCTGCTTTGCCTAACGACACGGAGCTTTATAGATAATCATAAGCATCTGGACTACGATTCATATCAAAATTACGTCATTTAATTGCACAACATTTCTAAACAAAAGTCAGATGATTTGACTGCGATAAAGTGCTATTCATAGTTTCATAATTCGATAAATTCGTATCGAATCTAAGTCGAAGTATATTTTGGCAATTTCACCATAGGCACTTGCCTATGGTGCCTACCCCTAGATCCGCCCCTGCTCTCGTTGTCGGATCACGAACGATAACAAAAGCGCGTAGTGCATCTTGGTTGACATGCATCTTTAAAGAATTTATTTTACATTCATTTCAACCATTTATTCGTGACCTTATTTCAGTATTCTAACAGATATTGAACTTCAAAACTAAATTATTGAGGAAGGCCGCCAAAAAACGTTCAACATTGGTGATTGCCACCCACTCAAAATAACTCGTCGGAAAATTCATTACATGAAAAGCAAAACTCCCCAAATTTCAAATGAATTTATATGGTCTTTTGGTTAATACGTTTTTATGTACAGTCAGTTTCAGATTTCGTGAAAAAACAGCGAAATATAGCAAAATTTGACGTAAGGAAGATCACACAAATTGCGAGAATTTGATGGATCCCACGCCGAAATGACGAATCAATTTCGTACAAATTGTACGCTTGTATACTTCTTGTAGTACATATGTACCTACGTTTAATCTAAACTATTCGTTCAAGCGATTCTAGACCGAGTACTTGGCGAAGCAAATGAACTGGATTGTTCAACGATAGGTTTGGCAGTTCAACAATTTGTTTTTAATGGCGGGAAACGGCCACGCCCGATGTTTCCACGAAGGTTTTCTGCGCTTTTTCATAGGATTTTATACTGTACTGAAATAACACAATATTTCTGACTTTATTTTTCCACGCTTTCTTTGATGTAGCATTTTAACCCAGATAGTCAAATTCAAACAATCAGTTTTTATCGTTAATTCTTATTTAATTAAGCAGTTTGTGATGTCTTCCGTTTCAAAATCTCCAAATAGCTGTAAATTCAAGGTCTTTAGCCTTGCAGGCCAAACTATCTCATTGTTTATATTGCGTGAATTTTGAATAAGAATCTTTGGATTTTATCCGCATAAAATTAGTTGACCTAAGGCCAACGAAAATCTCGACCAACCATTTTGTATAATTGCTCGTTAAAAGGTCTATAGTAACGTCTCAGTTCATTCAAAACAGCTGGCTCAATTTTCGGGTGAAGACGACCTTTGTTTTTTCCCAAACAACGCTCTTTCTTATTGGTTGATCCGCGAAAGCAGGGAAAACCCTTCTCGTTGTTATGAACAAAATTGCTTCTTGAGAAGTACGGCTTGAGCTCAAGAAATTCTTCGACTTTTTTGATTTCGTCGTATGGATTACTAACAAGCTGTTCTCCGCTGACAAAATGAAACGATTTCATGGGAAAGTACTTCAGCCATCGCTGTAAGTGTTTACTATAAACACCAGTTTTAATTACTCCCAAGTTGTACGCACGGCAAATGTCGAATTACTGTTTTAATAGCCATGTTTTTGAAAGGCTTCAGGACATTGTTGTATTTTCGTCGATTAGTCAAATTAAGTTGTACATAATCGGAAATTGCCCTGACCGTTGGGTCGCGAACAATTACGAGAAATCTCAACGTCTTATTTATGTTTTTCGCATATTCGAGAATCCTTATGGGTACACCTTTAACCACAAAATAACTCGGTGTTTTTTCAATAGCTTGCTGTCCTGTTTCCACATATGGCATCTGATCAAGATACCACTGCAAACCACGCGGATATCTGATGTCGAAGTAATGCATTTCAGACCCGCATGCTTTTACCTGAGGGTGCAGTCGGAGAATAGTTAGTAAAGCACGCGTGCCTGCCTTTCGCATCCCTATAATTAAAGTGGTAGGGAAGCGTTTCACGTCTGCGCCTAATTTGTTCACCATTAGCGACTGTGCAATTGACCTCGTTGGATTAATTGTAGAATGCAAGTCATTTCCTGTCTCGGCGGTTCGTATGATACTATAGCAATCCGGTGGTAAAGATGTGTTGTACTTGACCTGCACTCTCGACGATTTTATAATATTCAAAAATACACGCGTGCTTGTCGATTTTTGATCATTGTTATCCACTCGCGGTGCAACGTCTCTTCCAATGTCGGTAAAGTGCGCGTTTGTGCGGTTATTTTGAATAAATTGCGTGTGGAATAAATTACGTTCACCTTGAATTGATTTGTTGCCCCTCGTCAGAAGTGTTGAGATGATTGAAGTGTAAAAACCCAGAGATAGACCAATAAGAAGAACCAGTTTCTTTGTGGTCATAGCCAAACGTCTTAACACCCTATGGGTCGCGCGCACTCGCCAACAAGCCTTTTGTACCATTAAATACCTATCAACACAACAATACACAAATTTTTATTTTATGACTCGAGGAGCATTACATTTGGATCACTTAGATGAAACGAATCGTTATCAGAAGCGAGCCTTGCTTATTTATTAAAAAAATAGCACTTGTTCCCTTGGTTGCCGAAATGACTGTTTACAAACGAAAACTCCTAGATTTTTTTGACACTGAAAAGGTGATTGAAATAATCTAGTCTGCTTAAAATATTTAATTTTTAGTAGACGAGAGTCTATATGTGAAGCACTTGATGACGTTATTCACCTGTTAGCGACTGAAATGAGAGACATAAAGGCTCTCTTGTCATGTAGTGCTTGATATGTAGAGAGCACAGAATAGCTTTGCTGTACTTATTTTACTGGGAGGAGATTGATGCTTGCAACGTCGGTGGTTTGACGAGCAACATATGATAGCAAAATTATTTCTATCATTTTATATCAATAGTACGTACATAACAACAATATAGGGAATAAACAGTGGGACCACTTCGCTTTGCAACTTGCTGCTGTATATTTAGTTAGATTACTGGCTGGCGTTAGCCATTTCATCATTCCTATTGGTCAAAAAAAGCAAATGACTGGCTGCCACTATGGCATATCACATGCGAAATAAGATATGCGTGGCACGAAAAAATTCAATTGAGTGACCTTCCCTACTGTTTATTCACTCTACTGTGGCGTACATATTTGGTGTTACAATAACAATATAGCGCGTGCGCTGATTGGCCAGAAATTGAATCTGTTTTATTGTAGAAAAAAACAAGACATTCACGCCTCGCTGAATCCCGGCTACCCGGGCTCATGTGAACAGCCCCTAAGTCCTCTATACATTCTCACTCTTTTGGTTTACCCCCCTGGGAATAAACTACGATGACCTTTTTCTACGATGAAGTCATTTTTAACTCATTAATAGTATTCGTAATGAATTGATAATGCAACAACGAATACGCTCAATACGAATCCCACGTATCAGTTATGGTCATTTTTAACTCATTAATAGTATTCTTAATGAATTGATAATGCAACAACGAATACACTCAATACGAATCCCGCGTATCAGTTATGGTCATTTTTAACTCATTAATAGTATTCTTAATGAATTGATAATGCAACAACGAATACGCTCAATACGAATCCCGCGTATCAGTTATGGTCATTTTTAACTCATTAATAGTATTCTTAATGAATTGATAATGCAACAACGAATACGCTCAATACGAATCCCGCGTATCAGTTATGGTCATTTTTAACTCATTAATAGTATTCTTAATGAATTGATAATGCAACAACGAATACGCTCAATACGAATCCCGCGTATCAGTTATGGTCATTTTTAACTCATTAATAGTATTCTTAATGAATTGATAATGCAACAACGAATACGCTCAATACGAATCCCGCGTATCAGTTATGGACGTTATTTTCTCAAAAATTAATTTGGCGTTTAAAGGGCCTGTAAAACGAAAATTTTGATGTTTAAATCATATTTTCATTGAAGAGATTTTTAGAAATGACAGACGACTTTGAAACAGTTAAGTCATACATCTTTTCCTACTCAAGATATGGACATTTTGTGATAACCATATCGATTTATAGCAAAATGAGAATTTGAATTATTTGTGCTTTTCTGTTACATCAATCAGACAGATTAATTAGCATAAACTGCGGGAACAGAAGGCGGGATGCATTGCCCATATGATGTGTTTGTTTATATAATCAGCAAGCAATAAGTACTCGAAATGATTATCTTATCTGCCTGTTTTTTTCTCTTCTTTTTTTTTCTTTTTGATGAACATCATATATCTAGCGTGTACTTGTCTGCGATCGTTCAAGAAATATTTTTTTGTTCTGCTTTCCAGGAATTTTGGTTGTAAGGACTTTATAATTCCGCGGAACTAGCGGGATCATAGCGTACGCCACGGACATACGCAGAGATGTTATATCACTGATATTTGTGTAATATTAATTATATCATGTTTTTTAAGGTGGCAAGCATCGCTTCCGGTAAAATAGTACGCTTTGATTGGCTGAGAAATATTTTTGGCACTCACTTTCTTGTCAAGAAAACGGTCCAGTAATTGACGTGTTTTACAAAATTATGGTAAAAAAAAGTAGCACAGGTTTTATTCATTACTACATCGATATAAAAGAAAACATGTAAGAATACGCATCGAAGGAAAAACACTCGAAAAGTGAGTTTTGTTTTGCAGACAACACAATTTCATAGATTTTTTTTGACTTATAACGAAAACCTGAGAAATGACGTTCCGTTTCACGTCAACTTTTCCAATGTATAATAAACCTTTTGTTAACCTCGAAATGTTGTAAATGAAATACTTAAATAACGCATTTTCTTATCCTCAAATGAACTTGCGTCATGTTTCGATGACAACGCCAAAATTGCGAAGTAAATTCAGAGTAAAATTTACTTACACATCATAAAGATTACGTATTTTTTTAATTAACACGTTTTCACGTAACACTGTAGCGTGACAGGATAGAATTATGCGAAGTAAATTCCGAGTAAAATTTACTTACACATCATAAAGATTACGTATTTTTTAATTAACGTTTTCACGTAACACTGTAGCGTGACAGGATAGAATTATGCGAACTAAATTCCGAGTAAAATTTACTTACACATCATAAAGATTACGTATTTTTTTAATTAACACGTTTTCACGTAACACTGTAGCGTGACAGGATAGAATTATGCGAACTAAATTCCGAGTAAAATTTACTTACACATCATAAAGATTGCGTATTTTTTTAATTAACACGTTTTCACGTAACACTGTAGCGTGACAGGATAGAATTATGCGAACTAAATTCCGAGTAAAATTTACTTACACATCATAAAGATTAAGTATCATAATAAAAGATTTGGCATGATTTCTGAAGGAGAAAATAACCAGAATACAAAATATGATAAAAATTCTTTATAAAATATATACTAGAAGTGGATAGTCATTATGGCCACCGCTGCCAAAAGTTGGCTTCAAAATTTTCTAGGCAATAGAATTAGTTTGCGTCATCCAGTCTTTATATATATCAGTGGGTAAGTACTGAAGATACTTTTGCGATTAGAATTAAAAGTATATGTTATTGATGAATTAATGCTCAAAGTTTGACTCAGCTTCAACATCAGTTACAGCACATGTACATGCATCTAATGTCAGCTGCATTCTGCCGTTTTCTGCTTTGTTTGTGCTTCGCTCTTTGTTTAGACCGACAATAATAAACAGCATTTTCTGATTAAATCAATACAAATAACAGTATTTATATTTTACACAGAGATATAATGAAAATAGATATAGACCTCGATGCATCTCGAAAGCAATAAAATAAATCGTCCCAAAATGCTGTTGCGTTGCATAGTAAATAAACTCTACACCAGATTCAATGTTCAAGCTTTTCATGGCAATACTTAGGAGAAATTAGGAATGTCAGCGTTGAACTAACTAATACTGCTAATTATAGTCCGTGTCAAGGAAAGGCATAATTGTCCTATAATAGACAATGACAATTCGTTCAATCATTAAGATAATCTTTACTAACCTGAGTTCATATCAACACGTCGCAACAATACAATTTGTCAATTTCTAAACAATATGAAAGTCATTAAACTGCCGATCATTTCGTCCAAATATACAAGTTTTGTTATTGTCTACTTTATCAACACAACCATAAAATATGAGTTTGCAAATCCTGTTAAAAATATCGATCGCTTTATCTATCAAGAATGATTCTTTGAAAAGCCTCCGAAATGTGTTCGTGCGCATTAAACAACAACACACATAGCGCAACCCGAAACTCGAAAGTTTTCAAATTCAACTGTACATTATATACAATAAGAGAATTTCAAGTTTTCAATTACAATATGACAGTGAACTGTGACGAAGTAATCTTGATTCATGAAATATTGTAAGTTTGTTTTCTACTTCGCCTCGGGTAATTTACACATTCAAAACGGGAAAAAAATTTATATCAAATGACGGAAGGATTAAACCGATAATAATTACCTGAAGTTTTTTCAAGCGCCCGTACTTCACAGTTCACAATTGAAGTGAAAAGAAGCTTATACTTAATTCATACGGAAGTACGTATATTCAATTTTTTCAAGACTATTTCTATTTGCGCATGCTCGTTGGTACATTGTTACAGATTAAAATTATAATTATAGTTACTTCGGTCTGTTTCATACGTCGCATTTTACATGAGCCGAATGCATTCAAAACAAAAGATAATGAGGAATTTTCTTTTCTTTTGTTTTTAATGCCTTCGGCGCTTGTAAAATGCGATGTATGACGCAGCCTTCTTTCTAACAAACATAAGACGGCTTCGGGAGTGTTTTTGGCATTTTCTTCACGATGTCATGTAGATCGACAAGTGTGATGTAAAGACAGTAAAGCTGGAGTCGTACTGAGGGCATTCGGATTAAGGGTTGTTTTACAAACATTTTGCCCTCAGATTTACTGTCAAACTGCCTCTTTACAGTTTTTGGAAATCATAAAACTTCAGTTTTGTAAGACTGAACATGAAAGATCGACATAACCGATCACAAGTGAAGAAATGACAAGGTTTTCTTGATAGCATGAATTAAAAAATTACCAACTGATTAATAATTTTGTTCGAAAAACTAGTACCGTCTATCTTGTAAAATTAAGACATCATTTTCCAACAATTCGGCTGTTACATCCCTACCCACACCCCACCTCCACGCTCGGTGCGCCCTTGTAAAAGATCCACAATAATTGCATTTTTGGCTGTGTTTGAGTCCATGCCATTTATCTGTTGTGACAAGGTAAAGTCTTGTAAATAAATATAAGTAAATAAATAAACAAAAAGTCCCACAAAACAGTTTGAAAGACTTGTTTTATAGGAAAGATTTGACTATATCCCCAGCGGTATTGTTACCGTTATTTTCTCGTGGTTTGGTTGTGTTCAACAACCTTCCATCTTCTTACTTCTACAGAACCCAGATCTGTAAATGCCGTCTTAGATTTAGCCAAATAAAAAACTCTTATTTGCTTCGACACTGGGGCGGGACTTTGCCGATGAGAGCCCTGGGACACAGTACCAGAATTCTTGTTTGATTTGAGCACAATTCGTCCGTTCACTTTGGGCACCGGTGATTTTGGCTTCATATGTGATGTTCGTTCGCCAATTAAGCTGCAAGGACAAGACTGTGAGGCGTATTCATAAACGCGAAACACTCTTCTCCTTAAAAGGCGAAAATACACTGGATTTCTAAATATATAAACCAAAGGATATGTTGCAGAACGAAGCCAGATAAAGAAACGAAAGAAAAAAGAGTTCAGTTTACTTTCGGCTATCGATGGACAAATGATCAACGGCAAAACAAAAGCGTTACAAATCAGATAAACAGTTATAATGAGAAGAGTCGTGAAAGCTGATCTCGCATACGCGTCAGCGGCAAAATGATGTAGATTGAAACTGACATTCACCTGTCGACGATTACTTAAAGCAGATTTCAAGATACTGTAGAAGCAAAGCAATAGGATCAATATGGGTACACCTATCACAAGTGTGTTAATTACTATTGTTAACACGACCGAAGCACGTGTTTCATCGATGTCGTTGAATATCCCCGGAGATTCCTGACAGTACACGAGCCATGCGAGAAAACGACTCTCGGAGGTCGCTTCCCCTTCGAGTATCGTACCCCAGGGTAGTGATGCTATAAAAGCAAGCAGCCATATTGAGGCAATGACGATTTTTCCCTTTCTAGCTGTGATTTTATGATGCACTTTTTTTACCACCGCTAGATATCTGTTTACAGCGATCGCTGTAAGGCTTAGAAAACTGGTGTTGAAAAAGAACACATTCTCGCAGCCAATGAAAATGCATTTCTCAAGTACGAACGATGCTAAGCCACCCTGTGCTAGGACGTATATTGATATCCCTAGACCTTGAAAGCTAGAGAAAAATTCTGACACGATGTGACTGATGACAAAAAAGTTTGTCGTTGTTCTCATTCTGTGATCCCTTAAAAACAAAAAAAACAAAACGCCATTTGCCAGCAGCGCAAAGATCAAAACCATCGTTATAATAATACTTTCATACGATGGCACAAATATGGCGGTCGGGATCATTCTCCTCAATCTTCGTTGTCTTTTTTTTCGATTTCGATAATTTTTGTCGTTAAATGTACATTCGCTAAACAATCATCGTCTTTTCTTTTTATGAAGAGAAACATTTTATTGTCACGATTTGTGAGTGCATATTTGTGAGATAATTTCCTTCAGTTTATATCACAGCAGTTAGAAATAAAGACTTCAGCTGGTACTCGCATTTTCCATTTAAATTTTTGAGGCCGATATTGATTCTTTATGAATAATGATATCCCTGCTTCTCATTAACTTGTCAACAGGCTCGTCGTCGAACGCTTTGTAAAAACTTTAAATGTAAACAGTATGTTCTTCGTGGGACACGTTGAGCTTCGTGAAACTGTCGCGTGTACTCTTCAACATCAAATTCACTCTCGTTCTTTGTACTCAATGATTTGCCCGCCAATACTCTGCCAAACACATAAAGTATTGAATCGCTTACAAGACATTTATTATGTCTGTGAATGTGCGGGTTTTTTTGTGTACATTTTCCGGCTGCCGGTTTCAGCTGTAATGCAAAATTGATCGAATAACATTTTCGAGCGATGCGGAAAGTACGTTCTTAAGGTTGAATTGTGTTCTTCTACGAGAGATAATTGAAAAATGAGTTATTTATACCAGCAAAATAATTTCCAATTTCGTTAAATATGAACAGTGCAATCACATTAGGCAGAAGACATACATTGTTGTCACAGGATAACATATTCCGTTACGATAGAAACAATGTTTTCACACCGGACAATCTAAATGTAATTAAGAGCATCGCTCAATTTTGCTGAACAAGATAGCTCAATATGAGGGGGCTTAATATCGCGATAGGTTTAACATTAGCACACTGGTTTGCCATTTGATGACCACTTTTTTTCTACTGTAACTTTTTACATGATTTACTTGGATTTACCATGTTTTCTGGTTAACACGAGGAAGATTTTTGTCATATGTTTTGCGAACAAAACTCGTCCCGGTCTTTTTCTCTGTGGTCAATTTCAGTATTTTATTCGAGAAACATAGATTCTTCAGCGGTTAATCTTACAGGCTTTGAGTTCATTTATCGTTATTTTACTGAACGTTGTAAAAATGATGTAGAAATTACTGGTCAAGTAAGTTTCACTTGGCCATGATGACGTATGAACCACACAACAAATACGGCTTCAAATACAAACACTTGACTCAGAAGATGACAACATCTGAGGTTGTCGAAACGTCAGTCATGTATTTTGTATTAGCCACAGTTGATTGTTGTCTGTTATTAATGTTTGTTATCTGGATTTTGGTCGCAGTTTCTCATTTATGTGACAAAAATTTTTCTATAACTTATTGAACTAAATACGTTGCGCATGCTCATGCACTTGACAGTTACTGCAGTAAACACATCCATTTCCCACCTTGCACGTACTCGATAGACTGAGCGCATGAAATTGATATTGTGTAGCGACCATTGAAGTAAATTTACCGGTAGCGACTTGTGAGAGATTATTACAGTCTGACTCCAGATCAGGAAGAGTCATAGAAATTGTATGACTATATGTATATGCGCCCGCGTTACTTATAGCTATTGCTCCATTTATATTTATATAATGACCAGAAGAATTTGAGCAATTTCATTGTTGGAGAGCAATGATCTATAAGAGGATAGACGCATGGAATCGACGTCACAGAAAATTTCTTGTTTTTAAATGCCAAATGAGCAGTGAATTTATTTCAAAATTTATCGCAGTACCTCACTGAATGGGAAAATAAAGATATTCACAAAGACCTAGTTGAAGCAGTGGACTTCTTTGAGCAAAAGAAGAAAAACCGGTTTTCAAACATTGATTTGTAATTCGTCTTCGATAACAAAATTTCAACAAAATTGATCAGCCATTGCTTGTTTATTTTCTTAGCCAACACGTTTTATCACGTGAGTAACTTAGCCAATAGCATGCCTCCAATCCTATAGATCACGTAAGCGTGATATTTGCAAAATCAAAACTTTTCAATGTTCCAAGTGTTAGGGGGGGCGGGCAAAGAAAACAAACTGTTTGACCGTTTAATTTGGGAATTTTTTTGATTTTATTATATAAAACAAAGAGATAACATTTAACCGTTGTCTGTACAGTTATAGATACACGGGTATGACGTCAATTGTGATAAAAACTAAAAAAGTGGCCACGAGCCGCCAGGGCGAGCAAACAGATAAATGTTATCTATTTGTTCAATAAAAATCAACAAGTCTATAGCGCAAATGCTCGCTTTAGCGCCGCAGCGCTTATTCCATTTTTTCTATTTTGAATAAGGCGTTTATGCGGAAGCGGTGCTTATTAAATATTGTTATTGCATCAAGAAAATGACTAGTATACAAAATCTATTTTTATAGTATAATATTATACAACTTGATGAAAATAATGTCACAAAGGCGCGAAACAAGGTTGTTATAAACTTTAAAGTTTAATAACTCTTAATTTCTTCCGAGCGCCGCACTCTAGTTACGCAGTTGCAGCGCTTAACCGTGAGCGGCGCTAGATAACGTTTCTGGCTTCTGCGCACCGAGTGCGGAGCTTGACAGAGAGCGGCGCTTGACAGAGAGCGGCGCTTGACAGAGAGCGGCGCTAAAGCGAGCATTTACGGTAATCAACTTGAGAGAATTGATATAAAATGTAAATAATAGTATACACTTTAAGTATTTTTTGTGTAAAAAATATTAAATATTAATTGCTCAACTTCCTGTTAAATAAAACATCTTTTGATGGCGAATATAATACATGTTTCATGTTTCTGTTAAATGTCTTCAAGGCCAACCGAAATCTCTTCCCACTAAAGTGTACAATTCCTTGTTAAAAGGCCGATGATAATCGCGAAGCATAGCTAGGATTTTTTTCTGAAACAACTACGTGTGATCTTCCTTTCTCACTACCCAAACAATGTAGATTAATCTTGTCAGTTTTGCTCATTTGCACTGGCTCGCTAATTTGTTTGTCAAAACAATAAAATCCTTTCGTTTTGTTAAAAATAAAATGTTCCCGTTTGATGAATGGAGTAAGGTTCAAAAAACTCTCAAGGGCTTGGATTTCTTCGTAAGGAGATTTAATCAACTCATCTCCGCTTACCAAATGCAATTGTTGCTTTGAAAAATATCGAAGCCAACGCAGAAGGTGTTTTGAATAAGCACCGATTTTTATTGCCGCCCAACGATCGTTAACTATTGTTTTGACTTGACTAATTTGTCTTGTAGCAACTTCTTCAAAAGATCGTCCAGTATTCTTGGCGCTTCGTTGTGTTTGCGTGAAATCAGAGATCGCTCTCGTTGTCGGATCACGAACGATAACAAAAGCGCGTAGTGCATCTTGGTTGACATGCATCTTTAAAGAATTTATTTTACATTCATTTCAACCATTTATTCGTGACCTTATTTCAGTATTCTAACAGATATTGAACTTCAAAACTAAATTATTGAGGAAGGCCGCCAAAAAACGTTCAACATTGGTGATTGCCACCCACTCAAAATAACTCGTCGGAAAATTCATTACATGAAAAAGCAAAACTCCCCCAAATTTCAAATGAATTTATATGGTCTTTTGGTTAATACGTTTTTATGTACAGTCAGTTTCAGATTTCGTGAAAAAACAGCGAAATATAGCAAAATTTGACGTAAGGAAGATCACACAAATTGCGAGAATTTGATGGATCCCACGCCGAAATGACGAATCAATTTCGTACAAATTGTACGCTTGTATACTTCTTGTAGTACATATGTACCTACGTTTAATCTAAACTATTCGTTCAAGCGATTCTAGACCGAGTACTTGGCGAAGCAAATGAACTGGATTGTTCAACGATAGGTTTGGCAGTTCAACAATTTGTTTTTAATGGCGGGAAACGGCCACGCCCGATGTTTCCACGAAGGTTTTCTGCGCTTTTTCATAGGATTTTATACTGTACTGAAATAACACAATATTTCTGACTTTATTTTTCCAGGCTTTCTTTGATGTTAGCATTTTAACCCAGATAGTCAAATTCAAACAATCAGTTTTTATCGTTAATTCCTATTTAATTAAGCAGTTTGTGATGTCTTCCGTTTCAAAATCTCCAAATAGCTGTAAATTCAACTTGCGTCACCAAGGTCTTTAGCCTTGCATGCCAAACTATCTCAATGTTTATATTGCGTGAATTTTGAATAAGAATCTTTGGATTTTATCCGCATAAAATTAGTTGACCTAAGGCCAACGAAAATCTCGACCAACCATTTTGTATAATTGCTCGTTAAAAGGTCTATAGTAACGTCTCAGTTCATTCAAAACAGCTGGCTCAATTTTCGGGTGAAGACGACCTTTGTTTTTTCCCAAACAACGCTCTTTCTTATTGGTTGATCCGCGAAAGCAGGGAAAACCCTTCTCGTTGTTATGAACAAAATTGCTTCTCGAAAAGTACGGCTTGAGCTCAAGAAATTCTTCGACTTTTTTGATTTCGTCGTATGGATTACTAACAAGCTGTTCTCCGCTGACAAAATGAAACGATTTCATGGGAAAGTACTTCAGCCATCGCTGTAAGTGTTTACTATAAACACCAGTTTTAATTACTCCCCAAGTTGTACGCACGGCAAATGTCGAATTACTGTTTTTAATAGCCATGTTTTTGAAAGGCTTCAGGACATTGTTGTATTTTCGTCGATTAGTCAAATTAAGTTGTACATAATCGGAAATTGCCCTGACCGTTGGGTCGCGAACAATTACGAGAAATCTCAACGTCTTATTTATGTTTTTTCGCATATTCGAGAATCCTTATGGGTACACCTTTAACCACAAAATAACTCGGTGTTTTTTTCAATAGCTTGCTGTCCTGTTTCCACATATGGCATCTGATCAAGATACCACTGCAAACCACGCGGATATCTGATGTCGAAGTAATGCATTTCAGACCCGCATGCTTTTACCTGAGGGTGCAGTCGGAGAATAGTTAGTAAAGCACGCGTGCCTGCCTTTCGCATCCCTATAATTAAAGTGGTAGGGAAGCGTTTCACGTCTGCGCCTAATTTGTTCACCATTAGCGACTGTGCAATTGACCTCGTTGGATTAATTGTAGAATGCAAGTCATTTCCTGTCTCGGCGGTTCGTATGATACTATAGCAATCCGGTGGTAAAGATGTGTTGTACTTGACCTGCACTCTCGACGATTTTATAATATTCAAAAATACACGCGTGCTTGTCGATTTTTGATCATTGTTATCCACTCGCGGTCCAACGTCTCTTCCAATGTCGGTAAAGTGCGCGTTTGTGCGGTTAATTTGAATAAATTGCGTGTGGAATAAATTACGTTCACCTTGAATTGATTTGTTGCCCCTTGTCAGAAGTGTTGAGATGATTGTGTAAAAACCCAGAGATAGAGCAATAAGAAGAACCAGTTTCTTTGTGGTCATAGCCAAACGTCTTAACACCCTATGGGTCGCGCGCACTCGCCAACAAGCCGTTTGTATCTCTGTTGAATGCGCTGCGTACTTTCTTTCGTTTCACAGACCAGACTTTCCAAGCCTTTGAAGCATGCACGCTTTGACACATTCGATACGAGTAGCTTAAAGAGGTTGAAGTTTCGATTGACTTGGCGCAGCGACACGGCTTGAATGGGTAGGGAATCTTCCGTCTAAGGTTCAAATTTGAAATTTAATGATCTTTGTCTTTACGCCTAGGATTGCCGACTTTCCATTGGTCTGATCGACACGGCCTACCATTAAATACCTATCAACACAACAATACACAAATTTCTATTTTATGACTCGAGGAGCATTACATTTGGATCACTTTGATAAAACGAATCGTTATCAGAAGCGATCCTTGCTTATTATTAAAAATAGCACTTGTTCCCTTGGTTGCCGAAATGACTGTTTACAAACGAAAACTCGTAGATTTTTGACACTGAAAAGGTGATTGAAATAATCTAGTCTGCTTAAAATATTTAATTTTAGTAGACGAGAGTCTATATGTGAAGCACTTGATGACGTTATTCACCTGTTAGCGACTGAAATGAGAGACATAAAGGCTCTCTTGTCGTGTAGTGCTTGATATGTAGAGAGCACAGAATAGCTTTGCTTTACTTATTTTACTGGGTGGAGAGGGCTGCTTGCAACGTCGGTGGTTTGACGAGCAACATATGATAGCAAAATTATTTCAATCATTTTATATCAATAGTACGGACATAACAACAATATAGGGAATATACTGTAGGACCACTTCGTGTGCAACTTCTGCTGTATATTTAGTTAGATTACTGGCTGGCGTTAGACATTTCATCATTCCTATCGGTCAAAAAAAGCAAATGACTGGCTGCCACTATGGTAATCATACGCGAAATAAGATACGCGCGGCACGAAAAAATTCAATTGAGTGACCTTCCCTACTGTTTATTCACTCTACTGTGGCGTACATATTTGGTGTTACAATAACAATATAGGGCGTGCGCTGATTGGCCAGAGTTTGAATCTGTTTTATTGTAGAAAAAAACAAGACATTCACGCCTCGCTGAATCCCGGTTACCCGGGCTCATGTGAACAGCCCCTAAGTCCCCTATACATTCTCACTCTTTTGGTTTAACCCCCTGGGAATAAACTACGATGAAGTCATTTTTAACTCATAGTATTCTTAATGAATTGATAATGCAACAACGAATACGCTCAATACGAATCGCGTATCAGTTATGGACGTTATTTTTTCAAAAATTAATTTGTCGTTTAAAGGGCCTGTAAAACGAAAATTTTGATGTTTAAATCATATTTTCATTGAAGAGATTTTTAGAATTGACAGACGACTTTGAAAAAGTCAAACATCTTTTCGTACTCAAGATATGGACATTTTGTGATAACCATATCGATTTATTGCAAAATGAGAATTTGAATTATTTGTACTTTTCTGTTACATCAATCAGACAGATTAATTAGCATAAACTGCGGGAACAGAAGGCGGGATGCATTGCCCATATGATGTGTTTGTTTATATAATCAGCAAGCAATAAGTACTCGAAATGATTATCTTATCTGCCTGTTTTTTTCTCTTGTTTTCTTTTTCTTTTTGATGAACATCATATATCTAGCGTGTACTTGTCTGCGATCGTTCAAGAAATATTTTTTTGTTCTGCTTTCCAGGAATTTTGGTTGTAAGGACTTTATAATTTCGCGGAACTAGCGGGATCATAGCGTACGCCACGGACATACGCCGAGATGTTATATCACAGATATTTGTGTAATATTAATTATATCATCCTTTTTAAAGTGGCAAGCATCGCTTCCGGTAAAATAGCACGCTTTGATTGGCTGAGAAATATTTTTGGCACTCACTTTCTTGTCAAGAAAACGGTCCAGTAATTGACGTGTTTTACAAAATTATGGTAAAAAAAGCAGCACAGGTTTTATTCATTACTACATCGATATAAAAGAAAACATGTAAGAATACACATCGGAGGAAAAACACTCGAAAAGTGAGTTTTGTTTTGCAGACAACACAATTTCATAGATTTTTTTTGACTTATAACGAAAACCTGAGAAATGACGTTCCGTTTCAGGTATAACGAAAACCTGAGAAATGACGTTCCGTTTCAACTTTTCCAATGTACAATAAACCTTTTATTAACCTCGAAATGTTGTAAATGAAATACTTAAATAACGCATTTTCTTATCCTCAAATGCACTTGCGTCGTGTTTTGATGACAACGCCAAAATTGCGAAGTAAATTCCGAGTAAAATTTACTTACACATCATAAAGATTACGTATTTTTTTAATTAACACGTTTTCACGTAACACTGTAGCGTGACAGGATAGACATAATTTATGAATTTTCGATAATTGCAGTTGTTCTATAAATAACCGAACAATATGTCAATATCGTGTGACATAACATCACGCCATGTTCAGTAATGGGTTAAGGACACTGATATGTATAAAACTGGATAACACAACTTAGTACTTGACTTGAAGCCTAGTGGCGGCCATATTGGACTATCCACTTTTTCAGTTTTTACATAGGTTTTGTACAACAAACTGCTACTCTAGCATTTATTTTTGGTCATATGTTTTACTCTTTTGACAAAAAAGAATTATTATGATGACAAGACTGCAATAGAACGGTTTTAAGCAAAAACTCATGTTTGCTAAATTTCATATAGAAATCTTCTCAGGTTGTTTAAATATCATAATAAAAAATTTGGCATGATTTCTGAAGGAGAAAATAACCAGAATACAAAATATGATAAAAATTCATTATAGAATATATACTAGAAGTGGATTGTCATTATGGCCACCGCTGTCAAAAGTTGGCTTCAAAATTTTCTAGGCAATAGAATTAGTTTGCGTCATCCAGTCTTTATATATATCAGTGGGTAAATACTGAAGATACTTTTGCGATTAGAATTAAAAGTATATGTTATTGATGAATTAATGCTCAAAGTTTGACTCAGCTTCAACATCAGTTACAGCACATGTACATGCATCTAATGTCAGCTGCATTCTGCCGTTTTCTCTGCTTTGTTTGTGTTTCGCTCTTTGTTTAGACTGACAATAGTAAACAGCATTTTCTGATTAATTCAATACAAATAATAGTATTTATATTTTACACAGAGATATAGTGAAAATAGATATAGACCTCGATGCATCTCGAAAGCAATAAAATAAATCGTCGCAACATGCTGTTGCGTTGCATAGTAAATAAACTCTACACCAGATTCAATGTTCAAGCTTTTCATGGCAATACTTATGAGAAATTAGGAATGTCAGCGTTGAACTAGCTGATACTGCTAATTATATTCCGTGTCAAGGAAAGGCATAATTGTCCTATAATAGACAATGACAATTCGTTCAATATCATTTACTAACCTGAGTTCATATCAACACGTCGCAACGATACAATTTGTCAATTTCTAAACAATATGAAAGTCATTAAACTGCTGATCATTTCGTCCAAATATACAAGTTTTGTTATTGTCTACTTTATGAACATGGCTGTTATTTACAAGCCATAAAATATGAGTTCGCAAATCGTGTTAAAAATATCGATCGCTTTATCTCTCAAGAATGATTCTTTGAAAAGCCTCCGAAATGTGTTCGTGCGCTTTAAACAACACACAAGCGCAACCCGAAACTCGAAAGTTTTCAAATTCAATTGTACATTATATACAATAAGAGAACTTCAAGTTTTCAATTACAATATGACAGTGAACTGTGACGAAGTAATCTTGATTCATTAAATATTGTAAGTTTGTTTTCTACTTCGCCTCGGGTAATTTACACATTCAAAACGGGAAAAAAATTTATATCAAATGACGGAAGGATTAAACCGATAATAATTACCTGAAGTTTTTTCAAGCGCCCCTACTTCACAGTTCACAATTGAAGTGAAAAGAAGCTTATACTCAATTCATCCGGAAGTACGTATTTTCAATTTTTCAAGACTATTTCCATTTGCGCATGCTCGTTGGTACATTGTTACAGATGATATTGATAATTATAGTTACTTCAGTCTGTTTCATACATCGCATTTTACATGAGCCGAATGCATTCAAAACAAAAGATGAGGAATTTTATTTTCCTTTGTTTTTAATGCATTCGGCGCTTGTAAAATGCGATGTATGACGCAGACCTTCCTTCTAACAAACATAAGACGGCTGCGGAAGTGTTTTTGACATACACTTCACGATGTCATGTAGATCGACAAGTGTGATGTAAAGACAGTAAAGCTGGAGTCGTACTGAGGGCATTCGGATTAAGGGTTGTTTTACAAACATTTTGCCCTCAGATTTACTGACAAACTGCGTCTTTACAGTTTTTGGAAGTCATAAAACTTCAGTTTGTAAGATCTACATAACTGATCACAAGTGAAGGATCGACATAAAAGATCGACATAACTGATCACAAGTGAAGGATCGACATAAAAGATCGATCAAACATGAAAGATCGACATAACTGATCACAAGTGAAGAAATGACAAGGTTTTCTTGATAACATAAATTAAAAAATTACCAACTGATTAATAATTTTGTTCGAAAAACTAGTACCGTCTATCTTGTAAAAATTAAGACATCATTTCCCAACAATTCGGGTGTTACATCCCTACCCACACCCCACCTCCACGCTTGGTACGCCCTTGTAAAAGGTCAACAATAATTGCACTTTTGGCTGTGTTTGAGTCCATGCCATTTATCTGTTGTGACAAGGTAAAGTCTTGTAAATCAATATAAATATATAAATGAACAAACAAAAAGTCCCACAAAACAGTTTGAAAGACTTGTTTTATAGGAAAGATTTGACTATGTCCGCAGCGGTATTGTTACCGTTATTTTCTCGTGGTTTGGTTGTGTTCAACATCCTTCCATCTTTTTACTTCTACAGAACCCAGATCTGTAAATGCCGTTTTAGATTTAGCCAAATAAAAAACTCTTATTTGCTTCGACACTGGGGCGGGACTTTGCCGATGAGAGCCCTGGGACACAGTACCAGAATTCTTGTTTGATTTGAGCACAATTCGTCCGTTCACTTTAGGCACCGGTGATTTTGGCTTCATATGTGATGTTCGTTGGCCAATTAAGCTGCAAGGACAAGACTGTGAGGCGTATTCATAAACGCGAAACACTCTTCGCCTTAAAAGGCGAAAATACACTGGATTTCTAAATATATAAACCAAAGGATACGTTGCAGAACGAAGCCAGATAAAGAAACGAAAGAAAAAAGAGTTCAGTTTACTTTCGGCTATCGATGGACAAATGATCAACGGCAAAACAAAAGCGTTACAAATCAGATAAACAGTTATAATGAGAAGAGTCGTGAAAGCTGATCTCGCGTACGCGTCAGCGGCAAAATGATGTAGATTGAAACTGACATTCACCTGTCGACGATTACTTAAAGCAGATTTCAAGATACTGTAGAAGCAAAGTAGTATGATCAATATTGGTACACCTATCACAAGTGTGTTAATTACTATTGTTAACACGACCGAAGCACGTGCTTCATCGATGTCGTTGAATATCCCCGGAGATTCCTGACAGTACACGAGCCATGCGAGAAAACGACTTTCGGAGGTCGCTTCCCCTTCGAGTATCGTACCCCAGGGTAGTGATGCTATAAAAGCAAGCAGCCATATCGAGGCAATGACGATTTTTCCCTTTCTAGCTGTGATTTTATGATGCACTTTTTTTACCACCGCTAGATATCTGTTTACAGCGATCGCTGTAAGGCTTAGAAAACTGGTGTTGAAAAAGAACACATTCTCGCAGCCAATGAAAATGCATTTCTCAAGTACGAACGATGCTAAGCCACCCTGCGCTAGGACGTATATTGATATCCCTAGACCTTGAAAGCTGGAGAAAAATTCTGACACGATGTGACTGATGACAAAAAAGTTTGTCGTTGTTCTCATTCTGTGATCCCTTAAAAACAAAAAAAACAAAACGCCATTTGCCAGCAGCGCAAAGATCAAAACCATCGTTATAATAATACTTTCATACGATGGCACTAATATGGCGGTCGGGATCATTCTCTTCAATCTTCGTTGTCTTTTTTTTCGATTTCGATAATTTTTGTCGTTAAATGTACATTCGCTAAACAATCATCGTCTTTTCTTTTTATGAAGATAAACATTTTATAGTCACGATTTGTGAGTGCATATTTGTGAGATAATTTCCTTCAGTTTATATCACAGCAGTTAGAAATAAAGACTTCAGCTGGTACTCGCATTTTCCATTTAAATTTTTGAGGCCGATATTGATTCTTTATGAATAATGATATCCCTGCTTCTCATTAACTTGTCAACAGGCTCGTCGTCGAACGCTTTGTAAAAACTTTAAATGTAAACAGTATGTTCTTCGTGGGACACGTTGAGCTTCGTGAAACTGTCGCGTGTACTCTTCAACATCAAATTCACTTTCGTTCTTTATACTCAATGATTTGTCCGCCAATACTCTGCCAAACACATAAAGTATTGAATCACTTACAAAACATTTATCATGTCTGCCAATGTGCGGGTTTTTTTGTGTACATTTTCCGGCTGCCGGTTTCAGCTGTAATGCAAAATTGATCGAATAATTTTTTCGAGCGATGCGGAAAGTACGTTCTTAAGGTTGAATTGTGTTCTTCTACGAGTGATAATTGAAAAATGAGTTATTTATACAAGCAAAACAATTTCCAATTTCGTTAAATATGAACAGTGCAATCACATTGGGCAGAAGACATACATTGTTGTCACAAGATAACATATTCCGTTACGATAGAGACAATGTTTTCACACCGGACAATCTAAATGTAATTAAGAGCATCGCTCAATTTTGCTGAACAAGATAGCTCAATATGAGGGGGCTTAATGTTGCGATAGGTTCAACATTAGCACACTGGTTTGCCATTTGATGACCACTTTTTTTCTACTGTAACTTTTTACATGATTTACCTGGATTTACCATGTTTTCTGGTTAACACGAGCAAGATTTTTGTCATATGTTTTGCGAACAAAACTCGTCCCAGTCTTTTTCTCTGTGGTCAATTTCAGTATTTTATTCGAGAAACATAGATTCTTCAGCGGTTAATCTTACAGGCTTTGAGTTCATTTATCGTTATTTTACTGAACGTTGTAAAAATGATATAGAAATTATTGGTCAAGTAAGTTTCACTTGGCCATGATGACGTATGAACCAGACGACAGATAAGGGCTTCAAATACAATCACTTGACTCAGAAGATGACAACATCTGAGGTTGTCGAAACGTCGGTCATGTATTTTGTATTAGCCACAGTTGATTGTTGTCTGTTATTAATGTTTGTTATCTGGATTTTGGTCGCAGTTTCTCATTTATGTGACAAAATTTTTCTATAACTTACTAAATACCAGGAGTTGCGCATGCTCATGCAATTGACAGTTACTGCAGTAAACACATCCATTTCCTACCTTGCACGTACTTGATAGACTGAGCGCATGAAATTGAAATTATGTAGCGACCATTGAAGTAAATTTACCGGTAGCGGCTTGTGAGAGATTATTACAGTCTGACTCCAGATCAGGAAGAGTCATAGAAATTGTATGACTATATGTATATGCGCCCGCGTTACTTATAGCTTTTTTGCTCCATTTATTTTTATATAATAACCAGAAGAATTTGAGCAATTTCATTAATGGAGAGCAATGATCTATAAGAGGATAGACGCACAGAATCGACGTCACAGAAAATTTCTTGTTTTGAAATGACAAATGAACGGTGAATTTATTTGAAAATTTGTCGCAATACCTCCCAGAGTGGGAAAATAAAGATATTCACAAAGAGCTAGTTGAGGCAGTGGACGTATTTGAGCAAAAAGAGAAAAACCGGTTTTCAAACATTGATTTGTACTTCGTCTTCGATAACAAAATTTCAACAAAATTGATCAGCCATTGCTTGTTTATTTTCTTAGCCAACACGTTTTATCACGTGATTAACTTAGCCAATAGCATGCCTTCAATCCTATAGATCACGTAAGCATGATATTTGCAAAATCAAAACTTTCAATGTTCCAAATGTTTGGGGAGGGCAAAGAAAACAAACTGTTTGACCGTTTAATTTGGGAATTTTTTTGATTTTATTATATAAAACAAACAAATAGATAACATTTAACCGTTGTCTATACAGTTATAGATACACGGGTATGACGTCAATTGTGATAAAAACTAAAAAAGTGGCCACGAGCCGCCAGGGCGAGCAAACAGATAAATGTTATCTATTTGTTCAATAAAAATCAACAAGTCTATACCGCAAATGCTCGCTTTAGCGCCTCGGCGCTTATTCCATTTTTTCTATTTTGAATAAGGCGTTTATGCGGGAGCGGCGCTTATTAAATATTGTTATTGCAGCAAGAAAATGACTAGTATACAAAATGTACTTTTATGGTATAATATTATACAACTTGATAAAAATAATGTCACAAAGGCGCGAAACAAGGTTGTAATAAACTTTAAAGTTTAATAACTCTTAATATCTTCCGAGCGCCGCACTCTGGTTAGGCAGATGCAGCGCTTAACCGTGAGCGGCGCTAGGATAACGTTTCTGGCTTCTGCGCACTGAGTGCGGAGCTTGACAGAGAGCGGCGCTTGAACGGGAGAGGCGCTAAAGTGAGCATTTACGGTAATCAACTTGAAAGAATTGATATAAAATGTAAATAATGGTATACACTTTAAGTATTTTTTGTGTAAAAAATATTAAATATTAATTCCTCAACTTCCTGTTAAATAAAACATCTTTTGATGGCGAATATAATACATGTTTCATGTTTCTGTTAAATGCCTTCAAGGCCAACCGAAATCTCTTCCCACTAAAGTGTACAATTCCTTGTTAAAAGGCCGATAATAATCGCGAAGCATAGCTAGGATCTTTTCTGAAACAACTACGTGTGATCTTCCTTTCTCACTACCCAAACAACGTAGATTAATCTTGTCAGTTTTGCTCATTTGTACTGGCTCGCTAATTTGTTTGTCAAAACAATAAAATCCTTTCGTTTTGTTAAAGATAAAATGTTCCCGTTTGATGAATGGGGTAAGGTTCAAAAAACTCTCAAGGGCTTTGATTTCTTCGTAAGGAGATTTAATCAACTCATCTCCGCTTACCAAATGCAATTGTTGCTTTGAAAAATATCGAAGCCAACGCAGAAGGTGTTTTGAATAAGCACCAATTTTTATTGCCGCCCAGCGATCGTTAACTATTGTTTTGACTTGACCAATTTGTCTTGTAGCAACTTCTTCAAAAGATCGTCCAGTATTCTTGGCGCTTCGTTGTGTTTGCGTGAAATCAGAGATCGCTCTCGTTGTCGGATCACGAACGATGACAATAAGTTTCAAAGTTTCGTTCAGCGATTTAGAATATTCGAAGATATCATTTGCAACACCGCTTGTAACAAAGTAACTCGGCGTTTTTTCGATTCGTAATTCGTTTTCGTAACACAAAGGCATTCTTTCGCGATACCATTGCATTCCTTTATATTTGTAACGGTCAAAGTGAAGCTCAGGACCACTACTACAAACTTGCGGGTGCAATTTTAGTATTTCCAGTAGTGCTCTTGTGCCTGCTTTCTTCACTCCGATTATTATTACATTGGGAAATCTCTTTTTTGGGTTGCCTTTTTTCCTGTACACCGCCGGTAACTCGTTGTTGATATCTGTTGTAAAGTGATCGACAATTTTTTCGAGGGTTTGCTCGTCGTTTCGAAAAAACTTCTTGTCAAATTCCTCGTCAGTTTTTGATTTTCGAATCAATTTATGTCGCGATGGTTTCGGGATTGTGTACTTCGTCAATTCTCTCCAAGAGTCATTCAAGAACGCGTTATGTGCAAAAGGTTCGAGAGTGTGAAACATCCTTCGAGTATCGTGACTTGGAGATAAGTTAATTCCTGTATTTTGCATATTCTTACTACGAGGTACTTTGGATAATAATTGATGTTTACCGATTGATAAATAACTTGTCAAACCCACAACATTCGAAGTGCCGCTTAAGCGACGACTAGTGTAGAAAGAATTTCGTGCAACAGCAATGAAAAAAACCCAGAATGCCACAAAACAGCTGGCTACAGTGTATATTAAATGTTTTGTTGGCATACGAATAAGATATCCCATCACTGTTCGAACATACCTCACAGTCATTTAAAATAACGAGTTGAGACCCTTCTTCTGGACCGCTTCGTTTCATTTCGCCGCACATAACAGATCGATACCTCGCCATTCGCGAGCATGGTCAGAAATTCTTCAACGTTCGCACTATGTAAACATGATAAGTAGCAAAAATTATCCCGTACAAGAGTATTGCAAATTGCTCTTACTTTCATGTCGCTCTTTCAAAACAAGTCCTTTCAAATGTTAATTTGCTATGACTAAATATGCAAATTTACTCAAAAATATTGATCGTCTAGAAAAGAAAACAATACTTGATCCATTTTTAAACAATCTTAGCTCTCAAGGTCTAGATTTTATAGGTTTGAAAATTGAAATGTTGCAAGTATGATCTGCCTACAATATATCGAAGTATATCTGTGGATCGAAGAAGCTAATCGCGGATTTAATGTTGAATTTGCGTGGCAATAAATGGACGACAACAGTCGCATGGGCATGGCGTATAAATATTGCTTGTTTAAACGTGCTTAATATTTAGAATATGCAAAACGATGTTCAGTGTGTCGACATTTGAATGTCAACTTTCTAATTACTTTCCACCTTAAAAGCTTTCATTTTATTACCAAGTATATCTACTTCATTACTTCCGTTTCTGTCTTTTTGATACAAAAGAATACAAAAGGCATTCCAAAGATCGCTTTTGTCGCCCGGTTGCCTAAAAGTAAGGAATTTATTCTACATGTTAACGATCTTTAAAAACACAAGATACAGACCAAGCGTATATACCAGTGTGTAAAAAATATTTATTGATGTAAATTGTGATTTATTTTAAACGATGAATATCGCTCGAAAAAGTGAAAGAAAATGGTGGGCGTAGTGTGTATAAATGCTATCATTGCAATGGTTGTTTTTAGTAGTAGAAGTTACTGACCATGCGCACTAGGCTAAAGTTTTAATCTCTCCTGTTTTCTAACTTCTATCTTTGAGGACGTCAAAGAAACCGCTCATGCGCAAAATGTTAGAAGAAAAGGTCAAAATCAGCGCTTGAAATGATAAAAATTTGGACAATAAAAGTTTGTTCATGGAGAACAACTTTTCTCAAGACTGCACTAAACTGTATCGACGACCTACATCTACATACATGCCAGATGCAACGACACCCTTTGGTTCAAACCATTTACATTATTACGACCACTATGGGGTATGAAGTCATTGCATTTCGTAATGCAGCATACATAATACTCTATGATCAAACTTATGCTTTTTTAAAGTTATTTTGGGCGTACGTGAAAAATACAAAAAGAGAACATTTTCGCGTATGGCGTAATATGTGTTACAGCCTGCGACTGGGCAAATTAGATCAGATAGGGGACTCATTTAACTAAAATACATGGAACGCTACCTGTAATAGAAAAGTCTAATATTTTTTGAAGCCAAATCTATCACCCAGACATGCGTGTGTATTCCAATCAATTTTCACTCCGCGAGAGAGTCTCGAAACAGTAAACACGCGTGTCTGGGTGTAAGATTTGGCTTCAATAGGGGACTGGACACTGGATCAAAGCTATGAATCAGAGTGTCAGAGCTTCCATTCAAAGATGGCGAACGAATTTTCTGATGAAAATGATCAGAATTTAGCTGAAGAGAACAATGATTTGAACGGACTAAATGGGCATGATGAAGATGAAGAAGATGAATCGCAGTTTGATGATCCTGAAGGATTTACAGATACCATCAATGATGAGGGTGAGATTAAAAATTATTTTTAGTACATCTGCTGTTTGAAAAGAACACGTGGGCTCGGCGCACTGAGTTGTACAATAGTTTTTAGAATGGTAGTTTCGACTTTGCTGGAAACCTTTAAAATCAACTAACAAGGTCCATAAAGAAGCGTTCAATGTGATGTTTAATATTGTTTGAGCGTGTTTGTTGAGTTGAATGGTCGTCACTCTTCATTGCTCAAACCTCTCAGTCTGTTCTATTACGGGATTCTTGTGAATTAGATGAAAATATTACTGCACATATTGTACAGCAGTGGTCTTGTGTACTTTTTTATGTGTGTGGGGGAGGGGGAAGGGTCAGTGATTTTGATGGTATAAAATAAATCATATTCTGAAAAAGGACATCTTAAAAGGACATACATTAACTCAAGTTATCAAACAAGACAATTAAAAGTGTGATATTGACGATGATTTTGAAATAAAACCGAAATATTACACTTTTAACTGTCATGTTTGATAACTTGTAATTAAGTTTACAAGATGCCCTTTTTGGATTATGTTTTATTATATATCTTATGAACTTGTCGGTGCTGGTGTTAGTGTTTTTGGTAGGTTATAATTTAGTCAACACTAATCTTAGTTCCCTAAATTGTAAGTTTTACTTTTGATTACATTGAAGTAAATATTGTATTAGAACTATGTTTCTTTGCAAGCTATTTAAGTTCAAATGTTCTCCATGTAATCCTCACTACTGTTGAACTAACAAATCTGACATTTTATAAATTCTGCCATCATAATAAATCTCTGGCCTGCTAATCAATCCTAGTAAACTAGAAAATCTTTGTATATATTTTGTCATTTTACTAAACCAACCTGGCAGTTAATCCACTCTCTTTGCTAATCCACCTTCCTAGTTAATCCACTCTCTTTGTTAATCCTACCTCCTAATAAATCTACCTGTTTTGTTAAGCTAACCTTGTTATTAGTTCACCGCCTTAGTTAATCCTCCCTACATCTTATATTTGATTCATATTGACAAAATGCGATGAATGAAGATTACCTTTATTCAAACAGTCATATTCATGTGTTCAGAACTGCTTGGCGATGTTCTTGCCAAGAGACCAGTCAAGAAGATGGCATTGACACACTGATTGTTGTTGACAATGTACCAATTGTTGGGCAAGATAGACTTGAAAAGCTTAAGAATGTCATTAAAGTGTTTTCAAAGTTGGAAAGATTGTGAATGAGTTCTATCGAAGAAGATGGAAAAACAAAGGGGTTGGCAAATGATTCTATTTAGATTATGTTTTTGGATTTTGTACAAGTTACTATCTTACTTTTATTATTGCAACTATTACCATTTGTTGCATCAGTAGTATCTATTATATCTACTATATTTGTTATGAATATTAGGGTCTGAAATTGTGGTATCCCGATATTCACAGAATAGTGAAATTTCGTTTTGGATATCAAGTTTATTTTACTTGTATTTCAATGGGATACCAGATTTTTCTAAAAAGTGACAGCAATTAATGTTTTTACTATAAAACAAATTCCGGAAAAACAAGACATCTTGAGATTGCAAAATATTAATCAAAACAAGGCGGTGAACTGTGTAAATTTTTAGGCTTAATTCAAAGTCATCCTCAGACAGAATATTACTTATTCTATGGTCCTCATCCACAGACAGAATGTTCTCATTCTGTCCGAGGATGACTTTAAAATAAAGTCGAAAACTTGCAGTAACTTCTCGTCTTGTTTTTATTTATATTTTGCTATCTCAAGATGTCTTGTTTTTTCGGAATTTGCTTTATACTATATTTCTATAAATTGTCCGCTGATCATGATTTTTAATGTTTTTACTGTTCTCTTATTTTGATTCATTATATGGTACTGTAACACATGTTTAGTAAGTACCCATAATAAATTGATACAAAATTGAACTGTTACAATTAATCAATATTTCAGTTAATAATAAATAGCAGAGTGGAGATTCCTTTCAGGATTCTGAAAAGAACTTTTACATTAATCATAAACTGATGAGAGTGATTCACAGGTTATGTTGCACCTGACCCTCAGATAAGAAAAGCTACTATGCATATTTGGGATACTAGATGATGAGTAGGGATACTAGATGATAAGTAGGGATACCAAACTCTAAAACCTTAGTATCCAACTGTATACTTAAAAAAAAAGAAATATCAGACCCTGATATTCAACATCTATTGTATCAATTATATCTGTCTCGTTTATGATATAAGTGACATCTATTTCATCTATTTTATTAATTACATTTTTACATTTATTTCATGAAGTTTATCTTTGATATCTGTTATCTAGATATATATTCATTGAATATGAAAGTGAAAAGGAGGCATCCCAAGCCGTCAAAATTGCCAATGGATACAAACTAGATAAACATCACATATTTATTGTGAATCCATTCTCTTCATTTGACAGGTTTGATTTTTTAAACTTCTGTTTCATTTACGTGATGTATATTGTAATTCTTCGACCATTTTATATTTTTCTCAATAATCATCGTTGATTTTAGTATGTTGAATTTGGAGGAAGACTGGAACCCACCTGAGAAAGAACCATATGTTGATAAGGTAAATTTTTATGCCCAAATATAAAGAGTTGGAAGCCATCAAACAAGGAGCAAATGATTCATTTGAGATTTCATGTTAATGTCCATGTTAGTGCAGTTTTTGACCATTAGTTTCATTATTTTTTTGTCAATTTTGAGTTTCATCTTGGATTGTTGCTCTGTAGCAACATCACGTGAGAAAGCGTTAATTAAAAGGCCTTTTAAACTACCTATGCACAAACTTAAATAAACAAGCAATAAGCATAAAATAAATGGTTTGAACCCGGAAGTATCGTTACATGTTTGTTGATGTAGACTGACGTTTCGACGAGAGTCAAAAAATGAAGATGACTAACGCTAAGGTTGTCGAAACGTCAGTCTACATCAACAACAACAGTCTTTTCAGGACTGTACTAACATGGACGATCTACATCTACAAACATGTAAACAATATCGCTTTGAATTTTTCCACCAGCTTAATTACGTAAGAACAGTAGACACAATAAGTAGCCCTACATACCCTACACAAACAAATCTTGTAACGTTGTAACTTGATATCGGATACGTCAAACCTGACATTTACTTTTTATTTGACTCAAAAAATGAATATTGACATGGATTTCGAAACAGTACACAATTTGTTCAGCCCTTCTGAAGACAGCACTAACATGAACAATCAACCCCTACTAAAATCAAACCAGCAATTCACTTTATTAAGTTGCGGTCATTTGCCAAGATGGAGTAAACCTAGTTTATAAATATGAAGATACGCTCAACTGAAGCTCAAGTTGTTACCAGCAAATGTAAGAGTTGTTGGTTTAAGCAACCGCCATCTAGTTTAGTCCATATTTCGTAAATAGTTTTGTTCCAGTTTTTACCAATCTGGGACCGTTTGCATGAAGCCTGGATAGCGTTATCCATTGGTTAGCACAAATTTTCAAATTTTTAAAAAAGGAGTTTGTATTTTTCTTACGACAATGAAATTTCGTAGTCTTCGAAATTGATTGATTGATACTCAGTGCTTTGACTGTTTGAAAGGTTTTATAAAAGTTTTAAAAATTACTATTCATTGGATAACGCTATCCAGGCTTCGTGCAACCGGACACAGTGCTTCAAATATATCATATGTTTTTCTTAGGGTAATTTACGTTCATGGTTATTGGATGCAGATTGTAATGATCAATATTCTGTTATACATGGCGGTGGAGAGAAAGTAGATATCTACCTTAATACACCTAATGAACCAGTCCTCGTTAAGGAAAGAGATGTAAGTACATATATGTACATATCTACCTTAATACACCTAATGAACCAGTCCTCGTTAAGGAAAGAGATGTAAGTACATATATGTACACTACCTTAATACACCTAATGAACCAGTCCTCGTTAAGGAAAGAGATGTAAGTACATATATGTACATATCTACCTTAATACACCTAATGAACCAGTCCTCGTTAAGGAAAGAGATGTAAGTACATATATGTACATATCTACCTTAATACATCTAATGAACCAGTCCTCGTTGAGGAAAGAGATGTAAGTACATATATGTACATATCTACCTTAATACACCTAATGAACTTTTTTTTATGTTTTGAAGCGTTGGACAGAAACTTATGTCTCATGGTCAGCCCAAGGAACATATTTTGCCACCTTCCACAAACAAGGGATTGCACTTTGGGGCGGTGAAGAATTCAACAGGATTGGAAAATTCAGCCATCAAGGTGTTCAAATGATCGATTTCTCTCCCTGTGAAAGGTCAGAAATCAAATTATTTTTTCTGTTGTTTTTCTGTCTTTTTCGAATTAATACATAGAGCCTGAGAACTAAGTTTTCTCCTGGGAACTAAGTTTTCTCCTTTTCACGCCCTCTCCGTCTGTACCAAAACAGCTCGGTCCGATATTTCTCCGTAAAGACCCCGAGCTCGGTTATTAAGGGTTTAGTATTTGCATTCTTATCGTCAAAGACCCTATGACTTGAATTCTTGAGAGAAACGGAAAATTGTTTGAAAATTAGCTGGGTTTGAGTTGTATCGAGGGTTGTGTTAAATTCCGTATTTTGGGTCAATTCTTAAGTTAAAGCCATTTAGTTTGTTTACTATTATGTAAGGTTCAAAATAACGGCCGGGGAATGTGTACGGTGAAGATGATTGCCGACCGGTAAAAGTCGGGTTTTTCAAGTGACTTATATATCTATTTAATTTGCACCCGATAACGTGCTAAAGATGATTTTTTCAGATTTTCATTTTTAACGTTCTAAGCGCTTAAGACATCACCGCACATTATTGCCATTACACAAATTAGCCAACTGAAATAGGAATTTAGATGTTGATGGATAAGGTAAAACATTTAATTATTCAGAAATCGAAGTATTCGACTCATCCAACGTATACTTACAAAGCAAACATGGTTTTTCTGTACGAAAATGAACGGTCTTTATTTAAAAAAAAACATTTATGGAAAGCCGATTAATAACTGCTGTGGAAGACCTAGAAATGTGATCGCTCAAAATGACCGGCAAAATAAAAAATTGGCCGGTGAATAGTCATTTTTGGCGCGTCAATTGTCCTTTTGATCGGCCGTTATTTTGAGTCCTTGTTGCGAGGTACGTCGATGTAGTATACAGACGAAATGGAATTAGATTACAAACTGCTTTTCATTTCTTAATTCTTTCTTCTAAAAATCTAACCAAGAGCATCATCTTAAGAGCCTGGGAACTACTAGATTTCTATTTTAGCGAAATTTTTGTAACTACAATTTAGCTCCTTTCTTTAATTTCTAGATACATTGTAACGTTCAGTCCGTTACCTGATAGTCCAAATGATCCGCAGGTTAGTATGTTTTGTTTAAACCTATTTACCACAGATGCATTTACTGGGGTAGTGTCTTTCACGCTCGCCGGAATTTTGATGTAGAATTTTATAGCCGGAATTTTATTGGGGTTTTTTGTAGCCGGAGTTTAGGTCAAAACGAAAACTTCGGCAGTGAGATTTTCGTAGTTTTCATACAGCAAATATACGTACATAGTTATTGGCAATGAAACAGAGTATTTTATGTATGGCAGATAACATGTTGCATTGGTGTATTGCCTGCTAGATAGTCCAAAAATGACAATTTTTTACGATGCAACGATTCTAAGACTGTCTCTCATCGAAGTCATTCATAGAAACCTTTTTCTTCCGTCGACGCGAGAGTTTCAATTTTGTTTGTTAAAATATTTGGAAAATCATACAATATTAGTACCAGAACACGACAAACACCTTACACTTTTACACATTTGACAATATCTTCTTTGTCACGTCCTACATCGTCAATGTGTCATGTTTTCACAGCACAAGGATGGGGAAGTGCATTCTCCTTGCCTTTGATAGAGTGACGCTTTTTTGGATAAGGAAATTTTCATCCAACTGAATACTACTAATCATTTCGTCTTGTTATTGTACCAGCCTTAAAGGCAATACTCAAAAAGAACTGCAGTATGATAACAGTATAGGAATATACAGTAGGGCCACTTCGCTGTGCAACTGGCTGCTGTATATTTAATTAGATTACTGGCTGCTGTAAGCGATTTCATCATTCCTATTGGTCAGAAATTGCAATTGACTGACTGCCACTATGGTAATGAGATATGCGTGGCACAAAAAAAAATTCAATGGAGTGGCTCTACTGTATAATCACTATACTGTGGTATGATTCCACTTTCAGAGCATAATCATATGGGATGTACGTACCGGAACGAAGAAAAGAGCATTTCAATGTGGTGATTGTTCAAGATGGCCTGTGTTTAAGTATGTTCATTGCGTGTTCATTTTACAACCCATAATTTCTATTACTCCGTACAGCTAAGATCTCCTTCACTGAATATAGTCTCTAAAGGCCCGTTCACACGATCAAATTTTTTCAGATCCTAAAAAACGGATTGTGTGAACACATATAAAGTGAGCCTCCGACAGTCGGATCCGTCAATCTAAAAAATTGTGAGGAAATAGAACTTGCTCTATTTTCGTCCGACAAGATCATACGAAGGCGACTTGTCAAATTACATAGATTTGTAAAAGACTTGGAAACAAGAACGAAAATGCGCAAATGTATCGATAAATGTACTGCATAACACAAATGGCTGCTCACACGACTATAAATATCCAAACGAATGGAAATATCAACAAAATTATCCGACCGTCTGAACAAGCAACCAAAACTTAGAACCGTAACTATCGGATCGCGTGAACGGGCCTTAACTATGCATGGGGGAGGGTAATGATAAATGTGTACATTTGTGTACAAATTGTGTAGAGTACGAAGGGGGAGGGTCTGCGGCTGCTGCATTGTTTTGTTCGAATGTCGTTTTTGGTATCCAATTCGATTTTGGAATTGGCTTTGTGAGTGTGCATGAAATTTGTATATATTTAAAGGATTATGCATGCCAATCAAGGAACAAAAGATGTTTACTGTGTTTGAACAGCTTATGCAAACAGAGGAGACCTTTGGGAGTCCACACAAATGTTTCCGTGGTTTGCATAAGCCAGTGCAAACACGAAAACACATCTTTTATAAAAAAGCAAAAATGCGAAACAGATGAATTGAAAACAAACGTTTTAATTTTTCCTCTAACTGAGGTTTTCATGATTGGTTGATTGACAAATTCTTTTTTGTTAATCTAGTTAAGATCTGTTTGCACAGGCTAATGCAAACTCAGCTGTAGACTAATCAGCGCATGCGTTTAGTTATTTTTATTTCGACCAATCAGCGCACGCGTTTAGTTGTTTTTATTTTGTACTAGTTTATCTAAACTGTATAAGATAACAAAAATCAGGAAGCTCTGAATTAATTCATCATTAGTTTTAAATATAAAAGGTGACTTTCGCCCAAGGTTCAAGAATGCAAGATATGCAAAGTTGAAGTCCTGCCTAACTTAATTTGCTCATTACCATTAAGCATGCAATCTTTATAACTGAGTACTGTTAATAACCGTTAGTCTCATTGTCTTTGTTCTTAGGTAAATTATTGTCGTTGCTCTTAAGTAATTTATTTTTTGTCTAATATATCTAAAAAATTAGCAAAAAACGTTGATCAAAAACTCCATTTTACAATAGTTACTATCGTTTATTGCACGGAGTAAAATAACAAAGTCCGCCATTTTCTCAACGCACTAAATTGCCATCACGCTTTGATTTAAGCGCAATGCATCTTGGTTAACACGCATTTTTTACATACATTTTTCATACATTTTTCTCCGTTGTTTGCAATGCAACCATCCATATTTGAACTCAGCTGTGCCGACTACTACTAGTGGTAAATAGTTTGAATAAAATTAAAACTTCTTCATTTCAGGTGGAGTCATAAAGGAGATTACTTTGCGAGAATTCGCGAGGAGGCCATTAGTATTTACGAAACGCCTGTAAGCAGTTAACATTCTTGATTTTGAAAAAAAATTTGGGCTGCATTTTCATTGAACGTTTCTGAAACTACTTCTTTTTTGCTTTGTTTTCATTCTCAGTCCTTTGGTTTGTTGAAGAAGAAGAGTATTAAAGTTCCCAGTATCAGGTGAACTTAAATTATGTTTGCGTAGAATGTGAACCATTCTCGTGTTTATTCATATATATATTCAATTGTAGCCGACTGATTTCTTTTCTAAGTTAAATGCTCGGCAAAACTGAATATTTGTGTACCCCCCTCCCCCCGTCGATTAACATCCTAGAGCCTGCCCTGTTTTGATTGGAAGTAACGAGTCTTTCCAATGCCTCGAAATCACTGAACACTTCACTGAAACTTGGAACGAACTCAGTACAAACCTTTGAACTGAATGATACTGGACGGCTACTTCCCGCCAAAATTTGAAGCGAACAATTCGACCAGTGCCAATCTTTCCATGCACGGCCAAAACAAAGCTCAGTAATATATGTAGCTTTGCTGTGTTATATTTTGTTCAATGGCGTAAGAACATTCAGTTCTTCAAAGAATGAGGATGAAGTTTAGCACTAAGAAATTTTATAAGGTAGAGAAAGCTCGCTCCCAGGCTCTCGAGTGGCGTAAGAACATTCAGTTTTTCAAAGAATGAGGATGAAGTTGAGCACTAGGAAATTTTATAAGATAGAGAAAGCTCGTTCCCAGGCTCTCGAGTGGTAACGATGCTTTAGTTTGTATTTTTATCGTAATGCATTTGTTTTCAGCGAGTTTGCGTGGTCTCCGGGCGATAACATTATCTCTTATTGGTTGCCTGAAATCAAGGACACTCCAGCTCGCGTCACTATCATGGGGATTCCCGGCAGAGAAGAGTTGAGAGTGAAGAATTTGTTCAGCGTTGCGACGGTAATTGAACTTTGAAAATGTTTGTAAATTTGTCGATAACATTTTCGCCAACATTCAGTGAATATTCCTTATTTCGATGCTCTGTTTAAAATTGGAATATGCGATAAAAATCTTCTATGTTACGGAGTCGTCCCGACAATTTGCGTGAATTTTTAGCGAGAAAACTTAGCTTTCTGCCAGTTTTCTAACTTAAAGCAAGTGATCATGCTCGCCCAAGAGTTTTCAAATCACTTAGCCAGGAGAACTCAAGGAAAAGCAATTATATGACAAAAAAGTCAGCGGCTTAGCGAATTGATCCGACAACAAACAATCGCTGTTCCGGCAAAGCATGTCAACTCTGTTTACATGTGATGGAAATATCCTGAAGCATAAAAAAATGAACGAATAGGTGCACCCGTTCAACTAGACTAACTCGGCTCATATAAATTCCTTAGTTTTAATTTTTTTTAACAACTGGTTTGATAACATGTTGCATTAAATTTAAGGTGAGATACATCTTGGAAGGAAGTGACGAAATACAAAGCGTCACCTAACCAAGTTAAAATTAACCTTGACCCCTAGGGACAGTTGGGTTAAACTGCCTTAGGGCCTGATTATATGGAGGCGAGCTAGCCCGAATAGCGAGCCAACCCGATGATTTCAAGGGATTGAAAGGTGCCGAAACTTCAAGGTTAAAAATTACAACTGTTTGGGAAGCACCACACGTCACTCCGGTTGTAATTCTCAAATTAGGGCAAATTGGTTGTTTCAATTTTAAATGTTTTGAGAAGTTATTAAATCAGAATATTGTGAAATTGCTTAAAAGGTTTATCTGATGATAAGTATTGAATCGTTTCCATTTGCCATAATTTAACGCTTGGCTGAATCCCGGCTACCGGGCTCATGTAATCAGACCCTAAGCCCGTGTAATAAGATTAAGAAAGCTATAAGTAAATGAAGGACTCCCAGTGTTCAGCAAAATACTTCAAGTACTCAACTAAGTACTTCAAGTATCCCCAAGTACACAACTAAATAGTTTAAGTATCCCCAAGTACACAATTAAGTACTTCAAGTGCCTTGCTAAGTGCTGAAACAGTCTAAGGCGAAACTCTACAATTTGCTTGAATTTTTTATCTTTTGCCGCAGTTTGGGATTTTGATAGGTAATGAACAAATTGCGTAGGTAAAAATTAAACTTTTGTGTGTGGAGAGGAGGAAGGAAAACACGTCAACCCTTATTATTCTGTGAAAAAATTCTGTAAAACTTCCCTTGATCAAACACCGTTATCGTAATTTCAAACGTCAATTGTATAAAATTACTAACAAAAGTGTGTTTATAGTGTAAAATGTACTGAAAGTGTGTTTATAGTGTAAAATGTACTGAAAGTGTGTTTATAGTGTAAAATGTACTGAAAGTGTGTTTATAGTGTAAAATGTACTGAAAGTGTGTTTATAGTGTAAAATGTACTAACACTAGTGTGTTTATAGTGTAAAATGTACTGGCAAAACAAAGGGGACTATCTTTGCGTCGTTGTTGATCGTTACACTAAAAGCAAAAAGGTAAGTATCGCATTTACGTAAAACTTCACGAATAATCAACCTTTTATATGGCTTCAATGATGACATTATCGTACTGAGCCTACATTGCGTTTGCTCAGTGGGTTTTCCTCTGCGTAGATGTCTTGGCTTTAAAATTTTGATGACTGGTTAACGAGGCATTTGTCTGAGAAAGCTGTGGGAATAATGAAGTTTTATCATCATCACCCCCCGGTTTCTAGTTAGCATAATCTTGAGTTAATTATTCTTGATTTTGATTCGTTCCAGGCTCTCCACTACAATATGGAGATATTTCACCTTCGAGAAAAGCAGATTCCGGTAGACACTTTAGAGTTGAAAGGTAAGTTCGTTTTCATTTATGCGAATCCGACCCACTGATATGTATATTTAACTGGATAATGCAATCAAGTATTAAAAGTACAAAAAATTGAAGCCGCAATTTGGCTCATTTGATTATGTTTTATTGATCTTACTTTTGTACAAGTGGAAGTACAGAGAGTTACCAACTTCCGGCTAGAGTCATCAAAGTACAGAAAAGTTGCCAACTTCCGGCTTCAGTTTTCTCATCAGATGCGCTATCCAGTCTATTAGACCAGTCAGTGATCTGACCGAACAAAAGTATAAACTTTGAAACGGAAAGGACGAAAATTTAAAGTGTATATGCAGTGAAATACTTAAATTTATTGCCTTAATGAATTATTCAGACCTTTGCAAGCAATTTGATTTATGTTAGTCCATTTTCCAGTGAGTTGAAGTTGTCCAATTTCAACTTTAAAAGTTGTCCTCTTGTGCAAATTTTTTGGCTGCAATGTTTGCTCAGTTGACGTCACAAATACTGCGGAAGTCGCAAAACTAGTAGTAATTTCTACTAGCATGTTGAGAATGTGTCATACTTATGACATCAATTCAGGAAACATGGCAGCCAAAAAATTTCGCGCCGGAAGTGCCAAAAACCGCCATTTTTGACGTCTATAAAATCGTTCTGAAAAGACCAATTTTAACTCAGTTTGCATAAAAATGATTTTGAGAGCAAATAAAACAGGATATTAACATATGTCTCTTTTGTAAACCGTGTGTTTTTTTGTCTTCAGAAGCCGTTAATGCTTTCGCGTGGGAACCTCACGGTGATAAATTTGCTGTAATTCATGGAGAAACTCCTAAGATCAGCGTTAGTTTTTATCGTTGTCAAAAAGGAGGTCGAACAACTTTACTGAGTACGTATTGAACGTTGGGTGTTGAAAACACCTGGTATTTAATATCGGATATTGAACCTAGGGTGTTGTACACCGGGTAATTAATACCGCCTATTAGACCTAGGGTGTTGAACACCGGGTATTTAATACCGGCTGTTGAACCTAGGGTATTTTTAAAAACACCAGGTATGAAAACCCGGTTATTTAACGTATGGTATTGAACACTGGTTATTGAATGCTCGGCATTGACAATTAAAAGGAATTGTTAAGGAAATCTCATATCCACAATATTTGTCTTTATAACCAAGTTTCTTTTCTTCATACACAACATGTTTTTCTTTGTATCCAGATTCTTTTCCTTCTTACCCAGTTTTTTTCTCGTACCCAGGTGCTTTTCCTTCTTTACCCAGTTTGTTTTTTCTCGTACCCAGGTTCTTTTCCTCGTACCCAGGTTCTTTTCCCTCTTACACAGGTTTTTTTTCGTACCCAGGGTCTTTTAAAATTGCTTTACATAAAGTAATGTAAAGTTACGTCGGGTCGGTAACTTATTCTAAAAATGAAGTGATTCTTTGATCTGCACAGAAACGTTCGAGAAGAAGCAAGTTAATAATATATTCTGGTCTCCTCGTGGACAGTTCTGCGTTCTGGCCGGACTACGTGGGTACGTTTGCTGTTTATATGGGATTGATGTGGACATTATAACCGAAGTGATTTTTTTGCCACATTTAAATGATTAATCGTTGTTTTCTAAAGAATGAACGGAGCTTTGGAGTTTTATGATTTGAATGAAGTGACGCTTATGAATGTTGGTGAACATTTCACAGCAACGGATGTGGAGTGGGACCCATCTGGTAGATACGTGTCAACTTCCGTTAGCTGGTGGGCGCAAAAGGTAACTACTATTTAGGTAGAGCTAAGGGAGTGTGGTGTTTTGGCTGAAGGAGGGGAAGTTATGTCTGGTGTATGTCTTGTCTTTATTGTTGATTGGTTGATCAACAAACAAATGTGGGCGACCAAAGAGTGACTTAGCAAACACGACTTTTCATCTAAGACGCCGTGAAATTGGCGTGACATGCGCCTTTTACTTCCGGTTCACGACGGCCGTCGTGTTGACGACGACGACGACGTGAAAACATACAATTTACGTCGTATCTACGACGGCTGAAAAAAACATAATTTTTAGATAAAATTAAGGAAATATCCTTGATATTTGCATTTTAAAAGATTAAATAGGCCTACGTATATTCATTTGAGAAAAAACTGCAAATATTTTGTTTCCTAAAGCGAAAAAAACAAACAAATAAACAACGCGGGATCTGCTCTAATTTCGGGGGGCTCCTGGGAGTCAAAACAATTTTAGTCACAAAGCCATATGTCGATGATTTTGCTTTTATTTATAATTTTATTGAAATAAATATACTGCAGTATATTTTTGATATCAAAATATTAGTTTAAAATGATCGGAAAACACGATCCAGCAGGAAAAATGCCGAAATAGATGAAACTTGTTTCATACTATCATTTGACGGAGTCTTACAAAAGGTTTGCTAAATCATAAATACTTTACGACGTGGTAGCGTCCTAGACCCAGATCTCTCGCGAAAATTTCACGGCGTCTTAGACGAAACGTCGTGTTTGCTAAATCACTCTAATGTGTCATTTTGTGCTCTTTTCTTTTCTGTTATTGTGTATCGCTGTTAATATGAAGCTTACAACAGGAATAAAACTATTATGACTTATTGGGAAGGGAGAGTGCTTCAGTGAAATGGTCTAATGTGTGGGAGATGTTGGAAAGGGAGATTGCTTCAGTGAAATGGACTAATGTGGGAGATGTTGGGAAGGAGATTGCTTCAGTGAAATGGTCTAATGTGTGGGAGATGTTGGGAAGGGAGATTGCTTTAGTAGAATGGTCTAATGTGTGGGAGATGTTGGGAAGGAGATTGCTTCAGTGAAATGGTCTAATGTGTGGGAGATGTTGGGAAGGAGATTGCAGTGAAATGGTCTAATGTGAGATGTTGGGAAGGAGATTGGTGGAATGGAATGTGAAGGAGATGGGGGAATGGGAAGGAGATTGGTGAAATGGAAATGGAGGAATGGGGATGATGTTGGGAATGGAGAATTGAGTGAAATGGACTAATGTGGGAGATGTTGGGAAGGAGGTGAAATGGACTAATGGAGATGTTGGAAGGAGATTGCTTCAGTGAAATGGACTAATGTGGGAGATGTTGGAAGGAGATTGCTTTAGTGAAATGGAGTAATGTGGAGATGTTGGGAAGGAGATTTCTTCAGTGGAATGGACTAATGTGGGAGATGTTGGGAAGAGATTGCTTCAGTGAAATGGACTAATGTGTGGGAGATGTTGGGAAGGAGATTGCTTCAGTGAAATGGACTAATGTGTGGGAGATGTTGGGAAGGGAGATTGCTTTAGTGGAATGGCCTAATGGGTGGGAGATTTTAGTTAAATTAAGCAGCACATTGTGCTTTTCCTGCGAAGCATCCCTCGTTAGTCCACTCTGGTTCTCAAATCATTTCGACCAATTATTATTGTGTTTAAATTAATCTGATATCCATGAACCTTCGACAATTGAAATGTTTCCGTTATTCAGGTAGACAATGGCTACAACATTTGGTCATTTCAAGGTAAACTACTTCAGCGACATCCCGTAAACCAGTTTTGTCAAATGCTGTGGAGACCAAGGCCACAAACGCTGCTCTCGGAAGAGCAAGTCTCGGTATTTATAATGACATCTTCACTGACCTGTATTTTGATACCTGGATGTAGCATCTCATTCAATTTCCTAATTTAGTAATGAGCTGTTTGTTACATGCAACTTAGATGCCGTTCTTTTATAAGTGGAGTTTTTTGTTAAAATGTTAAGGATGGAGTGCAAATTATAGTTTAAAGACTTTTTGATAAGTTATTGATACCGTCTTGATAAATTATTTGTAATATTGTTCATTTGCCTCGGAAGCATTTAAACAACTGACGCTTCTAGTGTAGTTAAAAATAAAATTCAAAACAGTTTCCAAGTTCCCTTACTGCATCCAGTTAGTATATACATATGAGTATGCAGACACTCCTGTAATTTCTTATTTTAACGTGTGATGATTTGCTCCATTTCTGATAATTGCTGTCTTTGTTGAATATATAATTGGAATGCTACCTTTATATAAACATGCCCGTACTTGCATGAAGCCAAATTTACCCCCCAAACATCTCTAGATACTCCATTGAACTAAATATGTAACTGGAATGCTATCTTTATATACAATGCTATCTTTATGTGCATGCCTGTACTTGCATGAAGCCAAATTTTACCTCCAGGCACGTGTGATTGAGACTAGTTAAATTCTTGGCTTGAAGTTTTGGCGGGAAATAGCCGTCCAGTTATATTCAGCTCAATTGTTGTCTTTCTGTTCATTTCAACAATAAGTCTTTCAATGATGGTCGTTGTCTTTTTGAGATTTATGACTTTTCTTGCACTAAATGTAGAAAATCAAGTTGGAAATTAAGAAATATCACAAGATGTTTGACAACAAAGACAGAATGTCGCAAAAGAAAGCCTCAAAGGTTTGATTATTTATCCTATTTATTATAATTATGATGAGCTATTACGTAAGCTCGTATTGACTGAGCGCGAGGTATTTACGGAGAAATGTCGGAGCGAAGTTTTTTTGTGAAGACAGTGCATGTGAATGAAAAGTACATAAAATATACTTTACACACAATACATGTGTGTGAAAACTTTACCCACAATACGTACATGTGTATGAAAACTTTACACACAATACGTACATGTGTGTGAAAACTTTACACACAATACGTACATGTGTGTGAAAACCTTACCGACAATACGTACATGTGTGTGAAAAACTTTACAAACAATGCGTACATGTGTATGAAAACTTAACACACAATACGTACTTGTGTGTGAAAACTTTACACACAATACGTACATGTGTGTGAAAACTTTACACACAATACGTACATGTGAGTGAAAACTTTACACACAATACGTACATGTGTATGAAAAACTTTACAAACAATATATTGTGTGAAATACGACGTACGTGTAAGTGAAAACTTTACACACAATCCATGTGGGTGAAATCTTTACACACAATACGTACATATTAAAAACAATATTAAAAACCGTGTTAGGATTAATATATTATATAAAGAATTCTCTGATGATGGCTTTGGAATAAAGTCGAAACACGGTGCCAACCATGTAAAACTGTTATAGTGGCGAGAATATCTCGTCCATACGCAGTTTAAAAGAGATTTGACTCGTCTCCAATCCCTGTGGGCTTGGTAGCTCAACAGGTAGAGCGGCGGACTAGTATCCCGAAGGTGCGAGCTCAAATCTCGTCCATGTCACATGTTTTTCATGTGCATATAAAACCGTGTTAGGATTAATATATTATATAAACAATACGTACATGTGAGTGAAAACTTTACACGCAATACATGTGAGTGAAACTTATTTCTAAGATTCAATGTGTTACTATAAAAAAATTCGGGAATCTTTCAGGAACTAATCGAAAAGCGACGTCGAATGATGCGCGAGTTTCTCGATTATCGCGGCCGGAAGAAACAAGAATTTGATGAACAGGCTGAACAAAGACAAGATTTACGTAAAGGTGAAAAACTATTTTAACACTGTGGTATTGCGTTCTCTTTCTCTGACGTCCGTGGCGTAGCAAACTTGGTAGTTGTCGGGGGGGGGGGGTCACATATTTATGTATTCATGTTCTGCCGTATTAAGTTCTTTTGAAATGCATTGTTTTCTGCGGATTACAACATGTATATATAAATTTGCCCCCCCCCCAATTCTCGAGTTTATCGTCCAAACTTAATTTTCACTGTTTTGATTGGCTACGTTTTTAACAAGATAACTAAGCGTTCCTTTTTTTGAACAAAAACATAAATGACGATGTTCCGAATCAACCAAACTTTCCACATTCATTTTCCCGCCTCCTTCAATTATGACGTCACTAATATGGAGTGTGACAACAGGTTTACAGAGGATTTTTGTGTTTTTATCTTAAGGTTACGAAGATATACAGGAAGAAGTTGATGATTTCGAAGAGGAAAGTGTAGAATTCTTTATCAGGGAAGAACAAGCAATCATCGAGTGATTCTTCACGGTTCCTTCGCATCCCCACTTATCCAAGAATAGTCATAGAAATACATTGTGAAGCTCTGATCGACTCCGTCTTGGTTTAAGGTGACATAGTAGCGGAAATATCGTGATTAATTTTGAGGGATAACTTTGTGACTTAGCTACGAAGAACATTTAATACTATTAATTTGGCAAATCTGAATTGATTTTCGAGTCTTCAAAAACATACTTTTTTTCTCGAAGGTAAATATTGAACTCATTGTTAAGAATGTGTTTGTGTGATACACAAGCGTTTTGCTTATATGAAACATGGAGGACTTCAATCATTATTTTAACAATTGTAATTTTGTGCAGATCATCTGTTTTAAGGTTAATTAAATATTTTTTCCACCGTACAACTCACGACTTTATTTTTCTTTTCCTCTTGGCGGAATTTTCCGCGCGCAACGTCAAATTTGCAACATGATTGGTTGCGATAAAATAATGACGACATCATCTACCAATCACGCGAGTTACCAGCTATTACGCGCTGAAAATTCCGCCTAGTGGAAAATAGCCTTTATGTTACTTTCCCATTGTATGTTTTTGTTGGTGATCCTGATTTTGAAGGTAGGTATTTTCAGTGAAGTATCCTGGGTAGTTCAGAATCGTTGAACATGGTACGTTTATTGGAACGTTTTTACATTGGGATATTTATTGCAATATTTTTATTTTTATTTGAATATTTTTGTCATTTACCGGCTGGGAGGTCTGGATTGAAAAATATTTTCCCGTGATCTGAAAAAGAGCCCGGCCAGACGTTTTTGAGTCTGATTTTTACGTTTATTAGAATATTTAGACATTTGTTTATTTTTGTGATAAAAATATACTCATGTTTTGTATGTAAACTTGAAAGTCACTCTTCAAAATGGACCATTTTGGTTTTGTGCGACAGCGTCAATCGTTATTTGAGCCCGGTAAACGAGGCATACCCTTGAGCAAGCCAAATAGTACTACACCCCGCTAAAATTGAATTCCGTCTGTCATGATAAAAAAATGAAAACAACGTTTTGCGGATTGGTGCAAAAATATAAATCAACATTACATATTGATTAACGGTAATTCTTGGCTCTTCATGGGTTTATCTTCGTCAAAGTAGTCAAAGTCCAAGTTTTAATAACTCATGCTAATTTTACATTTATCTCACGAATTAATTAAACTTTCAATCATGCAATTGTCCTTTGGAAATTGTTTTCTTTTTTGCTCGACCTCTAAACCTCGGTCTCCAGGTTGCGAATATCATTCCACGCCAGTGTACAACAATATTTTTCATCTTGAAAAGATGGTTCACGAGTCTCCCACAATCGAAATCTCTGTATAACCGGGCCAGCCCAAAGCACCTTGCTCATACGAACACAGGCCCTAAAGCCTGTTTTCCACTAGCCACGTATCGTAACGTATCGTAGCAAAACGTAACATGGCGCATGCGTGATTGTGCGTATTGACCACCAAATTCACAAGCACGCATGCGCCATGTTACGTTTTGCTACGATACGTTACGATACGTGGCTAGTGGAAAACAGGCTTTAGCCAGCAATGTTCGCTCCGTCTCTCGTTTTTGTCAATAAGCGATGATTTTCAAATTAAGCAAATGAAAATTCTCGACGGGTGATTCAAGTTAATCAGACGATATGTTTGCCCACATTGATCAGACAGACCAGATGTTGATGAGAATTTACACGTTGGAGGTAAAATTAGCGTCGATAAGATTTAGTTCCCCGTTTTAATTATTCATTACACTTAGACAAATCACAGTCAAAATGTTTCTTTCGAAGTTTTCGCTTATTTTCCAAATAATTTTTTAAAATGTTTTTAGTGGTCAACGTTTACTGATGCAGCAATGTTGCAATACAACTGTTGGAAGCGGTTTGAAGTCTTTCATAATTCAGTCTTATACTGATTAAGTTTTGTCTATCATTATTACTGTTCACTGTTGAGATCATTTCGTGCTGTTTTTCCACAACATAGCGGTTAGCCGGTGGGCACCTTGTGTAAATTTCTGATTAAACGATTGAGATACCTTAGCTGTCATCATGGAAAAACTGTCTTAGGTTTTTGGCTACAACATATTTTTCGCCTTTCGCACTTTTTGCCAAAATAATTCAGTTTTCTTAAAAAAAAAGATAGCCGAGTGAGCTTAGAAGACTTGACATGATTATATTTGTTTAAGGAAGGAAGACGGAAGGTTCTTTCTATTTTTATGACATGAAGAACGAACGTGTAGCTGTCGTCAATTATGATGATTTATCATTCATAAATATACAATGACAAACAGATCAGTTAAACGATTTCGAAGTTAATTTTCATTATTGTTAATGCTGATATGCATTATTTCGTCCCACTCGAATAGTGTCGTGTCATCTCAGTGAAGCAATTTTTAAAATTCATTTCCCAGAGCTATCGAGAAGAAATCATTTGAAAAATTTATGTTCATTTCCAACTTCAATTTCTGTTCATAAACGGATCGAAAATCGAGTGAGTTTTGGCTATAATTTGTAATTTTGTGATGTTTCATTTGTTTGTGTTTACTTTTTGATCATACTCCCGTAGCCAACCCATAACTTAGTATTTTCCTGAATAAAACACAGAATGGAATTTTTTACTTGTAGCTGCTTCGAGAGTTTATCAATTAATATCAATTTAAACATTTTTTATTTAACATTTCAAGTTAAAAAAATTGCGGAAAGCTTAGGTAACCTGTTTTCGTTTCAAAAGGATTTATAAACTGTTGTTGGTGTTGGTAATTGCATGATTTTGAGGGAGGGCAATTTTGTGTTCGTAATTCGCTAGATTCAAAAGAAGTATCCCAAGTTAGGTTGTAGATCTTGTTGCCCTGTATTTCTGTTAGACTCAAAAGAAGTATCCCAAGTTAGGTTGTAGATCTTGTTGCCCTGTATTTCTGTTAGATTTTGCTTGAAATTTCCTAATTTATTTAACTTGTAGTTTGCACTCATTGTAAAATATGTTATTTTTAAGTTATGAAGTCGTTGTTCACACTTCGTTCATCGAAAAGAATTCAGAATGTACTTTGTAAAGAAAAACAATGAAAATGTCTGGGGATTACATGATGTATTCGAAATTCCGTTTTAGCGAGAGTAATTTTAATGCATTTCACAGTATTAGTTTTGCGAGAGTTTACGAAATGTTCACATTATTCTTGACTGAACTAGATAACATTGAAGTGTAATACCTCCCTCGAAAAATGCCGAAATTGCATTCAGGGATCATGAAATTGTGCGGCATGGTGGTTGTCTATGTGTGTTTTTAGTTCAACTTGAATTCGCTCTTATTAACTTTGCTAATTACTATTTTGCCTGACGAAAAAAACGCTCTTTTATGATCATTCGAGATTTACATTCACAAGTTAATGTTATTTCATGACTGCGGAAAAGATAGCCTGGGGCCGCTATTGCTACCAGTGATCGTCCTCAGAGCCCTGTATTTATAAATGTTTATAATGATTATATTTTGCGTTATAATAGTGCCAATAAAAGCGATGAAGAATAGAAACATACGCGCTCCTTTGTGGCAAAACAATATTGAAGCGTATTCACTACATCCACTGCATTAAATAAGTGCTCTTCTACTCTTGCGTTCTATAAACAACTGAATTCCAAAGTTAGCGATCGCTGTCTATTCATTAATAAGAAAACACAACAGAAAATTTATCTTTCCACCATTTAATGTTCTGTATTTGCTGGCTATGGAACAAAAATGGCAGACTAGGCAATTTTACTTCCGGTGTCCTACCTCTTTCGTAGTAATCGTCCCAATTGCCTCACAATAATTTTGCTGCCATTTTGATTTTTAAACTTTGTCTCCAAAGGCCTAAATTGCACTTGCATTTAATCTTGGCTAAATTTTTTGTAAAATTACGTTTAGTAAACAGCCAAAAATGTTACCAAGCCAAGCAAAGCGTGCTATTTCTCCGATAGTGACGTTTTTAGTCGGAACGTTTTGAATAAAAATGTTTCGGAATTATTGAGTCTGTGTGTGTGTGTTTTTATTTGTTCATATTACGTGATTTTTTGTAAATAAAGTATGACGCTTGAACAAAGTATACTCTCTTCCAAGTTTCAACAAAACACATCTCCCGTACTAACTGAACAGAAATTATTAAATTCCACATTGTAAAGTATGTAATATTTCACAAGTTTCTAACACGTCTTTTTTAACCCATTCACCGATTTAAATTAAAACTGTCTTCTACGTTGGGTGCCTATAGTATATTGTTAGCGTTTGTCATCTTTTAATTTACCGAGAATGCTATGAATAGTAATGTTGTCGCGGCTCTAAATTAAGCGAGCTTTTTTGTCTGCGGGTGAGTTAAGGCGCCTTGCTCATAATTTGACCCGGAGTAAGCCAAACCACACAACTATTTATTGAACAATTGCTTGGAATCAAAAGCATCTGTTTTTCGAGGCGCCTAAGATTTTCACCGTCCGTATGCTAAAACCTCACTCACGGACTGGGGGGCTTCAAAATTAACCCATAATTATTCGAAGACGGCGTTTTTACTCTACCACTATCATTCTACCACTAATAACTTGACTCGACGTATTTTAGCAAAAATCTGCGAATAGCAAAAAAATGAAGAAATGACTTTGCCATCGACGAGTTGAAGGGCGATTTCCGTGAGTCTATGAGTGAGCTATTTGAATACACGCAGGCAATAATCTCAATTTTAGAATTACTAATCGTACATTTACGCAAGCTTCCACTACAGGCGCAAAATATCTTCTCATGAAATGTATGATATTAGCTCTATTCCTTGTGCTCGTCCTTATCTGGGAAGAAGAAAGTAGCCAGCGTATACGCAAGCTTAGCGGAGTACGACTGTGTTAATTTGTTTAGATTAACCCCCAGTGTTTAAAACAACAAGACTAATGTTTATAACTTGGGCAGTTGACTCTTGATCTCTTGTTTGTCATGTTATATTTGAATGGACGATTCTGGAGTACGATGTTTTTTAGGTTTTCATAGCTATAACGAACAAACAGAATGTTCCTTTAACATCGAACTCTTATCTGTAAATATCGTGACGATGTTAAAACATTAAGTTATAATTGAATCTAGAAGAAGCGTGACCAAAAATGGTTTATCGTCCATAGAATCAACGTGTTTATCGCTTAAATCATCGACATCGATTTTTTTTTTCAGTTGTGAAGTATTTAAAAGCCTGCGTTTTTCATTACTTTGCATACAGGAGGTGGTTGACCGACTTGCATACAGGTGGAAGTACACGTTCTTTTTTTATCTCTTCAAGATTGTCGTTGTTTTGGTTTTGTCGCTGTAAGTTTTTATGTAAAGTTGGTTATTGACGAACAATTTTTTCCCGCGTGGCCATTTACTTGACAAGTTTGGCAATAGCTCGCTCGTACTCATTTACGTTGTCATTTACTTGACAAGTTTGGCAATAGCTCGCTCGTACTAGTTTCATCATTTTATAAAACAATGTGTTCGTTGCATTCGAAACTGTCGCATTTGTTAATGCATGTACGAAAACTTGTCTCGTAAAATGTTTCTCAGAAAGCATTGTCTTATAAGAACTAGATAATCTTTTGATTTATGTTCCTTGTTAAATATTGTTCGCCATTTCATTGCTCTGAACGAAAATATGGCTGTTGTTACTATAATTTACATAGCTATAACATACAACAATATTTGTATTTTGAGATTAGCGCATATTTATGTAAAGCAATTTACAAACAGATTTTACATTAAACGCTAAAGTTCAGAGGATCAACCAGTTTCATCTCAATAGGAACAGCCGGATTTCTTCATTTATGCACATAAAACCCCCCGTCATCTAAAGCATTGAGTATTGAGACATTGCTCAAAACCGTTTAAAATTGCTTTTTAAAAAGTTGACTGCTAATTGGACGATATTCTTTTCTTTCATTCAAGAAGTCAATTTCTTCCATTGTCTAATCATTTCTGAAAGAATTTGTATAGTGGCGGCTACTGTAGTGAGCTTTTATTGTTACTACTTATGAACGGCTTCCTTTATTTACGCGTAGATTCCATAGATTATATTTATCTTTTTGCTATATACATTTGATACATTAGATAAATCCTATAATTTACGATGGATTGCGTTCTATCTATTATAAGGCAAATCAGCACTCGCTGGCGGCTGTCAGCCGTGTATTTATCTTTTTGTGTGTGTGTGCAAGTTTCCCTCCTACGTTTAATGTGATTGGTGCGCTATCTTTTGAAGTTTCGCGCGCTAAGTTTGTTCATAGGGCGGCAAATTTGGAGAGAAGCTAGGATCTTCTTTTAAACGTTTCATCGTCTGATGAATAATCCTGGGCATAGGATGTACACTTGTACGTCACGTGAGGGTTCAAACTCTGCGATAAAATGTAGGCCAGTCGGATAACGTACAAACGAGCATGCGCCAATTTCACCGATCAGAGCGTTGCAAAGAGCGGAGAAGTCTTTTTGAACCTATGAGTCTATTCTATAAATTATTTTCTCGTTTGAGAATCGTGAAAATTTAATACTCTCTAAAACTCTAGTCTCTTACTTTTATGTGCTTTTAGAAAATACAGCTTAATCTCTACAACAGATGCATTCTACATAATGCTTTAATTTTGATGTACATCATTTGTAACAAGTGCAACATCAAAATTCTAGACACAAATGGACTTAAATTATGATTTATGTAGTAGGACAACTTCCTTAGTCTAAGACAGCAAAAATGTGTTTGTTTATGAATTTTCAGCTCAGTGGGACATCTGCCTGGCTGTATTTGGGAATTTGACGCACAGCTACAAGTGGAATAGCCAAGGCATATATTTTCAAGCTCCTGTCCATTTGAACACGGTGAAGTCATTTTCAGGTTTGGTCCTTTTTAATAATATTTAGTTCAGGTCAATTTTCTTGCAGTCACATGCTTTAGATGACATTAAGAAACTGTCTGCCGGTGTGCTTTTGAATAAGGATGCTTAGTCTTCATTATTCATGTCATCTGCAATTGCTAAATGTGTTTATCATCAAGAAACCTGTTAGCCTCTTTTACGAAAAATGTAACTTCACTTTTGTTTTTTGCAAGCTAAATGTTAAATTACACCATCAGCAATTCAACTTCAGCTTGTGGCTAGAGTGTTTTCTTCTCTAATAATGTCTTAATCTTAGCTACCTATTTCAGCCTATATGCGATATAATCGTCTGTAGATTAATGTCTGTAATTCTTTATGTATCTTTAAAGTCTAGGTGTCACAATTAACCGACAATGTCTTGCTTTTTTTACCATGGTTGATGTTGAAACATTTCTATCAACTATCCCACAGCCGCTAATTTTTTAAATGTACCTTGCGGTCAACTGATGAATGATGTCAGCCTTATTATGTCGAAAAAATATATTTTTTGAGGCTTCTCTAAAAGTACTTCGATTCAATTCAATGAAAATAATTTTTAACAGGTTGAAATCGTCAGTGAAGTTGAAATAGATAATAAAAAACATCAACGTATAACTAAATACATACATCAATAAAACTAGTGTACTTACTATACAAAAAAATTTACTCAGTACTTTACAAGGCTGCCGTGTGGGAGTTAAGACGTATTATAAAATTTATGTACAGCGTTCTTAAACTGTGTAAAAGATTGAAGCTTTGAGCTTTTTAAGGAAGGCTGTTCGAAAGCCAGTCTCCCCTGTAGTGAAAGCTTCGTTTTAAGCAATTATGGTACGAGGCTTCGCTAAATCAAACTTCACTTCATAGTTTCTAAGTCGGTATTCTGCAATGACGTAGAACCCAATTTACTAGATATCTGACTCCGCCGAAATTGTATCGTAACGAGTGAGGCAAGGTGGCAAAACTGACGATATTTAAGACTATTATCTGCTTTTGCTAAGTTGATATAGAGTCGCAAAGTTCATAGTCTAGGTTTGTTTCTTTAAATATTTCATAGAATGGGTTTTTTAAACTTTGTTTTAACTTATTTTTCATTTTAAGTTTTACTTTTTGCCTCCTTTCAAGATGGCGTCTTTGCCTCACCTTGACACGTTAAGTTAGACATTTAGAAGATTGGGTTCTAAATCATTGGTATTCTGTACTCTACGTATGGGAGCTTTGTACATTATCAGAGTGTGACAAGCAGATTTTCAATTTATTTTTGCACCTCTTTTACTCGCTCTTATACGACGACGCCTTTTGTAAACATTCGCGTGATATTTTTAAATTACGTAATAAATACAACAGGTGCTGCCTTGATAACGGATAAACGCTTTTGCTTGTACGTGACTCAATTTGAGTGATTTCCTGCATTTTAAAATTCAAATACATCAACGATATTCAATGAAGACTCGAAGCCTCTTATAAAGTCTCCTAAGAATAGGCTTTCTCCTCAAATTAAAAAATAATCCAATTCGTAACAGCGTTATCATTGAACTGTTTATCATTCAAATTATCTTTCCGAAAGCTTGCAAAGCATTACTTCTCGTGATATGATCCGTCAATGTTTGTAGGACTGCGGTTTGACGATAATTCTACAAATATATCATCTCTGTTGTTATGGCCGGCTTTTCGGTCGCTACGCTGTCTGTCTGTGATAATTGTCTTTTTGGTTTTAATTATTGTAATTGCAAAGACGATAACTTCCGGTTCGCTTGATGAATAGAATAATTTATTAGTTTGATTCATAATTTATAGCTCAGTCAGCTGGGCGCTGTTTGGTTTGTAGTCTTGAAATTTGTCCGTCTCGAATAATTGTTACAATTCTCCAAGTTTCAAATGAACCTCTGATCGTATTGTACACATTAATTGTGCGAAGTACTTCATGTAAATGAGCAACGTTCGTCTGTAAAAGTTTCCATTGTAGCAAAAGATAGCGATGTCAATGTATTTCAATTCAACAATTTAAACAATTAAACTTCTTTTGAGACAATTTTTCTTTTTAATCCTTGGATGAATTAAAAAAGCTTTGTTATAATTCAAAATGTGATGTAAAACATATTCCGAACAAAAACATTTTGTACTTATCTTAATTATAAACAAGATTCAATTCAAACCCAAGCCCTACTCAGAACGATAATTGGGAAGGCATATGCATATATGCATGACATGCCGTGTTAGTTTCTTTTGAAATCCATCGTTTTTTACGAATTATAAAATGAATATATGAATATGGTCTCCCCCCTTCCACAATTATCGGTATGGCTGCGTGCGTTTTTAAACCATAGAATTTTGGTTTCAGTATTTCAAAACCATTATCAAACAGAATGTACAAAGCTCTTTAACCCGATTTTTGGGCTGCTTGTTAAAACAGTTGGGGTCTTACGACCCGTTGAGGACTGGTGCCTAGTTTTTCTTCTCTCTTTAATTGACAAGATGATTTTCTTCGAGAAGCATTTGCGATAAAAGCGAGGAATTTTGTATTTGAATAATTCTCATGTCGTACACAAGTCGTTCCAGTTTTGTGAGATAAGGAATAAAGGACTCAATGCAACTAAGTGCGCATCTGTTGTCTTATGCATTTGTAGATGATAGATTATTGAAATAAAATTCAGTATATCTTCTACATTCCATTTGTGTGATTTCCTTATATATGGCTGATTATATACTGATAAAGCAACCACCGAAAAAACACCTCGATATTTCATATTTTAGAATACCTAAGTAGTTACAAATGTAAAAAATGTCCTCAAAAAATACATATCAAAATTATACACTTAGATTAATCTTCCACGATTGTTTATAACGACGCTAAAACTTCCAGTCTCTTTAAATAGATTCGAGCTTTTTGGCTTTTTTTAAAAAAAAAAGCAAGCCTTGTGCATAGCAGATTGTTTGCGGAGCAACATCCGTAGAATTGTATTAAGTTTAATGCATAAAATATATTTGGACCGAAACAGCAATTAATTTGTGAAATTCGTTATCTCTTCGCTTTGATTTTATCACTTGTATATATATATAGACATTGATATAGAAATTAGTTATTTAATACGCGTCTAAAACATTGCCGCAGAGGACTAACAATTGCCGTTTCAAAGAAGTTAGTTTTTGAAGGTGTGTATTCTCGGACAATACATAACGTTTCATATGTTGATTTCTTTATTAATTAAACTATAGTGGTTGATAAACTTCTGTGAAATGGATCAAATAAAAATTTTCATCTTAATCTTAATCTTTGTATATTGGAGCGATTTTCTATTAAACGTAAGTGAACTTTTCATCAAAGTTTTCCCGCATATTATAATTTCGTTTACTACTTTTATACTTCTTTCTTATTTCATTTCTATACTTGTCTACAAAAAGCGTTATGTTTGCTAGTAATGATTTGTTTTGGAGAGTAACTTCTGTGTTCAGTTGCAAAGTCGTAGGCAGATTTTATTTAATTCTTTTAGTTGGGACAAAATATGCGCGTAAAACTGCTCTTAATCGTCAATTAGTCGTGCATTGCCAACAGATAATGTCGTGTAAAATTGACTTGTATTCGTTAGTTAATCCTTAGTTTGTTGCAATTTTACAATAGAGTTCGCGGGTGACAGTGTGTTTCGTTGTCACGTGATTGCCGTTGCTATTTATAAAATATTTATTTTCCCAAATAATAGGATAGCATAGCCACTGAGATGATTTTCGACTGTGATTGGTTGATTGCAGTGCAGTTTATCTGTAATTATACTGTAGAAATGTGTAATTGCACTGCTAATAATATACTTTGAGATATTTCTCGACTGTGATTGGTTGATTGGAATGCAGTTTATCTGTAATCGCACTGCAAAAAAAATGTAATTGCTCTGTTGAAAAGCTGTAATTGCACTGTAAAAATATGTAATTGCACAGTAATTACTGTAATCTGATTGGTTGAAAGGCAGTGAAAGCCAAATAAGCTTCTTTTGAATTCAAGAAAAAAACAAACATGTCGACAGTTGTAAGTAAACGGTTATTTCCACAGTTGCAATCCGTTTTGTGTGAAATTCAAGAAATAAAAAATAATGCGAAGAAAAAATTACAAAAGCAAGTACTGTTTTTTTAGACGGCGTCTCGTGAAAAATATCGGACTCACAATATTTTGTTGTGGTCTTTGAAAAAGTCACTTGTTCATATTGGTCCGTAATTGCACTCGAAACTACATATACTGTTACCTATACTAATATATTTAGGTAGAATCATAATACTATTCTATTGCAAATGCTTTTGTTTAATTGGCTACTCTACTTGCTATCTAATTCTCGATAGCAAGTAGCAATGCAATAGATAGCAAGTAATGAAAAACAAACATGGCTCCCGACCCTGTCTCGCGTTTTACTTATAGTTTCTGACGAGAAACTTGATTCTTTACTTCAGAAAACAATTCTAGAGAAGACTTAAGCTGCTGCTAAATACAACTTTAAGATAATTAAAGACAAAATAAACAAAAATTCAATTAAAATAACTAAGCAAGAGCAAGAGTTCTTCGCTCTTTAATATAAACAATATGTCAACAGCAACAAATGCATAAAAAATTATGAAAAACTATAACAACTCTTTTCTTTATGAATACTAGTATGATTCTATAAAACATTTGCCTTCATTAACTGTAACCTCATAGATATCTCAAGCTTGGAATCTATTGTTAAATATAGAAAATCTAATATAAAAATACCTAGTATATTTTGCAAAAACTCGTGCGCTTTTTTTTCGTCTAGTTTAGATGCCGTTGATAAAGATCAAACATACGTAGCATTTTCACGCGATGACGAAAGTGATTATTACGCGATCTACTGGAAGACTCTCACACTCTCACTCTCGAGCTACATGCAGGGAAACAGTTGAATTTTTTCACTATCACGTGACACAACTCGACCAATCAAACAGTAGAAAAAAAGAACTTTCGCGTTCTTTAGACCATTGAACAATTATTTTTTGTCGTCGGCCTTGTTAATTTTTTGCATCTCTAATAAGCGGCCTGACATTCAGCGGTCGATACGACTCATACGAAACATTCACGTAGCCAATCAGAAAAGAGACTTAATCGCTACAGTATGATTTCTAACCGCAACAACAAGCAACACGCTGATTTTCATATTTTCTCTTTAGAAAATCGAGTAATACTTATGTAATGTTTGTCGTGTCAACAATCCTTTGTGTCAACGTGTTTCAAGAGTGAAGACCTCTTTAATAGCACCCAAAATGGATGGCTTTAACAATACGACCACGGAAAACAGTCAGCTTCCTGGCACCCTCTTTCGCGTCGTCTTCTGGTGCAGCCTGGGAGTCGTAGAAGCACTCTCGTTGCTTGGTAACATCATAATAATCTACATCATTATAACTCACAAAAACCTTCACACGAACACCAACTGGTTTCTCTTGTCTTTGGCGATTTCTGATCTTGGCGTGCCATTGTTTATCATTCCGTCACATCTTCTTTGCACCGAGACCAGTTTACCTTGTAAAAACAGTGTTGTGACGGCTTTGTACAATTTCATATTGTTCGCTTCTGTTCTAAATCTATGTGCTTGCACCTCAGAAAGGTACATCGCCATTTTACATCCGTTCAAGTATGTGCATTACGTGAACAAGAAACGTGTCCTGGAAGTTATCGCCAATGTATGGTTGATACCTATTCCCTTGCAATCATACCTTTGATCCACGCAAAACCCGAAGTGTCCATACTCGTCAATCGTATTTACTGGTTGACGCAAGTTGCGCTTTTTATGATAATTCCAAGTTTGGTGATGCTGGCTGCCTTTTGGCGTATTTATGGTGTTGCAAAGTGGCATGCCAACCAAATTCGTAGAATGAGTCTTATTACAGAAGAAGACACTCACGGTGGAAGGCAAAAACTTGTATTGGAAGCTAAGTCGACTTTAAAAGTTTACGGTTTGGTTGTTGTTGTATTTATTTTAGGCTGGTTGCTTTCTGCTTATCGGATGATAGTAAAATATTTTTTGCTTCGACCAGTTCCCGTGAAGATAAATTATATATCAAGGTTCCTCCTTGTGTTAAACGCATCGATAAATCCGTTTATTTACGGTCTGCAGAAGCTGGACATAAAGAACGAGTTTCTGAATGTACTTAGAAAGAAACAGATCAATATGGGTTCATCTAGTGCGAGCAATGGTAACAGTGCCAATGATTGCATTCGTAATGATATTGCTATTGTCTGAGAAGACTTGTGTGACGAACTAGGACAGGCTATAACATGCTCTATAAACAGCAGCTATACTACTTTCAAACAGAATGTAGTACTCTGCCAAGGTCTTGGGACGAGTTGTGAAGATGTAGTTTTTTACCAAAAAATCTTCCAATTGCTCCAAACCCAATCTAAGGTACAAAGTCTCGATGAGATTTAAATTCAAAATTACGAACGTGCTCAACACGAAATTAAACTGCGACATTCAAAACGTGAGTAGCTCCAGGGGCTTTGGTCGAACCGCAATAGTTTGCCCTAGGTCTGGTGCCAATAATCTTTTGATTGGACGATTTCAGCTGTCTTGATAATCTCAAACATTTCTAAATGTTACATTATTAAAGAATGGTTACAATGGTAAACGGAAAGAATGTGAAAGAAACGCAGCCGTCTCCATAAGAATAGTTTGGAACAATTAGTTCACATCATAGTTCATGTAAATGTTTATTTCAAATTTCTAAAAGAAGTCTTTTGGGAACTTTCGGCTTAGCGTTCTTATTATCTTGGGTATTTTGGTTTTCTGTTAAGTTTGTTGGGTTTCAGAGTCCTCGGGTTTGTATTAGTGTTTAGAACATTTGGGAACTGTAAATTTTGGCTTTTCATTTCGGCTTTCAATGAACATTTAGGTTTTTCATTCCGGGAAAAAGATGATTTTTAATGGATCACAAAGCAAATAATCGCGAAAAATCAGCATTAGTGAAGTAAATTTGGTATCTCAATAAAGTAATACTTCAAACGGAATCTTGAGGACGTCTACAACACGCGGTGTTGTCATGCTAAATTCATTCTTCTTGGTGACATGTCCAGAACATGTTGAATCAAGTTTTAAATGTCTATAATCAACCATTCTAATATTTCAGATTTGACTGACTTAAGGTAGTGAAAATAATTTCAATCACACAACGAAGTACATCGTAAATAAATACACAAACCAAATTGACAAAGTACGCTTAGTAGCCACTGTTGACATTATTTACTGTTGTTAAACTTTAAAAAAATTGGTGAACATGTTGCGGATTAAATGAGTTCAGGGGCTCAGTGACGATGGAGAAACATATGAAGTGCGAGGGCTAATTCTACCCAGATTTCGAAAGCTAACTCTCTTTATTAGGTGGCTGAGTCCCCCCTATCTATGCCATTGGAAAAATATCATATATAATATGACACTCTTGCTTACAGAAAAAATGAATCATAGAAAAAACAGTTGAATCATTCATGATGCAACGTTCGTGTGTTTCAAAAAGGAGCTTATGGAGTTGAAATCACAAATTTACAAGAGCAAAAATTCACAATGACAATGAAAGTAAAAATTGACCAATCACATTCGTTAGAGTTCCTCCCCAGATAATCTAATATGGCGGACGTCAACTGCTCATTGAGCTCTAAAAGACCTGGAGGGGCAAAGGGGCCTGGACCCCGTGGTCAAAAACATGGCGGTAATGGCGGATTTTGGTTGTCAAAACTTCCACTTTGAGAAAAATTTTTAACATTCGCTCCCTCCCGAATCCGGATCTCTATTCCTGCTTATATTATGACAACCAGCGAAAACAACCACGATACCGTAAGCATAAAATATTGAAAATAATGCTTCAGGTTTTTGTGAAAAAGACACACACATTTAAATGAGGTAAATCTACTGTAAAATAACGTATATTTTGTCAAGTAATGCTTTAGCTATATTAGAAATAAATATCAAACGGCATTCTTTACACTGTCAATTTGTTGTTAAGCTTTAATGCATAATCCCATGCGCATTACTTGTGTTTTTGACTGTTTGTTAACAGCTTGGTGCAACTGTCTTTCTTGAATAGATGGGTAAATCTTAGTTAAAACGTCCAAAAAGGAGTTAGAAAAAGTTAGCTTACCCCTACGACTTTAGTCGACTGGAAATATATTATAAGTAGGTATGTAATTTTTTTGAGATTTTTTTGGTAGGATTGATTCTGGGTGTCTTATAAAGTATTATGATATTCTGATAAATCTACTGAGAACTGACGAGGAAAATATCTTGAACTAGGAGAGCAAAAGAACGAAATTCAGAAATTCTATAATCATGTTGCTGGATATTAGAAACTGGATTGTTATTGACAACCATGGATCTACTACTGAACAGAACTACATTAATTTCCCATTGAAAATACTATTTCTTAAATCAAAGTGCATTGTTTTCTCTGACATAACACTTTTCTTATTGCTGCATGAAGGCAAACCTGTTTAAATAATTATAATGTAGGTGAAGATATTTAGCATGTTGTATAATTATTGTACAGACATTTATAATATTATGGCCTTGTGTAATGTATGTCAAGAACTTATTAACTCTCAAAATGCTAACCTTGCACTACTTTTCTCTTGTGTCCTTACAAATTACAGTTACCTATACTAATTTTTCTAGGTTCAAACAACTTGACAAATTTTTGAATTTTACATTATGTCTTTGAATTTTTCTTTTTGTCTTTTAGTAAAAATATCAGTGAATGACTTAAAAATCAAGTTTATCTAAAATAGTATTTTGTACAAAGTAACTATACATAATTGGAAAAGTCTCATGTTGAAGGCAGATGTGGCTTCTTTTACTAGATTGCTACTCTTATTCTTTTAAATGATATCGTAATTCTTCAAAAGACATAAAAAGTTCTTTGCCATCAATTTTGCTTCTTCCACATTCAACTTCATTGCAACCAATGCATCTTATGTGAATTTTAATCACCTGGAATTGAAAATGTATGGATTTTGTCAGATGATGCAGTACTATATTTAATGTTTCATGCATGTCATGATAAGCTTTTCTTGAGCAAATATTTCAAGGTAGGAGCAAAATTTGGCACATTATTGAACAAAGTAGTTTTTATCTTGATTTTGATGTACTAACCTGTTTACTACACTGTGTAATAAACAATTCATTTACAGAAACACCAGATGGCATTTATAAAACTTTTAGCATAAAGCAAACCTTTACACACCATCATCATGATTGTCCATAATCTGTCAAATTGTCCAGGCTAGCTGTTTAATACAGGTATTTTTTATTGTACGACATGTACCAAAGAGCTCATTAATTAATCCTGCACTGCATTTGATTTCAATACAGCTCTGTCCTTAATATTTGCTTCATATTTTCAGAAAATATCATGAAAATCCTCCATTTCAACTCAGTTGAAACAAGGAGTTTTAAGATATGCATATCTCGATAAGAACTGGTTGCTTTGCCTCGTCTAGCAAGCGATTAAGTAAAGAACAAATAGGACTGAATAAACATAACTTAAATTAAAACTTAGGAGTAAAACATTAACAAAATATATACCATCACACTTCAAGTATTGACTTAAAACATAACACTGAACACTTTAAATGGTAAACAATCTTACGTTGCTTACCGGTGTCGTGAAATGCTTCCTTTTCAGGCATTTCTTCAGCATCCGTATGCCAAACAAGTTTGCAGCATGTTTTAAAAATAAAATTTCTAAAAGTTTTTGTGCTTGGCATTGAAATTTTATATAATCGCAATTGTGGTTGTCAAATCCGGGTGGGCGAAAAAAATTTTATTTTATGAGCCCGCGTCTTTCCGCTGACTTTGACAACCAAAATCCGCCATGTTTTTGACCACGCGGCCGCGCGCTGATAATTTATAGTAATTTTGTTGACGTTTCCCCTCCAGGTCTTATAGAACTCAATGCAACTGCTCTTTAATGGTCAAATATATAAAATAAACGCTTTTCTATGAGGTAATTAAAACATGGACAGCCATGAACATTGCCGAAATTGTTATAACATGCGATGCACTAGCAAACGTGGTTGTCCAATGGTTTTTTGCTCGTTTGGTTGTGGCGTAAAACTTCATGAATGTAAAATTGCTGATCACAATAATATCTGTCGTGAAAAAAGAGTGCGTTGTGTGAATGCTTATTACGGCTGTCCCATGTCAATGGCGCGCTCCCAGATAGGTACACATATACAGAACTGTCCGGCTAGTGTCGTGCAGTGCACTCAAGTATGGGGCAGAAACCCATCGTTTTCCAGTGAACGTCTCAAGTGGGTGCCATTTAAGCAAAGCAACCCAGTGTTGGTGAAGGGTTGTTTGGAGGTCGAGTTCGCGTTCCATGATCAAAAAGTGATCAACGAAATGCGGAAAGATCGTTGCAAGACTGGCTTTGTGAAGCGATTCTCAAAAATGCATGATCTTCAATCTAAATTCTCGTACAAACGAGCTAAGATGTACGCAGATGAGGTGAAGGCTTTCGTCGAACTAAATCCATCGTTTCATTACGATTCTTTTGAAGAGGAAGAAAGGGAAGAAATTATAAATAAATCCATAGACGTTTCTACCAAAAGTTCCGGGTATGACAACATCCCAGAATGCCCTCTCATGCCAAATGCTCGGCCAGGACTGGGATTGAACTTAAACATTGACATAATAACGAGTTTTGGGCGCCACAGCCATTCTTACCAGATTCCTTGCCAGCAAATTTTACGTCGGAATGAGTATGGTGCACACTTTAAAAATGTACATGCTGAAATCCAAGGAGGATTTGGTTGGATTGAACGTAGGTGTCCTTTAGCACAGTATGGTTGTCCTTTCATTGATTATCCTCTACTACCATCCAACCTTCAAAGCAAGATTGTATTTAGCGAAACTTTGGGAGTTTTTGGAGTTAAATCTAAACATTGGTCTGGTCAGAATTCATATTTCTGTGCAATCCTATGTCTCCCATCGGAATTGCTAGAGGAGATTTGTAAGTGGTTGGATGGTTTTAGCTTGAGCAACTTAATGCTTACGTGTCGAACATTGCATCTTAATTTGTCACGGTTGGTTATCAACCGTGGTGTTGTAACTCCTCGCTGGCGAAAGAGGATATATGAAGATGGCTCATCATCTTGGATTTTTGCAGAAAAGGTTAGAAAATTTTTGCTGTTGATCTCCCTCACCACCCACCCCAACCCCCAACCCCCCACCAAATGGTCATAGTGCATTAAACTATGATTGGTTTTGAACTTCAATATTACATTGTAATGAATACCAATATCTATGTGTCTTACATTAATAAAACTAAGTGCATAAAATTTTGCATAATGCATTGTCATTAGTTGTCATTTTTGACCTTAACAAGTATTGTTTTTAGATCTTGAACATTGCCCTCGAATCTTGATTCGTAAATTTTTAAGCTCTTTCAAGCTCTTGTATTAAATTTACATGCATATATTATGCTCATTATTTTGTTTATATATCAGAGCTCCAACTGACAGCAGCGACTCCTGTTTATATGAAGTTTACCATGACTACTAACATCTCTTCTATAAAAGTGTGACCATAGATGATAAATCCACTTTTTTACCAGAGTCGGTCGGATGGTCAAACACTCCCCCTGTTCTGAACTTTGTAACTATATAAATCAGGTGGGAGTGTCTAAGCTTGTCAGACCAAATCTAGTTGTAAATTTGCATTTATGGTCACAGTGCTTGTGTATTAAGTTTAACTTTATACTTAAAATCAAACACACTTTGTATTTCTTAATTTTAACTTTTTCAACTTGTATGGATGTATGACACAGTTTGGAAATTAGCAATAGGAAATTATTTTTTATCAGGTTTGGACATTCACGAAGGCTTTTTCTGAGGTGAAACATTGGGTACATGCAGAAAAGCCAGCACTCAACAGGCATCTTGAAAATTGCCCCTACTATGAAAAATATCGTTCAAGTAAACCCTTTCAATATGTGAATATGTCTGAGTAAACTGCTGATGAAACTATAAAATAATATTTAAATCAATGGTTTGTGCTATTTGATGTCTTACGCATAAAAATTATAATTTCACAAGACACCAAGAAAGCTAACAAAAGAAGAGTAGTCAACACTTAAATGCAGGTCCGCAGCAGTCACTGAACAATATTATAGACTCAAAGGGACTTAAGCTTGGGATGAAATCATGTTGCGAGAAAAAAGATGTGCAAAAATTTTTATTCGACAATACCATTGTAAGGCTTGAAAACCTTGTACTTGCAAATATTATGAAATCATTTCTAATTAGTTAATTAATTAATTATTTTATGTATTAATTAGTTATTTTGGTGATTACATCATCGCAAATGACCAACCGTGTTCATTAAATGATCAAGAAATTGGGAATTGTGTTTGGAGGGGCATATACTATCCTAAGGTGTACAGTTGCAGCTACGTAGTTAGTTTCCATTCCCCCCCTTTGAAAGTGCGTGGATACATTGATAACTGGGGGGTGGTGGAGGCTATTCATATATTCATGTTTTATTTTATTAGTTTCTATTGAAATCAATTTTGTTTACGGATTTTAACATATGAATGAATAAATATAGCCCCCCCCCAATTAACAATGTTCCGTCGTCCTTGCGTGGGTAGTTTCACAAATCTTTACTTTTTTGTTGCGAAAACGTCCGGTCAAAATGTTGCTGTTCTGTCCATTTTGTCTACTTCCGGTTTGACGTGTTCTAATTTGTCTAATTAGAAGCAACGTTTGGAAAGTTCTAAATCAAAGTTGTTACAAAATACTCGCTTAGAATTCATATAATTACCCTCGTTATGGTATCGGACGGTTTCTGCCAACGAATTTCATTATATATTGCTCAAATAGTCTACTTCCGTGCTTGTTTCGTAAAGGAAAATACTTCACATTTTTGTGTACGACGCGGGTTTAACCTGTATTAAATTACACAACATTGAAAACACGTGAACATGATTAAACTCATATTTATATAAACGCGGAAAATAAATGTTTTGTGCTAAAACTTCGATCGCTTGTGTCGATACAGTTTGTCAATGAGGTAATAATTTTGTTTATTTAAAAAATATAGCGTTTTATTTGGACTTTGACACATTGCAGCGAGCTTCGAGTTTTGGTTTAAATTGCTCATTCAATTTGCGTTCATTACGTGTTTCTGTATTTGAAATGACCGAACGATATCGGAGAGAATTACTAGACTGTAAAAAGAAGCCTGGAAACAATGTTTGTGCCGATTGTGGGGCGCCCGGTATGTAGAATCATTTGACATTGATGCTGTGTGAATTTAATATTCGTATGTTCTGATGAGCCATTGCCAAGATCTTGTTCTTTACTTCCGTGTTTTAAATGTCTTAGAACCAGAGTGGACTTCGACGAATCTTGGTATTTTTATCTGCATAAACTGTTGTGGTGTTCACAGACGCTTGGGAACAAGTATTTCTATAGTTAGAAGCCTTCTTCTTGATGCATGGACTGACGACAAACTCAAGGTAAAAAAAATAGCGCTTCCGTATTCATTGAGTCGAATCGTTGTGTTGAAAGCCTTGTGTTTGGTTTGTGCAGTTGTATTTAGTAATGGTCTTAATGATATTAAAGTTATTTGTTAAAGAAATCTCGTTTTTTGTGTACATTTTGTATACTCAAAGTTAATGAATTTTACAATTAAAATGATGAACAGTTTGTCGTTTGACTTCGGTATTAAACGCTGTAAACAGTCGATGTATTTTACTTGAATTCCCATTCTGTAGTGCAAGCGCCTCGGAAGTTCTAAATTACAAAAATTTTTGATAAAATTATGATGAAATTATTAAACGTAGAAGTAGATATGTATTGTTGCAAATAATGCAATTTATGGTCGATTTTCAATACGTTCAGCGCGAAACGCGGAAAATTTTTATCGTTCCGGAAATTCCCGAACATTCACCGAGCATACACGGGGCATTCCCCATTAAAATATAATATATACCTCTACACCATTGCGAAATGCAAAATGAGAACTCAATGAGGAATTTTCGTTTAGGTTATACGGGAGAAAGGCAATGAACTGTCAAACAAGATATGGGAAAAACAAGTGCCTGTGTGCTATCGAAGACCTGACATCAGTTCTCCTCAGTAAGTTTGGACGAACACACATTTTTTATTCACTACCCTGTAATTAAACACCAAAGTCCAACTATTGGTGTTCTTTGGCTTCGCCACAATTTTTTTGCTACCACATTGATCAAAGCTGGACTATTACACTATTACCTCTCTGAGTTGATTGAAATTATGAGAAATCGAACATATTCTTGATTTGCAACTAATCTTTAGGAAGTCACTAAACATTAAAATTTGCCCACATCAACTGGAGTCCACTATAGCATTAATAAAACATTCTTGTATAGCATACCTCCAAGGCTCCAACATGTTGACGTCACATGGAAACTTAAATTTCCTCTATTTATCCTCCTGGAAGGTCATTAGAAGAGGGTGTTAAAAAGAGGCTCGGGGCTGAATAAATTTTCACACAAAATTGCCACTGCATACTAATTCACGCTACACATGCCTAAATGTTAATTTCTATTTATTAATATATTCAATCCATTGAGCTCATTTTGAAAAAAGAAAGACTTAACACATGACTATAATGCTGTGTGACATTTTGACATAAAACAAGCGACAATTTTTATTTTTACATTCATAATTTTCGAATGAATAAAGGTTAATTAGCATTCGTATTTTGTTATAATTGTATCGTGAGATTAACTTCCCAGTTATTATTCAATTTACTGAGTGTGGGGGGATATATAAAGGCTGGGGGGGTTTATCTTTCAAGCGGTGGTTGTTAGAAGAGGGCAAAAATGAGGCTGGAGGCTAAATAAAGTTGATCCCTACTTGTAAATTTGGTTGGTGAATACTTAAAGTGCAAGATTTAGATTTTTGGAGGATTTTAATAACATTTGCAAAGTATACATGATCAGACAAAATTTTTTATCTCAATTGGTTTTTTTCCGGGCCTAGAAGTTGATGACTCAGCACCGGAAGTGACGCACATCTGAGAAAACGATCACTTCGTAAAGTATGAACCCAGAACACCGTATAATATTATGAAATTTTAGTGGGAAATAGCGTCCGAACAGGAATTTTTCTGCTTTCGAAACGTTTATTGTTAACTATAAACCTGAATAATGATAAAACTTTCGACAAATCAAATATATTGATAAAATTCGTAAAATCCTCCAATCTATCTGAATCGCTTATTTCCTGAGGTTGAGTTAGGCACTTTGTATCTTTTGGAAGAACAATTACTAAACTAATCGAACATGTGATTGATTGTGTAAAGACTAATGATTGGATATTATTGGCTGATAAAGTCAACGAGAGTTGTTCGAAACTTTGAATAATGTAATATTTGGTTTTTAATTCAGGGTTTTGAGGGAGCAATGGATTCGTTCAAAGTACGAACGGCGGGAGTTTGTAGAAGGAGCACCCCCTCCGTCTTATTTGACAGGTTAGACTGAATTTACCCTCTCTGCTAAGTCTACGTGAAATATTGTATAATGTCTGTTGACCGCTGACCAGCCTGACTTCAACTTAAGTACAGTGATTTCTTATGTACTATCCTCAGTATGACAAAGCCAAAAAGGTATATTTATTAGAATTAACACTCTAAATTTGCCGGTGATTTATTTCACTTATAGGTGAAAAAGAGGGCCTCTTGCTTAAACGCGGTAAAAACAATGGCAATTGGCTTCCTCGAAAGTTCATTCTCTCTGTGAAAAACAATTCCTTCGCCTACTTCATCAAACCAACTGTGAGTATTTTTTAAATGTGACTATGACCAAAATGGAGAAGTAGCTATTTACGATATTCGAAACATTGGGGCTACTGCAGTTTAGCGGACGCGTCCAGCGCTGTCTAAAAAATACATCGGATGCTAGCGATAAATAGGGGGAATTTAACATTAGTTTTTCTTCTCACCTTTATTCCTACTGTCGAAACAGTAACTGCAGTCGTAAGCGAAAAATCAAAATCATATGAAAAAGTAGCTTGCTCAGCAAAGTTTTATAATCAAACCCAATACTAAGCCCTTAGCAACCGAGCTCGAGGTCTTTACGAAGAAATAAAGGACCGAGGTCTTTTTGTACAGACCGAGCCCGTAGGACGAGGTTTGTACAAATAGACAGAGGTCTGATAATTCTCAGTAAAGACCGAGAAAGCGAGGTTATTAAAAGGTTTATCATATGGCATTATTTGATCTTAAACGAAGCTTACTTTCTTTCTCGCCTTTGCTGTTTTGTATGGGTTGGTTTTCACTTTTCTAGTTCTTGTCAGTTAAAAATAAATCGTTTCAAGTCTCGGCTGGATAGTTAACTGTTTTCTGAGAGTTTTTCCTTCGTGTCCCATTCGTAAATGGTTTTTGTTTTTTTTTTTTGCGTTTTGCTGTTTGCTTTACGAAGTTTGTTTACATTTTACAGTAAAATTACGCGTTTTGGACCGTGGTCGATCACGGGAAAATAATGGACCGGTAAAAATGTTTCTGAGCCAATTAAAGCGCGCCATTTTGCCGGAAGTGACGCTTGCCATATAATAATATAGAATAACATTAAAGTATCAAGGGTAATTCACAGATGAATATTCCTAAATTTTGAAATATGTTTGAAACAGTCGTATTGGTTCATATTTTAGTGAATATTTTAACATAGATTTATTTTAGGATCTACAGCCCAGAGATATTTGGTTATTGAATAAAATCAACGCGGTGTTTGCTGACGATAAAGCCGAGAAGCCAAACTGTCTGCAGATTATGAATACGATTGATGGCAAAACAAGGAGTTTGTTCATTGCTGCTGATACAGGCAAGGTACGTATTGTTAGCGTTTAAAAGCTGTCTTCAATAAATTAATATATAATTTAAACATTCTTTACACTTTCGCTTTTATAGGAAATAGTCGAATGGTACATGACAATACGCTATGCTAAATTGAAAATGTTGAAAGCTGGCAATGTCGATGTCGATGAAAAAGAGGTTAATTTTTTTATGGTAATTTTCTCGAGTTTTGACGTCTCATACTAAATATACATTTTTAGTTGGTAAAGATAACGACGAAAGATTTTGTTCGTGAAGGAAGTGTTTCAAAACGAGGACCAAGGGTATGAAGAATATTCGCCATTGTCGCTTTAGGCGATGTAAAATAGTATTTTTATATATTACCTAAAGCTATTTTAATTCGCTTAGGTAATTTGACAACGAACCCAAATACTCCTTAACTGCTCATATTTTATTGTCCAACACAAATTCATACGACTTTTAAATCGTTAAGATGTACAACCTCACATATAAAAGAATGCAAAATAATATTGTCTTCTTTCTTTACTACTTACACTAACATCTTCTCTGTTTCACCTCCCCCTTTCTGCTCATCTTTTTTCCCTATCTCATCCCTCTGTGCTCATCTTTCTTCCGTATCTCATCTCTCTATGCTCATCTTTCTTCCCTATCTCATCCCTCAATGCTCATCTTCCCTATCTCATCCCTCTATGCTCATCTTTCTTCCCTATCTCATCCTTCTATGCTCATCTTTCTTCCCTATCTCATCCTTCTGTGCTCATCTTTCTTCCCTATCTCATCCCTCTATGCTCATCTTTCTTCCCTATCTCATCCTTCTGTTCTCATCTTTCTCTTGCATATACTCCACTTTCTTTCATGTTTTATACCCTACACATTTTCTCTTTCTTTGTTCTTTCCTTTTCTAAATCTTTTCTCGCTTACTTTTTCCTGCCAAGACCTTTCTAACATTGGTATCAAATTTCCTTTAGGATAAGGGTTGGAAAGACAGATGGCTTTGTGTAGATGGTCGTCGAGTTATGTACTTAGAGAAAGCAACGGTAATTAAATCCTAATGTCTGTGTCATAAGACAGGAAATTGCTGATGTAAAAGATTCACTTCAATTCGTATTGTTGTGATGCTACTTTGTGCTCAAATTTATTTATCTTTCTGCGCACCTATTTTTTATAAAATCAAGACGAGTACACAACCCACTGTATGTAAATAGCTTGTAATATATTTAATAATCAGCGGCGTGGGTCTTGTATGATTGTGATCACGTGGTTGATGACGACTTGTTGTCATTTTAAATTTTGTTACTTACCCTTTGATGCGTTGCTGGTTTCTAGGACGCGTTCCCGAAAGGCGAATTTGTATTAGGCACGAAAGGCTATGACGTCACCTCGGGTTTTAACGAATACGAGGCCCCGCTCGGCTACGGCTTTTCGATTCACACACCAGATCGAGTTTACGAATTCAGTGCTGGCACGGAGGACGAACGCGACGAGTGGGTTAAAGATTTGAAGAAAATAGTATCAACGTCATTAACGGAAGAAGATAGAAAAGGTTTGTAAGAATATCTTTCACTTGTGAATTTCCGACATGCTTAATCAGATTGTAATTTGTTAAAAGCCTAATGAGTTAATGTAAATTGTATCATCACCATCTTGACATGGATAACTGGATATTGATTTCCTTGACCCTATTACGTCATTAACAATAACAAAGACATTGGTGTAGTCCGTGTTGCATGTTTATTTGCATACCGTGAATGCTCCAATTAACGCCTCGGGCGTTAAATAAATTCTAACGGTTGTAGTGAGGAGATAATTTCATGCAAGTTATAGGTTAAACTCCCGCGTATTTCACGATAAGTTCACGCGTTGTTCGCATTATATTCACACTTATTTCATGATAACTGACTAAATATATATCGAGGCAGTTATTGCTTGAGGTTTTGCCAACTGGACAATCGCATAACCGTGTTTTAATAATCTCTTTCCAGCAATTACGTTGAGCGAAGATTTAGAAAGAAAAAAATCTCAACAAAGTTCGTTATCCAGAATAAGTCAAAAATTTTCATAACATATAAATTATATTAATCTTTATATTAATCTTTATATTTATATATATGTTTTTGTATATGATGCACCTAAAAGTCAAATGCCTTCAGACTTATATTCAATAAACCAAGTCGCCAAATATACAGTAGCGACAATAGTTCATGTTGCAAAATGTATGTAAATTTATTGTACTGTCGTATAGGAAAAGAGTCGTGTCTATGATAAATACCACACACAAATTTTATATTTATAACCGCAGAATTTTATTCACTTTTAATTGATAAACCATACAATCGTTGATTTGTAAACATTTTCGCTCGTGTAACAAGGCATGTTGATGTTTTATAAAATATTTATGAAATATAGCCGTTTTACAATTGAAGAATCGTAGTGTGTTTTTTGAATGCCACCATAGTTCGCCTCTGGAATATGTCTCGAGAGAGAGCCTGGCATGGTTCTTGACATTATTTGATAACGTCATACTCAATGATTTAGAACCCAATCCCCAAGATGTGAACGTGACATCCTGAGACAAGGACGCCATCTTGAATGGTGGCAAAAACCAAAACTCTCAATCAAAAATAAGCTGAAAATTTTAAGGAAAATTTTAAAAATAAAACCTATACTATAAACTCTGCAGCTGCGTTTCAATGCAAAAAAAGCAGATTTTAGTCGTAAATATCGTCAATTTTGCCGCCTTTCAAGATGGCGGCTTGCCTCACTCGTAACTATAAATTTCAGCGGAGTCAGGTATCTACTAGACTGAGTTCTAGGTCATGCATCGTGCTTACTTCATTCGGGTAATTCTTTTTGGTGTATGCAACATTTACTGGCGTATACAAGGCGCGATTGAAAAAATTAAAATCAACCAAACAATCACTTAGCACAGTAAAAAAGATTTCGTAATAATTCTCAATAAATGGTCACACTGCCCCATGTACGACGATATTAATCGACCATCTATTCGTCGTAGCCTCTCTGTGAGCGAGCAAAATTTAAAAATATCTGTTCCAGTGTGGTTTGCGTTACAGCATAATTACCGATAACAAAACGGCTGTGCGCATCTTCTAAGATCGCAAACAAGGAAGACCAAGCGCATTTTAAATTGCCTATGTGGTAATTCAACAAGCCATTGTGCTCGTCTCGAAGTTCACTGCCTGGGAACGTCTCTGCTACGAATTCTTTTACTAAGGTCGTGTCATTACAGGGCGTGTCACTTGGAGGGTTTACTAACAAAGTGAATCCTTGAACGAATTTGTTCTTCAGGTGTTGCGGGCTACCGAGACAGCGAAATTTGCCATTTACCATGATTGCCAACCGAGTACACAACGCCTCGCATTCTTCCATGCTGTGTGACGTAATCATCAGGCATCGACCTAAGGGAAGAGGGGAGGGAACAAAATGATTACCAATCATAAGGCATCAACCTAGGGGGAGAGGGGAGGGGACAAAATGGTTACCAATCATCAGGCATCGACCTGAGAGGGGTGGGTACAAAATGATTATCAATCATCAGGCATCGACCTAAGGGGAGAGATTATTATTTTTAATAATAACCAAAATGGCGCTCATATTAGGCGGGTATGAACTGTATGTAATTGCATTCTTCAACACATCTCCCCCCCGGAAGGAAACCCGCTTCATAACCAGTTTCATACCTTCGGCTCTGACTCTACATAAAGTGTTCCACAACAGTCGTCTTGCAACAGGATCCATTCCAGTTGTTGGTTCATCGAGAAAAATTATGAGTGGATCGCCAATCAAAGCTATCGCTGCACTTAGTTTGCGTTTGTTTCCACCACTGTAAAAAGAAAAGGTTATCTTTGTATTCATGATCTAAGGAGCCTGGGATTGCTATAAAAAGATGGCAGATTTTTACGCGTCACATGCATAATTTCCACGTAAAATCACTCCTGATGAAGACACTAAACTGGAGAATGTAAGGATTAAAGTTTCAACATCAGATCACTCCTGATGAAGACACTAAACTGGAGAATGTAAGGATTAAAGTTTCAACATCAGATCACTCCTGATGAAGACACTAAACTGGAGAATGTAAGGATTAAAGTTTCAACATCAGATTACTCCAGATGAAGACACTAAACTGGAGTAAGTAAGGATTAAAGTTTCAACATCAGATCAGTTCTGATAAAGACACTAGACTGGAGTACATAACGACTACAGTTTCAACATCAGATCAATCCTGATGAAGACATTAGACTGGAGTATATAAGAACTAAAGTTTCAACATCAGATCACTCCTGATGAAGATATTAGACTGGAGTATATAAGAACTGAAGTTTCAACATCAGATCACTCCTGATGAAGACACTACACTGGAGTATATAAGAACTCAAGTTTCAACATCAGATCACTCCAGATAAAGACTCAAGACTAGAGTATATAAAGATTAAAGTTTCAACATCAGATCACTCCAGATAAAGACACAAGACTGGAGTATATAAGAACTAAAGTTTCAACATCAAATCACTCCTGATGAAGACACTAGACTGGAGTATATAAGGACTAAAGTTGCACAGCAGATCACTCCTCATGAAGAAACTACACAGAAGTATATAAATACTCAGGTTTAACGTCAAATAAACCAAAATGAATATATAAATGGCAAAACCTCGGGTGAGCATTTATAGTACAGCATTCTATTTCAAAGTAGACGACGTTTTCTTCTATTATACCTGTATGTTTTAGTTAACTTATCAGCGTGTTCCGTTAGCAACACTGATCTCATTAAATCTTCAACCAATGGATTGATTTCATGTCTGGGGACTCCACGAAGTGCAGCATACATTTGTAACATCTCCCGTCCCGTCAATAAATCGATCAAAGCATCAAATTGTGGACAATAGCCTGTTCGTTGACGAACCTTGGTAAACAACATAATTTACATTTAAAATTATAATTTTCATTTACAAAATAACATGTATATTGTGTGCTCTGATTAGTCGATGCTCGCGTTTGCATCAGGCCAACCAAACACGCAAATTTTAAACATGAAACATATTGACACATGAAAATAACGTGTACAAAGGCACTTTTCACCGATTGAAGTATTTGTTGTTGACACAAATAATGCAAACGTAGGAAGATCGATAATTGGGGCTTTCTGGGGGGGGGGTCATAATCACATATGTATACATCAATACTTTCCCTCCCAATTATCGATGGTTGACCACAGTCAGTGATAAATATACAGCACCAAGTTGCGCAGCCAAATGGTATTGTTTGTTTTCTATGGTGTGGCCACAGAATAACGAACATAAAGGTTCTTTCTCTACGCAGTTAAAACTAGCCGACGTTTCCACTTTGCCTGTTTCAAGAGTAATTGATCCGCAACTAAGGCGTAACGGAAATTGAAATAAATTTCATGCTTGAAATTTGCGACGAACAGTAGCCGCGATTCGTATGTATTATTGTCTTCAATTGCGTTTACAGGTCTTTGGGGATCAATTACTGCTGAATCATGCAAAGTCTGAAGGTCGGCTGATTTCAAAGACGAGCAGTTTTTTCGAAGCATCCTGTTGAGCCACTATACTGTGGTAATAATACGGGTGGCACAAAAAAATGTCAATGAAGTTATCTTCGATATATTCCTCATACTGTTCTGAGGCTGTGTTTCGCTAAAGAATGTGGTTTCGTTGGAGGGAGGAGAACCAAAATGGCAGACAATACAACGGAGCATTGAAACGTTTATTTTTTACAAGGTTGTTCTGCAGAGGAACTGAAATATATTTTACCAATTACCAACAAAGTGGCCGACATCAAGCAACAACTGAAAAGGGAGTTCATTTATAAACAAGTAAGAAATTATTTGTTATGTAAGTAAGGGTTAGTTGCTCGATCTTTGAACGTCAAATGTAATTCGCTTGGCTTGTATTTATGGACTGTTTACAACTTGTTTTGCGTCGTAATATTATTGAACAATTATATGCGAAGCTCCATTTCGCAAATGAGCAACACTAAACCATTGCAACGGAAATATAACATACATTGCAACGTCAACACTAAATATTGCAACGGAAATATAACATACATTGCAACGTCAACACTAAATATTGCAACGGAAATATAACATACATTGCAACGTCAACACTAAATATTGCAACGAAATATCAGACATTGTCAACACACTAGAATTTACCACTAACATCGGCGCGGTCAAAAATATTTGCCAGTTCCTGGCATGCATTTACGTCATGACCGCGCCAAGTTGGGCGATTTCAACAAAGATTTTCTTTATTTACAATGTAGATGCCATGCAAAATGGCAAAAATTGTGTTGTTGTTTACTCACAGAGGTGTAGTGACATACCACAGTATATTTTCTTTGTAAACAACATTTCAATGGTATACACGGTGTTGAAAAATCTGCAAACCTGTAATTTGCATAAAAGCCTCTTCAATGGCTGCATGCATACCATTGCCTGTTCAACTTTTTCCACAGTGACGTATAATGACTAGTTTGATTACCTATGGCTAAACTAACAAAACTAACTACGAATTTTATTTAATTTACATCCCAAATTCCAAGCATGAAATTCCTTTAGATGGCGTTAACGTCTCCTTAAGGATGAATTACCCTTGCAAATCTTGATGTCGGATCAGCCTCGTAGCCAGGCGCTTTGAATTATTTGATGATTAATAAATTGAATGTCACGTGGCGTGTGTGGGCGTCGCGCGTTAGCGTGGCTGTTACATGCGTTACAATTTTCTCATTTTTTATTCGCGCATGTCGTCCCGCGCTGCACTTTTTCGCACAAATGGTTGAGGGCGTCAAAGCGCCTCGGTACGAGGCTAGCATGTTCACAGCTCGCGGACAGATAATTGAAATAAGTGTATAACGGAACGTAAAGTACCCATCCAGTTGTAAATTTGGTTCAATGGTCTTTACATGATTCTTCAATGTAAGTTTAAGCAGGAAAGGTCGAACAAATCATATACCGTAGCGCAGCCAGCCCGACTTTTCACTTCCGCTTTCCTAATATTTTTGGTATTTACTGACAGTGAGGAAAACAGATTTCTAAAGACATGAATAATGGTAATCTTTAAAAATTTACATAGCGGAAGTAAATCTGCAGGCTGGCTACGCTACTGACTATATACAACAATAAAAACATACCCGACTTAAATTAGTCTGAATATCCCACGAGTCAAGGACGGCGGTGCCCGAAGTTGGAATCACATCGCCTGTTAACATTTTAAACGTTGTAGTTTTTCCCGCGCCATTGACTCCCAGGAGACCGAAGCATTCACCTAAAGGTATTCCCAAGCTGATGTGATCCACTGCAGCAAAAGTTCGACGACCTTTCGGGAAAAAATAAGGTGTTTATAAAGCAGGAGCTTTGTTCTTTTATAGATTTTCATTGAATAGAAGTTTCAAAACGACAGTGAACTTTGTAAAAAAGTCTTCATGAAAATCTCGTTTCATTCTCCAGACAATGAGAGTGTTGTATATTTTCAAGACAATCTTGTTTCATTCTCCAGATTATGAAAGTACAACGGTTGGAGAGAGTTTTTTTACAGACAACATAACACTACGAAGACAACTCTGCCCATCTGAACAAACACATCAGTAATATACATTTAATAATTTACTGATGCAAATTACGTAAATATACATTATAATTTAAGTTCTCATTATGCAAGGCGACAACAGTGGTTGTAAAATCAGCCATTATGGGTTTCTCGTGTCTTGAGAATGAAAAAAGATGTTATAGATATAACATAAACTGTCTAAACAAGTCTACTGACAGTTTATTTCAACAAAAGCATTATTTAAACAGCAAAATTTTCATCTCACAGACACTTTAAAAGCCCGTTTCGTATGTGTAGACTTTTCTAGTGGTAAAAAAATTGATAAGTTATATTTTCAATCAAGCACAACAAGCTCATGGCGATCATCTTTTTTAACTTTCCAAAATATTGTGTTAAAAAACGAAAATTATTTTGACATGATTTTGGCTGATAAAAGAAGGCTTTCTTTTCAACACATCTACAAAAGAAAGCTATTAAAACACAGCAAGTCGAAATTCTCTACCTGGAACTTTAAATATTTTCGTAAGATCCTTCACTACAAGCACGTCTTCGTTCACTTCGTCGTTGAGTACTCGTCGTTTTTCCGCCATCACGTCGGAATCTTCCGTTTCGTCGTTTGGATGCATGCTGTCAAACGGATCGACGTACACCGATCTAATGGAACTTCGCAACGACCGAATAGCATTGAAGTCAATCAACAGAATAATAAGCATGAAGAAGATTCCTTCAAGTGGTAACACCAAGAGAAATCGACCAATTCCAGGATTTTCAAAGGCCAAATAATTCGTCTGAATCCTCGCTTTCAGAGGCATGCACATCACCCGCGCATACTTTTCCATGCACATATTGTAAAGTCTGATACGGTTATAATTCTCAAAAATATTGGAGAACGACTGTCCGAGGCAAAAGTTGGGGAGTACCAAAAAAATCCAGTTAAGGACATCAACAGTGTGATGGTAGTCAAGACTCTGAATGATGAACACAACAAGCAAGGCGATAGGACCAGTTACAAAATTCAACATCGTCATAAAGCCGAAAGCTTTCGACACCGTTTTGAAGAGAAACGAGAAGAGATACACAAACGGGATGATGGCTGAACCATAAAGCATCAAAACGAGAAAAACTATTCCAAGACGATAGCCTTCTGCAATGAATTAAAATCAGTTGTTGAGGAATGGGAAAATTCACCCAAAGCGAACGTTGCTAACTTCAACGGAATTGTTGGAATTTTTAAGGGTTGACCGAGAGCTTAATGTCAAGTTTGACATGCAATTCTGTGCTTCCACGAAGTTTCAAGTGAAAAATGTGTTTAAAAAGACAAATATAAGTGCTTCGAGCTAACTCCACTGCCAAACATACTTCTGTAAAAGCACGCATTCTAAGTATTAAGGTATGTTGTTATCACAGGCTCACAGTCGTATACCAGATTCAACATCGCAATCTTGACGTGATTTTGTCATCAAAAACTATTGGAATTGTTTAAAGTTGGTTGGTTGGCCGAGAGATTAGGGGTTTGGGTCGAGTTCATTCTCCTTACAAACAAGTATCTCGACAACTACGAGGAGTCCTCGAGTATTTTGTAAAAAAACTTTATTGGATCACAACGTTCGGATTGGCTGAATTATCAGGCAAATGACGTTTTATTGGAAGATATTGACAACGCGGAATCAAATTCGGCGTTTCAAATAATTCCAATTTTTCGGGTTTTGTCACCAAAGGCAAGAGAATCGTTTTGGCGACCATGACGACAATGAGAAATACAACCTGCAAATTTCAGTCCTGCTATGTAGATTTCAGAACATTATTTACTGTTCTTACAAAGAGTACATAAAAATCTACATAACATGACCAAGTAAGCATGCTAGCTACGTCAAAGCTTGGGAAATTCGACCTACCTGTGTACGCAGGAACGTTAAAACACGCAAACAAAATAACAATGCCGATACAGAGAAGTGTGAACTTCACCATGTCCCACAACCATGAAGCAGTCCAGTAGCTAATGGGATCAACACCGCTAACGAACTGCACATGTTTTGCATCGTTTGTTCGCTCCTCGACGACAAACACGACAAAATATGAAGCAAGAGACGCCATGCCAAGCAGCAGAAAGCCAGCTATATAAAGACGAACATTGTTGCTGGAAAGAAAATGAAAGTTGATGAATTAGACCTTGTTGCCTTAGCAACTATTGATCGTTGGCAGATCACTTTAAAGAAAGTGGAGCAAGGAGACTTGGGGCTATTGCATCCCACTATTGATCATTTGTAGATCACTTCAGAGAAAGCGGAGCAGGGGAACTGGGACTGTTGCCCCCGCCCCAAATCCCTTCTTTCAGAGTTTTACCTAACTTTGGCAGTCGATAACCCCGCCTCCTAATAAAAAATATGCTCAGCGATCCCTGCCTTTGAAGTGAACACAGTCGTATGTCAGGAATGAATCAGTCTCTCATACATATATATATATATACATACACCGTACATCCTGTGTACCAGGTTAAGGAGTCACCATTGCACTATGGTGATAGCCGGAAGATACATTGTTATACAAGCTGTATACATTATAACAATAGTGGAATGGTGACTCCTGCACTAGGGACACAGGACGTACGGTTAATATATATCAATTCATAATACATACACATAAATTTCAATAGAAATTTGAGAGACTAAAAAACAATACCTGATTACATAAAAACACGGGCGCTAATTGGTTGAATGCTCAAAAAAACGTTCTTTTTTTATCTCAGATTGCATGGTTTTCGAAGGAAATTTAACAGTGAATGATGTTTTATTAAAACGCTATTCATTACGGAAATACAAATTATATTTACTTGTCCCAATATAGTTATAGGAACGTTTGTTGTGAAAGTTTGGGAAAAGCTCGAAAGCAAAAATAACATACTCATCTAAATCATTTGATTTTTGCTTCGTAGTTCTCGGCAAAGGATGATTTGTCACTGTGATTAATTTGTTTTTATTTCCGGAACTGTTTTTCAAAATGGCGTTGTCCACTGCACTCAGTGCCACCGCTATCGCATGATAAGCTTGATCGTTGAACCAAGCCTTGGCTATTGCTAAATAAGAACACACATAAATTACATTAAATTCGCCAAGATTCTTAGCTGATCTACCTCATATTTATGTTTTCTATCGATCTACAGCTCCTTTTTACATCTACAGATCCTTTCTTCATTTACAGATCCTTCCTTCATCTACAGATCCTTCCGTGATTAAAAAATCCTTCTTAATCCAAAGATTCTTCGTCGATCTACAGATAGATCCTTCCTTGATCACAGATTCTTCCTCGATTACAGATCCTTCCCTCATCTACAGATCCTTCCTTCATCTACAGATCCTTCCTTCATCTACAGATCCTTCTTTGATTAAAAAATCCTCCTTGATCTAAAGATTCTTCGTCCATCTACAGATAAATCTTTCCTTGATCTACTGATCCTTCTTTGATCTAGAAATTCTTCCTCGATCTACATAAACTTCCTTGATACTTTCTTTATCTACAGACCTTTTTCTCGATGGACAAGTCTTTCTTGATCCCATTACAACATTTTGAACTCAATAAAAAAGCATAAATTGACAGATATTGATAAGAACTATTCCACCTTCATAGTTACACACCTTCAGAGAGGGTAAAAATAATGTAGCTACACGAGCAAGCAATACCTTTTTTATTTTCTTCAGTAAATGTCGCTGCAACCAGATAATGTCTATTGAAGTATCCAATGTTTCTTCCTTTGGCTTTTTCAAGCAAATATTTGGTCATGTTCCCATCACGGAAAGCACTATCCTTGTTGATATCAACGAACTTAGTGTACGAGCTTGCCGAGTGTGTGTACATTTTAACCAGATCATTTATCTCCCTAAAAAAGATTTATTTACGCTTACATCAAATTTTAATGTCTGATCGGGATTTTAAATCCGGGCACGCTTTATTCAGCTTGTTTTGCTGCGAGAAGTTTAGTTTACTGCCCAGGAAACGAAAACGGTTTTGTTCTTGTAACAAAGATATGAAACAAAAGCACGTCGCTGATTATATTTACTCATCCTAAAGAGGGTTTAGCACAGTGATGGGGCAATGAAACTAAAATAATAGATTAATTTCTAAGTCTCCTTTTTTTAAAACCCTGTGATTAACCATGTTAAGTAGTTTACCATAAGAAAATTCAAACATTTTTCCCTTAAAATCTAAACAATTTAACCAAATAAAATTGAACAGCTCTGGTTTAAAAATTCGAATAGTTCCAAGAATTTAAATTGAACAAGTCACAAACATATTTTACCAGAACTTAGTAGGAAATAATATGTAAAATTTCAGCAGTTTCCAAAGCAAAATGAGTTGTAGTTTTTGAGATTTCAGTTGAGGTTTGCTGTTTTATAAGAAGAGTTTTGGAAATTTGTTTCTCGAAATCATTTCATAGTATTTGTCAAAGAAAAATTTCTATTATCCATCCATTTGATTAAATATACAACTGGAAAAATACTTTATATACATTAACATGCCTGTTTCTCTGGGCCGTGCGTGGAAAGATGGGGACTAGTTTAATTGCTGGCTTCAAATTTTGGCGGGAAGTAGCCGTCCAGTTATATTTAAGTTCAATATATCTACCTGTCCGGGTTTCCAACAATTGCGTAAGCTGCAATGTTATCATGAAACATAGCTGTCGTCAAAATTCTGGGAGGACAGTCCTCGGGCTTAGGTATCGTGTCAGCGGCAATCAGAGCGAGTATTGTAAAAATTAGAGGCACGAGAAGCTGACGAATTATGGCTATCTTATCTCGACGCGAATGAAGAAAGCGTTTCTTGAACATAGCACACCACCTCTGCAGAAACAAGGTTATTCCGTAGTTTAACTGTGGCTTTGTTGTGTTTGTTAGTGGCATCATGCTGTTGTTGCGTCCATATAATGTGTCTTCGTCATTCACTGTACTTACTGAAGCGTTTATTGCATCCGCTAGATGACGTACAAAAGAAAAAGTTTGACTTGAAACACCATTTTCTAGAAATGAGTCAATGCTAAACAATAAACAATTACCACTTTTACCACAGCTTACTCTCGAATCTATCATCTAAAACCTCGTCGCAATCCTTTACTATCGTGATATCCCAATCAATCAACACTTACCACTTTCACCACAGCTTACTCATGAGTCTATCATTTAAAACCTCGTCGCAATCCTATACTTTCATTGATATCCCAATCAATCAACAATTACCACTTTTACAACAACTTATTCTCGACTCTATCATCTAATGTCCCGGCACAATCCCTTACTTTCATTTATCTCAGGAAATCAGCACTTACCACCTTTACCATAACTAACCTTTGAGTCTATGATGTAGACTCCCATCACAATCTTTTACTTTCATTTATCCCAGGAAATCAACACTTACCACTTTTACCACAGCTTACCTTTGAGTCTATCATTTAACGTGTTGTCACATTCCGTTGCCACTTTCATAAAAACTTCTTCCATGGTTGACATTGAAGCGCCATAACTAGCAATTCCCAGCTCCTTTTGTCGAGTCTCCAGTTCTGAGAACAACGTGGAAAAATTCCGCGAAGATTCCCGAGGCAAGATGTAGGACATTTCAGCGCCTAACGTAGGTAAAAAAAAGTATTGCAAAGGTCTACTGGCTAGACACTACATCGAAAAACACTTACAACAAAAGAAATGTATACTATTTAACCTTCATACTGATAAAATATGATAAAGTTGGTAAAAATACAACGCCTTCTCAATAAATGACAGCCTAGTTTCAGCTGACGGGTTTCATTCTCCTGAAATAAACTTTATGTATACATGTATTGTATATCTCGCGGGTCTTTGAAATCAATTGTTTTCTACAGATTAAGACAAACATCTACGTCACGAAGTGAAACTTAATTACTAGTCTGATGATGTCTTGTATATAGAAGAAACGTAACTACCAATAAAATATTATTTCTTTTCAAAAAATGTCTTTAATTCGAATTTTATGTTGGGCAATTCTTTTTTCAATACGAAAACGTTGATATGAATTTGTCAAATAATAAATTTTGCGTTGTTTCAACTTGCTAAAATCATTCAACGCTCGTCACTCTATCGTATCGGGCAGCTAGCTGCTGGCTCATGTCTGCAGGCTCAACCCTATAAAGTCTCCTAGAGAAGTGCATCAAAACTTACCAGCGCGACTTTCCAATTGGCCATTCGTGACATACGCTTTAACAAGTTCGTCAATTTTGTGTTCTTTACATTCTGGTTCTGTGACCATCACTATATGATAACCCACGCCATAATGGTTTTTCAAAAACAATGAACTACCACAACAACGGATTTTGCCCTCGGCCATTATCGCAATGCGGTCACCTAAAACGTCCGCCTCGTCCATGAAATGTGTCGTCAGCAAGATCGTTCGTCCGTCACGATACTTCTGAAGCAGTTCCCAAGTAAACCTGCGGGCAGATGGATCCATACCGGAAGTAGGTTCGTCAAGCATTAACACCTTGAGGGAGTGAGTAGGTGAAAAATTTAACTTGGTAATTAAAAGCATATCTTCTAAGAAGACTTTAAAACAGATTTATGCCTAAGCAGAACAGATCTTGAGTTTTTACAGACTTATGTCTAGAGTTCTCATCAGGAAATATTTGATGTGCAAAAACTTTAGTCTAGAGTTCTCATCAGGAAATATTTGATGTGTAAAACCTTTAGTCCTTATATACTCCAGTCTTGTGTCTTCATCAGGAGTGATCTGATGTGTAAAACCTTTAGTCCTTATATACTCCAGTCTAGTGTCTCCATCAGGAGTGATCTGATGTTGAAACTTCAGTTCTTATATACTCCAGTCTAATGTCTTCAATTGAAGTGATTTGATATTGAAACTTTAGTCCAAAATACCTCAGTCTATATCACGAGTGATGTTCAAATGTTGATTTTAGTAATAAAACAACTGCACGTGATGTGCACGTGATAATATCTACCTTCGTTTTTCCAATCAGCGCTACTCCTAAAGATAGCTTGCGTTTCATCCCGCCAGACAAATATCTTGTTTGAGTGTTAGCTTTATCCGCGAGTTTGATGGACTCCATCATTTTTTCCACTTCGCTATCGATTTCATCATTAGACAGACCCTTTAGTTTTCCAAAGAACCACAAATGCTCCTTAACAGTCAGTCGATCGTACAAAACGTCATGTTGTGGACATAAACCTTTTTGAAAATAGTAAAAATGAAATAGACGATTAACTATTACAATGGAAGACAGTTGGGTCGTGAAAATAAAAACGACCATGTCTCTAGACGTGGAGTTGCTTTAACTTAGTGATAATGGACCGAGCAATTTAGAAATATCCCAATAGTATATGGGATTGAACAGTTTAATCAAATGCTAATTAATATCGATTATTCTAAATATGATATTAACACGATGTTCTTAAAATACATTCAGTTTTAAGTTTTACATACTAGTCAAACTGTAAATTGCTAGTTGAACTATACACTTTATTTATAGAAGTTAGATACTAGTCGAACTGTAAGTAGCTAGCTGAACTATACTCTTTATTTATAGAAGTTACATACTAGTCAAACTGTAAATAGCTAGCTGAACTATACTCTTTATTTATAGAACTTACATACTAGTCAAACTGTAAATAGCTAGTTGAACTATACACTTTATTTATAGAAGTTAGATACTAGTCGAACTGTAAGTAGCTAGCTGAACTATACTCTTTATTTATAGAAGTTACATACTAGTCAAACTGTAAATAGCTAGCTGAACTATACTCTTTATTTATAGAAGTTACATACTAGTCAAACTGTAAATAGCTAGTTGAACTATACACTTTATTTATAGAAGTTAGATACTAGTCGAACTGTAAGTAGCTACCTGAACTATACTCTTTATTTATAGAAGTTACATACTAGTCAAACTGCAAATAGCTAGTTGAACTATACACTTTATTTATAGAAGTTAGATACTAGTCGAACTGTAAGTAGCTAGCTGAACTATACTCTTTATTTATAGAAGTTACATACTAGTCAAACTGTAAATAGCTAGTTGAACTATACTCTTTATTTATAGAAGTTACATACTAGTCAAACTGTAAATAGCTAGTTGAACTATACACTTTATTTATAGAAGTTACATACTAGTCGAACTGTAAGTAGCTAGCTGAACTATACTCTTTATTTATAGAAGTTACATACTAGTCAAACTGTAAATAGCTAGTTGAACTATACACTTTATTTATAGAAGTTAGATACTAGTCGAACTGTAAGTAGCTAGCTGAACTATACTCTTTATTTATAGAAGTTACAAACTAGTGGAACTGTAAATAGCTAGTTGAACTATACTCTTTATTTATAGAAGTTACATACTAGTGGAACTGTAAGTAGCTAGTTGAACTATACTCTTTATTTATAGAAGTTACATACTAGTGGAACTGTAAGTAGCTAGCTGAACTATACTCTTTATTTATAGAAGTTACATACTAGTGGAACTGTAAGTAGCTAGTTGAACTATACTCTTTATTTATAGAAGTTACAAACTAGTGGAACTGTAAGTAGCTAGTTGAACTATACTCTTTATTTATAGAAGTTACAAACTAGTGGAACTGTAAATAGCTAGTTGAACTATACTCTTTATTTATAGAAGTTACATACTAGTCGAACTGTAAATAGCTAGTTGAACTATACACTTTATTTATAGAAGTTACATACTAGTCAAACTGTAAATAGCTAGTTGAACTATACTCTTTATTTATAGAAGTTACATACTAGTCAAACTGTAAATAGCTAGTTGAACTATACTCTTTATTTATAGAAGTTACATACTAGTCAAACTGTAAATAGCTAGTTGAACTATACTCTTTATTTATAGAAGTTACATACTAGTGGAACTGTAACTAGCTAGATGAACTATACACTTTATTTATAGAAGTTAAATGTAGTTCTTTTCTCAGTCAATTTCACATCGTAAATTGTATGAATTTCCACAACTTTCGGCGTAGCCAGCTCCTAAGTTTGGTTGTATTATATAGATATTTGGGCTTTGGAGGCTGGCAAACCATTGCACCGAACAGTCATAAACTTTTATAATTGTTTTAAAAACATTTCGTTACTTTCCTCACTGACCTAAACTTGACCGTACGCCATCCATGCTTGTTCTAATGTCGTAACCATTGACAACGGCAGTTCCCTTACTCGGAGAATAAAAACCGGTAAGGACAGACATCAAACTACTTTTACCAGCTCCGTTATGACCAAGAAGAACCGTAATTTGTCCCTCGTATATCTTTAGTTTAACATCATCCACAGCAACTTTTTTACCTGCATAGCACACGAAAGTATAATATCGTAACTTGAAGCCGTAGTTAACCTCAGCAAAGTCTGGTAAGACTCGCTCCGTCATAAATCATGACGTCATAAATGGCTCCCGTTTGGTCTTGTAAGATTTGTGAGGTCTTGAGGTTTGTACCTGTTTCACTGTAGCAAATCCTATCGTCACATTTGGCTTCTGTACTGTGTAGTACGATTTGTGATGTCATTTACCGGTTGCTCCGTCATAAATCATGACGTCATAAATGGCTCCCGTTTGGTCTTGTGAGGTCGTGAGAATTGCACCTGTTTCACTGTAGCAAATCTTATCGTCATAATTGGCTTCTGTACTGTGTAGTACGATTTGTGACATCATCCACCTGTCGCTCAGTGAGCCCCAGTCATACACGTTGACGTCATAAGTTGCTTCTATACTGTATGGTAAGATTCGTGAGTTCATCTATTTGTTTCTCTGTCATAGATCTTGACGTCATAAGTAAAGTCTGATAAGATTCATGAGGTCATTTCATAGACAGATTTTCATATTTCAAACAGGGAGGAAGCTAAAAGCTTTAGGGAGACGAGCTGTTAAGGAATTGATGTAAGACAATGTTAGGGTATCGAATTTAGGGCAGTCTGGTAGTGCAACAACCGAAGGTAGTGTAGAAAGTTGAAACATTGGCCAGAAAACTCAGTTTAACTGTACTAAGGATTTGTTTTATTAAAAATGGGGGATTAAAATGTTTCTTGGAGGGGTGAACAATTTATTTAGGGGGGTGAAATCTGATGCCTGGGGGGCTTGCACTCCCCTACACCCCCCACCCTAGGAAATCCGTCCAGGTCATCTACCTGTTACTCCGTCAAAGATCTTCACTAAATTTTTGATGTCAATCCCCACATCCAGACCTTGAGGAGCCCTTTCGAACTTCTTCGATGTTTCGAACTTCGCCGCATTTCTTAATAATGGCAAGGTTTCTTCATCGTTTGATACCTGCGGCAGAAAGATTTTTTACACATATCACTCGAAATATAATGTACCAAAACCTATAATGCTTTTTAAGCAGAATTCAGCAAGCAGTCACTAAGCTTCCGCATTGAAAAATAATTCGACCTGACATGAACTTCTATTGATATCTTAATCATCAGAAACTTCCCACAGTTATTAAGCTGCGCATGCTCAGATGCTTTGCTAGTCGTGGAAGACATCTCACACTCTAGCAGCCTACCATGACCGTTCTGACAGCGTAAGAAAAACAGCACATACGACTTCTAATATTATGACAATCTTCACAATGAGGTCAAAAACAATTTATTACAATCAACCCTTTGCTGCATGACGTTCCTTTAGGGCAGCAATCACCGAACACGTTGGAACTCGGGAGGCAAAAAAGTTCATGCAACGAAGGGTTAACGGTACGAGAAACTGTGAAGTACGTGCTCTGTACGTGCAGCAAAGTCTTCGTGAAACTCATGCATCGAAACGGAAAACACGCGCAACAACATACAAGGCGCCACTGTCTGGTGAGGGGTACAATCCACTACAGACGCGGCTGCAAGCGAGTTTCGTCGAAACAACCCTTTGCTGCATGGCGTCGCTTCAGAGCAACAATCACCGAACACTTAGGTAATTTGACTCTGAAGATGACTACCGCTAAGGGTTATTTGACTCTGAAGATGACTACCGCTAAGGTTGCCGAAACGTCAGTCAACAACAACAAAAACAGTCCTTCTCAGGACTGCACGATCTACATTTACAAACATGTAACGATACTCCCGGGTTCAAACCATTTACTTTAATCACCGAACACGTTGGAGCTCCGTCGGCGAAAAAATTCATGCAACGAACGGTTAAGGCAGGGAAGATTGTTAAAGCGATACAACGACACTAACACAAACAGCCCTTCTCAGGACGACACTAACCTACACAATCAATATCTGTATTTATGACTGTTGCTAAGCAAAATTTCAAGTTACCTTTTCAAAGCTTCCACACCAGTAGCTTTTGGTGAATGGGAAGTAAAAAGGTTTCGAAGTACCATACTTTCCTGGGAACACATTTTCAATATACCATGTAAGCATACCATATATGGCACAACTAATAATCATCATGATGAACACAGTCCCGAGGGAGAACGTGTCTTCCACATCAACACCATGAAAAAGGTTATCCCATTGAACGCCGCTACCGGATCCTAGAATGTAAAAAACGTTTTGGCGGGATCATTAGCGTCAATCCTGTGTTAATTGGGGGGGGAACCATATTCATGTATTCTGCTATGTCAGGCTAAGTTCTTTTTAAAACACTTTCAATTTCAAAAGAAATCACCCTGGCATAAAAGAATATATGAATATGGTCACCTCAATTATCGCAGGATTGACCTTCATGGGCGGGATTAGTATTTTTGTTATTTAGAGAAAAGGCAAACGTAAAATTAGAAACAAAATTGGAAGTTTTCAATGTCGGCCTAAAAACTACATGAACGCTGGACAGTGGTGTCAAGCTCAATAATTATGGGGTGGGGGAGTGGTAATATTCATATAGGCATTTTTTGTCAAATTATGTTCCTTTGAAATCAATTCTTTATTTTAAGCTATATGAATAAAAGCCCGCCAACAAGTGTCCAGCGGGGGACGCCAGGGAATCGTTTCACCTGGCGTCATAGCTGTCATGCTAGAGTCCCAATTGTAAAGAACTCAAACAAAGTTCTTTTGTTTGGTCCTCAAGTTGATCCTTTGGCAAATGAGTGAAAACGACGAATACAGGGTGTCACAAGAAAAGTGACACTATACAGGGAGTCACGAGAGAAGTGACACCATACAGGGTGTATCACAAAAAGAACATCTTAAGAAATCAATCTATTGTGAAATTTCAATGCCTGGTCAGTATGCTAGCATCCCACTGGTGCATTGCTGTGTATATTTTGCGGTTTGAAGTTTAGTTAAATGTTAAGCCTTGTTCACACGAGTAAAATAAGCACGAGCTTCGAGGCTTTTGTTTCTATTGCTCTAGAAGTTTATAAAAACGAAGACATCATGGGATTTTCTTTAAATCTTCTTTTTGTTCTTCTTTTGTTCTTCTCTTAGCTTATGCTTGAATATTTTCCTTATGCCTGCACTTATGTTCATGCTTATATCACATGCTTCGTTACTTATCTTTGTTTTATCTTTTGTCTACACTTGTGCTTATCCTTATTTTACTCGTGTGAACCAGGCTTAAAGTTCCCAGGAGAAGAAAAGCTTTCGCGATTGTACCAAAGATATGTTAAACATGCATGTAGCAGACAAGTTAGAATCTTTATGTATCAGTAACATAGTCATGAGAAATCATCACGCTAAGTCGTCAATTTCTATAGGCGTTCTTTGATACACCCTGTATGCAGAAATCATCTCATTGTTCGTTAACTGTTGTGAACGCTGTGGTTACACATAAAGGATCTTTATAAAATTCTTTATGAATTAATGAGAAAAGTTGAAAAACGCTTTGGTATTAACAGAAGCATCAGTTCAGAATCCTTATTGAATAAACCTCGGGCTTAATGAACTTATATGAGCATGAAGAACATCCCTTTTCAGATGAAAGTAATTTAAAACGAAAGCGGTTCAACACACACAGTCCATCAACGTTTCAACTTACCTTCAAACTTGCCGATGACAATCGCTCCAAGAGTCATGCCAAGATTTGGTATGAGGCATGCAATTGCTTTGAGAGTGAACGTCATTTTGTCGTAGTATTGCATTATGCAGAAGAATAATAAGAAGGAAATACTCAAAATTACACCAACAACTTTGGCAGCGGAGCTCGCTTTGGAGAAAAAAACGCTTACGAAGAAACAAAACAAAATACCAGAGGTAATATAAAGCAAAAGATAGATGAAAAATATTGTGGGTGCTGTTTTGTCTATAACACGTCCATTACTGTTCAATTTTATCGTGAAAAGAAGCGTCATTATGACAACTGCAACGAGATAAATAAGAAAACTATGAATAAACCACGCCACCCAATGAAGCCAATTATTGACGCCGATGATTTTTAAAGTTTCCTAAAAAACATGAAATACCTAACTTAATTAGTTTGTTAGAACACATGAATTAAAGATATAGCTTTTATTGAATTGAATAAAGCTGTAGTAGCAAATCTTCTCAAAAACTGAACTACAAATTAATTTAAGATGTCAAATAGGTGCTCAGTTTGACAACATCTTTGGAGTGAACAATCAATAAAAACATTTAAAAGGTAGAACTGTCTCTTCCTGGAAGATAAAATTTTCCACCCATCAAATATATTGCAAAATGATCTTAATATGAATTTAATTATCCAAAGAAGTTATTTCTCTAACTCTGATTCAGGCTTTGAAATAAAAAAGATCTCAGCAAATGAGACAAATTACAACTTACCTTTAACCCTTGTTCCTTCTCATATATAATATTACGCACAATGTCAAGTGTAGTATAAATAAAAGCAATTAATATGAGGCATGGGATGTAAGTTTGAATAATCAAAATGAAGGGGTCCTTCACATAGTTTGGGAATGGAAATTTTTCCATGCGAACTGATGTTTGGTCTTGAGTAGCAAACTGTCTAATAATAGCTTGATCTACTGCATGTTGGGCAAACAAGAAAGCGGTACTATAATAGTCTGGACTGCCTCCATGAGAATCATCTTTATTTCTTGGCTCAGAATTTTGAAACCTCGGGAAAACATACTTTGTCAACCAGCCATGGCCATTCTTGCCAAGGCCAGAGTTGTCTTCCTTTAGGTTGATGAATCGCAGCGTGTAGTTGATGAAATTGGCCTGTTTTGATGGGAGACGAGTAAAGTATATACCTCCAATGTATTTGGTAGAGTTGCCTTCAGAGGAGCGCATTATTTCATTAACCATGTCATCCTCACTTGGAAATATTTGCAAGGTGATGTTTTGATCCGGATAAGCATGTTCATTAAGATAAAATGTAAGGTTGTTGAAAAGCTCATGGGAGAGTTGAGAAGCATTGTTTGCAGCCAAGCCTATAGAGAATGATCTTCTTAGTACAGGTGGTGGAGAGGTTACATTGAATTCATTCCAAACCAAGGCTGGGCAATCTTTGGCAGTGACAAGGAACAATCGCAAGGCCAGGAATATGAATGACACGAAGAATGGTAACCCTATTTGAAAAATGGTTCCAATCGGATGTTTTCTTTGAAGCTTGAAATTCTTCCATATCAGTAGACCAAGTTGTTTCAATTTTGACATTCTCCTAGCAAGTTTTTAAACTGGTATCTTTTAAATAAATCTTAAATTTTCGAAAGAACTCACGAATGCAAAACCATTAACTCGTAAGATCTAAAAAAGCAGTTAAAGTACCATTTACTTAAATAAAAAACTCCACCATCTTTGTCGTGACATTTTGCAAACACTCATGAGTCAGGAGTCAGAAAATTTGCTATTTTTAAATCACGAATTAACGTAGCTTCCTTAAACATCTGACACGATTGCATCATAATTAAGACTTTTCATATACTTATACGGTTTTTTGTGATTTGACAGCGAGAAACTCTGTAAGACTCCATGCCGGTTGACGGATGCTAGTTTTGTACAAAATTCGTATCACAAACTGCTAGCAACTTTCAGTGTCAATGAATCGATACAAATGTAAATAATTCTTCTATTTACTTACAATGCCCCAAAACGCTCACCAGATTGCGTTTGTTGGTTGGTAAGAACTAAAAACGAACAAAGTTGCGAATTTGGCTTTCAAACGTGTTCGATCTTATGTATGGTCGTATGTCATATATAGACTAACAGGATTGCCGTAGCAATATTTTCACATCAGCATCCAGTCATGTGCCTAAGTATACCATCGTGAGGTATCATGTTCACCATGTGCCTTGAAAGTGATTGGTTGTTTGAATTGATGATTGTTTATAGTGGTGAAAAAAAACTTGATTTGATTGGTTGGCAGATTTCGAGAATGCTTGATGATGAAATCATTTTCTGAGAAGGTGAGAGGTCATAATGGTCATTACACATCTTAGTCATATGACTGTCACATGTTTGTTATTATTATATTACTATCATTATGACTGTCAAATGTCAGTGTTATCACCAAAATAAACAAGGAGTGTGTTGTTGTTCAATTATGTGTTCAATCATCAAAATTTAGTAATAATACTAGATAAATGGTCACACTGCCCCATGTATGACGATATTAATCGACCATCTATTCGTCGTAGCCTCTCTGTGAGCGAGCAAAATTTAAAAATATTTGTTCCAGTGTGGTTTGCGTAACAGCATAATTACCGATAACAGAACGGCTGTGCGCATCTTCTAAGATCGCAAACAGGGAAGACCAAGCCCATTTTGAATCGCCTATGTGGTAATTCAACAAGCCATTGTGCTCATCTCGAAGTTCACTGCCTGGGAACGTCTCTGCCACGAATTCTTTTACCAAGGTCGTGTCATTACTGGGCGTGTTACTTGGAGGGTTTACCAACAAAGTGAATCCTTGAACGAATTTGTTCTTCAGGTGTTGCGGGCTACCGAGGCAGCGAAATTTGCCATTTACCATGATTGCCAACCGAGTACACAACGCCTCGCATTCTTCCATGCTATGTGACGTAATCATCAGGCATCGACCTAAGGGAAGAGGGGAGGATACAAAATGATTACCAATCACTAGGCATCGATCTAAGGGGAGAGAGGAGGGGACAAACTGATTACTAATGACGGTTTTTTTTTGTATCTGACACTTAATTGTACTTGCAAGAAATTGAGCACAAGGCAAACCTGTACGTAATGTTTCTATACATAAAGCGTTTTCATGGGTCGTCACAGATATATTTTTCAAAGGATTTTCAAGGAGAAAAATATCGATTTTCAAAGACCAAATTCAAATTTCTTTGATGGCATTTCTGTCATACTCAGCATGCGTTCTATGCATTTTCAGGTAATAAATTTAACTGACATATACGCATAGATAAGACACAGACAAAATACGCAAAGGTAAGACACTTAATTGTGACTTCATTACTATCGTGATAAACTCGCAAATTAAGGCAAAGAATACGCTTAGTAATTGCCAAAATTATTACTATTTTTACTTGAAAAGATGAAAAATACGATTACAAAGTCAAAACTAAAGTAGTTTTCAAGGAGTTTCGGCATTTTGTCTTTTTTCAAGGGCGTTTCAAATACACTAGAGAGACATGAAGATTCAAGAGCTTTTCAACGAGTTAAAGGAGTAGCGGGAGCCCTGTTTAAGTCAATAATCTCAGTATCTATCAATATCATCGATATAGTTAGCCTTCATCGCTATTGTTTGATTCAACCTATCTGAAAAGCCATTTATTCGTGTTACGTTGATACTGTCGTTGTTCAGAAAATGAAATTTGCCAACAATGTTTGAAGGATGAAGTAAAATAAATTATAATTAAAAACCCTAACTCTAACATTTTTTAATAATAACCAAAATGGCGCTCATATTAGACGGGTGTGAACTGCATGTAATTGCATTCTTCAACACATCTCTCCCCCCCCGGAAGGAAACCCGCTTCATCACCAGTTTCATACCTTCGGCTCTGACTCTACATAAAGTGTTCCATAACAGTCGTCTTGCAACAGGATCCATTCCAGTAGTTGGTTCGTCGAGAAAAACTATGAGTGGATCGCCAATCAAAGCTATCGCTGTACTTAGTTTGCGTTTGTTTCCACCACTGTAAAAGAAAAGGTGATCTTTGTATTCGTGATCTAAGGAGCCTGAGATTGCTATAAAAAGATGGCAGATTTTCGACGCGTCACATGCATAATTTCCACAAAAAATCACTCCAGATAAAGACACTAGACTGGAGTATATAAGATCTAAAGTTTCAACAAAAGATCACTCAAGATGAAGACACTAGACTAGAGTATATAAGGACTAAAGTTTCAACATCAGATCACTCCAGATAAAGACACTAGACTGGAGTATATAAGGACTAAAGTTGCACATATTTAAAAGTAGACGACATTTTCTTCTATTTTACCTGTATGTTTTAGTTAACTTATCAGCGTGTTCCGTTAGCAACACTGATCTCATTAAATCTTCGATCAATGGATTGATCTCATGACTGGGGACTCCACGAAGTGCAGCATACATTTGTAACATCTCCCGTCCCGTCAATAAATCGATCAAAGCATCAAATTGTGGACAATAGCCTGTTCGTTGACGAACCTTGGTAAACAACGTAATTTACATTTAAAATTATAATATTCATTTACAAAATAGCATGTATAACGCGTGCTCTGATTGGTCGATGCTCGTGTTTGCATCAGGCCATCCAAACACGGAAATTTTAAACATGAAACATATTGACACATGAAAATAACGTGTACAAAGGCAATTTTCCCCGATTGAAGTATTTGTTGTTGACACAATCACGCAAACGCAGGAAGATCAATAAAGGGGGGTTTCGGGGGGTGGGTCATAATCATATATGCATATATCAATACTCTCCCCCCCCCAATTATAGATGGTTGACCACAGTCGGTACTAAATATACAGCACCAAGTTGCGCAGCCAAATGGTATTGTTTGTTTTCTATGGTGTGGCTACAGAATAACGAACATAAAGAAGGTCCTTTCTCTATGCAGTTGAAACTAGGCGACGTTTTCACTTTGCCAGTTTCAGGAGTAATTGATCCGCATCTAAGGCGTAACGGCAATTGAAATAAATTTCATGCTTGAAATTTGCAACGAACAGTAGCCGCGATTCGCATGTATTATTGTCTTCAATTGCGTTTACAGGTCTTTGGGGATCAATTATTGCTGAATCATGCAAAGTCTGAAGGTCGGCTGATTTCAAAGACGAGCAGTTTTTTCGAAACATCCTGTTGAGCCACTACACTGTGGTAATAATACGGGTGGCACAAAAAATGTAAATGAAGTTATCTTCGATATATTCCTCATACTGTGCTGAGGCTGTGTTTCGCTACAGAATGTGGTTTTGTTGGACGGTGTGCATTGTGGAAGAAGAACCAAAATGGCGGACAATACAACGGACCATTGAAACGTTTATATTTTACAAGGTTGTTCTGCAGAGAAATTGAAATATATTTGACCAATTACCTCCTAAGTGGCCGACAACAAGCAACAACTGAAAAGGGAGTTCATTTATGAACAAGTAAGAAATTATTTGTTATGTAAGTAAGAGTTAGTTGCTCGATCTTTGAACGTCAAATGTAGTTCGCTTGGCTTGTATTTATGGCTGTTTACAACTTGTTTTGCGTCGTAATATCATTGAACAATTATATGCGAAGCACGATTTCGTAAATGAGCAACACTAAATATTGCAACAGAAATTTACCACTAGAAAATAACATCGGTGCGGTCAAAAATATTTGCCTGTTCCTGGCATGCATTTACGTCATGAGCCGCTCCAAGTTGGGTGATTTCAACAAAGATTTTCTTTATTTACAATGTAGATGTCATGAAAAATGGCAAAAATTGTGTTGTTGTTCATTCACAGGGGAGTAGTGACATACCACAGTATACCACAGTACTTTTTTCACAGTGACGTAGTAATGACTAGTTCGAGACTGTAATAAGTCTTGTATTTAATGCCGGGCTTAGATAAACACAGGTTCTTATTTTCATTACACATGCATATTAAATAAGGAATTACCTACGTCATTACAGCATATAAATATGATTAGGCATGCAATGTCACACCTCTTTTTCTTCGGTTTTTTTAAATAATTTCACACTATAAATGTTTTTAACTTATTTTTATCTAATAAGAATATCTATTAGGTTTTTTGATTAGACGTCCATACTGAGTTCTTATATTACTGTTGTTAGTACTTTCATTACAATTTTTATAAGATCTATTGTTCTCACTGTAAGACTTATCTGTATTTTGACTTCTCGATTCTTCATTAATCTTTAATAAATGATTTCTATTCCTTCTATAGTAGGTACCATCAGACGTAACCAAATAAGATCTTGGCTCAAGTAACGATTTTTCCACGATTCCTTTTTTTGGAAGCCTTTTTCTGTTTTTATACGTACCTTATCTCCTTCTTTTAATGGTGGAAGTGTTTTTGCATTGCTATCATAAAACTCTTTTTGTTTCTTGTGATACATTTCCAATTTTTCTTGAACATTAACAGGGTTTAATGGTTGAAATTCAAGTAGCTTCTCTGATATTGGTAGCAAAGTCCTACTTCTTCGTCCCATTAGTCGTTGAGCTGGACTGCCAACAATTTCATCTCAAGGTGTATTTCTATAATTAAGGAATCCTAAATAAGGATCGGTGTTATCATATTTTGCTTTCTTTATGATTGCTTTTGCTGTCTGCACAGCACGTTCTGACATGCCGTTACTTTTTGGATATTCAGGTGAACTTGTTGTATGTTTAAATCCATACTGTAACGAGAATGCACGAAATTCTTTACTCCTGAATTGTGGACCATTATCTGTTACAAGATCTTCGAAAATTCCGTATCTCGCAATTTGAGATTTCATCTTTGTGATAACTGTTTTTGATGTTGTATTTAACAAGTAATCAATTTCAAAGAATCCACTGTAGTAATCTACCATAAGAAGATAGCTTCTACCATTCAATTCAAACAGGTCTGCTCCAACTTTACTCCATACCTACGCAACAACGCACAAGCTCAAAAGTCGACAATCGAATGAATATTGAAGCTGTAGAAAAAAGCAATGAAGAGTGGTATTCTGAACTCAAATTTGGCAGACATTTGGTGAACGTGAAGGTGGATACAGGCGCAGAATGTAATGTGCTTTCTAAAAAATTGTTCGACAAAGTCACAGAAGCTGAGCAACAAGTTACCAAAACAAATACAAAGCTAATGTCGTATAGTGGAGATTCAGTTCAAACCTTGGGACAAGTAGTGATGACGTGTTCTTACTAAGACAAACGATACAATCTTCTTTTCTATATAGCGGCACACGATGTAAAGCCTATTCTTGGTTTACCTGATTGCGAGCGTTTGTGTATGGTGAAAAGAATTATAGATGTCAAACCTATTTTCACTAGCGACGATATTCTCAATGAATATGCAGATCTCTTCGATGGCAAACTAGGATGTTTACACATTAAACATCATATCAGTGTCAATCCAAATGTAAAACCTACAATTCATCCTCCTCGACGCGTTCCAGTAGCTATGAGAACGAAAATTAAAGAAAAGTTAGAACGAATGCAACAGATGGGTGTCATCGATCCTGTAGAAAACCAACGGAATGGGTTTCGTCAATGGTAACAGTGGAAAACCAAACAAGTTACGAATATGTATTGATCCTAGACATCTTAATGAAGCCAGTCAGCGAGAGCATTACCCTCTCTTAACAATAGAAGAAGTCGTATCAAGACTACCTGGAGCTAAAATTTTCTCCGTATTCGATGCAGCCTCTGGATTTTGGCAGATACCTCTAGATGAAGATTCCAGTTATCTTACAACATTCAATTTTGGCAGATACAAATTCAATCGTCTCCCATTTGGTATATCCTCAGCACCTGAAGTGTTCCAAAAAGCTATGCACCAGCTGTTTGACAGAATAGACGGTTGTGAAATTATAATGGATGATATCTTAGTATGGGGAACAACAGAGAAAGAGCATGATGAAAGAATTATCAATGTACTGAATAGAGCTCGTGAAATCAATCTCAAATTAAAGAAAGAAAAACAAAGTTAAAGTAACAAATGTAGATTACAAGGGACACAAAATAACGTCAGATGGTCTTCAATCCGATCCTGAAAAGATTAAAGCAATATTAAACATGCCAATTCCTAAAGATAAGAAAGATCTTCAAAGATTTCTTGGAATGGTCCAATATTTGGCCAAGTTTATTCCTTATCTTTCAGAAATGGCAAGTCCCCTTAGAGATATGTTAAAGAAGAACAAGTTGACGGCGACAGAACAAGACTTGAAAAGTTACCAAAATGGCAACTGTTATTGCTGCAGTAAAAGAGTACGTAAATAAAAACAATGAAACTCTTCACAAACGGACTGAAAGTTCAGATAGAATGGAAGAAGTGGCTAAAAGAGAAAATGAAGGTAGGAAGTTATTGGATTCGTTACCTGAGCTCCTTGAAATGGACACTTCTTTGGAAAGACAAAGTCTCATAAAAAAACCGAAGAAAAAGAGATGTGACATTACTTGCCTAATCATATTTATATGCTGTAATGACGTAGGTTTGATTGCATTAACAGCACCAATAAAAAATTCTTCATCACTAACTTCATGAACTGTTCTTTGTGACTTTTGTGTAGACGTTAGACACACCCGAGCAAAGTGGTTTTTCTTATGACATTTGTGGCAAATTTTTCCAAAAGCTGGGCATTGCTTTGGAAGATGTTTTCCTCCACAGTTTCTGCAATTGTTCTTTAATACGAATCTTTGTCCTCGATGTTTATCTTCTTTTGTTTGACTTAAGTTTGTGTAACTTCCTTTTGAGGTTTTCAAATTCTTCCTAGCCTTCAGTTCATCGACATCTTGATAATTAGTAAGATCTTTTACTTGTTGTTCCGACAATTCGTTTGCACTGCATATGTTTAGAGCCTTGTCTAAAGTTAAACTTGTTTCGCGAAGGAGAATCTTTCTTACTGCATCACTGTTAATCCCGCACACAATACGATCTTTAATAAGTTCGCTCTCGAGGTCACCAAACTCGCACTTTCGAGGAATGTTTTTCAAATCTGTAACAAAGGAACTAATCGACTCTGACGGACTTTGCTTCCTTGTATGAAATAAATGTCTTTCGAATGTTAAATTCTTAAGCGGCATACAAATTTCTTCAAATTTCTTCACTAGAATTTCTGGATCGTCTTTGTCTTCCTCTTCGTTGTAGGTAAAAGAAATTATATCTTTCAACCGCATCTTCGCCAGCTAGATTTAAGAGGATGCATGAGTTTTCTTTCTTTGATTTCCGGCTATGTCCTGCAGCAACAATGTATATTTCATAGTTCTGTTTGAAGCGACGCCAATTCTCAGCAACGTTGCCTTCGAGAGTCGTGTTGGCCTAGAAAATCCTTCTGCCATTCGATAAGAACCAACTTTTCCTAATCGCTACCACCATGTAATAAGTCTTGTATTTAATGCCGGGCTTAGATAAACACAGGTTCATATATACATTACACATGCATATTAAATAAGGAATTACCTACGTCATTACAGCATATAAATATGATTAGGCATGCAATGTCACAGAGATATGGCGCCAAGATGGACAATATTACCAAAATCGAAAATATTTACAACGAAACAAATTATCGTATGTCGAAAATAATATACTGGCAACTTTTTCAATATTTGTAAAAAGAAACGCAAAAATATAAAAGAAAACAAAAATTTGTTTACCATAATTTATATATACACAACGAAATTTATTTTTCAAATTATGAAAATTATTTTTATAAAACGAAACTCATTTATATAAAACGAAATTGACATTCATAAAACGACATTTTCTTCGAACAAACGACATTTTTTACCGCGCCCTGCCACAGACATCAAAGAAGAAACGGCGTTTTATTTCGCGTTCCGTGAACACTGTCGACGACTCGTTATCTTGTTCCTTCCATCCTTTTGTCTACCTGTCCCTTCCATATTAAATAAGGCAGAATATCGGGATATTGTGGAATTCTTAGCGAGAGGCTTTAGTTTATTTGATAAGCAGCATGCTCTTCAATTTCATCAATTTTGAATTTCATATTACAAGTTGGACACAAAATTGATGAGGTTTTAGATGTGGCAGCCACACTTGACATTTCATGAGAGATATCATGCAAAGAAGAAGAGTGCAACAAGGGAGGCAATGTTGATTTTAGATTGTCTCCCAAATTTTGTGATGAAAATGAACTTGTGAATTGGTCCTCAAACATTGTTGTTTTCAAAATAATGTCATCATCTTCAGAGCTAATGTCATCACTGCTGTTGTCCTCTGTTTTGACTAAACTATGCACTGACACACTAATGTCTTCTTTGGCCCGAATATATATTGGTCCTTGAGCAGACACATGCTTTAAAAGCCTACCGTCACATTTTGGACAGCCGTCAGTTTCAAGGGAAATCAGCTTGCTGTGTACAGCTCTCATAAATTCGAATTTAGGAGACTTTCTTGTATTAGAAGACTTCACTGCAAACTTGTTTTCTAATGCTGTTCTTATTCCTTCCTCATCCATGGAAGGATCTAACTCAAACGTAGACAAAAATCCTGCGGAAAAAATTGCTTCTCTTTCCCGTACACGTGGTACTTTAGTTTGCCTTGAATATGGTATCAAGACAACATCTTTTAGAGTTGTTCGAGCTTCGTTCAATTTCAGCTTCTTGCCGTTGTTATTTTTACTAGTCTTGGACCTTTTTGACTTTTTTCCTCCCCCATAATTTACACTTGGGTTGAACAGTGGAGACGTGTGGTGCATTGACGTATTAGCTGCTGTAGTCGCTGCTCCTCCGACTGTTGTGGTTGTGGATGAACGACCATTTGCAGAAGGGAACAGAGTGCGTATCGTACTTTCAATATTGCTAGCGTTAGCATCGTTATCTCCTTCAAAAGTTCTTTCACAATTGTTGGAGCAATCACTTTCAGAGAGCTGAGTGATTGCTGCAACAAGGTTTGTCAAGTTATGTAAATTCCTTCGCGAAGACATCCTCAAAATTTTGTAGTGGATGGCTCTTTGCAGGCTACAAAATAATGGCCGCAAAAAAGCGGTAAAAAATGTCGTTTGTTCGAAGAAAATGTCGTTTTATGAATGTCAATTTCGTTTTATATAAATGAGTTTCGTTTTATAAAAATAATTTTCATAATTTGAAAAATAAATTTCGTTATGTATATATAAATTATGGTAAACGAATTTTTGTTTTCTTTTATATTTTTGCGTTTCGTTTTACAAATATTGAAAAAGTTGCCAGTATATTATTTTCGATATACTATAATGTGTTTCGTTGTAAATATTTTCGATTTTGGCAATATTGTCTATCTTGGCGCGCCATACAGAGACCAGTACGTTGGCTAAACTAACAAAACTAACTACGAATTTTATTTAATTTACATCCTAAATTCCAAGCATGAAATTCCTTTAAATGGCATTTACGTCTCCTTAAGGATGAATTACTGCTTTAAAGTCTTGATGTCAGATCAGCCTCGTAGCCAGGCGCTTTGAATTATTTGATGATTAATAAATTGAATGTCACGTGGCGTGTGTGGGCGTCGCGCGTTAGCGTGGCTGATACAAGCGTTACAAGCCGCGATTTTCCCATTTTCTATTCGCGCATGTCGTCCCGCGCTGCACTTTTTCGCACAAATGGTTTAGAGCATCAAAGCGCCTCGGTACGAGGCTAGCATGTTTACAGTTCGCGGACAGATAATTGAAATAAATATATAACGGAACGTAAAGTACCCATCCAGTTGTAAATTTGGTTCAATGGTCTTTACATGATTCTTCAATTTAAGTTAAAGCGGGAAAGGTCGAACAAATCATATACAGTAGCGTAGCCAGTCATACTTTTCACTTCCGCTTTCCTAATATTTTTGTATTTACTGACAGTGAGGAAAATAGATTTCTAAAGACATGAATAATGGTAATCTTTAAAAATTTACACAGCGGAGGTAAATCTGAAGGCTGGCTACGCTACTGGTCATATACAACAATAAAAACATACCCGACTTAAATTAGTCTGAATATCCCACGAGTCAAGGACGGCGGTACCCGAAGTTGGAATCACATCGCCTGTTAACATTTTAAACGTTGTAGTTTTTCCCGCGCCATTGACTCCCAGGAGACCGAAGCATTCACCTAAAGGTATTCCCAAGCTGATGTGATCCACTGCAGCAAATGTTCGACGACCTTTGGGAAAAATAAGGTGTTTATAAAGGAGCTTTGTTCTTTTATAGAAATTCATTGAATAGAAGTTTAAAAATGACAGTGAACTTTCTAAAAAAAGTCTTCATGAAAATCTCGTTTCATTCTCCAGACAATGAGAGTGTTGAATATTTTAAAGACAATCTTGTTTCATTCTCCAGATTATAAAGTACAACCGTTGGAGAGAGTTTTTGTACAGACATGTCACTACGAAGAGAACTCTGCCCATCTGAACAAACACATCAGTAATATACATTTTATAATTTTCTGATGCAAATTATGTAAATATACATTATAATTTAAGTTCTCATTATGCAACCCGACAACAGTGGTTATAAAATCGGCCATTACAGGTTCCTCGTAATGAAACAAGATGTCATAGATATAACATAAACTGTTTAAGAAAGTCTACTGACATTTTAAAAGTTTTATTTCAACAAAACCATTAAACAGCAAAATTTTTGTTTCATAGACACTTTAAAAGCCCGTTTCGTATGTGAAGACTTTTCTAGTGGTAAAAAATTGTTAAGTTATATTTTCAATCAAGCACAACGAACTCATCGCAACCATCTTTTTTAACTTTCCAAAATATTGTGTAACAAAACGAAAATTTTTTTGACATGATTTCGACTGATAAAACAAGGCTTTCTTTTCAACACATCTACAAAAGAAAGCTATTAAAACAAAGCGAGGCGAAATTCTTTACCTGGAACTTTAAATATTTTCGTAAGATCTTTCACTACAAGCACGTCTTCGTTCACTTCGTCGTTGAGTACTCGTCGTTTTTCCGCCATCACGTCGGAATCTTCCGTTTCATCGTTTGGATGCATGCTGTCAAACGGATCGACGTACACCGATCTAATGGAACTTCGCAACGACCGAATAGCATTGAAGTCGATCAGCAGAATAATAAACATGAAGAAAATTCCTTCAAGTGGTAACACCAAGAGAAATCGACCAATTCCAGGATTTTCAAAGGCGAAATAATTCGTCTGAATCCTCGCTCTCTGAGACATGCACATCACTGGCGCATACTTTTCTATGCACATATTGTAAAGTCTGATACGGTTATAATTCTCAAAAATATTGGAGAACGACTGTCCGAGGCAAAAGTTGGGGAGTACCAAAAAAGTCCAGTTAAGGACATCAACAGTGTGATGGTAGTCAAGACTCTGAATGATGAACACAACAAGCAAGGCGACAGGACCAGTTACAATATTTAACAACGTCAATAAGATGAAAGCTTTCGACGCCGTTTTGAAGAGAAACGAGAAGAGATACATAAACGGGATGATGGCTGAACCATAAAGCATCAAAACGAGAAAAACTATTCCAAGACGATAGCCTTCTGCAATGAATTAAAATCAGTTTTTGAGAAATAGTGCGAAATGGCAAAGTTCACCCGATCCGAACGTTGCTAACTTCAACGGAATTGTTGGAATTTTAAGGGTTGACTGAGATCTAAATGGGACGTTTGACATGCAATTCTGTGCTTCCACGAACTTTAAAGTGAAAAATGTGTTTAAAAAGACAAATATAAATGCTGTGACCTAACTCCACTGCCAAACATCTGTAAAAGATCGTATCCTAAGTATGAAGGTATGTTGCTATCACAGGCTCACAGCCGCATACCAGATTCAACGTCGTAAACTTGACGTGATTTTGTCATCAAAAACCATTGGAATTGTTTAAAGTTGGTTGATTAGCCGAGAGATTAGGGGTTTGGGTCGAGTTCATTCTCCTTACAAACAAGTATTTCGAGAATTACGAGGAGTCCTCGATCATTTTGTAAAATAACTTTATTGGATCACAACGTTCGGATTGGCTGAAAGATCAGGCAAATGACGTTTTATTGGAAGATATTGACAACGCGAAATCAAATTTGCCAAAGGCAGTGAATCGTTTTGGCGACCATGACGACAGTGAAAAATCCAACCTGCAATTTTCAGTCCTGCTGAGTAAATTTCAGAACATTATTTACTGTTTTTACAAAGAGTACATAAAAATCTACATAACATGACCAAGTAAACATGCTAGCTACGTCAGAGCTTGGGAAATTCGACCTACCTGTGTACGCAGGAACGTTAAAACATGCAAACAAAATAACAACGCCGATACAGGGAAGTGTGAAATTCACCATGTCCCACAACCACGAAGCAGTCCAGTAGCTAATGGGATCAACGCCACTAACGAACTGCACATGTTTTGCACCGTTCGTTCGCTCCTGGACGACAAACACGACAAAACTTGAAGCAAGAAACGCCATGCCAAACAGCAGATTGAAAGCTATATTAAGACCACCACTGTTGCTGGATAGAAAAAGAAAGTTAATGAATTAGAACTTGTTGCCTTAGCAACTATTGATCGTTGGCAGATCACTTTAAAGAAAACGGAGCAGAGGGACTAGCGGCTATTGCATCCCACTATTGATTAGACCTTTTTGCCTTAGCAACTATTGATCATTTGTGGATCACTTCGGAGAAAGCGGAGCAGGGGGACTGAGGGCTGCCCCCCCCCGAATCCCTTCTTTCACAGTTTTACCTAACTTTGGCAGTCGATAACCCCGCCCCCTAATAAAAAATATGCTCAGCGATCCCTGCCTTTGAAGTGAACACAGTCGTATGTCAGGAATAAATCAGTCTTTCATACATATATATATATATACATACGACTGTGTTCACTATACATATATAGCACTGTCGGATTGTGTAGAGAGTCTCAAAATGGAGACGTTCACCGTGTTCGCGGTATGCAAGGCTCACCTTTATAGGTTTGAGCACTCTGGTGACTCTACAATACAATCCATACAATGTGTAACCATACGTCCTGTGTCCCAAGTGCAGGAGTCACAATTTTAATATGGTGATAGCCGGGAGGGCACATTGTATATACACTTTGTATATATATATATATATATACAACGTACATCCTGTGTCCCAGGTTGAGGAGTCCCCATTGCCCTATGGAGGCACTATGAGGGTACATTGTTATACAAGCTGTATACATTATAACAATAGTGCAATGGTGACTCCTGCACTTGGGACACAGGATGCACTGTTAATATATATCAATTCATAATAAATACACATAAATTTCAATAGAAATTTGAGAGACTAAAAACAATACCTGATTACATAAAAACACGGGCGCTGATTGGTTAAATGCTCAAAAAACCGTTTTTTTTAACTCAGATTGAGTGGTTTTCGCAGAAAATTTAACAGTGAATAATGTTTTATTAAAACGCTATTCATTAAGGAAATACAAAATATATTTACTTCTCCCTATATAGTTATAGGAACGCTTGTTGTGAAAGTTTGGGAAAAGCTCGAAAGCAAAAATAACATACTCATCTAAATCATTTGATTTTTGCTTCGTAGTTCTCGGCAAAGGATGATTTGTCACTGTGATTAATTTGTTTTTATTCCCGGAACTGTTTTTCAAAATGGCGTTGTCCACTGCACTCAGTGCCACCGCTATCGCATGATAAGCTTGATCGTTGAACCAAGCCTTGGCTATTGCTAAATAAGAACACACATAAATTACCTTAAATTCGCCAAGATTCTTAGCTGATCTACCTCATATTTATGTTTTCTATTAATCTAGAGATCCTTCCTTGATCTACAGATCCTTCCTTGATCTACAGATCTTTCCTTGCTCTACAGATCCTTCCTTGATCTACAGATCCTTTCTTGATCTACAGATCCTTCCTTGATCTACAGATCCTTCCTTGATCTACAGATCCTTCCTTGCTCTACAGATCCTTCCTTGATCTACAGATCCTTCCTTGATCTACAGATCCTTTCTTGATCTACAGATCCTTCTTTGATCTACAGATCCTTCCTTGATCTACAGATCCTTCCTTGATCTACAGATCCTTCCTTGATCTACAGATCCTTCCTTTATCTACAGATCCTTTCTTGATCTACAGATCCTTCCTTGCTCTACAGATCCTTCCTTGATCTACAGATCCTTTCTTGATCTACAGATCCTTCCTTGATCTACAGATCCTTTCTTGATCTACAGATCCTTCTTTGATCTACAGATCCTTCCTTGATCTACATACAGATCCTTTCTTGATCTACAGATCCTTCTTTCATCTACAGATCCTTCCTTGATCTACTGATCCTTCCTTGATTAAAAAATCCTTCTTGATCTACAGATTCTTCGTCGATCTAGAAATTCTTCCTCGATGTACATATACTTGCTTGATACTTTCTTTATCTACGGACCTTTTTCTCGATGGACAAGTCTTTCTTGATCCCCTTACAACATTTTGAACTCATTAAAAAAGCATAAATTGACAGATATTGATAAGAACTATTGCACCATCATAGTTACACACCTTCAGGGAGGGTGAAAACAATGTAGCTACACGAGTAAGCAATACCTTTTTTATTTGCTTCAGTAAATGTCGCTGCAACCAGATAATGTCTGTTGAAGTATCCAATGTTTCTTCCTTTGGCTTTTTCTAGTAAATATTTGGTCATGTTCCCATCACGGAAAGCACTATCCTTGTCGATATCAACGAACTTAGTGTACGAGCTTGCCGAATGTGTGTACATTTTAACCAGATCATTTATCTCCCTGAAAAAGATTTATTTACGCTTACATCAAATTTTGATGTCTTATCGGGATTTTAAATCCGGGCGCGCATCATTCAGCATGTTTTGCTGCAAGAAGTTTAGTTTACTGCACAGAAAACGAAAACGGTTTTGTTCTTGTAACAAAGATATGAAACAAAAGCACGTCGCTGATTATATTTACTCATCCTAAAGAGGGTTTAGCACAGTGATGGGGCATTGAAATGAAAATAATAGGTTAATTTCTAAGTCTCCTTTTTTTAAAACCCGGTGATGAACCACGTTAAGTAGTTTACCATAAGAAAATTCAAGCATTTTGTTCTTAAAATCTAAACGATTTAACCAAATAAAATTGAACGGCTCTGGTTTGAAAATTCGAACAATTCCAAGAATTTAAATCGAACAATTCACAAACATATTTTACCATAATTTAGCAGGAAATAATATGTAAATTTGATTCCACTTGATTAAATATACAACTGGAAGGCTACTTTTATACATTAACATGCCTGTTTCTCTGGGCCGTGCGTGGAAAGATGGGGACTAGTTTAATTACTGGCTTCAAATTTTGGGGAAGTAACCGTCCAGTTATATTTAAGTTCAATATATCTACCTGTTCGGGTTTCCAGCAATTGAGTAAGGTGCAATGTTATCATGAAACATAGCTGTCGTCAAAATTCTGGGAGGAGAGTCCTCGGGCTTAGGAATCATGTCAATGGAAATCAAAGCAAGCATTGTGTAAATAAGAGGCACGAGAAGCTGAGGAATTATGGCTATTTTATGTCGACGCGAATGAAGAAAGCGTTTCTTGAACATAGCACACCACCTCTGCAGAAACAAGGTTATTCCGTAGTTTAACTGTGGCTTTGTTGTGTTTGTTATTGGCATCATACTGTTGTTGCGTCCATATAATGTGTCTTCATCATTCACTGTACTTACTGAAGCGTTTATTGCATCCGCTAGATGACGTACAAAAGAAAAAGTTTGACTTGAAACACCATGAACAAAAAAACAACTATTCAGTATTGGTCAAATCAAAACCACAAATCAGCATTTTATAGAAATGAGTCAATGCTAAACAAGCAAAAATTACCACTTTTACCACAGCTTACTCTCGAGTCTATCATCTAAAACCTCGTCGCGATCCTTTACTTTCATTGATATCCCAATCAATCAACAATTACAACTTTCATCACAGCTTAGTCACAAGTCTCATCTAAAACCTCGTCGCAATCCTTTACTTTCATTGATATCCCAATCAATCAACAATTACCACTTTTACCACAGCTTACTCTCGAGTCTATCATCTAAAACCACGTCGCAATCCTTTACTTTTATTGATATCCCAATCAATCAACAATTACCACTTTTACCACAGCTTACTCTCGAGTCTATCATCTAAAACCTCGTCGCAATCCTTTACTTTTATTGATATCCAAATCAATCAACAATTACCACTTCTACCACAGCTTACTCTCGAGTCTATCTTCTAAAACCTCGTCGCAATCTTTTACTTTCATTGATATTCCTATAAATCAACAATTACCACTTTTACAACAACTTATTCTCGACTCTATCATCTAATGTCCCGGCACAAACCCTTACTTTCATTTATCCCAGGAAATCAGCACTTTCCACCTTTACCATAACTAACCTTTGAGTCTATGATGTAATGTCCCATCACAATCTTTTACTTTCATTTATCCCAGGAAATCAACACTTACCACCTTTACCACATCTTACCTTTTAGTCTATCATCTAACGTGTCGTCACATTCCGTTCCCACTTTCATAAAAACTTCTTCCATGGTTGTCATTGAAGCGCCATAACTAGCAATTCCCAGCTCCTTTCGTCGAGTCTCCAGTTCTGAGAACAACGTGGAAAAATTCCGGGAAGATTCTCGAGGCAAGATGTATGACAATTCAGCGCCTAACGTAGGTAAAAAAAGTATTGCAAAGGTCTACTGGCTAGACACTACATCGAAAAACACTTACAACAAAAGAAATGTATATTATTTAAACTTCATACTGATAAAATATGATAAAGTTGGTAAAAATACAACGCCTTCTCAACAAATGACAGCTTAGTTCGAGCTGACGTCTCTCTAAAGTCTCCTAGAGAAGTGCATCAAAACTTACCAGCGCGACTTTCCAATTGGCCATTCGGGACATAGTCTTTAACAAGTTCGTCAATTTTGTGTTCTTTACATTCTGGTTCTTTGACCATCACTAGATGATAACCCACGTCATAATGGTTTTTCAAAAACAATGAACTACCACAACAACGGATTTTGCCCTCAGCCATTATTGCAATTCGATCTCCTAAAACGTCGGCCTCGTCCATGAAATGTGTCGTCAGCAAGATCGTTCGCCCGTCACGATACTTCTGAAGCAGTTCCCAAGTAAACCTGCAGGCGGATGGATCCATACCGGAAGTAGGTTCATCAAGCATTAACACCTTGAGGAAGTGAGTTGGTGAATAATTTAACTTGGTAATTACAAGCATATCTTCTAAGAAGACTTTAAAACAGATTTATGCCTAAGCAGATTGCTAATCCTTATATACTCCAGTCTAGTGTCGTCAATTGAAGTGATTTGATGTTGAAACTTTAGTGCAAAATACCTCAGTCTATATCACGAGTGATCTTCAGATGTTAATTCTAGTAATAAACAACTGCACGTGATGTGCACGTGATAATATCTACCTTCGTTTTTCCAATCAGCGCTACTCCTAAAGATAGCTTGCGTTTCATCCCGCCGGACAAATATCTTGTCTGAGCGTTAGCTTTATCGGCCAGTTTGATGGACTCCATCATTTTTTCCACTTCGCTATCGATTTCATCACTAGACAGACCCTTCAGTTTTCCGAAGAACCACAAATGCTCCTTAACAGTCAGTCGATCGTACAAAACGTCATGTTGTGGACATAAACCTTTTTGAAAATAGTAAAAATGAAATAGACGATTAACTATTACAATGGAAGACAGTTGGGTCGTGAAAATAAAAACGACCATGTCTCTAGACAGAGTTGCTTTAACTTAGTGATAATGGACCGAGCGATTTAGAAATATACCAATAGTGTATGGGATTGAACAGTTTAATCAAATGCTAATTAATATCGATTCTTCTAAATATGATATTAACACGATGTTCTTAAAATATATTCTTAAGTGTAGTTTTAAGACTTTCATACTAGTGGAACTGTAAATAGCTAGTTGAACTATACTCTTTATTTATAGAAGTTACATACTAGTGGAACTGTAAGTAGCTAGCTGAACTATGCACTTTATTTATAGAAGTTACAAACTAGTGGAACTGTAAATAGCTAGTTGAACTATACTCTTTATTTATAGAAGTTACATACTAGTGGAACTGTAAATAGCTAGTTCAACTATACTCTTTATTTATAGAAGTTACATACTAGTGGAACTGTAAGTAGCTAGTTGAACTATACTCTTTATTTATAGAAGTTAGATACTAGTCGAACTGTAAGTAGCTAGTTGAACTATACTCTTTATTTATAGAAGTTACATACTAGTGGAACTGTAAGCAACTAGTTGAACTATACTCTTTATTTATAGAAGTTACATACTAGTGGAACTGTAAGTAGCTAGTTGAACTATACTCTTTATTTATAGAAGTTACATACTAGTGGAACTGTAAGTAGCTAGTTGAACTATACTCTTTATTTGTAGAAGTTAAATGTAGTTCTTTTCTCAGTCATTTCACATTGTAAATTGTTATGAATTTCCACAACCGGCGGCGTAGCCAGCTCCCAAGTTGCTTGTATTATGTAGATATTTGGGCTTGGAGGCTGGCTAAACCATTGCACCTAACAGTCACAACCTTATATGTTTGTAAATTTTGATAGCCCAGGATACTCCCGGGTTCAAACCATTTACTTTAGTCGCAACCTTTTCTAAATGTTTCAAAAACATTTCGCTACTTTCCTCACTGACCTAAACTTGACCGTACGCCATCCATACTTGTTCTAATGTCGTAACCATTGACAACGGCAGTTCCCTGACTCGGAGAATAAAAACCGGTAAGGACAGACATCAAACTACTTTTACCAGCTCCGTTATGACCAAGAAGAACCGTAATTTGTCCCTCGTACATCTTTAGTGAAACATCATCTACAGCGACTTTTTTACCTGCATAACACACGAAAGTTTAATATCGTAACTTGAAGCCGTAGTTAACCTCAGCAAAGTCTGGTAAGACTCGCTCCGTCATAAATCATGACGTCATAAATGGCTCCCGTCTGGTCTTGTAAGATATGTGAGGTCGTGAGGTTTGGACCTGTTTCACTGTAGCAAATCACTCCCCTACACCCCCCGTAAATCCGTCCAGGTCATCTACCTGTTACTCCGTCATAGATCTTCACTAAATTTTTGATGTCAATCCCCACATCCAGACCTTGAGGAGCCCTTTCGAACTTCTTCGATGTTTCGAACTTCTCCGCATTTCTTAATAATGGCAAGGTTTCTTCATCATTTGATACCTGCGGCAGAAAGATATTTTACACATATCACTCCAAATATAACACCAAAACCTATAATACTTTTTAAGCAGTATTCAGCAAGCAGTCACTAAGCTTCCGCATTAAAAAAATTTGACCTGACTTGAACTTTTTCTATTGATATATTAATCATCAGAAACTTCCCACAATTATTAAACTGCGCATGCTCAGATGCTTTGCTAGTCGTGAAAGATATCTCACACTCCAGCAGCTTAACATGACCGTTCTGACAACGTAAGCAAAAAAGCACATACGATTTCCAATATTATGACAATTTTCACAATGAGGTCAATAACAATTTATTACAATTAACCCTTTGCTGGTCGGCGTTGCTTTAGGACAGCAATCACCGAACACGTTGGAGCTCGGTCGAAGAAAAAATTCATGCAACGAACGGTTAAGGCGAATAGTTTAAGCCCGGGAAGATAATAAAAGCGATGCCACGACACTAACACAAACAGCCTTCTCAGGACGACACTAAACTACACAATCAACATCTGTATTTATGACTGTTGCTAAGCAAAATTTCAAGTTACCTTTTCAAAGCTTCCGCACCAGTAGGTCTTGGTGAATGGGAAGTAAAAAGGTTTTGAAGTACCATACTGTCCTGGGAACACATTTTCAATATACCATGTAAGCATACCATATATGGCACAACTAATAATCATCATGATGAACACAGTCCCGAGGGAGAACGTGTCGTCCACATCAACACCATGAAAAAGGTTATCCCATTGAACGCCGCTACCGGATCCTAGAATGTAAAAAACGTTTTGGCGGGATCATTGGTGTCAATCCTGTGTTAATTGGGGGGGGGGCACATTCATATGTTCTGCTATGCCAAGCTAATTTCTTTTTAAAACAATTTCATTTTCAAAAGAAATCAGACGGGCATAAAAGAACATATGAATATGGTCACCTCAATTATCGCAGGATTGACCCCCATGGGCGGGATTAGTATTTTCGTTATTTAGAGAAAAGGCAAACGTAAAATTAGAAACAAAATTGGAAGTTTTCAATGTCGGGCTAAAAACTACATGAACGCTGCACAGTGGTGTCCAGCTCAATAATTATGGGGAGGGGGGAGGGGTAACATTCATATAGGCATTTTTTGTGAATTATGTTCCTTCGAAATCAATTCTTTTTTTAACGCTATATGAATAAAAGCCTGCCAACCAAGTGCCCAGCGGGGGACGCAGAAGAATCGTTTCACCTGGCGTCATAGCTGTCATGCTAGAGTCCCAATTGTAAAGAATTCAAACAAAGTTCTTTTGTTTGGTACACCATTATGGCACCTTCATTCATCCTCAAGTTCATCCTTTGGCAAAGAGTGAAAACGACGTATACAGGGAGTCACGAGAAAAGTGACATTATACAGGGTGTCACAAGAGAAGTGACACTATACATGGTGTCACGAGAAAAGTGACACAATACAGGGTGTCACGAGAGAAGTGACACTATACAGGGTGTCACGAGAAAAGTGACACTAAACAGGGTGTCACGAGAAAAGTGACACTATACAGGCGTTCTTTGATACACCCTGTATTCAGAAATTATCTCATTGTTCGTAAATTGTTGTTAACGCTGTGGTTACAAACATTAAACCTCGGGCTTAATGAACTTATATGAGCATGAAGAACATCCATTTTCAGATGAAAGTAATTTAAAACGAAAGCGGTTCAACACACACAGTCCATCAACGTTTTAACTTACCTTCAAACTTGCCGATGTCAATCGCTCCAAGAGACATGCCAAGATTTGGTATGAGGCATGCAATTGCTTTGAGAGTGAACGACATTTTGTCGTAGTATTGCATTATGAAGAAGAATGGTATGAAGGAAATATACCAAATTATACCACCACCTGCAGCAGCGGTGCTCGCTTTGGAGAAAAAAACGCTTACGAAAAAACAAAACATATTACCAGAGGTAAAATAAAGCAAAAGATAGATGAAAAATATTGTGGGTGCTGTTTTGTCGATAACACTCCCATTACTGTTCAATTTTATCGTGAAAAGAAGCGTCATTATGACAACTGCAAGGAGACAAATAAGAAAACTTTCAATAAACCACGCCACCCAATGAAGCCAATTATTGACGCCGATGATTTTTAAAGTTTCCTAAAAAACATGAAATACCTAACTTAATTATTTTGTTAGAACACGTGAATTAAAGATATAGCTTTTAATGAATTGAATAAATCTGTAGTAGCAAATCTTCTCAAAAAACTGAATTACAAATTAATTAAAAATGTCGAAATAGTGCTCAGTTTGACAACATTTTTGGAGTGAACAATCAATGAAAACATTTAAAAGGTAGAATTGTCTCTTCCAGGAAGATAAAATTTTCCACCATCAAATATATTGCAAAACGATCTTAATATGAATTTAATTATCCAAAGAAGTTATTTCTCTGACTTTATTGCAGGCTTTGAATTAAAAAGATCTCAGCAAATAAGACAAATTACAGCTTACCTTTAGCCCTTGTTCCTTCTCATATACAATATTACGCACAATCACAAGTGCAATAAACAAAAAAGCAATTGCAATGACGACTGGGATTAAAAATTGAATATTTGAACTGAAGGAAACCTTAAAAGAGTTTGTGAATGGAAATTTTTCTATGCGAACCGATATTTGGTCTTGAGTAGCAAACTGTCCAATAATAGCTCGATCTACTGCATGTTGGGTAAACAAGAAAGCGGTACTATAATCGTCTGGACTGCCTTCATGGGAATCATCTTTATTTCTTGGTTCAGGATTTTGAAACCTCGAGAAAACATACTTTGTCAACCAGCCATTGCCATTCTTGCCAAGGCCAGAGTTGTCTTCCTTTGGGTTGATGAGTCGCAGCTTGTAGTTGATGAAATTGGCCTGTTTTGATGGGAGACGAGTAAAGTATATACCTCCAATGCATTTGGTAGAGTTGCCTTCAGAGGAGCTCATTAGTTCATTAACCACGTCATCCTCATTTGGAAATATTTGCAAGGTGATATTTTGATCCGGATAAGCATGTTCATTAAGATAAAATGTAAGGTTGTTGAAAAGCTCTTGGGACAGTTGAGAAGCATTATTTGCAGCCAAGCCTATAGAGAATGATCTTCTTAGTGCTGGTGGTGGAGAGGTTACACTGAATTCATTCCAAACCAAGGCTGGGCAATCAGTGACAAGGAACAATCGCAAGGCCAGGAGTGTGAATGACATGGAGATTGGTAACCCTATTTGAAAAATGGTTCCAATCGGATGTTTTCTTTGAAGCTTGAAGTTCTTCCATATCAGCAGACCAAGTTGTTTCAATTTCGACATTCTCCCAGCCAGTTTTTTAACTGGTACCTTTTAAATAAATCTTAAATTTTCGAAAGAACTCACGAATGCAAAACCATCAACTCGTAAGATCTAAAAAAGCAGTTAAAGTACCACTTACTTAATAAAAAAACTCCACAATCTTTGTCGTGACACTTTGCTAACACTCATGAGTCAGGAGTCAGAAAAATGCTATTTTTAAATCACGAATTAACGTAGCTTCCTTTACATCAGACCCGTATGCATCATAATTAAGACTTTTCATATACTTATGAGGTTTTTTGTGATTTGACAGCGAGAAACTCTGTGAGACTCTAATGCTAGTTGACGGATGCTAGTTTTGTACAAAATTCGTATCACAAACTGCTAGCAACTTTCAATGTCAATGAATCGATACAAATGTAAATAATTCTTTTATTTACTTACAATGCCCAAAAACGCTCATCAGATTGCGTTTGTTTGTTGATAGGGACTAAAAACGAACAAAGTTGCGAATTTGGCTTTTAAACGTTTTCGATGTTATGTATGGTCGTAAATCATATATAGACTTACAGGAATTCCGTAGCAATAATTTTATATCAGCATCCAGATTTCGTAAAGGCTTGATGATGAAATCATTTTCTGAGAAGGTGAGAGGTCATAATGGTCACAAGACATCTTAGTCATATGACTGACACATGTTTGTTGTTATTATATTATTATCATTATGACTGTCAAATGTTAGTGTTATCACCACAGCGCATGCTCGCCACTAAAATAAACGAGGAGTGTGTTGTTGTTCAATTATGTGTTCAATCTTCAAAATTTGACAAATTAAAATTCAAATAACTTTACAGATATAAATAAAGAACACTTGAAAATCAGGTCTTTATACAAACGAAGGAAGTAAATAAAACCAACAAAAGCTTTATTTATTTAAACTTTAATGCTACGTTAGTCAACAAACTCCATAATATTTTCCCTTTTTTTAATGCGGACCTTTGATACGAAAGCGTTGGGATAAAAATAAAAATAAACAAACTCTATCATATATTTTTAATTAACTATTAAACGTCAAAAGCAATCTAGAAGCATTTCCTGTGAACAATCGAAGGTCCAGATTCGTCGTATTCTTGTTTCGAGATCCACATCTGTTGGAAGGTGGAAAGAGAGGCCAAAATGGAGCCACCAATCCAGACAGAGTATTTTCTTTCTGGTGGAGCAATAACCTTGATTTTCATTGAGGGAGGGGCAAGAGCAGTGATTTCCTTCTGCATTCTGTCAGCAATAGCAGGATACATGGTGGACCCACCAGAGAGAACGGTGTTAGCGTAAAGATCCTTACGGATATCAACATCACACTTCATAGTGGAGTTGTAACATGTTTCGTGGATACCTGCAAACTCCATACCAAGAAAAGAAGGTTGGAAGAGTGCTTTTTAGTCGTAAATATCGTCAATTTTGCCACCTTTCAAGATGGCGGCTTGCCTCACTCGTTCGTTCATTTGCTGCAGATATAGGCAAGGTACGTATTGTTAGCGTTAGGATTAGGATTTGGATTAGGGATTGGGTATATAGAGGAATATATTCATAGCTGCTGATACAGGCCAGATATGGTTAGCGCTAGGCTTTGGATTTGGATTAGGGATTGGGTGTATACAGGGTTGTATTAATAGCTGTAGATATAGGCCAGGTATGGTTGGAGTAAGTGTTAGGCTTAGAGTTAGGGTTAAGGTTAGAATATAAGGTATAAAGTAATTTAGTACATATTACCTTACTCATGAAATTTTTTAAACCTATCTTCATAAGATGTGACTTCCTCCCCTAGCACATACTTTATTCTTTTTCGTTACTGGGCCTTCGTGCATTATTCAATTTGGTTAGTGTCATAAGACCTTGCAATTCATTTTGTGGTATTTTTTTTGTAACTTAAAATGAAACGAATATGTTTATGCTTAGATTATGTACTTATTTATCGAACTTACGTTTTAAAATGACAATTTTTTAACGCCTAACTTGCAAATGACAAGATTTTGCTTCTCATTTTATTCCCCAGATCAGATGTTGAGATTGAATTTTAGATTTACATTATCAACGGCGTTTTATCCCACGCATGACGAGTGGCTAAAAATTTTCATTTTTTTTCGGTAATATGGTTAAATTTGCGAGATATGTTTGGGCTGAATTTATACCTACAACAACAGTGTGAAGACAGCTACTTAAGTACCACGCAAAAAAAATTGATGAACAATAATATGAATCCTAAACGCCATGAAGTTTTGCCAAAAAGAACTATCGACGTACGAAGCTGTGGATCTTACCAACATTTTTGTTGCGTGATTGAACTTTTAAAAATTCCTTTTTACCACAAAGCATTACAAGAAGTATTTGTTACTAAATATTAGTTTTTAATTGTCTATTGGTTATGATTATAAGTATAAGAATTAGCTATTTAAAATTTATCTGTAAGGATTTTTGCAATTTAACCATTTCGGTCTTGTAACCATTTACTCATTTAACCATTTCGGTCTGTAATTTAACCAAGTCTTATGTGTAAGATGGACGCAGTTTGACCGCATATTCAAATTTTCTAACCGTACCTGATCAATTGAGCTTAACACCCCTCCTGTTCTGAGCTTTGCCACTATATAAAGCAGGTGGGAGTCTAAGCTCATCACGACAAATCTAGTGAAAAAATTGCCTATATGGTCATACTGGTTGGAAATAACAAAAACTTCAACATCTGTATAATGACAATAGATAGTCATAAAAATTGTTTAAAGGAATGTTCTGATATTTTATAAGCTGTCTTCAATAAATTAATATATAATTTAAACATTCTTTGCACATTCGCTTTTATAGGAAATAGTCGAATGGTACATGACAATACGCTATGCTAAATTGAAAATGATGAAAGCTGGCAATGTCGATTTCGATGAAAAAGAGGTTAATTTTTTGATGGTAATTTTCTCGAGTTTTGACGTTTCATACTTAATATACATTTTTAGTTGATAAAGATCAGCGGTGAGACGCGGGCTCATGAAATAAAAATCTTGTCGCCCACCCTGATTAGAAAACCACGATTGCGAGTATAGAAAATATCAAAACTATTTTCCTAACATAAACACTTTTTTAAATTTATATGTATTAAACAATCTGCAAGCTGCAGTGGCTTGCGGATGCTGAAATAGCGACAGAAAAAGGGAACATTTCTTGACTCCGGCAATTAGCACAGTATTAGTTTTACTATTTTGTTTTTAACACGATACTGGAAGAGTGTTTCTACTACTAAGTTTTAATTTAAAGTTATTTTGGTCCAGTCTTGTTTGTTCTTTGCTTAATCGCTCGCCAGACGTGTCGAAGCTGTCAATTTTTATTGAGTTTTGCATCCATCTTGTATCATGATCAAGACATCAAGCTAAACTCTCCTGATTTGAATTGAGTTTACCTCCCAAAAATGGGGCATAATTTGTTCAGGTTTTTTTTTGAAAAGATGAAGGGAAAGTTTACAACAGAGTTGTGTTGAAATTGAATGCAGTGCCATGCAAAATTAATGAGAACTATGGTACATGTTGTATAATAAAAATAACTATTAAACTGTTTGCCTGCTCAATTTGACTGACTGTATAGTGTAGACAATTATAATGGGATTGGAAGTTGGATTTATGCAAACAATTTTAATGTACTACTTAGCGTTTCTTTAAATGAAGTATTTATTGTTATAGTAAACAGATTACTATTTCAAAACCAAGATAAAAGTAGTGTGTTGAACAATGTGCTAAGATTTGTTTCTACCTTTTGTAATAGTAATTGTTATAGTAAACAGGTTACTACTTCAAAACCAAGATAAAAGTAGTGTGTTGAGCAATGTGCTAAGATTTGTTGCATGTTATGATTATGTCATTAATATGCATGAAAAATTAAACATATTGTCTCATCTCATCAAACCCATACTTGGTATGATTCCAGGTGATACACAAATTCATATCGGATGCATTGCTTACAATGAAGTTGGATGTAGAAATTCTTTGTTTCTTATGAAGAATTAGTAGAAATCAATAAAAAGAATTCTTTAAACAAATTATAAACAAATTTAAATTTGCTCATGGTCAAGCAACCTAGTCAAAGAAGCAAAGTCTGTCTTCAACATGTGACCTTTCCAATTATGTTTAGTTTCTTTGTACAAAATACTATTTTCGAGAAACTTGATTTGTATGTCTTTCATTAATATTTTTTATCAAGAGATAAAAGGAACTAATTCAAAGGCTTGATGTAAAATACAAAGATTTAACAAGTTGTTTATCATTTAATTCCCAAATGTTAGTTTGTACATATAAATATTAAATATTGGTAGCTGTAAGTTGTTTAAGCAAAACAGAAGAGTAGTAGTGCTCGAAGGGGTTAGCATTTTTGAAAAATTATATCTTGTTCTTGACATATATTACACAATTCCAAAAAACTGTAAGTAATGCACAATAATATATATAGAACTTGATAAATTTCTTTGCCTACACTGTCAAATAACTATTTTGCCTTCATGCAGCAATAGACAGTGTTTTTGTCGGAGAAACCAATGCACTTTAATTTCCAAGTTTGTAATTTTAATGGAAAATTAATGTAGTTCTGTTCAGTAATAGACCCAAGATTCTGCCAAGCTGTTTACAAAATACAAATTAGAAGCAATAGTATCATGGTGCTTTGAATTTTTTTCTTTTTTGTAGCTCTTCTATTTCAACATACTTTCTTTATGAGTTTTCAGTAGATTTATCAGGTGATGACAATAAACTTATGATACTTATCCATGGTAAATTTTCAGTTGACTTATGTCGTAGGACTGAAGCAAACATTTTATCGCTTCCTTAGGAGCATTTTTACACAGATTTATCCATTTGAGCAAGAAAAATATTTGCACTAAACTGTTTACAAACAGTCAAACACACAGAAGCATGAAATAATGTATAAGTTTGACGAGATTCTTTCGTTTTCTAAATCTTTTCTCGCTTACTTTTTCCTGCCAAGACCTTTCTAACGCTGGTATCAAATTTCCTTTAGGATAAGGGGTGGAAAGAAAGATGGCTTTGTGTAGATGGTCGTCGAGTTATGTACTTGGAGAAAGCAACGGTAATTATATCCTAATGTCCGTGTCATAAGACAGGAAATTGATGATATAAAACATTTACTTCCATTCGTATTGTTGTGACGCTACTTTGTGCTCAAATTTAATTATCTTTCTGTGCACCTATTTTTAATAAAATCAAGACGAGTACACAACCCACTGTATGTAAATAGCTTGTAATATATTTAATAATCAGCGGCGTGCGTCTTGTATGACTGTGATCACGTGGTTGATGACGACTTGTTGTCATTTCAAATTTTGTTACTTACCCCTTGATGCGTTGCTGGTTTCTAGGACGCGTTCCCGAAAGGCGAATTTGTATTAGGCACGAAAGGCTATGACGTCACCTCGGGTTTTAACGAATACGAGGCCCCACTCGGCTACGGCTTTTCGATTCACACACCAGATCGAATTTACGAATTCAGTGCTGGCACGGAGGACGAACGGGACAAATGGGTTAAAGATTTGAAGAAAATAGTATCAACTTCACTGACGGAAGAAGATAGAAAAGGTATGTAAGAATATGTTTCACTTGTGAATTTCCGACCTGCTTAATCAGATTGTAATTTGTTAAAAGCCTACTGAGTTAATGTAAATTGTACCATCACATCTTGACATGGAAAACTGCATATTGATTTCCTTGACCCCACTACGTCATTAAAGATAACAAAGACATTGGTGTAGTCTGTGTGGCATATTTATTTGCATGCCGTGAATAGTCCAATTAACGCCTCGGGCGTTCAATAAATTCTAGCGGTTGTAGTGAGGAGATAATTTCGTGCAAGTTATAGGTGAAACTCCCGCGTGTTTCACGATAAGTTCACGCGTTGTTCTCATTATATTCACACTTATTTCATGATAACTGACTAAATATATATCGAGGCAGTTATTGCTTGAGGTTTTGCCAACTGGACAATCGCATAACCGTGTTTTAATAATCTCTTTCCAGCAATTACGTTGAGCGAAGATTTAGAAAGAAAAAAATCTCAACAAAGTTCGTTATCCAGAATAAGTCAAAAATTTTCATAACATATAAATTATATTAATCTTTATATTAATCTTTATAGATATATATGTTTTTGTATATGATGCACCTAAAAGTCAAATGCCTTCAGACTTATATTCAATAAACCAAGTCGCCAAATATACAGTAGCGACAATAGTTCATGTTGCAAAATGTATGTAAATTATTTTACTGTCGTATAGGAAAAGAGTCGTGTCTATGATAAATACCACACACAAATTTTATATTTATAACCGCAGAATTTTATTCACTTTTAATTGATAAACCATACAATCGTTGATTTGTAAATATTTTCGCTCATGTAACAAGGCATGTTGATGTTTTATAAAATATTTATGAAATATAACAGTTTTACAATTAAAGAATCGTAGTGTGTTTTTTGAATGCACCATAGTTCGCCTCTGGAATATGTGACGTGAGAGAGCCTGGCATGGTTCTTGACATTATTTGATAACGTCATACTCAATGATTTAGAACCCAATCCCCAAGATGTAAACGTGACATCCTGAGACAAGGACGCCATCTTGAATGGTGGCAAAAACCAAAACTCTCAATCAAAAATAAACTAAAATTTTAAAAAAAATATTTAAAAACCAAACCCATACTATCAACTCTGCAACTGCGTTTCAATGCAAAAAAAGCAGATTTAGTCGTAAATATCGTCAATTTTGCCACCTTTCAAGATGGCGGCTTGCCTCACTCGTAACTATAAATTTCGGCGGAGTCAGGTATCTAGTAGACTGGGTTCTAGGTCATGCGTCATGCTTACTTCATTCGGGTAATTCTTTTTGGTGTATGCAAGATTTACTGGCGTATACAAGGCGCGATTGAAAATATTAAAATCAACCAAACAATCACTTAACACGATAAAAAAGATTTGGTAATAATTCTAAATAAATGGTCACACTGCCCCATGTATGACGATATTAATCGACCATCTTTTCGTCGTAGCCTCTCTGTGAGCGAGCAAAATTTAAAAATATCTGTTCCAGTGTGGTTTGCGTTACAGCATAATTACCGATAACAGAACGGCTGTGCGCATCTTCTAAGATTGCAAACAGGGAAGACCAAGCGCATTTTAAATTGCCCATGTGGTAATTCAACCAGCCATTGTGCTCGTCTCGAAGTACACTGCCTGGGAACGTCTCTGCCACGAATTCTTTTACCAAGGTCGTGTCATTACTGGGCGTGTCACTTGGAGGGTTTACTAACAAAGTGAATCCTTGAACGAATTTGTTCTTCAGGTGTTGCGGGCTACCGAGGCAGCGAAATTTGCCATTGACCATGATTGCCAACCGAGTACACAAAGCCTCGCATTCTTCCATGCTATGTGACGTAATCATCAGGCATCGACCTAAGTGAAGAGGGGAGGGAACAAAATGATTACCAATCATAAGCATCAACCTAGGGGGAGAGGGGAGGGGACAAAATGGTTACCAATCATCAGGCATCGACCTGAGAGGGGTGGGTACAAAATGATTACCAATCATCAGGCATCGACCTAAGGGGAAAGATTATTATTTTTAATAATAACCAAATTGGCGCTCATATTAGGCTGGTATCAACTGTATGTAATTGCATTCTTCAACACATCTCTCCCCCCTGGAAGGAAACCCGCTTCATCACCAGTTTCATACCTTCGAGTCTGACTCTACATAAAGTGTTCCACAACAGTCGTCTTGCAACAGGATCCATTCCAGTTGTTGGTTCTTCGAGAAAAACTATGAGTGGATCGCCAATCAAAGCTATCGCTGTACTTAGTTTGCGTTTGTTTCCACCACTGTGAAAAGAAAAGGTAATCTTTGTATTCGTGATCTAAGGAGCCTGAGATTGCTATAAAAAGATGGCAGATTTTTGACGCGTCACATGCATAATTTCCACGTAAAATCACTCCTGATGAAGACACTAAACTAGAGAATGTAAGGATTAACGTTTCAACATCAGATCACTCCTGATGAAGACATTAGACTGGAGTATATAAGGACTAAAGTTTCAACATCAGATCACTCCTGATGAAGACACTAAACTGGAGAATGTAAGGATTAAAGTTTCAACATCAGATCAGTTCTGATAAAGACACTAGACTGGAGTACATAACGACTACAGTTTCAACATCAGATCACTCCTGATGAAGACACTAGACTGGAGTATATAAGGACCAAAGTTGCACAGCAAATCACTCCTCATGAAGAAACTACACAGGAGTATATACATACTCAGGTTTAACGTCAAATAAACCAAAATGAATATATAAATGGCAAAACCTCGGGTGAGCATTTATAGTACAGCGTTCTATTTGAAAGTAGACGACGTTTTCTTCTATTATACCTTTATGTTTTAGTTAACTTATCAGCGTGTTCCGTTAGCAACACTGATTTCATCAAATCATCAATCATTGGATTGATCTCATGACTGGGGACTCCACGAAGTGCAGCATACATTTGTAACATCTCTCGTCCCGTCAATAAATCGATCACAGCATCAAATTGTAGACAATAGCCTGTTCGTTGACGAACCTTGGTAAACAACATAATTTACATTTAAAATTATAATTTTCATTTACAAAATAACATGTATAACGCGTGCTCTGATTGGTCGATGTTCGTGTTTGCATCAGGCTACCCAAACACAGAAATTTTAAACATGAAACATACTGACTCATGAAAATAACGTTTACAAAGACACTTTTCACCGATTGAAGTATTTGTTGTTGACACAATAATGCAAACGTAGTAAGATCGATAATTGGGGCTTTCGGGCTCATAATCACATATGCATATATCAATACTCTCCCTCCCCAATTATCGATGGTTGACCACAGTCGGTACTAAATATACAGCACCAAGTTGCGTAGCCAAATGGTATTAATGTTTGTTTTCTATGGTGTGGCTACAGAATAACGAACATAAAGAACGTCCTTTCTCTACGCAGTTGAAACTAGCCGACGTTTCCAATTTGCCTGTTTCAGGAGTACTTCATCCGCAAGTAAGTCCTAACGGCAATTGAAATAAATTTTATGCTTGAAGTTTGCAACGAACAGTAGCCGCGATTCGTATGTATTATTGTCTTCAAATGCGTTTACAGGTCTTTCGGGGGATCAGTTACTGCTGAATCGTGCAAAGTCTGAACGTCGGCTGATTTCAAAGACGAGCAGTTTTTTCGAAACATCCTGTTGAGCCACTACACTGTGGTAATAATACGGGTGGCACAAAAAATGTCAATGAAGTTATCTTCGATATATTCGTCATACTGTGCTGAAGCTGTGTTTCGCTACATAAAGTGGTTTCGTTGGAGGGAGAAGAACCAAAATGGCGGACAATACAACGGACCATTGAAACGTTTATATTTTACAAGGTTGTTCTGCAGAGGAACTGTAATATATTTTACAAATTACCACCCAAGTGGCCTGCAACAAGCAACAACTGAAAAGGGAGTTCATATATAAATAATTAAGAAATTATTTGTTATGTAAGTAAGAGTTAATTGCTCGATCTTTAAACGCCAATGTAATTCGCTTTGCTTGTATTTAGGGCTGGTTACAACTTGTTTTGCGTCGTAATATTATTGAACAATTACATGCCAAGCTCCATTTCGCAAATGAGCAACACTAAACATTGCAACAGAAATGTTACAGACATTGCAACAGAAATATTACAGAAATTTACCACTAGAAAATAACATCGGCGCGGTCAAAAATATTTGCCTGTTCCTGGCATGCATTTACGTCATGACCCCGCCAACTTGGGTGATTTCAACGAAGATTTTCCTTATTTACAATGTAGATGTCCTTAAATATGGCAAAAATTTTGTTGTTGTTTACTCACAGGGGAGTAGTGACTTACCACAGTATGTTTTCTTTGTATGCACCATTTCAATGGTATACACAGTGTTGAAAAATCTGCAAACCTGTAATTTGCATAAAAGCCTCTTTAATGGCTGCATGCATACCATTGCGTGTTCAACTATTTCCACAGTGACGTAGTAATGACTAGTTTGAGACTAGTACGATGGCTAAACTAACAAAACTAACTACGAATTTTGTTTAATTTACATCCTAAATTCCAAGCATTAAATTCCTTTAAATGGCGTTTACGTCTCCTCAAGGATAAATTACTGCTTTAAATTCTTGATGTCGGATCAGCCTCGTAGCCAGGCGCTTTGAATTATTTGATGATTAATAAATTGAATGTCACATGGCGTGTGTGGGCGTCGCGCATTAGCGTGGCTGTTACAAGCGTTACAAGCCGCGATTTTCCCATTTTTATTCGCACAGTTCGCGGATAGATAATTGAAATAAATATATAACGGAACGTAAAGTACCCATCCAGTTGTAAATTTGGTTCAATGGTCTTTATATGATTCTTTAATTTAAGTTAAAGCGGGAAAGGTCGAACAAATCATATACAGTAGCGTAGCCAGTCATACTTTTCACTTCCGCTTTCCTGAAATTTTTGTATTTACTGACAGTGAGGAAAATAGATTTCTAAAGATATGAATAATGGTAATCTTTAAAAATTTACATAGCGGAAGTAAATCTGCAGGCTGGCTACGCTACTGACCATATACAACAATAAAAACATACCCGACTTAAATTAGTCTGAATATCCCACGAGTCAAGAACGGCGGTGCCCGAAGTTGGAATCACATCGTCTGTTAACATTTTAAACATTGTAGTTTTTCCCGCGTCATTGACTCCCAGGAGACCGAAGCATTCACCTAAAGGTATTCCGAAGCTGATGTGATCCACTGCAGCAAATCTTCGACGACCTGTTTTGAAAAAATAAGGTGTTTATAAAGCAGGAGCTTTGTTCTTTTATAGATTTTCATTGAATAGAAGTTTCAAAACGACAGGGAACTTTCTAAAAAAAACTTCATTAAAATCTCGTTTCATTCTCCAGACAATGACAGTATTCTATATTTTCAAGACAATCTTCTTTCATTCTCCAGATTAAGAAAGTACAACGGTTGGAGAGAGTTTTTTTACAGACAACATAACACTACGGAGAGCCCATCTGAACAAACACATCAGTAATATACATTTAATAATTTACTGATGCAAATTATGTAAATATACATTATAATTTAAGTTCTCATTATGCAACGCGACAACACTGGTTGTAAAATTGGCCATTACAGGTTCCTCGTGTCTTGAGAATGAAAAAAGATGTCATAGATATAACATTAACTTTTTAAGAAAGTCTACTGACATTTTCAAAGTTTTATTTCAACAAAACCATTATTTAAACAGCAAAATTTTTGTTTCATAGACACTTTAAAAGCCCGTTTCGTATGTGAAGACTTTTCTAGAGGTAAAAACTTGATAAGTTATATTTTCAATCAAGCACAACGAGCTCATGGCGACCAT